TGTCAGAAGATCATTATAGTGTTTGCAGGAATCAATAAATATTTCTTGGTGAATTTGAAGACCAGATGAAATATATCTTCTTTCATGACGACGTTTGTCTTGTTTAGCCTTACGAAGTTCATCAGTATACCAAGGAGAATGCGGTCGCAGAGTGACCCATCTCTCGTTCACAGGAGCATGTTGATCAAAGATAGACGAGAGATTAGTATTATATTGTGTAGTCAGCTCAGTTACACAAGACTGTGGATTAGTAATGAGATTAGATTCTTCGATGTCTTTGATCATACTAGCTAAATCGAGCCTTTTGGTGTTTCTGTGTTTAACATGTAGTGTAGAAGGTTTCGGTTTTGTACATTTCACCTTACAAGTAACCAAATTATGATCTGAAATATTGTCGGCTGATAGAATGCGAACATCCGTTATAACATTATTCTCTTCTCGAGATAATATCAAGTCCAATGTGTGGCCCAGGCGATGAGTGGATCCAGATACATTTTGAATTAGATCAGTGGACTCAAGGAGATTTAGAAAGGAGGCAGCTTCAGGATTTGATAGATCATCAACATGGTAGTTAAAATCACCGGCAATTATAATGGGCTGCCTTGATAATGTAAGTTCTTCAAGAAAAGATGAGAATTCTTGCAAAAAGCTATTTCCAGTGTTGTTCTTTTTTGCACAGAGGAGGGCGATAGAGAACAATTAAACGGAATGTCTCACTTTTGTTGGATATGCTCACATCTAAGTACTCAAATGAGCTTGTGTTCATGATGGAATTTTGCAGTACGGTATAACCATCTCGTATCAACAAAGCGACTCCGCCGCCCTTACGATTCCTTCTTGGTATGTGGTGGAGTTTAAAATGCGGAAGAATGTTGTTGATGTCAGTAATAACATGGTTGTCATCCTCGGTTCCTTTAAGCCAAGTCTCTGTTATGGCCAGGATGTCTAAATGGTGGGAGATGACCAAATCGCATAAATGAGTTGATTTTTAACAATCGAACGCACATTGAGGAGAGCAAAATTACTGGTGGATTTGGTTCTCGGTAGATGGCCAACGCGTGTGATAGAGATGACATTGTTGATGTTTCTTGAGTAAATTTTCTTTGATGGTCGTCGATGCGTAGAAACAATGGTTGGAATGTAATAACATTGAGAATCTTCGTTTTGAATAATTAAATCTTCCTTCGGTTGAGAAATTGCTCCAAGGTCAAATTGTGACAATAAGAAACCCATTTCAGGACCAGGGTTAGAAGCAATGGTTCTCGGTAGATGGCCAACGCGTGTGATAGAGATGATATTGTTGATGTTTCTTGAGTAAATTTTCTTTGATGGTCGTCGATGCGTAGAAACAATGGTTGGAATGTAATAACATTGAGAATCTTCGTTTTGAATAATTAAATCTTCCTTCGGTTGAGAAATTGCTCCAAAGTCAAATTGTGACGACAAGAAACCCATTTCAGGACCAGGGTTAGAAGCAACGTCACCAGCCAAAGTAAGACGAGCTTGGTTGAAGGTGGTAGTTGAGTTAGCGTAGTATTTGACTTTGGATGTGTTGTAACCTTTAGGTCGTAGACAAACAAAGCGAGGCCGATTAGTTGTTAAATAACGAGGTAGTAATACAGCAGAAATCCACTTGTTAGGATACAAACAATGATTCTTGCAAATATAATCCAAAGAGGAAATGTTTAGGCAATCCATATGTCGTTTTTCAATTGAAATAATATAAAGAACTGTGAAAAAAATAAAGAAAATCAAGCAGCGGTATGAAGCACGTCCGTTACCCATAATTACCATTATCGTCTTCTCTAAGGATTGTAGCCTCTTCTTTGCCATTTCGTAATTTTTGGGTAGTGATGGTTCCCCTTCTCTCCAAAGTAGGCCTGACATACGCATCTTCACTCGCATTCTTAAAGGTTGTCTTTTCCATTAGTGACAGTGCTCGCTTGTCCTCAATTGAACGGGTTGGATCTGCTAGCTTCACCACACCTAACGTTTCTATCTCTGACTGAGCCACGACCAGCTGCTTCAGCTCCTCATCTTCAACTGAACTTCTTTCATACACCTTGAACCCATTGTGCGGAGATGGTACTCTTCGCTCATCAGGTAACCAGTTAGTCACCGCCTATTTTAAACTTCGAGACGTAATTTCTTGATTCCTTTTATTGATTCGTACTTACTACAACAACATCTAATTCGTATCGTAAAAAACCTAAACTTCGTAACTTCGCATAACCACTCGTCTTCGCTTCGAAATGGTACTGATCAAAGTCTATTATGTACATGTGATTATATTACTTGGCTCACGTGTCCGTCAATCAACAAAATCACTTCTGCATTCTTCTGTTATATATGACTTTCATATATTCTTAACCAAAACAATATATCTCGTTACGTAATTGTTCTCGCGTGGGACGTCTCGCGTGGGACGTCTCGATGTTTCTTACACCGCCCATCTAAGTAGGGTCTCAACTGCGTAAGGTACTCTGTCAACTTCCGGTTGACCAGAGGATTTCACAATTTGTTTTGGTAGAATTAAGTCAGAGTTGTTAGTTCTAATTATGAGTTGCACTGGACCTGTGTCGGTATTACGTAAGTCCAAGTTCTTCAGGTGCTGATACTCTTGCTTGATTATTGACCACTTCAACTTCTGATCCGGACCATTCAGGTTAGGAATTGTTTCCACATCTCGCAAGGAGTACTGGACTTCCTCTCTTTCGACTCGTGCGACACGACATTTCTTGATGTACTGGGAAGTAAACACATTCCGCTTATTTACTCCTTGAATTTCGAGATCTACATCTTTGCCTTGAAGTCCACTTGAGAGCGCTAAACTTTGAATGTTTCCACTCTCTCTTCTCTGGCATCCACCGCTGCTTGGACTCGCTGACTTTTGCCTCTTTTTTCAGCCAATTGGCAAATGAATCCCAGGTTGATAACTTTGGTTTTCCTTCAACAAACTCGGCCCATCTACCGCAAAGGCGTGTGTACTATTTTCTTTCACTATGGTCGGAAATTGATATATGCGCTTCTTTCCAGGTGACAAAACTGTGTCTACACGGCCAAAACGCTACTGAAGCACAGTCCATGCTTCCTCGTATTTGTCTGAACCTGGCATGAATTTCGCTAGACATGATTTTGCACCTCCATCTACAGAATCTAGCAGAAATTTAAGCTTCTCTGTTGCATCGCAAACTTCCCTTCTATCTACCTTGACATTAAACGCTGCTTTGAATTTTGAGTACTCTGGTGGATTTCCATTAAATTTCTGCACATTTGGTTTAACGATTTTCACAAAGGCTGGCAGCATTTTCTCAAACAACTGGTCTGTCTTCGATGTCTGCACGCTAGGGTTTCCCGTGGCAGAGGATTTCAACTCAGCTTGACCTTTAGCAATAGATGACTCACATGTCTCCTTTTTACAGGGTTGACTAGAAACCTCTGTTACGACCTCCGGTATAGTGGATTTAATTTCAGGTTTTTCAACAACAGTGTTCTCAGTAATTCTAAGGTTTAAGCGCGAGACCCAATCGTTCACCCCGTCTAAAGGTAATTCATTGAACTCTTCATCAATATCACCTTTATTCGACATACCTTCTTCTTGGGCGATGGCATCTTCGAACTCATATTCCAATCTTGATTCTTCAGCTTTCTTTTGAAGTTCCAAAAGCTTTGCACGCTGCTGTTGTTCGGCTCGCAGACATTCGATCTCAGTAGCGAAAGATTGCTTGGCTATTTTTAGTTCAAGGGCTAACTTCTCGGCTTGTAATTTCTTTCTTTCTTACGCGAAAGAAAATAGATTCTTTCAGTGAAAACGTCGTCGCCATCTCAAAGGAAAATGTTCTAGGCTTTCCAACAGAGCTCTTTTACAAAAAGGGAGACAAAAAACTAGTTTACCTAAGAATCTTGCGCGTGAAGTTAGAAAAAAACGCGCGATTTTAGTATGCTGTAAGTATCGTTTACTATTTTCGTAAGGCTTTCCAAATGTTCTCGCTACCTAACAAAAAGGAAATAATTACTCTTTCTGAATTAGATTAGTCTTTGGGACCTCCTTGTTTGATTGTTGCCTTTTAGCAACAGCAACAATGGAGCTATTGGAAATCAGTGTTTCTTATCTCTGACTTTTACGGTTCAAGCAAAGTACATTTCCAGGTATACTCAAATTGACTAAGTCAGTATAGAGAATACTTGGTTGTAAGGAGCTAGAATTAACCCTTCCTTTTCTCCAGTTGGAGAGTGCCTCTTGGTCGACAATTTTTAGCCAAAATGCCACTTCATTGCCGTTTTTTTGTTGCCGCATATAATTTATTTACAATGAAAAGTGGTTGCCAACTCACCATTTAAAAAGAATAATTCGTCTTCCGAATCCGAAATAATTGTGGTGTCAGCAGAATGATAGCCACTTGGATATTCCTCCTCACTTAGAGGGTCTTCTTCTGTGGTGATGGGGCCACCAATGAACCCCCATCCCCAAGATAATTGCCTTGCTTCTTCGAATTGAAATAATTAACAAAAATAAAATGTTTAATGGAATTCTCAAATTTCTTCTATAATATTTTTAAACTGTTCAAACACAACCTTGAAAAGTGCTTTGTTAGTTACCTGATGAATCCCTTTTTCTCTTTACTCCTGTAAATTCAGAAATAATTAGATAAATTATTCATTCTTATCGATTACCTTGTCAAATTTTAAACAATTTTATCAAATTATGCCATTTCCTTAGGGTTCAGAGTACTAGTTTACCTTGATTCAGACCACTGAGTCTAGAACTTCCTGAAACAGGAAATATCTCACTGAAATGAGATAAATGTGAAAATCAGCCAGCCCGGGTATGGTAAAGTTTAGCCATTTTACACCGCAATTACTTATCCTCTGGCTCGACCATGGTGGTATCAGTAGGAACTCCCGCTTAGGAAGTTTTTATTTTTCGGCGTTAAATTTCCATAACTTCTTAAACCGATGACATTTATTGTACTAAAACATTTTCATATGTTACGAGCTAATTAAACAAATACTTTTGCGCGAATTGAATCGCTTTGCACGTTCAGAGTGGGTTTTAAGTCTCTGATGAAAAGCATTTCGTTCACCAAACAATCGAACTTGTTACTACACTTTTTCAGAATGCTAAAACGTTTCAGTAGGTCTTTCGGGACTTCGCTGTGCTGTTCGTGGTAGTGTTTATATATTGAAGATGCCTTTCGTTTATGTCCATCCACGCGTGTGTGTAAGTGTCCGCGTGTATAGCCCACATAACCCGCATCACACAGGTCACATTGAAATTGATAAACGACGCGTTGTTGGTTGACAATCTGTGGCTTGATTTCTCGTACTTTAAGATCTTGGCTTACTTTGCGGCTAACAAATACTGGCTGGACAGTTGTCTGCACCTTCATGCTAAGATTCTTGAGCTCTTTCTTAACATAATTTGCTGATTCTTGATCTTTGAAAGGTATGACCACACGAACAATGGATATTGGTTCTTTGGGCGTCTGTGTGGGCTGCGTACCAACAATTCTTGATTGTAAGAAGGTGTTAATGGTAGAATTTACCAGGCGCCCCGGGTATTTAAGCCGTGCGAAAACTTTCTTTAGGCGATCACACTCATCAGAGAAATGGGCCCAGGAGGAAGATAATCGGTGTGCGCGATCCAGCATAGTTTTCAGCAAGCTCCGTTTGTAGCGATTGTCTACATGGCTTTGGTAGTGTAATAGTAGGCCCGTGTTTGTTGGTTTCACATATACCTTGGTTTCAATCCGAGGTGCATGGTTGAGTAGTTCGGTGCCAAGGAAAGGAAGCTTGCTGTTCTTCTCCACCTCCATGGTGAATTTGACCGAAGTGTGGGCGCTGTTGAGGGTATGCAAGAAGGTAGTTGCTGTTGCTAGATCAGGCATTACAGTGAGTGTATCATCAACATATCGACGATAATAGGATGGAAGTTTTCTTTGTCGCTCAAGGGTATCTTCGATGGATGACATGAAGACGTTTGCTAATAAGGGCCCGAGAGGGGACCCCATAGCAACGCCATCTGTCTGTTCGTATAGAGCTCCGTTAAATTGAAATAGTTGGCCTTTGGTGGCTACGTTTAGGAGGTCAATAAGATCTGTTCTGGTAAGGGCAAGATTGTGAGTAGTATTGAACCAATTGTTCGAAAAGGCTCTGTTAACCAAGATCTCTATTGTTTCGTCCAAAGGCACGTTCGTGAATAACGAGGAGACATCATACGAAACCAAAGATTTCACCCTTGTTGATCTTCAGCTCGTGAATCTCTTTTGTGAAATCAAAATTATCAGTAACTGTATACTGATTAAGGGACAAGGGCTTCAATTTCTCGTCGAGCCATTTAGCAAGGGGAAAATTGTACGTGTCGGTGGCTGATAATATAGGCCTCATAGCCAATGGTTCTTTGTGGGTTTTTGGCAACCCATATAAATGTGCTAATCTGGAACCTGTAGGGCTCACGGAATCTGCAATGGTCTTCGGTAGAATTCTACGAACAATGGAATCTAGGATCTTCTCTTTCTGTAGTAGGGGGTGGTAATATTTGGATGGTCTGCCCCAGAGTACTAGTTTTCCTTTCCTTGGCACCGAACTACTCAACCATGCACCTCGGATTGAAACCAAGGTATATGTGAAACCAACAAACACGGGCCTACTATTACACTACCAAAGCCATGTAGACAATCGCTACAAACGGAGCTTGCTGAAAACTATGCTGGATCGCGCACACCGATTATCTTCCTCCTGGGCCCATTTCTCTGATGAGTGTGATCGCCTAAAGAAAGTTTTCGCACGGCTTAAATACCCGGGCGCCTGGTAAATTCTACCATTAACACCTTCTTACAATCAAGAATTGTTGGTACGCAGCCCACACAGACGCCCAAAGAACCAATATCCATTGTTCGTGTGGTCATACCTTTCAAAGATCAAGAATCAGCAAATTATGTTAAGAAAGAGCTCAAGAATCTTAGCATGAAGGTGCAGACAACTGTCCAGCCAGTATTTGTTAGCCGCAAAGTAAGCCAAGATCTTAAAGTACGAGAAATCAAGCCACAGATTGTCAACCAACAACGCGTCGTTTATCAATTTCAATGTGACCTGTGTGATGCGGGTTATGTGGGCTATACACGCGGACACTTACACACACGCGTGGATGGACATAAACGAAAGGCATCTTCAATATATAAACACTACCACGAACAGCACAGCGAAGTCCCGAAAGACCTACTGAAACGTTTTAGCATTCTGAAAAAGTGTAGTAACAAGTTCGATTGTTTGGTGAACGAAATGCTTTTCATCAGAGACTTAAAACCCACTCTGAACGTGCAAAGCGATTCAATTCGCGCAAAAGTATTTGTTTAATTAGCTCGTAACATATTTATGCTAATTTAATGTTACACTTTGCCACAAACTTCATTCTTTATTTCTCCTTGACAATGGCGTCATGATGACACCGAAACGTCGGTTTTTATCGTTAGTTTTTGCTAGTCTTTGCATTTCTAAATCCTTATTGATAAAACATTTTCATCCCTCAAAGTTATACTTATTTGAGGTGTATTTTGTAGTCAGTCACTAAACGGACCCTTCAAAATCTTGACTGAATACTTTTTTATTGTGTATAATCCGCTAAGTAGGAAATGTCAGCTCGAGAATAAATTTAGACATTTCACTAAACCACCGGCGGGTTTACAAGCTCTTACTGTGAACTATGATGTGTTGATCGACTAAGAAATACTTTCGTGTTTGCAAACTCAGATAAGTCGCAGGCAGAAGTACTTAATATGGGTGCATTTACTTCTCACTTACCATGCCTCGTGCCCTGCTTTCTCCATGATCGATGAACGGACCACGCTTTTGACACTGACACCACACAAGAAGTTACTGGTATCGGTGTCAAATTACCACGTTCCGGTGTTACATAATTTTAGGGCAAAAATGAAAAGGACATTTTCCAGGACACGCTAGCAGGTTTAAGGCTCATTAGCGATCTCAACAAAACGCGAGGCTAGTTCAGACGAGCGAATGGATAAAAAGTTCCTTGAATAAAGGTTATTTTAGGTTATTTCAGTGATACACAGGGATGCACAGAATCAGCGCGATCTGAGAGTGAGGCGTAGGCGAACTTTCGATTCAAATTGAAGTGGCTTGAATACAGATCTTTTTTAGGCAAACAGTGAATGCAAAAAAGGGCTAGATAAGGGAAATAAAAGAGTACCACACATTCGAGTTGGTCATTGCTTTCTTATATTTGGTGGCTCCTAAAGGAGCCGTTTGTTGAAGTGACTATCCAGCGGTAAGTCACTGTTTTCTACTTGACGACTGATCTTGGTTTCGCCAAGGTTAGTCTCGTGCGCTCCTTGGGCTTTCGCTCGGCTTGCTTGTCCCGCTCACGGTAGAACGAGATCTTTAGAAGGGTTGAACCGAATATTACTTTCCGCACCACGTCTTTACAAGCGACGGGGGCTCCATTCCCGCCTTGACAGCGCAAACACCCCGAATGATCAAAAAACACTTTCTTGCGCTCTACGAGAGCAATCTCGACGGGCTTGCCGGGCTGCAACTGACAAGTCGTGGAGGTTTTGAAAGTATTTAGTGACCATCCGGCAGGCATTATGGCGTCAAGCTCGTGAATGGGCACAGAAAACTTTGTCGCTTGCAAAAGATTTGGCGCGGAAGGAAGACCACCGAACAACTCTTTAAAGGTCTCGGCATCCATCGGCATGGTGACAGACGAACGTCTCACGATGCTGGTTGTTGGCGGTTTCTTCATGTTCAGCTTTTCTGCCACTAACACAGCTAAGGTCTGCAGCAAGCCGGGAGTTCCTTGGTGGCGTGTCCTAAACACTTGTTTAAGGCGCTCGTTTGTGTCGGCTTCATCCACCCAGCTATCGTTCTTCTTTCCATAGCCACGCTAGCGGACGAGGTACTGAACGCGACCGTGGGCGTCTATAGGCTTATCGAGTACTTTCGAGACTTCGTAAAACTTGCTCATGTTCTTAGCTATTCTCTCAGTAAGGGATAATCTAAAGTGATTATGACTTGCGTTTACGAGGCCTTTATATGCAAGTACCACTGATAAAAACGACGGTTTAAACAAGCAAGTCCAAACAAGTCACCATTTTTTTTTTCACTCACCTAATGCAGTGATGAACATTTTTTGTTTAAGAACTTGTGGCCAACCGGAGAATAAAGTCACTGAAACGGAAAAAGGTACGAAAATCGCACCTATTGTTTTGCCTTCAACAGCGAGGTTTATTTGCTTCAATAGCCCAAAAAACAAAAACGCGAGCCTGAGCGTTTTAATATGCGCACTGTTATTCAAAGACTTCACTTACAAGCGGCGTTTAATGACAACCAGCGTGAACCAGGAAGCGCAGGTCTAATTTAATTACAAAATGCACAAAGGCTGACTAAGATTGAATGAATGGTTTACTTGTATCCTTGTTTCTCTGTTGGAGCTTTCAGTTTTTTACTGGTTTATTAAGGTGCGACAAGGGAACGCCTTTTTTAATATAACCAGAATTTGTGGCATTGAAGTCGATAGTGAGTTCCTCATTGACAACGCAATAATGTCGGTTGGTATTTTGTTCGCTTTTTCTTTTGGCTTGCTGTATGGAGCCTTCCAAACAGAAGTCCCAACAAAAAATGTGCCAGAGTGTGCTGCCGGCCAACTACGCAACACCCGTCATTGACCAAGCGAAAATGAAACTCTATAAATTTAAACCGCTAATCACCATAAACTGCTCAACCCTGACGCTACTGTTTATATTCCTATCTCATCTGCCATACTCTATCAGCCAATCTGCCGCTCAAGTCCTTTTACCTTGCCTTTCTGTCTGCGTTTGCTGTTTCTGCGCACTTCAAGCGGAAAAAGTGAAATCAGTCAAACGTAAAAAGGTGCGAAAATAACACCTTTTTGTTTTTTTGGCTTGCATACTCTTTTATACTCACCGCGCCAGTGGTTGAACATTGACAACGCGAGAAGAAATTTTCAGCAGAATACAATTTAGACTTCTGCGATCAGTCCTTAAGGCCTGCCTGCGTAAACGGGCCTTAAGGAAAACAAATATTGAGCGAACACAGCTTAACTGCGTCCTGTCCTGGCTTATAAGCTCTAGACCGCATTTTTAATCACTCCAAGCTACTCGCGGCCCCTTGCCGTGAAAACATGAACTGAAAACAAACTATTATGTCACAAGCGGCTGAATTCCAATTTATTTTATACTGACGGCTTATCTTGCTTCTGAAGAAGTCAGAGGAAGTTACTTCAAGAGAAAATACATTAACGGTTCGCTCGTTTCAAACACTGTATGACAATCGTTACCCTGGACAATTACTGACTAACCCCCTGTTAGTCTGTTCAAATTTTCCCAAGTAGACTACCGCTGGGGAAAAATGTCATTGCCGACAATTTGCCGAATGAATCCGAATCAAGCCGAGTAAAAGCTCGTGATACTAAATAGAAAAGTCCCTAAGGATGGATAACAAAAGGCCCATTGTATTAAAAAATCCCAACCATAACAATTAACAATAGGCAAAGTTTGATATGTGGAGTACGTATTTAAGTGATGTAATTGAGCCTTCAGAAGACATTGAATCGCATAAGCTCTGTGAATCCATCTTTCAATGCAAAAGCGTGGTTTTTCAGAAACTTGACAAAGCTCCTAGTACAGAGTAATTTCTCGCGCATATTTCCCGCCAATTTCATATGGTCCCGTAATGTCTGGAACTAGAGAAGAGTTTGTGGGGAAGGGATCCAGGAATTTTCAGTGGAAGGGGTCCATTTGTGATTCATAAAACACTGATGTTTTTCTCTCTTTACATTAGTCTAAATATCTTGAGAACTGTATACAAATTTTAACGAAAATTCAAATGGTCCTATTTCAGTAGAAATGCGCGATCCTGCCTTGTAAGAGTTCTGGTTTTGAACGTGTAGAACAAAATACTTCATTCGGTATGGTTGGGACAAGGAAGGTGATTAGAAGATGGGGTTTCAGATCCGTAAGACCTTCCCTGTGGATCTACCATTATTTGAATAGCACAACGCACAAGCTATCAGCATCAAATCTGACTATTTATGGGGAATCAGGTGAAACTAAAGAACAAGTAGAGAGTATTAGGTAACAAGCAAAGGGTTTCTAGTTTCTAGTTTCTGTTCAAATGAGAGATATTCGATTTCTTTTTATTCCTAGCAATTTTTATTCAAAAATACAAGAAACAACATAGGCACAGGCTAATCCATTTTAATTAATTATACAAATTATATAATAAAAGACAATTTTATTTTTTCAATAATAACTTGCCCTAAGGTTTTCATACTGTCCTACATGCTGTTAAATATCATTGAAAATACAAAAGGAAAATGTCAATCTGGTGAATTAGAATCATTTTATCTTATAACTAGCTAAAATGACTTGATTTTCGTATTTCAGACAATGGTTTGCCTTGTCAACAATTCTTCTAATCAAACACAATTATCATGAAAATAGAGACTGCTCCTTTCTAAGAAATTCCACTTATACCCATGCAGAGTATTGCATGACAAACTTCAGTAAATCTGGTCGACATGTCCAAGTCTAAAATGAATTGCAAGTCAAATTCACCTAAAGCTGGTTTGATTTGTATTGGAAAAAATCCACAACCAAGGAAAATGCAAATCGGACTAGTTTAAAATTTATTTACTTGAAATTCATTTAAAACATAACAATGCTAATGATTTCAAGCTTACTTCACATACATAAGCTGCCCCTCTGGCTGGTAGTATTTTCTGAGTGATCCAAGCTCCTACTAGCAGACGAACAAGACTACAAAGCATGAAAATATACGTATGGAATGACTCCACGGCTGCATAAGACTAAGGAATGTAATAAGGTTTTCTATATATCAAAAAATAAATGAAATGAGCGAAATTCACTTTAAATGCAAGCTGCACCTCTAGCCCATAGTATTTTCTAAGCCTCCTAAGTTCCTACTAGCTAGAGGTACAAGACTAAGTAAAAAAATGTAGATGTATTCATGAAAAAAGTGATTTCAAGGAGTGTAAGACTAATTTGGAGAATTGGGCTAAGTCGACTACGGTAGTATTTTCCGAGCCTATTAATATCCTACCAGTTAGAGGTACAAGACCAATAAATAAATAAATAAATGTACATGTATTCTTGGAAAGAGCGATTCCAAGGAGTTTAAGACTAATTTGGAGTTCAGAAAAGTAAGCTTGGAGCCAAGCGTAGCAAAAATTGGGCAAAGTAGACAAAATAAATAAGCTGCACCTCTAGCCGGTAGTATTGTCTGAGCCCTACCAGATAGAGGTACAAGACCAAATAAAATAAATAAATAAATGTACATGTTTTCTTGAAAAAAGTGATTCCCAGGAGATTAAGATTGATTTGGAGTGCAGAAAAGTAAAGTGTGAAGAAAACCGTAGCAAAAATTGGGCAAAGGAGACTAAATATGCAAGCTGTACCTCTAGTCTGTAGTATTTTTTAAGCCTCTTTAGATCCTACCAGCTAGATGTACAAGACCAAATAAGATAAATAAATGTACAGGTATTTTTGAAAAAAGTGATTCCAAGGAGCTTAAGACCAATCCGGAGTGCCGAAAGTAAATTGTGAAGCAAACCGTAGTAAAAATTAGCCAAAGTCGACCAAATATTCAAGGTGCACCTCTAGCCGGTAGTATTTTCTAAGCCTCCTGAGATCTTACCGGCTAGAGGTACAAGACAATAGAAATTTCATCTTGAGATCTTTTGAACCAGTTGTAGAATGAAAACGCCATTAAGTTGGCGATACTATTTACAAGTTTTGCTTACCTTTGCAAGCGTTGGTCCTAGCGGCTACAGTGTTAAGCTAAAACTCTGCTCAACAAGAAACTTTATAAGATCGACGAGGGTGAAGGAAACAGCCATAAAAAATTTAGCGAAATTTCCTTGATTTAACCTGTACATAGCTTAAGAAGTGTCATTTCAGAACTCTCGTTTAAAATTGTGATATTTGTAATTTACGCAGAAGAGCTCGAAATAGTTCTTTGTTTCACCAAAGGGCTGTTCAGAACTGTTTTGAGCCGTTTTTCATTTGTATGTATGTATTTACGAAGGTTTTTTTGCAGTTCAAGGCTGAAACAACGTTTAAGGGTACTATTGCGTGACTCTGAATGCGAATAATTTATGCGAATTTAGCAACCTCGCCGACTGAACAGGAGACAATACAGCTTTGTCGATATGTTGATAAGAGCTGTAGGATGGAACTCCTTTTCTTTTTGAGTTTTCTCGCTCTGCCTGGAAAGAAATAAATAGGAAACGTGCAGAGCATGTATCAGTTTGTTATCTAAGGGACAAACTTCCGACTAAATATATTTTGGCCGGCATTTTATGCCATCTTACACAGAGAACCTTGTCTTAATCACTTCCGCAATACCTACTTCGTTCTTCGCAACAAGGTATGTTTTGATTTTAAACCTCCTTTTGACATTAAAAGGGTATTAACCATATTGAAGCACAAACATTGGCGAGACAAATATGCTATTGTTTCTTGTCGTACACGACGTCTTTCTAAAAATATTTGTATAAAAATGTATTAAACACTGCTTAGAATACAAAGAGCATCATAGGCAATTGCAGAGGGCAATTATATGGAAACATACCAGCGAATGTTGAGAGATAAGCTATTTTGACGATCAGCAAATCTAGATGTCGGCATGCGAGCCTTTTTCGTACGTCGATCACGTTGCAAAGTGTTCTGTATTTGTGTTGACGTTTTTTCTTTACCGCTTCTATTTATGTGGTAAACAGAAGCCGTGATACTGATCCTTGGTCAGTGAAGCATTAATCAGATTATTTTATCATGATGGTATAAGAATGTGACGATAGTGTTGTTTTCTTTGGAAGTAGAGCAATGTCTTCTGATCTGTTGCTCTTCTCTTATCGGTGTGAATTGTTTTAGGTCGGTTTTTCGCCGAACATTACTTCCCCTTCTTACAAGGAAGAATCGCCTTCAGACTGTTTTTTTTTGCATGGAGATGAATGTTAATTGTCTTCAGGTCTCAAAGCGTTAAGTAGAGTGTGACTGTAGCCAGCCCAGTCCACGCTCGGTTAAGTTTCCCGCCATTTCGGTAAGGTGACTAGTATGGTCATTAAGTTTTTGACCTGAGTTTTTAGTGGATTAACGCTCGTTTAGCGTGCCTTTTTGTTCCTTTCGCGGTCCTAAGGCTAGACAAGTTTTATGGCTTCTACTTGCCGTGTTTGTTTAATCTATGTAGTTACATAGAGATTATGCTATAGAAGGTGCATCCGAACATTTTTAATCGCGAGTTGCGACGCATCAAAGAAACGAACGAGTGTGAGTCTTTCGATGCATCGCAACGAGTGGTTAAAAATCGTTTAAGCACTTTCCATGGTACGATGTTTTAATTTCATACAAACTGAGATTTTTCACATTTCAATTCAGAGATTGAAAGCGAACGACTGTCAAAATACATCGTTCGCCCAATTAGAGACGCGAACGAAATAATTTTAACTTTATGTGGCTTGAGTATATTTTAATGCGTAAACAGTAACTCCAATTATTTTTCTTCAAGCTAAATACTATTGACACTTAAAGTCCTTCATTCATTTATTCAACGATGGTACTTCGCAAGGTGTCCGGTCGTTTTGATACAAAGTCGTTTCGATGCAAGCCGTTTCGATACAAATCGAAGTCGATTCGATGCAAACTGAAATCGTTTCGTTAAACTCGAGAAAAGTTCAGTAGAAGCGTGTTAGTTTTCGTTTTTGATATGTGTGGCGATTTGTTGTTTTCTATTCAAACAAAAATTCGACTCAGTTAATTGAGCGACTCGATCGATCGACGTAGTTGTAATACCCAGTTTTCCCGCGACTCGACCGAACGAGTTGTGTTACTCGGTTTCCCCGTGGCCTAAAAGAATAAACTTTGTTGAATATTTATCTAAATTACGAAAGTACGCTTACGTTGATCATGACTTTCGCACATGTGGTGGCTCCTAAAAAAGCCATTTTGAGCGACCTGAAATCGTCCAAAGCGACGAAAGCAGGGCGCGGCGGCTCCTAAGAGTCATTTTATGAAGCTACTGGGCCGTTGAGGTAGGAACACGCCTTCAGTAGTGCACTGCGGGCACCAGAGTTGAACTCATTCCAGAGGTTGAAGATCTTGGTTTGGAGGTCTCAGAAATTTTGTTTTCGGATGCGCCGTAACTTCTCGGACACAAGCCTATTCTGAAGAGATGTCCGACGGGCCTCGCGATGAAGAAGACGGATCAGGAGGTACAAAGGAAGCTGGGACTTTCCAGACGCGCGGCGATTCAGCCCAAGATGCCAGCCCTCTATGTCGTTGTTGGTTCTCACTGATTGATCTGTTAACTGTCGTGATCTTACTATCGAATGAACATTCTACAGGTTCCAGTGTGTTTTATACACTGGTATCAGTTTAAAGCGTTTGGATTGATTTATTCGCTATCACTAGGGTAAAATAAGCAAGTTTTTTAGAACAATTAGCTTACGCGTCTATTGATATGATAATTTACGAACCCGCTTACCCACGCACCAGAATAACTCCTGTTTCCTCAGTTGTGTTTCTTGATCGTAGGATTAATATGCGCTGGAGTTATAGAAAAAGTCTAATGTATTTATATAAATCTCTGTTCTTGATAAATAAACTAAGTCTCGCTGGCGTGTTCTCATTGCGTTGGAGGCTTGTGTACATCTGGAGGTTCGCGGAGTGTGTTTGTTTTATTTACAACGGAGGTTTGTGTTCGCTCTGGTATGGTATTCTGTCTCGAAACGACTTCAAGTACATGTGTAGCGAATTGACTTTGATGTGTACCGAAACCACTTTGTATCGAAACGACCGTGAACCCCTCGCAATTGAAATCTCAGTATGTTTGAAATAAATTATCCTTAGTTTACACCTTATGCACCAAACGCTTCAGTCACGCAGGATAAATTGTTGTGGTGAGATTCTCGGTAGGCGAAATGCTCTACTCGTCATTTTTACAGAACGAATCATTCCATTAGTTCAATCATTCGAATTATGTAATGTAACCGCAGTTCCACCGTGATGGATCCGTCTCTCATTAGTCTGATTTGTAATTGTTTCAGCTCATCATGGCTTCCGCACTATTTCTCTCTACCAAAGAAACAACCAATTATGCTCGGTTGTGCCGCCTTCTCATCGATGTTGGAACAGAAGTTTTGCGAAAGGTATTTGATCGAATTCACCCACCAATCAGCCTGCACACAGTGTTAGCACAAAGTGGAGTTAAAAGTAAACTGCAGACACTTTATAAGAGGAGAAAGTTAAATCAAACTCAGTGGAACATACTTTATCCCACTATCACTTCTTCTGTTTCGTCTGCGGACTTTGATGTCACCCTTCTGATGGTTCTATTCAGGAACATCTGCAATTTGCCTCAACCTGGGACTGGTTGGGATGATCTTCCAACCGCAGCAGACACAAGTTTAGAAGCTGACATCGCTCGCGTCAAGTTCTACAGAAACACAGTCTATGCTCATGTCAGCAATGCCTCGATTGACGATGCAAAGTTTACTCACTACTGGCAAGAGATTCGAGAAACGCTGGTGCGATTAGGAGGAGCAGGTTCAAACTATGGAGATACCATTGATCGTCTTGCGAATGACAGCATGGACCCTGAAAAGGAGAAGCTTTATCAGGAGCTTTTGAAAGCATGGCGGAATGATGAGGTCAGCCTGAAAGGCAAGTTAGATGACATGGACAAGAAACTATCGGATTTAGCTAATCCTAAAAAGAGAATGCGGTCAGCAGGTATGTAATAAAAAAGTGACATCTGACACTTTTGAGCAGATTTACCGTAGCCCTTCAAGAGAAATGTTCATCTATAAAATTATTTCTTCAGCAAAAAGTCTTCGCAATTTAGCACCTCCATGTCAGTTTTCTCTCGTCATCGACTGGCATTTGTCAGTCATTTTACACCAACCTAAAGATAGCTTTGCTAGCGGCGTTGAGTCAAGGATGCTATTAGCTATGAACTGGAATCCCTCTTTCTCTTCCCTTCTATCATCCTTTTTCCTTTCCGTTGCGCCTCACATCCTCCTTTTCCCTTTTTCTTATATTTATCCCCTTCCCATCTTTTGGATCTTCTTTTGGGTGTTAAATCATAGCATTAACGTAACTTACCTCGAATAGAGGTTCTTTTTCTAACAACCTATTTTTTTTATCCCATTATCTGTCTCATTGTTTATGTATTTATTTTTTGGCGAGGATTTATCATTAACCTTTCGGCCTAAGGCACCACCACACCCTTAAGGCTTATGGGGGGGAGAAGGAGTAGTTTAGGGGAAAAAATTGAAGTGGAGGAAATTGTAATTAGTTGTATGGGTGCAGATGAATGAAGGCTAGAGATTCGTGACTGTTTTATTTCGTGTTTACCTCTAGAACCCTTCGATCTTAAGCAGTGCCAGAAAGATCTTCATTCATTTTATCGCACAATTTGTAAAGTAAAAATCATTCCTTGGAAGCCGAAGTCTGCAGTTTGCATTAATGAAATTTACACAAAGTTATCATGGCAAAGGGAAGAAAGCAAACCAAGCGAAGATAGTCAAGTGGAATTAGAAGACTACACCGGTATGTTTAAGAGGTGTGGGCCTTACGACGAACCAAACCGAATATTGGTGTTTGGGCCACCAGGCATAGGAAAGACTACATTTGCCAAAAGAGTTGTTTTCGACTGGTTACATCAAGCAAAGGAAATCCTTAAAAAGTTTGAACTTGTGCTTCTTATTAGGCTGCGAGATGTGTGTGAATTGCAGACTATGCCAGATATTTTGACGGCTGCCAAACTGTTACCCGCTGATGGCATAATTTCAGTCGAGAGCTTGTATGAGTACATTCAATGGAACCAAGAAAAAGTTCTTTTGGTCTTGGATGGCTATGATGAGTACTTCTGTGCAGAATGCTCTCCTGTCCGTAACATCTGGGAGGGTAGTTTGCTTAGGGGTTGTTCCGTCATTGTCACAACGCGGTTGGAAGGGGCAGATGAATTGACAGAACGCAGTCACGCGGAATGCCAGATTAATGGGTTTGTTAGTGGTATTCAACTTAGAAATTTTGCAAGAAAGTTTCTTAAAGATGAAGAAGTTGTTGCTAAGTTTGAGAAATATCTGGAGGAGAAAGGCTTAAGAAAAGTTGCAGAAATACCACTTCTTCTGGTAATGCTGTGCTTACTTTGGAAGGAAGAAGGCCACAAAGGACACCTCAAATCACGAGCCAGCATCTACATGCATTTCATTCAGATGTTACTGGATCACATGACTGCAAAAGAACCACATGCAAAGAAATTTCGTAAAGTAGATGACTACAAAGAAGATCTCTTGAAACTGGGGAAACTTGCATTTGACGCCCTTAAACAAGGTTCTCTCTCTATGTGCTACAGCGAACTACCCGATGATATTTTGACCAAGAAACTGATTGAGGTAGGTTTATTTCAATCTCTGAATGTTTCAAGTCTGAAGCCTGAGAAGGAGGTTTTCTTCATTCATAAGTCCGTTCAGGAGTTCCTTGCCGCTTGGTACGTCAAGGAAGAACTTGCATCTTCAAGAAATAAAAGCCCGACCTGTCTCCCTGAAGATGAATCTTCTGAAAAGGTTTTAAAGATGACTGAAGTAATCAAATTTGTCAATGAAATGTCTGGAGAAGCCTCAAGTATTGTCCTTAAGCACCTGGAGACGGTGGCAAAGAGGGAAAGACTCACGGAAAACATACTCAGCGAGACACCATCATTTGAAGACTTGTCAGAGAAACAAAGGCATTTCCTTGCACTCTGTTCACACAGCTATTTTTGCCTATCAGTCGAGAAGAGAAAAGATCTTTACTGCCTGTACCTGTCTTGCACTGGAGGTATTTTACTGATAGACTCTGATCAACTCCATGTTATTGCCAGCGAGCACTTGCTGAAATACTCTCAACCACCGAACTACGTATTCTTCACCGATAGTAAGCATCCAAAGGAAAACTATAGCGACCTGATCACCGTCCTGGAGGATGTGAATGGGACTCTTGTTAGCTCATCAGGTGAAGTGGAAGCCTCGATGTTTCTCAGGAAGTATAATCCACAGAGAGTGGAACAATTTTTCCTGAAGAAAGAGAACAATTCGTTCATTTACCTTTATTTTGCTCACATTTCTAAGAGCTATGATCACCCATTGCCCATCGAAATGCTCCAAGATGTCACCCGGTCACCTGAATCCACTCAGATAGGGAAGACCTCAGTCGGCGACCGGCCAAATGGACCAGACAACACAGCGTTACTGTTGTCAGAGGACACCGAACGCTCACCTGTTCCCCCCCGTCATTGCCTTTCATTGACCTCAGAGATCCGTACTGAGTATTTGGAAGAGCAAGAAATGAAGACACTCATTACGGCCCTTCCGCATGTGATTTTTCCCCGAGTCATGACCATGTCTGTTCCAGTGGGTAAATTGTATGATGCCCTCATATTGGAGAATCTGCTGTCTCGTCTCAACTTTACAAACAGACTCGACACTTTAGAATTCTGCCGTTGCAATATCACTGCGGGACCAGCCGCTGCCATCGCCAGATCTTTCCACAAAGCACCTAACTTGCGTGAGCTCTACTTGTCCTACAACCCCCTTGGTGACGGATTGAACACTCTCATGGAACATCTCCATTGTGTTCAGCAGTTAGAAACACTTCGCCTTGGAGGTGTCAAGATGACTAAAGAGCAAGTGGAGGATTTGACCAGAGCAGTACGTCAGAGTAACATCACTAGTCTGGGGTCGTATTATCATGTGAGTTTAGAAATGGTAATAATTCAACTCGGGAAGTAGTCAGGTCAGTTATGAATTTGGATCGTCCGATAGCGTGGGGCGTGACTAATATGAGATTACGAGCACGATAACCAGTAAATTGTACGACACGAAGTTCTCAGTTCAAACTGAATCGTGACAACTTGCTCTCTGAAATTTGATTGGCTAACATTAGTGGGTTGGTTAAATTTTTTTGGCTCGTAGTGTTGAGTACTCGTATCCACCCTTCATTACTGCCTTGGCAATCAGAAAGTAAGAAGTATTTTATGTCAACGCTGCGTTATTTTTTGTCATGAAGGACCACAAATAAAGATGAACATCTGTAGTGAAAAGATATCTTTTTTTTTTTCTGATAGGACCAGCAAGGAAATCCCAAGCCTGAGCACGAGTGGCCAGCAGACGAACTATGGAAAGGAAAATGGTGGTACAAATCAGAGGACGAAGTAGAAAATGGGACGGAGGGCGCATTTGAGCCTAAATCAGAGGAGAGGCTGAAGCCTGGGACAGAGGATGAGTGAGAGCCTGTGACATTAACAAGAATCATTACCTGCTGAAGGCAAATTGAATTTGTCGATTGATTCCCAATGCGCACGAAGTAATCACTAATATTATTATGGCCTTAGGAGAATCATTGTTACATATTGATTTTAGGTGATTTTCGCAGCAACTGAATTTTGTTATTTTTTGTTTTTTAAATTTTCTTCGCTACCTTTGCTCTAGTATCATAATGCTCTAGTATCATAATCACTTCTTTTTTTGGATGATTGTTTCAAGGTATAACGTAATCTCCCTATCAATAATCTCAGAAATCACCCGGGCAATTACACTGGTGAGTTTAGGTTGATGACTGTATCAGAACCCAGTGGAGGGAGGGCCAGGGGTATACTTAGTATAGTAGGGAAGAGAAGAGCCTTGATTTTTAATTTTCTTCAGGTTAAAGGTTGTTTGGTTTTGGAAATATTCGTCTCGCTACCAAATTGGTGACAGCTACACCGTGAAGATGAATTGATTTAGGAGGAACACCAATGTTTCCTTGTAAGTTCGCTGAGTTATTTTAGGTTTTTTTTCGGAAGTCGAAGTCGGTTTCAAATGTAAGTTGTTTTGGTCACCAACCTCGTTCTCAGGGATTTTCCCGTAAAGATTGTGACAGGGCCAATTTTCAAGAGGAAAGTTGTGGGAACGAGGCTTTTGGTCATGAGTCGTTGAGGTCGTAAAGACCGGTCTACCTGAACTGGAAACGAAGACATACATAATATAAGCATAAACCTAGGTTCATTTACCGGTGACTTTAAACGTCTAGATCTTTCTTAATAGTACAAAGCTTCTTTTATCTATGTCTTTTGATGGGTCGTAATTAAGTGTCATTCTTTCTCGTGGAAAACCTGTCTGTACATTGAGCGTATAAATGACCTGAGTAATGTGTACAATTGGCTGTCAGCTAACAAGCTTACCCAACATATGACAAAAACTAAGTTTACACTTATTGCATCAAGGCAGAGGTTATCATGGGAAGTCCCCTTCTCCTATAAACGAGAACGCAGTAGAAAAAATCACCTCCATTAAATCTCTTGGAGTTTATTTCGACCAAAATTTAAACAGGGAATGCCATATTAAAAATATCTGCCAGAACATAGCTTGTGCTATTGGTGCAATTAAACGAATTCGGCATCTCACTCCATTTAAAATTTTAATGAAAGTTTGTCGTAACCTTGTTCAACCACATTTTGACTATTGCAATGTGATGTGAGGAAACTGTAAAAAAGGCTTTTATGGCTTCAAAATCGCACAGCTCGCACCCTAATGATTAAGCTCAAGTAAATTTTTAGACACCTTGAAAAGCTGTGTTTATTTTTGAAATATTTTGATAATTTTTGGTGTAGTCAGGTAGGTAGGTAGGTAGATTGTCTGGTATCTAAATTGACTGATGGAAATACCGTGTATAAATAAAGTTATCGAATCGTATCCCTAAGGCTCTTTTGATATCCTTATGATTCCCCAACCCCTCCTTCATTGGCATTTAATTGGCTGTCAATTTTATATATTACCGGTACCCCCATCGTACTCTGTTGACGTCGACTAATTCCTCCTCTGTTCTCCCTGAAACCATGAAAACCGAAATCCTCCTCCCCACCCACTACTACTGAGTGAGTTTTGGGTTAGGTTCACTGACCAGTTAAGCTATCTGTCTAACTGAGTTCTTGTTGGTGTTGGTGGTAGTAGTGCTCGTCATTTTATTTTTTCAAATCTGTCATCGGTTTGGAATGGCAGTTTATGTAAAAAACGAGAACTAGAGAACTCTGCGGGAAACTCCTCTGGCCTTATCGAACAGTCCCAGATCGGTTCCTTTTTTAAGAGTTTCTTTTCTTGGCGGGGTGATTAAAAACCGTCTGAAAATCAATTCAATTTGCACTTTTAACTACCGATTCAGTGGTGTTTTAGCTTACAGCTTCCTCCATACGATGTATTCCCTCGTCCCTTTGCACGCATGTCTGTAGCCATATCCACACCCGCTATTCAAATGAGATACCGTAAACTACTTGCCTATAAGGCCCATTCCCCTGTTATGGGCCGATCTACTTGAAAACAAAAGAACGCATCCGATTATTAGCCTCCTCAGATATAAGCCCTCCCTATTCTACCCCATTTCTAACTTTTCTCGTTCTCAGAAATAGGAATTCGATTTATGACCCGTAAGGCTCCACGCGTGCAATCCCATAGCAAGCCATAATGACAGCTGGCTTTTGTAGGACCGGATGGGTTGACGTTAGCCGGACCAGAAAGAGCCGTCCGGCCCTGCACTCATACCCTAGCACACAACTTTACTGCGAAAACTTAAAGGAAAAAAAGGAAAGTGTAAAGAAAATGCATCTATTAATGGTTGTAAGTTTCTTGCTCGGACTAAAAAAAAAGGAAAAGGTTTCATTTTAGCATCTTTTTTTTGTGGTTGCCTGTGTGCGCCCGTCTTTCGTCCTATTCGGGTTGAAACGAAATTTTCAACACTTAGTGGTCATATGATAAAATGCTTATTGACTGAGTTCACTGGGCTCGGTCCGTACGTAATGACCTTGAGCTAAATATTTTCAATGACATACTATCGTGAAGTTTTGAGGCCTAATTAAAAACCAAAAAATATAAAACGTATTTTGATCAGCACTCCTACAGCGCGTTTTGAAGCGCTTTTAATATTCCAGATATAAGCCACTTAGTTTATAGGCTGTCTAAAACTCCTTACGAGGTTGAATGAGCCCAGGGCTTATAAGTGACAGTTTACGTTATCAGCCACGTTCTGGGGATTTTTGAGGAAACCTAATGTTAACCACGGGTTTTGAACTTCTCAGACTCGTTCAAATCTTCGTTTCTTCACTGTACTGTTCCTGTTTGTTTGTTCCTTCCTTTGATAGTTTTTGATATAACTCCTTACATAACTATACAGTCACTCTACGTCAAAACGGATTGCACTCGACATTTCCGTCCCTACGTTTTTCCCCAGATCATACGGTTTTCCATTCGAATGATAGGAGGAGGAAGCTAAAGAGGAGCTAGAAACCGTCGAACTGTCGAGAAAATTTGTTTAAAACAAGCCGGTGACCCACTTTGATTTGTGAAAAATGCTATGGTAAATAAATGTACGAAAAGAGAAGATATGTATTTTTATGTGGAATGGTTTTTATTGGTTTCTACCTCAAAGTTACTACAGATGATATGCATTTTGATACAACATACAACCTAAACACCATAATTAAGCGGGAGTCTAGACGAGTTCGTTTCTAAGTGATTCCTTGTCAATGTTCTATTTTCTTTCGATCATTATTGGGTTTCTTATGTCTGGGTTTATCATTCTCCTCCTCCTCCTCTTCTTCTTCTTCTTCTTCTTCTTCTTCTTCTTCCTCCTCACTTGGACTAGGGGGAGGGTAGCGAGCGGGGTAAGGGTATGGAGCGGGATAAGGCATGGGGTACGGAGAAGGATACGGGGAGGGATATGGCGATGGGTACGGAGAGGGATATGGTGATGGGTGCGGAGAGGGATATGGTGATGGATACGGGGAGGGGTAAGGAGAAGGATACGGGGAGGGATATGGTGATGGATACGGAGAGGGGTAGGGAGAAGGATACGGGGAGGGATATGGTGATGGATACGGAGATGGGTATCCCCCGCCGGGATATCCGACGGATGCGTCCTTTCTTCCTGTTAAGCGAATGACAAAAGAAATGTCGTTAAATCACCACTACTGCCATCAAGACTATAATTTGACATTCGAAAGGGAAAGGCGTTTGGACGCTCAACCGAGATTTTTCTGTTCAGCTTAGAAAAGTGGATGTAATATAGGGTGATTGTATTGAATAAGATTACGAAAAGACACCATGAATTGGTAACTTTTTCCAACAGGTCGGTCACGCCCCATTACATGTGGTGTCATTTTACCGTCACCAACACCTCACTGAGATGATGTAGTTTTTTATTTTCTTGAGAGTCCTTTTTCGGAATCGGTCGGAGTTACCCAGGAGTAAGGGCTGTTCTACAGTAGATACTTTGGGAACCAAATCTATTTTGATAAGGAGGCGAATGTGAACCTAGCTAGTATGTTTAACGTGCCAAATTTAAGGTCATGTAAAAGGGGCCTCTCCCAATTACAACTTTTTCAACATTATTGAAGTAAATTTAAATTCCTACCAGAACCTGAACCACTGCCACTTCCCCAATCTAACGAGCCTTCTTCTTCTCCAACGCCAGATTCGTGATAGTGAGATTCGTGTTCGTGAGTGTGGAGGGCATGATCTTTTGTTCCTTCCTCATTCGTCGGGGAAACATGTTTTCCTTCGGTTATTGTGACTAGGGCCACTAAGGCTGATAGGTAAATGGTAAATAAAAATGCCCCTCTCATGATGAAATCTGGACTTTAATTCTAGAAAAAGGAAAAACAATTTTTTTTAGCATTATTTATTTTTTTTTATCTTATTTGCGAAAACGTGACTGAAAAAATGATTGTCCTTCCATAACAATTGATTCAATTTTTTGTTCACTGTTACTACTACACTACTCTGAAATTAGTGTTAACTTTTCCCAACACAACTTGACGAAGCTGTCACGAAATTGGTACACAATAACATATTTTTGTCAGGTTCGTTTGCAATATTTACATTTGTGTCTCACCTCACTCGAGTTCCTTTTCCCTTTGTTCGTCACCCACGGATGTGACTCCAAGGTTTATTGCGTGTTAAATACTAGGTAAGTAATATGTAAATAATTTAGAAGACAATCTTTCCTAACAATAACGGGTTAAAACAACATTACAGAACCCGTATGTTTGAGTGATATCCTTTACTTATATTAGATCGTTCAGTAACGTCGCATTTGATGAACGCGCGGTACCAAAACCGTGTAAAGTTCAACTGAAACACGGGGTTCTAAATTCTTCAGCAGGTTGGTCGAAACAAGAGTCATCAGGCGAAACTTTTTTAAAAGTGGCACCAGGCGCCTAAAGGCATCACATGGTTTGTTTAGACTTCGTGTCTCACAGTTGACCTTTGCCATTAGTAATTGCAATCAGGGGATTACGAACCCAAGAACTTTTCAAAGCTTGTTAGGACTTCACGTCTCACAGTTCGCATTTTAGTGATTAATTTTCACATGGGAAGAATTTTTGAAGAGTGATTAAGAGGGAACTCGAGTAAACTGTGTGTGGGAAAGAGGTACAGCAACATTTAATCACGTTTTAAAAGGTTTATAATTACTGTTGCGCTCTCTTTTTACAGGTAAGTGAGACTTTTGACGCAATCCTTTAATGAAGTCACACTTAAGTTCCTTAAGCCTAAAAGTTACTAGACCCGATTACAAGCGCCTGTTCGGGGAATGAGCCCGCTCTCTTCCTCTTTTTAGAAAAGATCAAAGACTGGACCCCAGATAACTTCGGAAATCGGGTTTAAAGGTAAATGTGAGGATTTACTTGTATATTAGAAGAATACCAAGATATAAATAAACTCGTGTTCACGGGATACCACTGTTAAGAAAAGAATCTGTTCGGGGAGGGGGGTTGGGAAGGAAAAGCTAGGCGATGTTTTTTGGGGGTTGCTCCGTCTTAAGGCCCACCTCTTCACTTTTAAATGACGCTTTTGGATTAGACAGCACAGATCAGTTAAAAAAGGAAATGGTATCCTCTTTTTATCCCTACAGCTTAACAATGCATCTCTGAAACGTCTGCCAAAGAGAAAAGATGCATTTTGGATAAAATATTAAAATACTCATTTCCTTTTACAGCGGCAACTGTTTAACTCATCCTAGATATAGGAGGAAGATTTGGACTTGCCTGACCTTTTCTATGCCTCCTGTGTGTGTGGAGGCACGTACAGCACAACTTCATAGTGACATTTATGCACTAGACTCCAGTGGACAGCGTTCGTTGGTTGAAAGGTGACTTATCCATCGTCACAATTTGTCGTAAGTTTGTCGCATACGGTCGACTTAAATCCTGAAAACCCAACCATGTTATCTACCTCTAGACAGAAAACTTATTGGGGCTGGAGGAGTTAAAATTATGCCCCCCTTTAGACGTCGTCCATTCTAATTCTTTGGCCCTATTAATTAAATTTTACCAATTCCAAGGAAAGGTGGGAGTGTGGGAAAATGTTGGAAAGAGTGAGGGACAAAATTAAGAATGCAATTCACAATCAACATTTGAAAACGTAGACAAGCTTCAACGCAATTTGCAAACATGTTAGACTACATTTTAAAAATGCCTTTAGAGAATGAGGAAGTTAACGTAAAACCGGGAATTAACTTCACAAAGAAACTTTTGGAAGCGTTTCAAAACACGATGCGAGTGATAGTTTTCAGCGGGTAGGAAATTGGCGCCTCTAAAACTTTAAGACTAACACCTGACTCCTTTTTAAGCAATAGAATGCGCTTCCTAAAGGTTTATCCGGCGTAATAACCGACGCGAGGTGCATGATGGGAGACTTTTCTCGTGTTCTCCCAACATCCCCCAGGGGTGATCACGCCGGTAAACTGATAGAGAGTGCAGTCGATTGCTTTTATAAAATAATTTTCTATTGGTTTACTGGTGCAATGAACGAAAAGTTTTTAACCAATGAGAACGCTCGTAGTATCTCAGTTATCTCTGAGTGAAAAGCACTTCACAAGAAATACGTTTTGAGACATAAAACTACATCACATTTATTATCTTTAATAATTCTGAAACGTAATTGAAATCCCCTTCTTATCGCTCTCTTTAGCTGTGATGTACTCTCTTATAAGGTGACTTTTACAATTCTTAAAGTCCTTTTTTCTAAGTAGTGCAGGTTAAATAATAAGATCATTTGATCTTTTCGTGCATAAAATATTAGAAGTGAGTATTGCTTCACATATATTTGCTGAAAAATTCCACCATTACACTTTCTCCAGTGCGTGTTCGAGATCCTTCTTCAAGTCTTCCGCATTCTCCAAACCAACACTGCAGAAAACGTCATCAAACGTCGTTACAAATTGTCACAAAATAGATACAAAGTTTACCTATTCCTATCGTCCATAACCCCCGATACCTTACAAGAATTCAAGTGCAAAACCCCCCCAGGTCCGATTGAAAGGTTCAGACCCTATTCATCTCCACTAACCACGGTCCCGTAAGTAGCTTCTTGTACGCACCTGAATCGAATAAGCGATTCCTTCAATCCAGTCTCCTTCCTTTCTTCCACTGACACGTACTTTTCAGGGTGCGTCATGGCGGTCGCTATCTCTATCAGACTCTGAACTCCACCAAGAGACACTGCCAGCTTAACCAGCTTCAAATTCTGTCGACAAAATGTAAAGTTAGTTTGCCACTTCGAGGGAGATGAAAGAGACCCCAGGGCGTGAAATTAATTTTTTTTTTTCTGAAAGCCACTTGGCTCCTAAATTCTTCAAAGTGGTAGCCAATTCAAAAGAAGTTGGTCGCCATTTTCAAAGACAAACAAAACCTTTTTTTACGCAGTCAGCGTTCTAGATAGACCCTCCAAAATTAAGTTAGGGAAAAGATCTTTAACGTGCTTTATCTTTAAAGTGGACACTAGGATGGATGATATGCAACGTTCAAGCTCACCTAAATCCAGGATGGCGTCTAGTCTTCGATCGAGATGCATGTGCTGCGTTTTGGAACCAAACTTAACGAGGAAGTTTGCCGCGGATTTATCTTTACAAATCATTTCAATTCTCCATATCTCTTAGTAAGGTTATTATGAAACATTCTAGTCGCCAATTTGGCGACTAATTTTCAGGATTTCGTCGCCAAAGTGAAAAATTTAGTCGCATTGGCGCCTGTATTAGGCGCAATTTCACGCCCTGGACTCTATAAGAGAATGGCTCACTCAACTAGCGGAGAGACTCGGAGTATTGCTACTCCACCTGGATGAAATGCCAGGACATTCCAAGTTACCCTTTCCCCCAGAATTTTGTCATGTTTCCCGACATCTTACTGTTACTCATTCATACCCCTGGGAGAGAGAGGCACTATGAAGAACACAACACAACGAACAAGAGGGAGCCTTCAGTAACCTGATATGCAGGTCCCCTTCATTGGATGTTATTCTGGCCTCCTAATCTTGTAAACCAAGCAAATCCACTAAGTTCTATTTGTCTCCACACCCTGGACGATTATCCACCTAAACGTCTCTTCGATCGTCATGGGGTCCTCTAGTGGACCTTTCCATGGATTATCGGCGTATGCGCAGTCACCTGAACTGGTTAAACTGCGTAAACAACGCCTAACCAGTCCTTATGAGGACATTTCAAAGTTTTCGGCGTGCACCTTGTTTGAGCGCTTTTACCGTTTGCATTTGCCATTTTTATCCTGTAGGTAAGGCGGGGTTCGAGTTCCCGGCGATACAGCTCCCTTACCGTTGAAGTTTTTAACCTCTTTTTATCTTCTTTAGTAATGCAAGGTGGAAATGGCAGCACGTCCATCAAACCGCCTAGATACAAAAAAGAACAATAGAACCCTCCTTTTTCAACAGTGTCGTACGTTTCACTGACAGCTTTTGGACGCGAAAATCAAAATCAAAACAAAACAAAACCCGGAACATGATTTTTAATGAAATAGATTTCATTTGACCTGTGGATGAAAATCAAGTAAAGCTATGATCCTAGCAAGTGAACTGCAATTTAAGCAAACGCAAAAAAGAAGCCTGAAAAAAAAATCAGGCTTCAACGGGATTCGAACCCGTGCCTCCAAGTGAGTTACGCTGCTACACGTTTGAAGCAGAACACAATTTAGAGTTTTGTAAGGAGCGTCACTCGCAAATCCTATAAACTCTTAAGCCAGAATAATGAAGAGGAATAAAACACGAAAAAACAGAATTTCAAAGCAAAACTGTCTTGTGATTAGTTGCATCGGTGTAAAGACATTATCAAAGATGATTTTCTAATCCACTCCATAATGAAGTCAGCTGTATTATTCTGTCAATCAAGCACATCACAAAGATTCAACTTTAACAACTTAGATTCCTGCTCTGAAAAATTGAGAGTGAAGTGATCACTTTTAGTATAGACCCTATGTCTGAGCGAATGAAGTATTTTTTTTTTCCTTTTTTTTAACCAAATAAAACGCAAAAATTACTGAGAAACCAAAAGAAGTTCCTCAAAGTTTTTTTGACGATAGATTCAAAGCTTCCTTCTCTTACCTCAACAAGTCTTGTTGCTTCTGCTCGCCCACCTTTCACTTCAAAGGACAACATCCCACTGAAGCCTGTCATTTGTTTCTTCGCAATTTCATGATGAGGATGGGAAGGCAATCCTGGGTAGTACACTCTTTCAATCTAAATATCAAAAAAAAAAAAAAAAAAAAAAAAAAGAAAATTTCAAGACCTGTTCGTTTAAAACGATTAACCTTATCTCCTTAAATTTTAACGAAAAAATTGCCAGACCGTCGTATTTCTTGCCGATGTTTGTCATATTTCGACTCCAATTTGACGCCTTGATTGACAAAAGTTAATTTCTTTGAGGGTAACTGAACAAAGAAATCGGAGAGAGTTTTGTAGAGATTCTTGTGAGATTTAGTCAAGATAAACTTCCGAGACATTTTCACACGCTTAAATTGAAAGAAATATGTAGGAAGCGAAATCACATCGATAGTTTGGCGATGGAGCAAAACGAGCGAGTCTCAGTTCAACCGTTACGACATTTGACTGAAATTTATTCATAACTTTACGACATTTGTTAGGGTGAAACATTTTATCCTAAAACGTTACCAAGATCCCCCAGATACTTCCCCAGCTTCCGTATTCGTAACCCTTACGATATTTGACTGAAATTTTTACAAGACTTTTTAAGGTCTGAGCGGTTTTTGCGAAGAAGAGAAGTCTCGTTTAGTTGGGAGGGATAAAATTCACCCTCTTACTATGAACAGGCTTAGTTCTTTCACTGTGTATGCTAGGAGGTATAACTTAAATCCAGTCAATCAAATTTTTCGGTTTTATGGGCGCTTGACAATAATAAAGGCGGTGGAGCCAATTCGGGAATTTTAGGTACCTGTCTTTTTCAGGAAGGCCTTGAGGGTGACAAAATGATATTTGATTAGAAGGCCTGAGGCTTAATTATCAGCTATGGTAAGTAAACAGTATCCTAAAACGTCATTAATGTCACCCTTCTTTTCATTACATGGACAAGTTTCCACAGATGCTTCCCCAGCTCCCGTTTAAAAAAAGTACAGTTAATTGAGCTTTGTACCTTTGGATGACCTTCCAAAAACTTGGCGACTTCCATGGCATTTTGATTATGCCTCTCCATTCGCACATGAAGGGTTTTCAGTCCACGATGTAAGAGGAAGGCATCGAAAGGCGACTACAAAACAAAGATGTGGACTTGGAAGTGAATAAAATGAGTTATGACAAGAGTTACATCAAAAAATGAGTCAACTGAAGATAATCATTTACTTAATATTGAGGCCCAAGTAATTTAAAAGCTAATCTATTAAAAAATCGAGCAGTTTATTATTTATTTATTAATTGAATAATTGATTGATCTCAAATGATTCATCAAACAATAAATTGATTAGTTAGCTAATTGAGTGGTGTGTGGTTGGCCTCCTTGATTGATTTATTAATGTTTTGATTGGTTAATTGATTGATTAATTGATTGATTGATAGATACACAGATTGATTGATTGGTTTATTGTTCAAATGATTGATTCATTGATTGATTGAATTCTGGTGAACATCTAAATCTTATAAGTATGAGATATCCCTGAGAAAGACACGTCATTCCAACAATTCTATTAAAAAGATCTCTCCATATTACTTTAAAATCTTATTAGAGATAAGCTTGAAAACCAGCAGTATCATTTGCAATTTGCAATGTTTTTTTCTTTGCTCACTTTTTAAGAAAATTAATATAGTATAATTGTTATGGGAAATTGCCAGAAAATGGAATGAAGAAGTGCAATGGGTAAAGTATAGAATTGGCACTATAATGAGTGAGCACCTTACCATACATCCTCCAAAAAATTTCTGCAATTCATAGCATTTGTGGTGCAATTCCTGTGATGACAGTGTAAGGGAACCAGCTGTGATGTCACTGTGGCCTCCCAAGTATTTTGTGCTTAGCAGAAATAAAGCCAAAAGAAATAAATATTGGATAAGTATTATTTACACAGTGCTTTCATTAAGTGGCATAAAACCCAAAACCAAAGGACATCACCATGGCCAGTCAGAATAAAAGATAAAAAAAAAAATTAAGGAAACAGATGAAATCAAAGTAAAGACATGATGTAGATGTGAGTGACTAAATGGCATTTGGGCCAACAGGTAGGAAAAGTTGTCAGACTTTTTTTCCGAGCAATATCTTTATTCATTATGATCTCAGACAGCAGCATTAAGATGAGTATAAGAGGTCACCCCTCTGTGCAATGTTAACAGAAAAAAAAATTATTGTGTTGCAGACAAAACATGACTATTGTATGGTGTCAGGAGTGGTGCTTCAAGTGTGAACCTGAAGTAGCCCTTGCCAAGCTGCATTTTCAAGAAAAACTGCAGTGTTATCCTTACCATTAGACATAAAAAATGCCTCTTCCGCAAATAGGCAGGAGATAAGCACACAATATGAAAAGGTGCATTCAGGAACATGATAGAAAATTAAATATGCACTATGCAAAATTTAAGTTTGAGCCAAGAATTATGACCTACTATAAAGAAAAAAAAGGGCTAAATATCTCTTCTAAAAATTTCATGGGGAGGAGGGGTGGTTGATTGACTCCGCATTCTTTTTTATCACGGGGCAGAAGGGAATTTTGACAAGTCCAAAAGGGGTGCTAATTGAGAGAACATGGTATTATTACTTTACCAGCTGTGAATGACAACATCAATTCCTTGTTGAATAGGTTTTTGATTAAATGATGAAGCAAAGGTACTGTCACACATGGTAATGATACCAAGTTCTTTGCCAAGTTTTCCAAACTCCTCCAGGTCTGTCAGGGTCATTGTCGGATTGCATGGTGTTTCACAGTACAAAACCTATTTACAAAAAAGAATACACAGCAGTTGACAATTAGATTTTAGGGACAGTAAGTCAGTCACCCACAAACAAACTGGAGGCCTTCAGCAATGTTAGCTGGTAAAATGTCTGCATATGGTCTTGCACTGATAATGAGGTGCCAGATCCCTTTTGCAGACCTCAATCTTTTTGCTGGCTTGCTCTGCTCAAGGGCTTTAACTTATTTGCAGGCAAAGAAACCCTAATATGTGAAGCAGTTTTAATAATGAGGACGTGCTCCCTGGCTACAGAGATAGGTAACAAAGCAAGATTAGTTAATGCACAAGGGTGGATTGAAAAGCACTGATTTCTCAGAAATGCAAAGCTCTGGAAAACTGATCAGATCTGGAGATACCATTCAATGGAAAATTCAGTGAACTATCAATGGGTGCCAAAAATTTGTTAGTATCTGTGAGACTCCAGAATAGCCAGAGGTGTGGTGGGGGTGAGGGGTTTGCATCATGGGATCAACTTCTCTGTACCTCTTCCCTTTTACATTTCTGATAAGCTGGTTTGTCATTTGTCAGTAGAAAAAATATTAAAGTTTGTCTCCTTTTACAGGTACAGGTAAAGCTGGATGAATGACTTTAAAATTTAATTTTGACTTAAATCCACACCTTGGTGTTTGGTTTCACAGCTTTGCGATAACTGGAAACATCAAAGCCATCCACCAGAGTGCACTCTACTCCAAATCGTGGAAGATGATTTCGAAACAGGGCTAAAGTTCCACTGTACACCATTCTGGGACCCACCTTAAACAAACACAGAGCAGTCAGCTTCTTCAGTTATAGCACTGTCTCAATAATCAGTGACATTACAAGAGAGAAATATGAAGTAAAACTAAACTTTGACACTGGGATTATCAACAAAACAAAAGCTTTTGCAAATCAATTAGGTAATATAAGTAGTTTCTTTGAGAAAAAGGATCAGAGTTGGACAATGAACAACAAGAGCCCTGACTTTAACCCTTGGACTTGTAGTAGTGTTCAGTGAGTGCGGCTAAACACTTTAATTCCCAGAAGTTATTAACACATATCCTCTCCCAATAATATACATATGTTATCTAACAAACAGGTATTGAGAGTACTCAAGCCTATCAGGTAGAAGTTTTAATCTAGATATAACACCAAATTCTTGTAACTAATCCACAAAGAAATGTGTAACAGTTAGAGAGGAGAATTAATTATATCACATCTTGGGAGTGAAGGGTTAATTCTTTTAACATTATTGAAATGCTATAGTGAAGACAGGTGATGAGATTTAACTAAGAAACATGGCAACTACTATAGATTGTTTGAAGAAAAATCAAACAAATGAAAAGTCATTAGTTGGCAGAAACATGGCAATACTAACCACATGATCTCCAGAACTTAGGGTAGCAAACAGAACATTTGTAATAGCAGCCATTCCTGAGGAGAACAACAATGTACCCTGTCCACCCTCTAAATTGTTGAGTGTTTGAGCTGCAGCATCAACAGTGGGGTTTATCCAACGTGAATACAACCAGCCACTCTGAAAAGAACATTTCAATTCTTACAATGAGTAAAATACCACAGCAGCATAGAATAGGGAAAGGAGGAGGGGGTGTACATAATTGTAGGAAGTAACAATGAGGAAAAAATATCAGAAAAAGTAAGTTATCTGCTGGATAACTCTCAGATTGCAGAACTTTTATACAAGGTAACATCTCTTAAATAAATTGATTCATCATAAGAAAAGAGTGAAAAGTCAACCGAGCAATGTTTTGGGTGGTTTTCTCTGCACACTAGTTTTTTCTCCGAATAATTTTTTTGGCCATTATTTCCTATTGTAATTTGTCCATTCCCGAATGCCTTTTCTACCTGTGCAAGTTCCACTCTCTAAGCCAACTATAACAACCTTACAGACAACATAAAAAATTGGATAAATAAGGAAGTAGAGTAACCAACAACAACTTCATTATTTCTGCATGAAAATTGATGAAAATGAAAAAAAATTGGATAAACTGATGTAGTTTTTGTCTGTTATGATACCTGTGGGTTGAAAATAAAAGGTCTATCCAAAAAAAATTGTCACCAAACCTTCCCCCCTTACACACAGCCCCTACAACATTATCTTACCCATTGTTACCAACAATATATTATTAAAGGCACATTTTAAAAAACCCTAAGAGCATTCACTTTCTATCTGGAATACTTCTCCTTGAATGAGAATCAACTGGACAGTTTTCAAAAAAATCACATACCCAAAAATTGAAATGAAGAGGAACATAAAACTAGTGGACCTTGGCCTTATTCCTTTGTTTAAAAGTCTTTTTGGGTCAGTTTAGTATTTGCTTTTCTTTGTAAAGCATCCAATAATCAAATTCTAGAAAAAAAATTAATTATACTGAATTTTCTCTTAAGGCTTTCAGGCGTGAGATTAGATTTTGCACCAATCTTGGGTAGTCTTACCCAGCTTTAAATAACCGGGCCAAAGATATTAAATTTGTAATAGAAAGGGAACCAAATTATGATTTTGCAATGTCTAGTTAGTCAAAATTCTGAGGTTGTTGGGGGAATGATTACTTTGAATTGAATTACATCACGAGTGATCCACAAGTTTAAGTCGACCTTCATGCAAGAGACAAGTTCCACCTTTAACTCAAAATTTTAAATCACAAGTGAAATAGTGTATTACCGATTGAAATTTTCCAGACATGCAAGAGAAATTATTATCAAGCATACGTCCGAAGGTCTCTCGGAGTTCTTCAGCTTTTCCTTCATTTTTTCCTTTATGTCACAGAAAAATTTGCTGAGTCTTGTGTGTTGGGACGATATCGCCACTCTAACTATCAATATATTGTAATGTGATCGTGATTATTCATGTCCTTAAGCATATGATTATTCGACACGTGTAGTGATTACATTAGGACGGCAGAAACTGATCAACGGCCCTGTGGCGCCTGAATCAGCCATCTAAGACTTCAATTGCCCTTTATATTAAATGTCGAGAATATCGCATACGTCCGAAGGTCTCTCGGAGTTCTTCAGCTTTTCCTTCATTTTCCCCTCATGTCACCGAAAAATTTGCTGAGTCTTGCGTGTTAGGAAGATATCGCCACTCTAAATATCAATATATTGCAAAGTAATCATGATTATTCATGTCCTTTGAATGTGATTATTCGACACGTGTAGTGATTACATTAGGACGGCAGAAACTCTCTTTTAACGGTCTTTTAGCGCCTGAATCAGCCCTCTATACATCGATTGCCCTTTATATAAATGACACTGCGTAACCATTGTTAAGAATATCGCTTACTTTCCTAAGAAATGGCATACTTATGACTGCAGAAGGAATAAGTTTTAATTTATGCGTAAAACAATATGGCTGCGCCGCGCGATTTTTTTTTCTTTATCTTAGCCTAACACAAACACACGAATAGATCCTTGCGAAGATAAGACAGCAAGGAATTCTTGGAATTAACATACTTTCAACAGATCTGCTGAAAATTGTGCGTGGCGCTCAAAGCCGCGCATCACAGTAGAGAAACTCGCCGTAGCAACGCAATTTGATCAGCTGATTTTCCGAGTTATTTGGCGCGTTTAAGTGAAAAACTAAAAATTGGAACAAGGACAAAATTTAAAACAGAAATTTACTTTAAAAATTTTATTCCTACTAGAACTTTCTCCATTGGGCGGAGTGATCACCCAACCTGATCGTGACGGAAATGAAAAATTTAGAAGAACCAAAAAGTTTCGATAGTACACAATCCCATGTTTCCGAGTTTACCATGTCAACTTGTACTGATAAAAGTATATATACTTCTAAACGATGTTGTGCGCTTAACAGGTGGAAAGACTCTGTCAAATTTAGAACTCTCACCTTTCCCAATGCAAGTTCTTCTGCGTGATCTACGGAAGAAGTCTTGAAAGTAGAAGACGCAAAAATTGGAACATTAATTGGATCAGGTTCCTCTGGTTTCTTCCAATTACTTCCTACCGCCAAAGACTCGAAGCTTTCAAGGAGCGAGTTTTCATTTGCCATGTTTCTTTTGATCTACGTGGTGGCTTACAGTGTCAGAAGTCAGATATGCACCCGAACAAGACCCGTACTACACTTGCGTTAATGAATTCACATGATCCATTGTATGTTAAAAAGGAGTAAAGCATGCACATTGGTGATGTAAGAGGTTTACACACGAGCCTCGCCTCAGCGCAAGAACGTGATAATTAGAAATCGCGGACCAATCAGATGGTTCAAACAATTAACGACTACCTTAATTTAAGCAAGAAAAATTAAGCGACAAACAGCTGAGTACTCATTCTGAATTGATAGGAGAATTTGGGATTTGATCAAAGGTTTGAAAATCCCTAACATTGTTGTGAGCACATGCACCGCTTATAATTAAGGTAATTTACTTATTATACTTGAGTTGATAACGTAAAATTGGCCACCGTTAAGAGTCTCGAGCGCTAGCCCTTCGTCTTTCGCTCCGACGAAGGGCTAACGCTTGAAAGTCAGCTTTGAAACTCTCAACAGTGATTAATTCACGATATCAACTCAGTTGATAATACCAAATTACCTTGTCATACTCTCTCACCGACGCGATTTAGACGGAAGTGAATATTGAGGTCTCAATCATCAGATTGTCTGTGGTTGGTCAAGAAGAATCACGAAAGTGAATCGGTCCCGGCTGAGGAATAATTATGCTTCTTGCTGTCCAATAGATCTGCGAAATATTGTCGACACCCTTAACCGTTCTCATACCCACACATCGCGCAAGGAGGATGCAACAGTATAACAAACTGAACGTTTCGAAGAGATGTGAATTAGTTATTTTCCATGACCTATTCAACAATAAAAAAAATTGAAAATAAACATGCATGACCTATTCAACAATAAAAAAATTGAAAATAAACATGCATATATAATGACGAGCATCATCCTCTTGGGGCTCAAAAGGTTAGATGAGCTCGGCTCTTGGAGGGCTATCAGGTTCTCGGAACAGTTTATGTCTTTTGACAAAGAACAGAAACAAAGAGGGGCTATTTTTCTTTACAACAACTAGTATTCGGCGATGATACTGAAAAAATTACTTCAAAAATAACCCCCACATGGGTTTTGAAGGCCAAGTCACTGTTTGAAATGGAAAGGTTTGAGCACCAACGCGAAAGAACGCTTCTATTCTCGCAGCTGCCTTAAGGTTCTCCCTTCATTTTCAAGAAATCATATGATCTATTCATGATGACAACAAAACAACACCATTAGAAAAACAGGAAGCACAAATTTTAATTAAATAAACTCAATAATAAAGTCATACGGATGATAGGATATACCTTTTTAAAATTATTTTTCGTATGAAAATCTGTCTCGTTATGTCTATCAATTTACAGTAAAACTACTCTTCTGTTTGTAGTTATGCATAAAAAGGTTTCTTCATTCATTTAAGAATCTTTCTTATGAAATATGTGACTTTTGTTGGTCCACATCCAGCTAAGAGCACTGTAATCGGCCCTAAACCAGCTGTTGAGAGAAGTGGACAGAAAACCTGGAGTTTGTTTTGCCAACATCTTTATCCTGGGGCCTCCTTGCGCAAGCCTGATCACTGGGCCATGCTTGTTCATGTAGAAAATTTAATTATGTGTAACAAGGTTTAGCCTGTGACACACTCTTTATAATTGAGGAAAATTAAAAAAAAAAAAAAAAAAAAGTACAGAAAGAATTGTTGCAGTGTTAGGAGTTACCCCCAACTTCTACTTCACTATTACACTTGTCTCCACTGACCAACAGCCAGAATAGGATAATCAAGGTGAAATTAAAGCCTTCTTAAAGTACTCATGTCAAAAATTACAACTTGATCGACAAGAAGAAAAGTAAATCATCAATAGGGCCACCAGCCACACTGAAACAGCGCTGGAGTAATCATGTGGAAATTTTCTCGCCCCACTTCAGAGATCATCATGAGAAAAATGATGGGCTGACCCACCAAATCAAACCAAATTTTTGCTATGAACAGAATTGTGAGGTGGAGTCATGTGAGCAAAGCCAGCCCACTTGAATGGGCCAATATTGAGAGGCCCCTAGATACTCCTATGATTCTCAGAACACAGATTATGGTTTCATTTAAGGTTGCTAGAGGTGACTGCTATGAATCCTCTACATCCCAATCCAGAAGCAACTGTGTTGCTGGCATGAACATATCTGTTCAGTTATGAAGTAACTGGCTTCCTGGCATAGAAAACTCCCCATGTATGTTCACCACCTCTACATCTAGTTAGTTTGTTCGTCCAGCTATTCACTAAAGAGCTGTAGTCTTCACTTGAGAAGTCCTGGATGGAAAGCATAAGCAAAGTTATAAGATGCACATAAAATAAATAAATAAATAACATAAAATTCAAAGTGTAGTATTGATGGAGAGGTTGAGGAGAAAGACAAACAGGGCAAAGGTTTTAATAACTTTTTCCATAGCAGCTGCTAATGGTGTTATGGTCTGCCATGCCTGAAAAGGTGCCGCATGATGAAACATGAACACAAAGAGCCTACTCCCAGGCTAAAAAGATTGTGGTAAGAGGTCTGCTAAGTGAGGGATGACCACTGGTAACCAGCTGCTATTGAAACCCCTAGACTACGAGGGTAGAGTTTCATGTCCTGCTGTATTTTTTTTTAAAATAAATTTTGCAATACCTCCTTCAAAATACCAGCTCCTTCTTTTCTCAATATTTTAACATTGAACAAACTAAGATTTTTGTAGGAAAAAAAAACAAAGTAGCGATTAAATTACCTTGATGAACTCCTCCTTTGACTTTTCAAAATTTTTCAGTTCACTCTCGAGAATCTGTGTAAACTGTGTTGTTCTGTCTTCAGCTGTGACTGCCTCAAATCCAACTTCACGTAACATCTGTGCAAAGATTCAAACAGAATATCAAGTTTTGAAAAAGATGAATTAATTTCTCGCAGCCATACCAATAGAAACTTAAATCTAGTATACCAAAATTGGGGTTGAAGAGCGAAAAGTTCTGTGCCAAAGTATATTGCCTTTTTTTTTCATATATCTAACTTATTCTGAGTTTGAGAGGCCAGGTTATTTTACGTCTCCAGTGCCAGCAGTGAATGGATTAAAGCATATGTAAGAGGTTCTCATTTATTGCAACTCCCCTGCTATTTTGTTCATCTGTTCTTTTGCTGACTAAGAACCAGACTTTGGCTACACTAAACCTGAACACACTCACCTTTCCATAGCTTTCAACATCAATTAAGTGGTACTGGCGTTCTGCCAGGTACTTTTTGAATAGCTCTGAGTGTTCACCACGACTACAACAGTAATCTGTGATCAATAACTGTCCACCAGGCTTGAGCCAACTCTGTTGTGAAATAAAACAATCATTTTGTGTCTTTGTGAATGAAAGACTTGAAAAAAGGTGCATGTGATGTTTCCTGTAGTTACAGTCATTACAATTTCCCATGAATTGTGTGGCTTGCATCAGGCATGCATTTTGTGCATTTTCATTTTGTGTCTTTGTGAATGAATGACTTGAAAAAAGGTGCATGTGATGTTTCCTGTAGTTACAGTCAGTACAATTTCCCATCAATTTTGTGGCTTGCATCAGGCGTGCAGTCGGTAAATGGGTTACAATATCTTCTCTGTCCACCTGTTACATTCTGTTTACTAACTGAATAGCTGAAACAAGCTATCAAAAAATTCATAATTGACATCCAACCCTCAATTTTTATCTTAGCAGCACCAGCAAATCATTTAACAAACAGATGATGAGAATAGGAACTTATCAGCTGGAGGATGTCTCATTAATATGAAATCATTTTCATCTACATTCAGTTGTTTAAAATGCATGACAAAAAAGAAAGGAGAATTATTAACCAGATCTTTAGAGGTAAATGCTGAAATGATGTCCAAATTAATGGTTGGGTTGCTTACCTAAAAAAAGTTAAGTCTATTTATTTTCAGTCTGATGCAAAAGGTCACTGAGCTATAGACATCCCAAATATATTATGCAATGTTATTGATTCCTTGTAACTAACATTACGGTTAGATTTTTACAAATATCCTATTACAATAACACATATACATGTATGTTTACCACACTACCCAGTAATACAAAAGACTAATGTAAGAAATATAATTGATGTTTCCCTTAACAGAATAAAGGACTACAAGCAATAAGCCAAGTATGTCTCACCAGAATCTTCTTGAGAAGGGCTTTTTTGTCCTTTATATGAAGAATGGTCTCTCTGCTGTATACTGCATCAAATCTTTCAGCAGGGAACTCTCTTGTTGAGGCATCACTTACTTCAAATTGGACCTTTTTAATACAGCAAATGAATATTATTCTTTGACCAAGTTACACAAAAGATTTCAAGATTGGCAGAAAAAAAATCATTGCTTCTCTTCACACACCTGGCTACTTTTAGAACTTTCATATGCTTTAAGAGCAAAGTTGATCATGTTTGTGGACAGGTCCATACCAAGGACATGAGCGTGGTATGTCTGAAACAAAACAATTTCATGATATAGGACAGTTGTGACTCAGATGTGCATGGCAATTCCCTTAATTTAGTGTACAACAAACTGTTACAAAAAGAATGACTGATCAGAAATCCTTCAGTTGGTACTCACATTAGCAATGTAGAAGGCACTTCCACCTATGCCACACCCCAAATCTAGGATGTGCTGATCTTTCTGAAGATTCAGTCGACCAACAAATTCCTTGAAACACAAAATGAGATAAAGAAGAAAGATTTGTCAAGGTTTTGAACACAGCTACAAGAAGCTACTACCCTGTAAAATGAAGATATAACCTCAGTTTTCAATACATGTCATCACACCTTCATTGTTGTCATCCCTCCAGGACTCACAAAGCCTTTTCCAAACACTCTTTCATACATGAGGATCCCTGCCTTGTTATACTGATTGTTGTCAAGAAATTCCTGCATGTTTCCTTTGCTTCCATTTTTTAACATCACCTTTTTCCACAACCAGGAAAACTGGTGCTTGTTTTGTTTGTGCTGCAAAATATATTACACTACATCAGGAGCAGGCCTGAACAGGATTATAATTCTGCATTCTTGAGAATGAAAGTTGACTATCTCTATGCCGTTGTCCAACAAGAATTGGAAATAGGTACTGGTAAATTGTTGAGAAAATCTTAAAAATGCTACATGCAACCATTCTTCATCAAATAAAGGGATAGCAGATTTGATATTAACCATTTCTTGCCACAGAAATTTTTTAAAACAATTTTTAAAATTTTTTATTTAGCTTTGTGCAATTATCTCGGGCAGGGAGACCACTACAGCTTCAGCCAATTACAGTGGATCCCGCATTAACGATGACAAGGCCAGACCCCCTCCCACATTCCCAGTAAACAGGCCAGACCACATCACAGTAATCTCATGAGTGGGTTCTTTAATGTTCCCTGCCTAACCAAATTGACTAATTAATAGAAGCAGGAGACAGGACCTACAGTTTATTCGTCCTTATCCAAGAAGACTAGAATGTCTATCCATTTCTCGACATTATAGAAAGGTAGCACATTCTCCTCAGTTATTTTACGACCTTGAGTGTTGGTCTGGCTGGGGCAAACTGGTGTAATTCAGGGTTTACATAGACAAATGAGGTAGCAAGAGAGTAGTATAAAAACAGAAAAACACTCTGCAGGTTTGAAATTGAAACAGCTGAGGCCATTGAATTTTACCAGAAAATTCTGCCATGTGGGTGGAAAATTCTTTAATTTCTGATTTTAACTGAATTCCCTGATATCTATTGCAAGTTTTAGTGTGTTGGTAAGTTTTAGTGTGTTAACCTCACTATGGAATTGAGGGAGAAGTGACTTCCAAATTGTACACCCTCCATTACTTGGGTAGAACTGACTGTTTGACAAATAAATGGTGTCAAAGAACGACATTTCGTATGTACCCTTTCATAACATATTTACTGACTGGGGTTACCTTTGCATATGCCTCCACTGAACGCTTGGTCACCACTTCCAGGGAAGAGGAATTACCATTAGGAAGTTTCACTTTGACAGCAGAAAAGACTTCTGTGTACATTTGAGGAGTCCTGTACACTGTGGGATTTTCTGAGTTTTTCATGTCCCCTGAGGAATGATAGCAAGACTCCCGGAAAAAAAGGTGGCCACCATCTCGTAGCCACAGAAGCATGTTCATAGCCAACTTCTCAAGTTCTTCATCAGAAAGGTACATCAAAAGCCAGTTGGAGAAAATCACATCATAGCTGAGATAGAAAGAGGGATAACATGAAGGTTAGTTGGGTTATTTAGAATCTCTTTTCTCTATCTTATTATATCTCAGTCAATACAGGTGCTATGATTGGTCAGTTCAGCAGGCCATATTTCACTGAAGTCGTCCCTCCCCCTCTATTTACACCCAGAGATATACCAAGTATCTTATTAACCTCCTTTTCCGTCTGTACTGTAAGTTACAGAACCTTGTTTTGTCTGCTGACAAATCTTGGTCTGTAACTTTCAGTATAGACCTCAAACTTGTGAAGTAGATGTATACATGCAATTAATATGTAAATATCTAACAACACTGTTTTGTCTGCAAGCGCAATAAAAAGATATATACAGAGCTCATATTCAACCCTGTTCCTTAGAATACCCTACTGTATTTAACCAGTCACAGAAAAAAAAAAACTTCTGTTTTCTTAAGAGTGACCAGCATGTAGTTTCTCTTAATTGTATCACTCCTGAATCAAACATTGGGGTCACAAGAATAAAGGAAATGATCACCACTGAGAGAATCTCTTGATGGTTAAAAAATTCTCCTTCTTGGCACTTTAAGAAATGTATAGAGAACAGTATGGAGAATATGCATTCTGACATTAAGGTGTAAAGTGTTAAGGTCTGACTCAAGGCTACCTTGTTTAATCCATTTCCATAGATGTTCACCAGTTTAGTTGGACAGTAAAAATTCCAACTGTTATATAATGCTTTTCAATAACATCAGAGGAAATATAGATAAAATGGTTTCACTGTGAGATATTTACCTTCCTTTTGGCAATTCCAGCTTTGTAACATCAGCACAAACAAAGTCAATGTTGTTGAACTTAGCGCCATTCACTTCCTTGTTCTTGTCAGTGAATGACTGCATGAAATCAACAGCAGTAACATGACGAGCTTCCTGTGCAATATCTCCAGTAAAACGTCTGTTAAGAAACGAAAAAAGGCACAATTTTGACATACCTGTTGCATCCAGCTTCAAGTCAAGTGTGGCCTTACTATGGGAACAGTTACACTATGGGACTTTTTCTTTACAATAATAGTGACATACTGTAAGAGAATATTTTCATAATGCATCAATCAGTTTATCTGGTGCTTTTACTCTGTACACTCAACAAAATTCTCCTTTAAGGATATTCCATGTTGTTTTCCATGTCTACCCAAATGGTTCCAAATTGCCACAATTATTTGTTTCCAAATCAGTAAATACAGATGCCACAAATGATATGTTTGCTTAGTGTTGTGTTTCACTAAATAATCTATTTAATCAATCCAAGGGAATTGACTTATCTCTTAAAAAATGTTATGTGGTTACAGATGTAACAATCATCCAAAGTACTGTAATTGAAAGATTTTTTAATCTAAATATATGAACCCTTATCAATTGACATTCCGAAGTTAATAATAATAGCATGTCTAAGTTAAATGATTTATACAGATTTGGTAAAAACTAAGAAATCTTGCTTCAGTAAAAATCCCATATACTAGATCATAAGATCATTGCACGATTTTTAACATAGAGTAAATAATATCCATCACCATGGATGTGATGATACCAGTACCATGACATATTTACCTTCATCAGCAAACAGTCAAGTACATACTGACTCTGAGTGCAGCGCAGGGCGCGGAGGATAGCCTCTATCACCAGACAGGTGGTTTTCAAGAGGCTCCTCTGATCAACACTTGATGAAACAATAACAACACAACATGAATCACAATTAAAGTCCTGACATAGAAGAAAAGGTAAGTAAGTTAATTTAAAGGGAAGTGCTATTGCCTGTATAGGTTCCCAAAATTTTCTATCCAATGAGAAAGGAAAGCTTTATATACCCTAAGTTTGTCAAGGTGCTAAAATTTTTGATGACTTTACCAATAGTCAAACTTTATTTTAGCAATCACCCAAAATACCAAGCCTATTCAGCTGCCTGTATAAAGTGGTCTTTTAGAGAAATTGAAACTAAGGAGATTTTACAAGCTCAAGTTTGGTGTTTTGGAAAAGTGATCACAAACATTTTATCAGCACACAGGAAAATTTGATATCACTGAGGTTGATAGGGATTGAAATACGGTATTTCCTTAAATAAGCACCCACCCTCCAAAAGGCACCTTCTCCTAACTAAGTGCCTACCCCTGAGGTCACAAGCACTCCCCTCCTCCCTCACTTTCTTATAATAGGTCTACATGGAAAACCCTGCTTCTATTGCCAATTTATTGTTTTAACCATTTAACCTTCAACTACAGTGTGATCAGTACAGGTTAATAATTTCTTAATAATTAATAATAATAATTTCTTAGTGGTCCCCTTGATTAAGCCTCTTCCTTCCAACAAGTTCTCCTCTTTTAAGTCAAAATTTTAAGTAAGTGCCTGGTGGTTCTTTAAGGAAATATAGTACCAATTATATTTAAGGAAACATTCGCTGTAGGTCATACTTCTAGAGACAAAAAGCAAACCAGTGTAACCCTTTAACTTTCCAGATCTGATTGTTGATTCTCCCTTCTAGCTGCTAAACATTTCCTCATAAATTAGTTGTGAGAATTTAGCATTAAATCAAGATAATAATTTCCACCAGATAAGTTTCAGTATTCTCAATTCCTGTTGCTGGATAATGTAGGATATTATAGGGAGAAGTTGCATGATAATTAATTGAGAAAGTTGAAGGGTTTAAGAAATTTAACCCTAATTTTCTGCCTGAATTGAGGTAAACTTATCTAAATTCAACCACAAAAACTTGCAGCTCACATTACAAAAAGCAACACCTTATTAGAAAATATTTTCATTAATTACCCAATTCCTGCTCCCAGCTCCAGGACATCATTTCCTTTGATGTTTGGCAGCATTCCCATGACTTCTGGGTGCTCATCCTGTGTCAAGGTTTCTGCCTTACTGTCCAACATCATTTCCTCAACGCTTTGAGCCATGGAGTGTTTGTTCCAAAACTCAGTCATTTGGTCGCGTGTCTGATTGGATTCTACAAGTGTTGCCACTGAAAATAACATGGCTTTTCAGGTAAATGGATACAGTTTAAGGTCACTTAAAACAAGATTTTTTGAAACATTGCAGTAAGTCTTTTACTGTAAAAAACAGTTTTCCCAAGGAACTAATTTAAGGCTATTCCCATGATCTGCATGACTAAAAAAATGGGCAAAAATTAGGTTCATTTCCCCGCTATTCTGCCCCAATAATAAAAATAAAAATCATAACAATATACTTTCTGACAATAAAAAAACTGCCTACACAAGTCGATTAAAAATAATTTCTCTTTATTGGCCAGCCTTGTTCAGGCAATTGGGCTAAATATTGGCCTCGTTCTTTAGTGCAAAAAATAACTTGTAAATAATATCCATCTGTCTTCATCTTAAAACGCTCGCAATGATACCCAATATGCCTCTCTTTTTAATGAAGCAATAAAAAGTTTCGTTTTAGTTTAAGACAAGCTGCTTTATGGAATGTAATTGATAGAGAAAACTTATTCCAAATCTTTTAAATGGAGAGCTGACATAGAAAATTTGTACATCTGCCTTCCTATTACTTCTCTGAAAAGGCAAATTTTAAAATTATATTATTCTATTGTTCGTCTACGCCAACATCATCGAGGATTGCACACAGCAAAATCACTCGATATACTGAAAATATCTTGTTTCAACTGCAACGTTGACAAAAAAAGAGAAAAATGAAATGAAGAGATATTTTAAGAACAAATTTTCCTACGCTTCCCTCGAAAAAAAATTTGGCTGAAAATAACATGTAACGCAAGAATAAACAGACCAAGAGATGGTAATTCAGCGAAAAACGTCAAAATTTTTTTCGCGTTCGTTAGCTTTGCAGGAAAGGGTAGACAACATTGCACAGGATGAAATATCCTCAGCGACATCAGACGATTGTAACTGCATAGAGCGCCGGTTGCACTAAAAGGTAATCAACGATGACCGGTTCCAAAATTTCAACAGGAAAATTATGTATGACTCGCTTGGATCGGATAAGCCGGTTCGAGGTAGATAGGCTACCTTGCATAGAGAGTAAAAAGGCTTTTTCAACAGCAGTCCACTTACTTTTTATCAAAAGCTCTTTATCCTTCTGTGTACCAAAAAGCCAGGCTAAGGAGATAGCAACAAGTATTCCGAAGACCAATGAGGAACAGTACATACGCAAACCGATCTAAATCACCTGAGAGCCGGTTAGTTTGTACTTGCCACCAGTGGTTTCACGGTGTTAAACACGGCACGTGATCAGCTGAGTGTTTATTTCGAAATTCCAGTATCTCGCTGTGTCAACAAGTTGGAACTTTGATTATTCGACAGTTCCTGTTTTGGCAATACCTCGTACTATGGTGTCACAACCTGGAATAATCATTAATTCGAAACTAATGCTCGCAATTTTAAAATGATTTGCGAGGGAAGAAAGAGGACTTTGTCAGGCTGAGCTTCAAGCCATCACTTAACCTTTAACATTAACAGAACAGACAGAGTTAAATCAAGAGCAAGTAATTACTGCTGCAAATATCAGTCAGTTTTTTAGCCTGGTTACATTTGGTTGAAAGGTCTATTCGCCTCATTCGACGTGGCCTTTTCTTTTTTTTTTCTTTTTTCGTTTTTGTTTCTAAGTGTTCTAACCGGTAGGTCTGGGGAGAGTCCGTCCAATTGTAGCTCACGTGTGGCCATACCCTTCCCTACAGAGTGGAATGGAAGGGGAGGGGAGGGTACGGCTTCATAAGTGCTAATCCAAATATTTTCTCGAATTAATTTCTTTCAAGACGTTTTCTGGCTGAGAGGAAATTTAATCAGTTGTGTCATTTGGAAAAAAAGGCTACCAAATGTCAATGAATGTTGAGGGGCTTTCAAAAGTGTGAGACGCGGACTAAGCGCTGAATAGAAACATTGTCAATGTATTTTTTCACATCAAGCCTTTTTATTTGTTGGATCAGAAGTTAAAACTAGCTGTTTGACTAAGCTGGGCTAATGTTATAAAATTCGCTCAATAAAGGGTCGGGAAAGAAATCCTGAAAAAGACCTTTACAATTATTTTATATTAAAAAACAAAAAACATAACACAACAAAAAAAAAGGTGAGGAGGAAGGGGGAGGGGGGATGATCAAAATTCGGTTTGTCTCAACCCAGTCCCTACCGAGAATAAATAAGATGACTGCCGTCAGCTGCGAGCCAATGACCTTTTCTTTTCGCCGTGATTATAATTCTGTAACAGATCGAAATGTTACCCTCGGTCGGTGTCGTCGACACAGGGAACTCATCTCGAATACTTCTGCCGCTTCTACGCTCAGCCGGTTTTACAGTCAGTGGAATATGGGGTGCTTCAAAACAGCAAGCGAAGACGATGGCGGAGGAGTACAAAGTTCCATTCCATACAGTTAAAATAGACGAATTACTTCTGCGTGAAGACGTGGATTTAGTGTGTGTGCTTTGCCCACCTCACGTTCGAGCTGAAGTGGCGGTGAAAGCTCTTTCTATCGGAAAACACGTCCTCTGTGATTCTCCTGTAGGTCTTAGCAAGGATGAAGCTGAGAGAATGGTCCAGGCTGCTCAATATTATCCTAAGCTTCTTTCTCTTGTCAAACACGAACTCAGGTTTCTTCCCGCCTTTATCAAAATGAAGCGATACGTGGAGGAAGGTTTTTGTGGCAAGCCACTAATCTGCGAATGTAAGATTGAAATGGGTTCATTGCTAGGTAACAATTACACCTGGATGTGTGATCAGGCCATGGGTGGTGGGGTGCTGACCAATCTTGGGGCCCACATCATTGATCTTGTTTCCTTCTTAACCAACCAAAGAGCTGTAGAAGTTCATGGTACTCTAAAAACCTTCATTCCTCAAACAGATGAGGTTTCAGGCTTTCGTCATATATCCAGTGATGACTATACAGCTTTTCAGATGAAACTGAATGGAGGGGCTTTTGCAACAGTTTCTCTTAATGCCCACATTCCAGGACGTTACTCTCAAACTGTCACTATATACGGTACCAAGGGGCAGCTGATCGCGAGGAATGGTAGTTTATATGGGATGAAGAATGGTGGCAAAGAAGAACTCATTTATGGAGACATTGCCCGCATCCCGGGTATGTTCAATGTGGAGAAACTCCCACCCAGTATCTTTCTGACAGGTCTTGAAGTGTGGGTGTCAGAGATAAAAAGAGCATTTGAAGAATCCATTGATAAAGATGATCGAAGAATTGCTGATCTGCAGACTATTTCCAGTGCAGCTTCATTTCATGATGGTCAGTTTGATATCCTGGATAATACATGGGTAGAAGAGAAGGCACAGGGGTATGGGGAATGGGGGAGGGGGGGAAGGGACTGAGCCCCTTGAAAAAAACTGGTGGGTCAAAATTCCATATGGTGTAGTGTGGAAGTTATTTTATTTAGAAGATGCACTTGGCTTGGCAGAATATCCACCCTTGTGTCTTTCACAATTTGTTTTATCAACATTGTATATGGGAAGACACTGAGTTGCAGGACTCTTTCTCAGACAACTGCCTACTTATGCATTCCAAAAATCAGTAGCTAACACAATTAACATGTGGCTTGATTTTTTTTGTCTAACTTGTGACAAGAAATCATAGATTAAAAATCAAATATTTTTTTAATAAAGGCATAATAATATTAATAAAAAAAGAATTTAATTAGGGGGTTTATACTAAATAGCCAAAGCTGATGAACTTGTGGCCCTCTATAACTAGCATGTGGCTTCTTAACTCAATACAAGGTCAGAATCAATAGAGGACAAGAACTACTTCATTCCATTACAGGTGTTTTTAATTAACTGTGATGACTGTTACTTCAAATTGCAGGCCTTTATACCAGAACTGTCCTTGATGCTATTATTGAGTCCAGTGGACATGGTACTTGGTGTCAGGTTGAGTTTGTTGCTAATGAAGAAACTGGGGAAATGAAATCAGGCCCTGAGGAGAAGTCAGTGCAAATCATCACTGAGCCACGAAAGGAAAAGGCAGGTGAAAAGAATCTTGCATCTCCTGTCCTGCGAAAGATGCTGACTCAGTGAGCTTGGGAGAGTTTAGATAAAGTTTGAAAGAGGATAATTTTATTCAAGCAACTATCAACAAATTTCCAATGCAATTATTATTTCAGCCAGTTTTTTTCTTTTTTTTTGGCTAACATAAGATATGAGGAAGCTTGGATGGAAAAAGTTGCCCTTTTGAAAGATCTCTGGTTCCATTCTCAAGTTAAAAGTTCAAATGAAAAATAATTTCATCTTTAAAGAGATAATTCTTGGTTTTGCAAAAATTTTGTATAGGTATTGGTATTGCTCATTTTCAACTTCAAAAGAACTACCAAGGAAAAGATGCAAGGAGCATCAAAAGCCAGTTATACAGTTTACACTACAATGCTTTAAAAATATAGAAATGGCATAATCTGGAAGTTTCAGGATGTATTGCTAAACGAAGTATTGCAAAGCTCAGTTTTCCATGTTAAAATTCCTTTACTGTGTTTGAGAAATGTTTATTGCCTAATTTGAGAAACAATTTGTACAATTACTTTATAATTAAATAAAGACAGAAGCTCCTTTTATGGCCTTTTCTGACATTTTTGGATTGCATGCCACTAGAAAGAAATCCACAAGTGGGTCTCACTCAACAGGCAATTGTCTGAAAAATTTTGTACTGCTTGGACAGCAGCGAAAAAAAAGAATGAATTAATAAAATTAAAACTCAACCCTCTCTTTATTATTCAATACTAAATTAATATTAAAATGTTATTACATTTTACTTTCATTTATCTTTTCTTATTTTGCTATATAAGCTTTTTATAAAATTTGTTTGGTCAAAAAATAACATATGCTCAGTAATGGGTAATTAGAAGCTTCATTAATTAAAGTTTCAACGATGACAACCACATGGAATTTAATCCTCTTAATTCTCAATATGTGCTGATTCTAGAACGAGAATAGTACTTGTTGCTATCACGACTGAGTCACGTGTTGTTTGCTTCAAAACTTATGATTAAGTTTTATTTTCCGAGAAAATACCTCTAAGGGTTCAGTCTGTCATCTTTATCCTGATGATCTTTCTTAATGTTAAAGTTAATTTAAAGGGAAGGGCTATTGCCTGTGTAGGTTCCCAAAATTTTCTATCTAATGAGAAAGGAAAGCTTTATATACCCTAAGTTTGTCAAGGTGCTAAAATTTTTGATGACTTTACTAATAGTCAAACTTTATTTTAGCAATCACCCATAATGCAAAGCCTATTCAGCTGCCTGTATAAAGTGGTCTTTTAGAGAAATTGAAACTGAGGAGATGCATGCCACTAGAAAGAAATCCGCAAGTGGGTCTCACTCAACAGGCAATTGTCTGAAAAATTTTGTACTGCTTGGACAGCAGCGAAAAAAAAAGAATGAATTAATAAAATTAAAACTCAACCCTCTCTTTATTATTCAATACTAAATTAATATTAAAATGTTATTACATTTTACTTTCATTTATCTTTTCTTATTTTGCTATATAAGCTTTTTATAAAATTTGTTTGGTCAAAAAATAACGTATGCTCAGTAATGGGTAATTAGAAGCTTCATTAATTAAAGTTTCAACGATGGCAACCACATGGAATTTAATCCTCTTAATTCTCGATATGTGCTGATTCTAGAACGAGAATAGTACTTGTTGCTATCACGACTGAGTCACGAGTTGTTTGCTTCAAAACTTATGATTAAGTTTCATTTTCCGAGAAAATACCTCTAAGGGTTCAGCCTGTCATCTTTATCCTGATGATCTCTCTTAATGTACCTCCTAAAACAAAGGTTTTTATGTTAACCAGTTAAGGCTCTGATAGAAGGGGCCTTTTGATTTAGATGATTAAAATCCTCGAAATTACCTCGCCTTTACGAGTGAAACGAGACAATGGCTGAGTTGTTGTGTGATCTCGTGCTTGTCACGCGCTCTGACGTAATATCACCAGTCCCTGATTTACGTAGTGAGGTCACGCGACACGAATGGATAAATAACGACGCTCTTACCAGTTCATTTGTCAGTTTCATGAGAGACTGGTCATGTACCTTCTAGAGTTTACAAACTCTGTTAGTATCACTGGTTTCAATACTTTGTACACACAATAGTTTTCAAGTGCTAGTGAGTTTGAAGAATGTCAAACCGCCAAGATTCGCCCGGCGAGAATCGTGACAAGTTCAGGTTCGCCATCGATCGAGGTGGGACCTTCACAGACGTTTACTCAGAATGTCCCAACGGAGAAGTAAGAGTGATGAAGCTGCTGTCAGTTGATCCTGCATATCCTGATGCACCTAGGGAAGGAATAAGACGGATTTTAGAACAGGTAAAAGTGTTTCTTTGTCCTTAAGCTATAAAAAAGCGAGAAATATAACAACCTGGATTAACTCAGCAGTCTCTATAGGTACCAGTTAATTTGGTCACGTGACTAGGCATTGTGGAAGAAGATTTAAAAACTCTGGCAGGATTTTTAAATTTAGCTTGAAGAGATAACTTAAACTAGCCAATAGTTGACCTATTGAAGATCATCACGCCGTTACCAGTGCTAATATAATTTATTGCTTTATGGTTATTCTGTTATAGTAGTAACGTGCGGGAAAAAAAATGCGAGCTCCGCTTTTAGGCTTGGCTAAATCTCTATATTTTACCTGGATGGTTTTACAGACTTTTTGATTCTAAGCTTGGTATTTATTTGTATCGTTTTCTACTTTTTGATGTTTATTTTTACCATGACCCGTGTCTGGTATCAGTGACACAAACCTGTGATTTAAAAATATTTTAGTAAGGAGCTTTCAAAAATTCTTAAGACTCCTATAGCTAGAGGAGTTGATCAACCATCCATACATAACTAAGAATCAGGACTAGATCATGCCTCCTTGCAATGAAACAAATGTAAATATTTCTTTCATTGCAAAGAAACATCAACTACACTTTGGCATTTGCTCTGGTGTGGGACGAACAATTGAAACATCAGCTTTAGAAAATCTTGATGGTGGACAATTTACATTTATCAATGCAGTTGATGACACCAAATTATCCATACATGTTAATGGTTTACAGGGTCCTGCAAAATTTCCGCATAGCCCCGTACTTCCTTATGTATTCATATATGGGGATTTATTATTTAGTGTATCACCAGTAAGATGTGGATACATAATGAAGTATAGGGCTGTGTGGAAATTTTTCCCTTGTCTCCCCTGAAAATTTGGGGAGCTTGTTTTATCATTTGGTAGAATTCCCAATGCTTTCAATTATATGACTAATGGAGAGTGGATAACTGTTGTTTTTCAGGTGACAGGAGTAAAGATGCCTGCAGATCAGCCAATTGATCCAAAGTACATTGAGTGGATAAGGATGGGGACCACAGTGGCTACAAATGCTCTGTTGGAACGAAAGGGAGAAAGAATGGCTCTGGTTATTACTGAAGGATTCCATGATTTGTTGCATATTGGCAATCAGACAAGACCTAATATATTTGATTTAGTAAGTAATCCTTTTAAAACAAGAAAAAGAAGTGTTTTCATTTTGAGTGAAGGTTGCTAGAGGCTTTCCTATGCCATCAACACTTGTTTAGGCGTTTGGAAGTACAGCCAGGTGCTGGATGACAACAACACGATTTGAATGTCAAAACTGCATGATTGCAAAACTTCCATTGAGCCTTTCTCAACTGAAGATTGTAGTACCTGTGCACTTAAGATTGGATTAAAATTTAAAGAGAAATTTGTTGATATATGATTTCTTACAGTTGATGACTAATTGCTCTTTTACAGAAAGTTATATGTCCAGAGGTACTGCATGAAGATGTTATTGTTGTGAAAGGTAGACTGGTTTTAGAGCAAGATGACAGTAAAATTCAAAGACCACAAAACTGTAAAATAGTGTCTGGAAGCACTGGGCAAAAGGTGTGTGTGGCAGATAGCAATGAATTAATTTCAGATTTAAAAGAAATAGTTTTATGACAAACATTAAAATTGTGACTTCCCTTTTATAATTTACAGTTCCTCCAGAATTCTAGTTCGGCTTCAGAAATTCCACCAAAATGCTTCCTTTTTTTCCTACCACTTTAACAGAATTTCAAATGATTTTTCATACATTTGATTGATATTAACATTTGATCGATATTAAAATTTAAATATGAAAATGCAAGTAAACAAGTCTGTACTTTTCTTTTTGCATCTCGTTGGTTTGAGATAAATACAAGTTTTCTAAAGCAATCCTGGAGCATAGTTAAAATCAAAGCAAATACTACCTGGTTTACTAGTTATGTCCAGTTGAAAATAGTCCATTTTACAGTTGTTTGGTTACCAAGCCTTTGAACAGGAGTGAGGCTAAGGGTGACCTTATTATAATACAAACCTTGCTGTTTTTCAAATATAAATAACTTTGTTATCATGTAATCTAAATACTGGTCTTTATCACAACAAGATCACCCTCAGCCTCACTCTAAATCAAAGGCTTGGCAACTGTGCACATAACTGAAAAATGGCCTATTAACCCAATTTTTTAAATAAGATATTAAATCATTCTTATACACATGAAGAAAATGATGGATGCTTACTATATACATCTTTCTTTGTAGCTTGAAGAGTGGGAACCTTTGGACAAAGGAAAGCTTAGAAAAGACCTACAGGTAATCTTCTGACAGTCTATCAACCTGAACTTTGTTATCTGGATCAGCTGAGAGAATTATCATGTATAATTATAACAAGTATAACAAGTATAACATTTTTATTATAAGTATAACATCTTTATTATAACAAGTAATTATGACTGACTTTAATATAATTATTACTGAATAGATATGACTAGATACAAGTAATATCACTCAAAAGTAGTGGAATCCTGCATTTGTCATTTCACCGACATTATACAAGTAAAGGTACAAATGAAGAAAACTTGACACTTGAAGAGAAAACTATATTTTTTTACAGAGAGTCCTTGATAAAGGAATCAAGAGTTTAGCTGTTGTGCTCATGCACTCTTACATGTAAGTATATAAATATATAAGTATGTACAGCCATTTTATGAAGGGATCTATGGTTGTAAGCGGTTTCTTGGATATATGTCCGCTGAAGTTACTCAATAACTGATAATTCCCTGATGGAAGTTTAAGTGTTAATCTTACCAGGTATTATTTGTCACATATTCAGGTATGATGTACATGAAAGAGAAGTTGGTGAAATTGCCCTAGAGATGGGTTTTGATCAGGTGTCACTCTCTTCTACAATAATGCCCATGGTTAGGATTGTACCCCGAGGTTACACAGGTTAGTTTTCTTTACAATAGCAAGTTACAACAGTCATCATTATTTGCTCCTTTGCATGAAGACCTTGTGGTTTCAGAATCATCAGCTTTTTAACAACATATTGAATTTGAGTTTGATTTACAATGTGTAGCTTCTGCCGACGCTTATTTAACCCCTTGTATAAAGAAATATATCAGAGGATTTACAGCTGGCTTTCAAGATGGCATCCAGGTTGGTTGATTGGTTACTGTGTGTACAAAAATTATATATATCCAATAAGTTTGAGAGGAAAGGTAACTTGTGCCACTGGCCAAACCTGATGAAAATAAGGTTCTGGGCAGGTATAGCATTTAGATTTCTCTCACTGAATGCCAGTTTACATATCCCTCCAGGACTTCAATCATTATAATATCTCATTTTAAGAAGGCTGTGTTTTTATCCATCCTCAGAGCAGCTTGATGTGAAATCACAGAGTTCAAATATTTCTGGGAAGGGTGGGGTGAGGAACCTTGTCTCAAGACAGGATGGTTTATTTGACTGTGTCATTGTCATGTTGTGTGTTTAATAATTTGCCATTGCTTTTGATAACAATGTAGATTGTGAAGCGCAGTGTTATTTTTGTATTACAGTAGTAATTTATGATTGATCTATGATTGATCTTTTTGCAGGACAAAGTGTTGTTTATGCAGTCTGATGGTGGCTTGACTCCTGTGTCAAAGTAAGTGGTAAATTATAGAAAAGCGTGCAATGTTTTTTTTAGTGTATAATTATACTTTACCCTCTAACTCACAAGATCTCGTGAGTAATTCTCCTTACTGTCTGCTGTAGAGTTCTTGTGATGTTAGCCTGGAGAATTTGGTATTGGGTCAACTAGTAATCCCTAAGTTAATATTCTTCTTTACTCTCATCAATTGTCTGCTTGATGTTATATTAATATTGTCAGGAGAAATTCTGTCTTTGTCACTAATGAGAACTAAAGGGTTAAGCTTTCTACCTCAACCTGAATTAAATGAACAGTGTCAACAAAGTTTATAAGTCATTGATATTATTGCCATTTTGTTGATCAATCAATTAATTATTATTATTGTTATTAATATTGTTATTATGTTGTTATTGTCATTTACAGTATGTGCAGTTAAGGAAGTGATATCCACTGGACATTTTAACATGTTCCCAATAAATTGCACAGTAATTTGTAATGTGTTTTTGCAGGTTTTATGGATCAAGGGCCATTTTGTCTGGACCTGCAGGTGGTGTGGTAGGTTCCAAAGTTTTATTCATTTGACTTTTTTTCCCAAAAGGATAATAAAGTTTGCTTTTTGTGCAGGTTGGTTATGCAATGACAACTTTTCACAGAGAGACCGAGCAACCAGTCATTGGATTTGATATGGGAGGTAATAAAAGAATAAAACATTATCATGTTATTTGATCTTGAATAGGTCTGATATTTTTACTGGAAATTTGTTACAGCTAAAATGATGGTAAAAGTAGTGTTAAGATTGTGTCTCTATTTTCAATTTAATTATATCACACCAAATGTTTGAAGAAAGAGTGCTGTCCCAAATTGCATTGATTGAGATGATTCAGTGAGAATTTTGTTAGTGATGCAGTGTCTCCTATAACAGTAATTTGTCCTAGCCAGACTTTCTTCACATCCTAGATTTAAATTTCAACATATTCCCATATAATTCTTACCAAAGTAATGTAATGCCATAGTTAAGTATTTTTGTGCAGCTGCGTACTGGTGAGTAACTATACAGTTTTTTTTTCTTCAGGAACATCAACAGATGTGTCTCGATTTGCTGGTCAATATGAACATGTGTTTGAGACAACAACAGCAGGAATCACTATACAGGCACCGCAGGTATGAGGGCCATCTAAGAAGTCATTTAATTTGTAGCTTGTGAACAGGTTTTTATTGCTGTGTATGAGTGGTGAAGCAACAAAAGGCCCATCAAGGGATGGGTCTGTACTGGAAAGAATGCAACCTCTCATTCTGCTTTAACAAGGTAGTACAACATCCTGTAAAGCTTTCTAGCTGGTGATGTGATGTAATTTTTGATTGGTTTTGATAATTTTCATTCTTTCTCATTGTGGTATCTCAAGAACTCTGAATTCTGACAACCATAGTTTCATGTATGAATTGTTCTGTTATCAATCAGATCTTCATTTAATCAAATACTTTCAGATATTACTAGAAAAGGGAAAACTTAATTAAAAGTAACATGATATCATCTGAAATGCTGGTCACCAAACAAACTAGAGCAAGAGATGTATCTTGGTCTGTCTGGTACTCACACAAGTTAATCTTTTTGGAGTCAAAACTTCAAAGTATACAATTATGACAACAACTTACTCATTGAATTTTAAAAAGAAAAATTGTAGTCCTTCCTTGGAATAGTCCATTTTACAGTTGCATGCCAAGCCTTTGAACAGGAATGAGGCTAAGGGTGACCTTGTTATGATACAAACCTCACTGTTTTTCTAATGTCATCATGCTAAGTACATACTGGTCTCTATCACAACATGGTCAACTTCAGCCTCACTCCAAACCAAAGGCTTGGAAACTAAGAACAGAACTGTAAAATGGCCTATTCAAAAACCACTCAGAGAAATCAGTCGACTGAGTTACCAACTGAAATTTGTTAATATGAACTGGTCTTGTAAGACTGTTTTTTTGTGATAATTGTTTTTGTAGCTGGACATCAACACTGTGGCAGCAGGAGGTGGATCTCGCCTATTTTTCAGGGCGGGGCTATTTGTTGTTGGACCTGAGTCAGCCAGTGCCCATCCAGGACCTGTTTGTTACCGAAAAGGTAAGTTTATGCTCACAAGTAGAACAGAAAGGAAGAACAGATGGTTTGCTTTTTTCTCCTTTTTCTACCTGGTCTCCTTGCAAGCCATCTTTAACCCTTTACTCCCTAACGTCAGTATGAATATTCTCCATACTACTCCCCAGACATTTCCTAGGGTTCTGACAAGGAGAATTTGTTCAACAATCAAAAGCTTCTTTTGTTGGTGATCATCTCCTTTATTCTCATGACCTTAATGTTTGATTCAGGGGTGATGTTGTAAGGAGAAATTAGATGCTAGTCACTCCTCCCCTCTCCCATCCTCTAAGGGAACTTTGTGACTTTCTTTTCCTCTCCATGCCTTTACCAACACCCGTCTATGGTGACTCATTATAATTGTAATTAGCCAAGAGTTTAGAAGGCAAAGTTAAAAGAAGCAATTTCAAAATCTGTTAATTTTCTTAGGTGGTCCATTGGCTGTGACAGATGCAAACCTAGTGCTTTGCAGGATTCTACCTGAGTATGACGTATATGCTGTTCTTTTATGAAATCATAGCTTTTTTACAGAAATTAAAAAATTTATGGTTTAACAAGGGTTGTCCGGATACTCTCACTAGGAGACTATGTAGAAAGCAGGCGAGCAAGGTGTAGTCTAGGAAGGAAAAAACGGTGAGACTCCTTCCCAGATTTCCGCCGTCTTTATTGATGCCACGGGCCAGTTACAAGTTTCAGCAACTATAATTTCGTTGCTAAGTTTCTGCAGTATATTTCACGTAGCCATAACCTTATCACAACAGAGCTTTGTACTGATTCGACCGGCTTCATGTTCTATTACATGTAGGCATCGAAGGGTTTAAAATTAAGATACTATTGTTTAGTGGTTAATGTTTAATATTTCTGTCTTCGTAACGCCCTTTTCAACAGATTTTTTCCAAAGATTTTCGGTAAAAACGAAGACTTACCATTGGATTTCGAAGGTTCTCGGGCAGCTTTTAAGAAGTTAACAGAAGAGGTAACATACCTATTTACATACATGTTTTGGTATTACTTTCTACGAGATAAATGTTTTCCTTGAAGTAAGGAAAGAGTCCTTTACGCCATTTCAAAAAGGAAACAAACACGCTAGGAATTCTCACAGCGAACAGTTTCTTAAACAATCATGTATTGTAAAATTTAAAAGATCCTTTGAGATGACAGATACCACAGCTGTCTGCTGGGAAGCAATTAGTTGTCTTTCAGGCCGAGCTAAAGGGTGCGGGAATGTTTGCAAAAAAGTCTTTGGAAAATCGGAAGTTGTAGAAGAGGAACCTTTTGATGGCCATTTCCATTTTTCGAAATTTTAGCATACTGTTCCCTTTACTTCACACGGGGACACAATCACAAATGAAGATTACTCAAGCACGAAACAGGTTCCCCTGTAGAGCGCTTTTCTATTCAGTGCCGTGAAACCAAAACGAAAGTGTTTACATTAGCCAAACAGAAACAAATATAACTAAAGATTCCCATAGAACCTTAGAATAGATCAGCGGAATGGACCCTTATGCGAGAAAACGCGAGTGACCAAGTTGAGGTTAGGTGTGGTTTTACATCTATTTTTCGTAGAGGATGGTGTGTAATATCAGGTTACTGTCGACAGCCATTGGATTATTGTTTCATTTGAACGGCTCGATTTCTTCAGCTAATTTTATCTGTTTTCTACTCCAGGTAAATGAATTCCTAGCCTCCCAGGACGACGGCGCAAAGAAGGATCCTTTAACGGTAGAACAGGTTGCTATGGGGTTCATTACAGTTGCTAACGAGACCATGTGTCGACCAATCAGAGCGCTTACTGAGGCCAGAGGCCATGACACTTCACGTCATGTTTTGGCATGTTTTGGTGGGGCCGGTGGCCAACATGCTTGCTCCATTGCACGGTCCCTGGGAATGTCATCTGTGTTCATTCACCGGTGAGGAGAAAACATCAATTTTTCGCTATTCATGCAAAAAGAGGAAAGCATTCGTTATTCTTCACCTCAACCGCCTTTTTGGTCCATGAACCCTTTCTATTGAGTACTAGAAGTTATTCTGAGTTGCTTTCCTTTTTCTTCACCTAGTTTTTGGATTGGTTCTTGTTAAACATTAACGCGTTTGGTTTTCACTTTGAGTTCCCATTGGCTCCTTGTGAAATTTTTTTCCATTGTTTTGATTAGCCGTCTTAATTCCGTTGGGTTTGGTGTTAAAAGCGTCCTCATTCGCGATGACGAGATTTAACGTATGGGGCTGTTGGCTTTATCGCCCTCTCTGTGAATAGTGAAAGAGCATCTGTAATACACCCCACAAATGCAGCACCACAGATTCTTTAGAAACTTACCCCCGCAATCCATATTGAAAACTAGCTGGGACTGAAAATGTAACTCAAGGCTAATATTTAAATAAACTGTTGTCTTACTCAATCCATCGTCACAAATAAACTGAGAACTGATACAACTTTTTCAAACAGATTTGGTGGTATTCTGTCCGCGTACGGACTGGCCCTAGCAGATGTGGTTCACGAGGCGCAGGAACCGTGTGCACGTGAATACAATAAAGGTAACAGGCAATTGTTTCTTTTATATGATTTGAGTTCAGTAAAACGTCCAGCATTCTGCGAAATGTTTGAGGTGACAAGAACTAGTTTTTATTCGCAGTTGTCTTCCTTGAAACATTGATCAGAGTCTTTTCCTTTCTTTTTTTTTACAGAGTCGTTTGGCTATTTGGATGAAAGAATTGACTTTCTGATGCAGAAGTGTGTCGAGGAACTAAAAAGCCAAGGGTTTGAAGAGTAAGTGTTGCTTTCCTGCATTTTGTGGTTCGGTTGTTCACAGATAAAGCTGTGGTCACTCTATGAATCACTTTCAGTGGAAGGGTGTTAAAAAAAGGAAGTACAATGTCTACCGAGCAGGATAGTGATCGATCATTCATTCTAGAACCTTATGGCTGATTCTTACCCTTTTCCCTCTACGTGCCCTGAAGAGGTTGAGCGGACACTCTTTCCGGGTACCTGGATCGACCCCTATGCAGGGCGTGGAAGGGAGAAGTTAAGAGCTGGACCATGGAGCTGATAGTTAAGCACCTAAAGTCTTCCCTTTTCGCTCTTTATAGGGGTTGAGCTCCGATGAGTGTGTCGAAAATACGAAAGGGTAGTTTGACGCTTTCAGTGTGCTGTAATGAGGCTTGACCGATTGGAAAAATAAAATAAAATCTAGATTTAGTGCAATAACTGAGCTCGAAATTTACAATCTCTTTTAATTTATCTTCTGGCAAGACGCTTTGGTTAAAGCTGATGCCGGCAGTAAGTAAGAAATTGGTCACATATGAACCACAGTATTTGATATCAATGGCCAAAGCGTACTCTTTCTGCTTAGTAGTTGAGCATCCAGCAAACAATCTCAACGGTGGGTTCGAATTTCCATAACCCCAAATTTTTACTTTGTCCCAAGTGACTTAAAAGCCCTAACTTACGTTTTGCTTTGATTAAAATATTTTAAGGAACCAGATCTCCACAGAAGCATTCCTTCATATGCGGTACAGTGGAACAGACTGCGCACTGATGTGTACTGCTGTTCCTCAGAAAGACACAAAGGTAGGACTTTTTTGTTTACCTCATCTCCAGCTTAACCTGGTTTAAAAAACAATTCTGCGTCTTTTTGCTCTAAGTGAAAAGTTTCGTCATTTACGATGTCCATTGATAAAGTCGCAACCAAACGGGAATCAAGAAAAAGTAGTATTGATTGCTTTCTTTTTCTAGGAAGGAGAAACCTGTCGCCATGGTGATTTTGGACAGGCGTTTAAGGAACGGTAAAGACTTTTATACTAAAATGATTTTGGCTTTTCATGTATATTTCCCCCTTAATTTAATCTTGAATTTTTTTTCTTCTATTTATTACTGTAGATACGTTCGGGAATTTGGTTTCACTATACCTAACAGACAGATCCTAATTGATGACATCAGAGTGAGAGGGACTGGACACTCTAAGACATCCGTATCACATGAAATACCAAAAGCGAGCACCCCTCCCCCGGTGAAAAAGGTATTCTTAAGAACGTCTTGCAGATTTATGTTTACACCCATGTCTCATGGATAAGATGCTTAAAGGAAAAATCGCAGATCCAATGAAATCTTAAAAAGAGAATTTCAGCTCTTTGAATCGGATTTTTGATAATTCCACCCTCCTGGCTGCCAAAAATTTCCTTGCAAATAAGTCAAGAGAAAATGGTCTGGTAACTTGCAGACCAATTTCTTTATTCTCATCACCTGTCTGTTGGATGAGACATTGCAATCTTGGGGAGAAGTTACATGTCAATCACTGGGACTTTTAGAGGCAGCTAAGTGGCCATCAGGTTGAGGTTTCTTTGGAGTAGCCACGAAAACACAAGGTCTGATTACGCTTTTCTTTCTTACGCTAGACAACGAAGTGTTACTTTGAAGATGGTTTTCATGACACGAGGGTGTACCTCCTTGAGGAGTTGTCCGCTGGCCAGCTTATAGATGGACCGGCCATTATCGTAAACAAGACCAGGTGAACGAGGTTTAAAATGAACCACACATTAATCACAAACAAACACAAGAAGAGTATTTATTAAATTGATGTTTGTTTTTCAGTACCGTTCTTGTTGAACCACAATGCAAAGCGTCTATCACTTCATCAGGAGACATCAAGATTGAGGTTTTGTTTTCTTTATTAGTAAATTGGTATATTGTCTAATGGAAAGCTTCCCGACTAATTTTTGATGTTCTTCTAAGCGAAATGTGTGTTGTGAAAACAGTGCATGGTTTGGGCGAGACATGAATAGGCACTAAGGGAGCGGTCGATGCGCTTCCTTAAAAACGCCTGCTTTGCAGCTCTCTGATCTCGTCGCTGTTATATGCGCCAAGAGGCGCGGCGGGCAGTAAGTAAGTTGCAGCTTTCTTGAATCATTTGCTTCCTTCTCCTCGCACGAAACTCCATCTTGAATCTGGAAATGAAACAGAAGTGGTGTAACGCGTTTAACGTTCTAAACTTAACTGCAATGTTCATTACATGACATACTGAGTCTGAAAATTACATACAAGTTTAACTTAACAAAGATAGTCTTTTCTGAGCACCTCTCAGTTGGGCGTCAAAAAACCAAAACGAAAGTAACAACCACGTTCCATTGGAACAAAGGACATTATCATGAAACGTCTGAGAACTCAAAATGAAAACCGCAGTTAAAAGGGACTGAAGTGAACTAATGTTGTGATGAGATATCGTTTTTCTTCTCCTGCACGAGAGGGTGGTGCAAAATTTCCAAACCAATCACACAACGCAATTGAATATCACTTACCAGTATGGTCGCTACTACTTTTTAGATTGGAGGAAACCAAGGCAAAAAGAGTATTGGAACAGAACTAGATGCGATTCAGGTACTGTTTGAATCAATTTTATGACTAGCTTGTGTGAGAGTAACGTTTCTGAATTCTAAGGTTGTTGCATAAGAAATATGGGCATTCTATTTGCGTTAACTACGTTATGGATTCAAAGGGATGTAAACAGCCACTTGGTCAGATACAATGATTCTTAACAAATACTACGTACAGTTTCCAAGGTTGTGTATCAATGCACTCAGGGTGCAGATGGCGGTGGAAGGGTCACACTCAAAAAAAAGTTATCTCTGTGCCGATGCAGTTCTCTCAAGGTGTTCTCCTCCGAGTAACCTCTGCCACAGAACAGTTTTCTTGTGTTTCGTGATTAGTTTCATTCTTATATTCCTCAGCTTTCCATATTTTCCCATCGTTTCATGAGTACAGCTGAGCAGATGGGCCGGTGAGTAAAATGAGATTTATGTCAACTCTGTGGTGAGTTTTTACACAGAATACCTGATTCTGTTTTTTTCTCGCATCCGTCAGAGTTCTTCAGCGTACATCAATTTCAACTAACATCAAGGTGAGATGTAATACTGAATGTTATTTCGTTAAATTTTTCGTATCTATCTCAGGGACGTTTTGGCGTTCAAGGTTGGTCTATTGCTTTAAATGGTTTTGTTTCTGCGGCTGAGACTAACTTTTTCGTTTATACTGAACTATCTTGAATCCAAGTCACCGCTCTACGAGACCTGATACAGAGGAGCTGAGTTTCTATCATGGCTTCTTTGGTCAATGGAGTAGAAATTTAATGATTACAGTTATACCTTTTCACTTTTTGCAGGAGCGACTCGACTTTTCCTGTGCTATGTTTGGACCAGATGGAGGCCTGGTTGCCAATGCCCCACACATCCCAGTTCATCTCGGTTCCATGCAGGAAACTGTGCAATATCAGGTTTAAACAACACTATTTTCAACTAAATACTACTTAATAATTTTTTTTAATTTGATCTATGTCGTTTTATTGCATACTTCGTCGAGATTCTTTCATGGCTAATCATGGCCTGAAATTCTTTTTAGATTCGCACTTTAGGAGATGATCTGAAGGAAGGTGATGTTTTACTCAGTAACCACCCGAGCGCAGGGGGGACGCATCTTCCAGATTTAACAGTCATCACCCCGGTAAGGAAGATATTCGATCCAGAGAATTATAAAGTCTCCTTTTTAGGACACCTATGGACCCACAGTTAACACGACCATTACAAAATCGCTAAACCTAAATTTCACACGAAGCTTTAAAAAAAAGTGGCTTGGGTGGAAGCAACCTAGGTCTTATTTTCGAAACTTACGAAATCGAATCGCATAGGAAAAACATTCGATTAAAAGAAAATTTCCAAGGTAGATAGACATCCTAAAATAAAGAATTTTCTGATAGGGATAAAGCATGGTGCACACGACAACCAGCTTATCATGCTACGCTTATTAGACGAAAAAAATTGTACTCTGGCGCAATGCAAATTCACAGATTTAGAATCAGTATGGAAACAAAATTTTAATTTAACTAAGGAAGACTCAGTTGTCTCTCGCTCCTTTTCTTCTGCTGTTCAGGTTTTCTATCCTGGTCAATCAAAGCCCGTGTTCTTTGTCGCAAGCCGTGGCCATCATGCAGATATCGGAGGATCTGCTCCAGGTCTGTACCAATCCTTTTTAGCTTATCAGAACGATATTGACTGTCAAGAACTATTCAGCGTTCACAAACTCCTTAACGTATGTCTTTTAACCCAAGATTCCGTACAATGATTTTGATTAGCTCTTAGGTGACGCATTTTATGAAGGCTCTTGGGGTTCATTTACAAGAGTTTTTGTTGTTGTACTTTACGCTAGACTCTCGATCAGTAGAGACACGAGCACTGAACGGCTGGGATCTGGGAAACAAGAAATGCACTTTCCTCTTTCCCAGGTCCAAAGCACTTCTCTCGATACCACGATAAAGAGCCCGGAAAAGGTTATTGTTGCTGTTGCTTCTTCTCCTGTATTTGTTTGTTTCGTCCATTTTTGAGCGCAGATGTTATCCTGTGTGTTGGAGTTATCCTGTGTGTTGGAATTATCCTTATGTTTGTCTCATAAACCTTTTCTATATTTAAACATATGAGAAAAACATTTTATACATTTTTTCCCCTACAGGGTCCATGCCGCCTGATTCACATTCCATATTTGAAGAAGGAGCCGTGTTCAAATCATTTAAAATAGTTAAAGGAGGTGTCTTTCAAGAAGAAGGTACAACGTTACTCGTCGAACTCGGTACCTTACATCTCCAACTTTAAACTCAGGCACTCTTCTCTGATAATGTGCTTTTAGCTTCAATGTTGAATGATAACTTAATGCTCGCCAACGCAACTAAGTGAACAGATACCGATAGAACGTTTTCTAGCAAAGAAGGTTGCCCTTTTTTATCCAGAGTCACAATAGAACTTCGAACAGCAGTTAACGTCCAGATTCGAAATGACCCGTAGTTGTATTGTGAAGCGGACAAGGATCAATCCAGTAATTTTAATCTGACGTCTTCGTTCTACAGCACTGATTGAAAAGCTTATGGAGCCCAGCAAGTATCCCGGATGCAGTGGAACGCGCAATCTCCATGACAACCTGTCTGACCTTAAGGCCCAAGTGGCGGCTAATCATAAGGTACGGGCATGTTTAGTCCTCTCCCTCCCCTTCCCCTCCCCTCCCCTCCCCTAGCCTTCCATCTTTTGATAGTCTTATATTTAAATTCAATCGAGTCTAATTACATGGGTGATTATAGAGATGTGCGCCCTGTGATTGGGCGATGATTATGTGATATCTCGGCCCGTTGATAGCATATTTGGTATTTTTACTTTGTAGGGAATCAAACTGATTAGTAGCTTGATAGAAGAATACAGCCTTCCCGTAGTGCAGGCATACATGAAGTATATTCAGGTAAGATTCTCAGAAGCTGTTCCAACGAAATATAAAAGTAACTTGGTTTGTGGTGAAGATTGTTTTAATAATTCTTATTTCAGTGAATTTTTTTTGCGTTTATTTTAGCATAATGCCGAAGTTGCTGTTCGAGAAATGCTGAAAGATATTGCTGCAAAAACTAAGGTGAGGAAATATGACAGAACTACATGAGCAGTGCATGATTGCATAGGTATTGTTTCACTGCGTCCTGTGATTGGTCTAGAAACGCGCCATTCTTTCAGCCAATCAGATACAAAACTGAAACCGATCGTGACTTGGTCATTCGTGTTTTCCCGCGCTTCAGGTGGACTACGTCATATCCACTTTGTGTTCTCATTGGCTCTATGTGATGTTTTTCTTGCTCTGATTGGTTGCTGTGACTAGCTTTAATTGGAAAAAGCTCTTTGCAGCAGAATTAATCAGGAAACCTTAGGTAACAGCTATTGATGCACAGCAAAAAGAGAGGGATATCCGTCTTTCTTTACCCGAAAAAATTTGACATTTCATCTTGACAAATCTTTTGCGGGTAGAGTTTTTATTTGTGACTTTTGTTTTCCTGTTAAATCGGCAGGAACGCACCGGAAAGACAGTACTATCCGCCGAGGATCACATGGATGATGGATCGCGCATTAAACTTACAATTTCCATCGACGAGAAAGAGGTAGATAGTCTTCACATGAGGACGTGGAATTCTAGTTCAATATAAGATTTTTAATGGAATCCATAACCAAATCAATTGTCCAAGTATACTGGGGCAGAATTTTGAAATTTTAAGGTCATTCAACAAAGTTCTCAGTCTTTCAAGACTGAACGGCCTCCTGTAACGTTAATTTAAGTGAACAACTTTCTTTGTTTAAGACTTGTACTCAGTGCAAAAAATAAAGCTGTAAAGGTTTCAGCGAAGGGTACTTTTCGATGAAGTTATTATTATTTCGTTTCAGGGCAGCGCAGTCTTTGACTTCACAGGAACTGGACCCGAGATGTACGGGAACTGTAATGCACCTCGCGCCATCACCTTCTCTGCCATTATTTACTGTCTGCGGTGCATGGTCAAACACTCGATACCGCTGAACCAGGTAATTATAAGCTGCGTCTTTTTTCCTTGCGTTTATCTAGATGATTTACCAAATCCTTCAGAGGCTTCAATACTATGAAAATTTTTAGACCCGTCAACACTGTTTTTTACCTCCTTCAGGGTTGTTTGGCGCCAGTAAAAGTAGTTATTCCGCCTGCTAGCGTTCTCGATCCAACGGAAACTGCGGCAGTTGTTGGCGGGAACGTATTGACTAGTCAGCGAGTTGTTGACGTGGTGCTGAAAGCCTTTGAAGTGTGCGCTGCGTCACAGGTTAGTGAGAAGTCACGTGTTATGTCACTTGCCCTGGAATGTCTCGCACACTTAATTTCAACTTATAGCCGCAAAGCCTAAAAGGAATGTGTACTACTGACAGCGAGGTATCGCTTTGTATAGGGATGTATGAACATAACCGCGTTTGGAGATCAGCATTGCCAGTATATTGAGACAATCAGTGGTGGATCCGGGGCGGTAAGTGTGTTTATTGTCTGTCTAATTCACTTTCCACCTGTGTGACAGGGCTGTATGAATAACACGACTTTTGGTGACGAAGGATGCGGCTACTACGAGACAATCTGCGGAGGATCTGGGGCGGTGAGTTGTGTCCACTAAGTATTTTAAGTTACTGGTCACCTAAGGGCGAATGATCTGATCAATTATGTGAAAGATAAGTGTTCAATTGAGTGTCGAAAATAATCCAGCTTTGTGTGGTTTTGCTACATTTGGCTCTCTGATAAATTCGGAAAACCTGTCGTCCAAACAGATACAAAAGTAAACCAGTCGTGACTTGTTAATGCGTGTATGTCTGCCCTTGAGTTTGGTAATGTTAAGTTCCATTGGCTACTGGTGTTGTTGACCTTTGCTCAGATTGGCTATTTCTCTTATGAAGGTTTGGTTTTACGAATCTCAATCGAAAAGCGCTCTACAGTCTTTCTTGTTTGTTCCCTGCCGCAAACTTGAAATTTGTTTGTTGTTTGTGTTTCTTTGACCTAAATTTATTCAACTCTCTTATTGGTGGCCAAATAAAAACAAATGAGTACTTTTTAAAAAAATTGTAGACATAAATGTAGATGATACTGTGTTAATTTTTGAAAGAAGGCACCTATCCTCTTCGCAGGGACCCACATGGGACGGACGCAGTGGAGTTCATGTCCACATGACAAACACAAGGATCACAGATCCAGAGATAATCGAAAGAAGGTAGCTTAGTTGATAATTTTCACGCGATTAACGGCTACCCCGGGGGAACAGTGGGAGGATGGGATGTTACGCGACCTCAGTCTCGATTATTTTCCAAATTTTTTCAACATATTTACCTCGAGATGTGTGTCAGATTTAAAGGAGAATTACTAATTAGATATTGGGACTTAAAAGACGAAAGAACAAAAATTGTACAAAATACGAAAAAGAAAAAACGTAGTTCAGAACACTTGGCACATTCTAACACCACAAGGATTAGTTAGGTTAGGGCAAACTAGTGAAGGCCTCGACTGGTTTGTTGTCACTTGAAAAGGTTTAGAAAGAGTAAGCCTGGGCTCTTGACTGATATGTTTTCCGCCCTTGCTAGGTTTCCAGTGATTCTGCGCCGTTTTCATCTCAACCCCGGTACTGGTGGGAATGGTTTTCACAGGGGTGGTGACGGTGTTATACGCGAGCTGCTGTTTAGAAAAGAGCAAGTTCTTTCTCTTCTCGGTGAGAGAAGAGCATTTCGACCTTATGGACTGAAAGGTAAGTCTTAAGGAAAAACGCAACAAACCAGGAAAGAAATCGAAAACCTTCCTTTGAATTACTCAAAATGGAGTAAATGTCAACCATTCAAAACCGTTTGCTGTGTATTTTAGCCACTTCGCCTCCAAGAGTTCTTCGTTCACAAATTCTCATAATCATTTTATAAACTGTCCTATAGACAGGTATGAAGATTTAAGAAAGTTATCAATTAAGGGATTTTGTTTTGATGTGCCACCAAATTCTGAGGGAAAGACAATTGAGAAATATTAGGTGTTATTTATAGGATAATCATCCCCAAGATTTTAACCTTGAAAGCGAGAAGAACTTATTTCGTTGGGTAAATTTTCTTCCAACACATGTTGAATACAAAATTGGCCCTAGCAGCATCCCTTGGGATAAACGTGCCTTACAACGCTTTTGTCGTAAGAAACTGGGCAAGCATTGAAAGCTAGATGAAAGAGAGTTTTTTACTCCTCCAGTGATTTAGTAAGAGCTGTGATTTACTCATTGCAAGAGAATGAAAGTCGTCCTAATGGCGCGATAAAAATTAAAGGAAAGAGCAGAAGAAAATACTCAGTGTGTGAGAGGACTTTTGGGAAGATGACTTCCTTAGTTACTACAATGTTACATCAAGTTGTGTTTTCATTTGATAACGTTTGCTAAGGCAAATACGGGTTTTATTACAGGCGGTGAACCGGGCAGTCCAGGTTTAAGCCTGCTACATAAGTCAGATGGTCGAATGATAAATCTCGGAGGCAAAGCATCGGTCAAAATGAAGCCAGGGGTAAGTACTACAAAGCGAAGCTGCCGCATCAGTCGTTAACACATGGGTATAGACAATCTCCAGCCCAGGGTCATTTAGCCTCTTTGTCATCATTTGGCGACCTTACCGCTGACAAGGAGCCGAAATGACCGTGGGCTCGAGATAAGGGTTTGGATGATGTTGGATAATCAGACATGGTTTGATGCTACTCTGGTTTACAGATTTAATGAATGTAACCGAAGAAGTTACGATTCATAGACCCAACGTTTCGACACAGCTGTCTAGTGCCTTCATCAGGGCACTAGACAGGAGACACTAAACCCAACGTTTCGACACTCCTGTCTAGTGCCTTCATGAAGGCACTAGACAGGAGTGTCGGAACGTTGGGTCTATGAATTGTAACTTCTTCGGTTACATTCATTAAATCTGTAAACCAGAGTAGCACCAAACCATGTCTGATTGTCCACCTGGTTGCCGTGTGAACTTTAATATATGTTGGATAATGTTATGAGAGGGGATTGGGGGCAATCAGAAACCTCAAAAGTGGACAAAAACTTTTAAAACCAAAAAAACAAGCACTCAGAAGAATAAAAAAGTCGAGGTGGAGAAATTCTATCCAAGAACGAAACAAGCAGACAACGGAACTGAAACCAAAACCTGTTCATTGGGATCGAGAACAAACAAAATGTCTCAGAAGGGAAAAACCGAAGACTGAGACCGGAAATACCGGATAACTGATCACACTGATGATCCAAAATCAAAAACGCAATTCCTTGCTGATTTACTGATTTAGAACCCTTCTTTCTCCGTTAGGACTGTTATCGTGTCCAGACTCCTGGAGGTGGTGGTTACGGAACACCAACAGGAAATTTGGGACAAGAAAATAGTGTGGGTGACCTCCCGTCAAGAAGTGACCAGGAAAAACCTCAACATTTTGCAGCGTGTGGAAGCTTACACAACTACAAGATGATGCAAGAGTCGGCTTAATGATATAGACGCTATTCAGTACTAAACCAACCAATCCAACAATTCTTATCTCTCGCTTTAATCTTTCATCTCACTGAATAGAGGGCTCAGATTCAAATTAAATTTCATAATATTGACGGTACCTGCAAAAATTCAACATTAGAGCGTGAAAGATAATTTCTTTTCCTAAGCCTCGGTTGCAAAATTTAACGGCGGTTAACGGAAGGTGCGAAGCCGAAGAAAGAACGCCTGGTGACAGCCGTGGCAGGAAAAGACAGTACAATTTTTCTGGTGGATCAACTTTGTCGCCAGGGCCTTCTCTGTTGTCAAAATTACGGCGGGTCGAAGGTAAACGAGAAGCTCCTGGGGACGGGTCTAATGCGCGATGTTTGTAGTGTTACGTCATCAGCTGATTTAGAATTTCTTTGGGAGATCTGAAAACTGTTCAGTGCGATTGAGCTGAGGAAAGAATTTGATCCAATACAGGGGAAGAACTTACAGCTTTTTCACTTTCGTTAAGGGGATTGCTCGTTTTAGTGGTCATTATAAAGTGTGGGTGGTTAATTTTTAGAAGTTCAGAAAGGAAGAATAACAATATTGCACTGAAATTTAGAAAAAAAATAATTAATTGCAAAGCACAAATCGTTGAACTTGGAGTACGGGGGTTGACAAGTTTTTAGGTATCCACCGATCAAAACTTTTACGCATGGTTATCATATAAGGATCATTTAATAAAGAAAGAGTTGGTTGAAATAACAACAGAGGGCAGTCACCAATAGCTTGAAAAAAAAATAAAACAAAAGCAAAGTAAAATAAACAAATAACAGAAATGGATTCATTTCAAACAATTTTAATTCTACCTTCGGTCAATGTCTCGTTTTGAATGAATATAACTGAGTTCTAAATTTCTCAGCATTTAAGTCTCTAAAATGTTATGCTGGATTTTTTGTCATAGCAATGATAAAGATAACACGAATGAACATAACCTGAGATTTTTTTCAGGTTGGCAGGATTAATTAATTCTCCCTAAGGCAAGATTAAGATTAAAATTCTTCTTTGTTTCTTCGAAGTTTACGGACCAGTTATGCGCCAGTTTTTCCCAACGGGCCGTCCTGAACTTTTCACTTTGTATCTTCATTTATTAATCTTCATTTTCAAAACAGGCCAACCATTGCAAATTTAGAAAACGTGACTTCGAATTACCTAACAATAACAAAGTATGCTTAAAAAATGAAATGATTGCTGAGTACATGTGCACAGCCTAGCTCCGCAACCACACCTGCGTGACCTTCGGCGCAGCGGAGGGCCCAAACACGGTAATTACAGCTGTTAAGCGTCAACATCTTCAAATGAGGTCTACTGCACTTCACTGCGTACAAAAACCTTTCCAATTGAAATGAAACAGGACAGGACTTTTGGAATAGTTTTGCTTCAGAATAGAGACCAATAGTGAGTGAAATGGAGGTATTGGATTAAGGTAAGAAACAACTTGAGCCTCGGTTGTTTAAGAACACAGATGCAAACAGTGAAGGCAAATTTATGTCAGTAGGCTTCGCCAATCGCTTACATAAGTTAGGAAAATAATAATTTCTCCGAGCTTAGAGCGAGGCGACTAGGTATAGTCTGTGTTCATTTGCGTATTTACAAGGGTGGAAACAAGATCCAACGAGATTTAACTTGCTGAGTGTCATTTTTCTCTATTTTTCTTAATCCTGGTCGAGAAAGTGGGATGCATTAGTGATTATTCAGTAGTTAGTGTTTAATTTTTTTTAACTTCAATGAAACCCAAGGATATCGAGCACCTCTTTAACGATGTGGTGGCTAGCTGCATTCCATTAGCCCTTTCCCTTGTCTCTGTAGAAGCAAACTTTTGACTTTTCTATTGTCCGGAGAGAAGGCTAATTGGGCATGGAATCAAGTGCAAGGGCATGAGAAAAACACCTTAACCATTGTAGTCCCTCTGGAGCATCAAAAAGTGTCGCGAATTTAAATGCCTCTTTGTGGGTTGCGACTACTATTTGCATTTAATAAGAGGAATGATGACACCCTGGCTGAAATTCCAGACATGAAGGCGGCCCATTTCTGAGTAAAACGTTTAGTGGCAGACAAGCATGCACGTGTGCCACTTGCTCATGATTTAACTACAACAGTGGATGAAAGAGAGTTTTACGTGAGTATGCTCCAAGCATTCTTCGTGCGCCGATAATCCTTGTGTTCAGGCTTCCTAGCGTATCGTCTGTGGCTGCCCGAGCCGCGAATTACACGATAGCCCGCGTATTGTCCTCAAAGGCTAAGTTCATGAAGGGGATTGTATATGTGGTATTGATCTCAAATCTCAAAGGCCCCACCACTTTGAATGATTAAAAGAAAAGAACCCTCCTTTATCGGTTTGACTACAAGCACATTTCGCCGTGGGAGGTCTGGGTCACTATCAAGTGTCGTGATGGAAATTGCAGACAGAATGATAAAGATATCACTTGGTGCAAACAGGCAAACCGTTGCAAGCACAAGAAAATGATAAGTAATTACACTCTTTTTTCATAAGAACGACTAATTTGGGTACTGAGGCTAAACGTTCTAATTTTTTTCTGCGATTTGAGCCTGAAAACGTTTATAATATAATATATTCTCAAAATTGTGCGGTAAAGTTCGGACGTGAGTTAATTGTCCTGTTAGACCACAGAACAAGGTTCTCAGTATTAAAAAAAAAAACCAGCGTAAGTGGTAAAGATAATTAAAAAGGTTTCTAATCTTCTTGCTCGATGGCTATAACGAGTTTTATTTCTTGGGTGGGCTTCCGGTTATTCAATGGTATACTTCGGAAGTATAACACTTAAACCATTCATTCATTAATTGCACTTAAATATACTCGTGCGAATCCCTTTTTCGTCGAACTGTTTCATGAATCCGAACGCCTGATTACTAGCCTATCATAAATGGAGCCACAAACGCTGGAGAACCTGTGAAGGCATACTCAGGATGAATTTGGTGGAACCTAAAAGACCTCATGGACACAATAGACGGGCGTGACTATTTATTGTTCCCTTTTTCGTGAGACAAACAAAACCGTTATTCTTTTCTACCTGTTACAAAAAATAACCCAAAAATCAATAAGGAAATGGTTCTCGGTTTATGATCAAGTTTTATTGAATTGTATTAAATACACTTTTTACGCTTTGGGAAAGAGTAAATTTGCAGAAGAAAAACGGGTCAGTTTTAAGCGTCCTTTCTCGAAGCCGAGCATGCCTTACCTTGAAAAACGCTTGAACGGGAAATGTATCTTGGACGTGAGTTTTTACATGTCTTCCCCTCTGCCTCTAACCTGTCCTTAAGACAGGCTCAAACATTGAGACAACAAAACAATCCAGATTATCCATGCTTAAAATTTCCTTCAGAACCTCCTGAGACAATAACATCCGTATAGAACAATATTTGACTCCTGTTTGCGTATTTACCAAAGTGTTTAAACCTGAAAGTTATGTCCGTGCCGGCAGAGCTTTCTGCCAGGATTAGTGACAATTACCGAGGTTTCATGTCGCCTATCTCATCAGAGTTTGAAATGGAAGAACGGTAGATTGAACCCACAGAAGACGCCGACCAACCCAATAAACGTAGTGAAAATGGAAGTACCTTCTACGTGAAAAGAGAAAAAATTGAACAAATGATAAAAAATACAATTACCACCACGTCAACAGCCATGAACAGCTGTTGTTACACCCTTTCTGTACGGTACTGCTTAACTAGAGGCTTAGGGATTCCCTTGTAAAAAAAATGTAAAGAGATACGAGTAAAGCGCATTTGTGATGATAAAAAAATTCCCTCGTTGGTCTGCAGTTCGGCACACAGATAAAGTAAGACGCGGTTCGATAGATATTACACAATCGCCCCTCTTTACTTTCAACCACCGTCTCTTTTGGCTGAATCAAATGTTCTTTCAGCAGTTGTCGTGATGCGTGAATATCGTAGTTTCTGCCTTTGCCTCAAACAGTTTATCTTAACAGTTGCAGTATTGACGGTGTCAGATGGACAAGAGGATTGGTACACAAATTGAATCTAAATTGGGAAAGATTAGCCGACGATGGCGCAACATGCGATAGTCCGAAATATGCGGAAAACTTATAAAAACCAAAATTGATTTAATACCCCATTAAATCGTAAGTAAACTTAATCCGATTTAAGCCGAGAATATGGAACGAGCATGATTTCATGTCTTTATCGCATCGAGCGACATCACACTTCAGTACCTACCTCTGAGTACGAATCTTTTTATGCGTTCAGAATTTCTCAACTGTTGCTTTGGAATAGAAGCTTTCATGGTTTGTTTTCTTGAAATAGGAGGTTCTCTTAAGCTCTGTCAACCGTGTGATTAATTAGTAACTTCCATGTATTATAGACGTCAAATCTTTTGTTTACTTTTTGTGTAATGTAATTAACATTCAAATGCGGGGGTCTCTCTTAAAGTTTTGAATATTCAAATGAAAATTTCATCATCCAAAACTCATGATGTTTTTACCAAATCCTTGGCACTTGTGATCCAAAGAAGATCAAGATGGGAGAACCTAGAATTTCCGCATTTTAAGCCTAATGTTTGGGTTACTTAAGGATGTGTTGAAAATCAACGCACGTGATAGGTCAATAAAATCAAGCCAAGACTTGTGAAAGTTCAAAACGCCTTCCCTTTCGGTTCTACCTATTAGAGCTTGTAACACCTTTTATTTTTTCCCTTTTTTCACCCGTTCCCCTCAGTTATTTTCGTTGCCGAGGCCTATCGCAGGCTGACAACGCTAGCATTTGCTGGTAAAAATTCACTGGAAGTAATCACAAAGCGTGACAGAGTCCCGGGGGTTTGTTATGCGTGGCCTGATTGGTTCAAATTATGGCGGGTAATTTGTTCAAAAAGGGGCACGTGGAGAAAGTGCACACAAAGTATTCGCGCAAAAATCAGTCATTCATTTCGACAGGAGACCTGGTCCCGTGAAGGTCTCGATTGACTGATCAAACGGCTCATCTGTAAAAAGCTTAAACAAAAATTTGTATTCTTCTAGCACTGCATCGATCAGTCTGCTTTTCGATTGATTTAGTAAATGGCAAGTGAAAGGTTAGGATCGTAAAAAAGCCGTGATTGTTTATTTTGTGATTGCAAGTTAATTGTAAACCCTCCTATGTATGCCATATCAACAAGCGAATCGAACTTATTTATTGCTTTGCCCTTGGGCAACTAATCTTTTAGATCCTGGGATTTTTCTTGTCCAGAAAGTGTTTTTTCACAACTCACGATAACTTTTCAGTTCTCACATGGCTGGTTGTAATTATATTTCTAGTGACTGTGCCGCGAAAGACCTCCGCCATTTGAGTTTGGAATCTGTCGACGAAGCGAACATACGAAAGAGGAAGGTAAGTATGAAATGTGTTTTCGCTACTTTTGTGCATAATACAGATTTGACGAAGCTTTCGTTCACTTGTAGAGAGATTCTTGCTCCAGAGGAGCTTCTAGCAAGCGGACGAGAGCGGCACTGCAAGAGAAGGTAAGACAATGTTTTGCTTTCCCGCCATGGACGAAAGCCTCCCGCCATTTTGGGCAGTCATTGTTCGGTATGATCGAGAAGTTTGCTTTGAAATCATTTTCTCTGAGCTTACATTTCGTATTGGTTAAGTACGAAAATGTCGTTTGCCTGCTTATTTAATCTTTCGGCGGAATGCGAAGATCGGGAAAATTTCGACAATTACATTCCCCCAATGTGCTAAGAAGAACTGCTCATCCGAACAAGACGAAGTGCTAAGTCTTGATAGAGTAGATATTTCATTCATTCTAATTTGCTAGTGAAATATTTCCTCTAGATACAAATAAATCGGGAACCACGGTGCTTTCGTGAAAAAGGAACAAAAATGATTCAAGGGATCTACATTCCGGGAGAGACGGAATTTTGATTTGAGTTTCTCTAATTACTACTACTGGCGTGGTTAGTTTACCCCCTCGCTCTTAAACTGGTGGTAGTATTGACGGATTGAGCCAAAATCACAGATATTTGTGATTACGACTTGCTGAGTAACCAGTTACCAATTTATCTGAACTGGTGGTTCTGAGAAAGCGTCTCTCTGACCTAACATGCTTCACTTTATTGTACAACAAAATAGCTTAAGAGATGGACATTCGTGTAATATGCAGGAAATCTTTGCATGATCGTTCACCAAATCTTGTCGCCGCTTAATTAAACTGGTTTTATCTAACTTCGTGTTCAATAGATTTTTTGACTGATTCGTTCTTCTAAGAAGGTAATTTCCTTTGTCATTGAAAGACCAAAATTGCATGGGTATGACTATTTGTTTCTTTTTAATAATTATATAATTTAAGTGATATTAATTACTCCTCGTGGGCAAAGGAGTTTAACGGCAAAATTTATTAGATGTTAAATGAAAAGTTGTAATATCTCTCGTAGTGTTGTCGAATTTCTACTCGAAGCAAAAGATCAATGATTTTTTTATTCCAACATTCAATGGCAAATTCTTGAAATTTTGTGGTTGCCACATACGAACTGGTGTAATATTTTTGAAAAATTCATCAGTCCATTTCATTTTTTCATGATGGGTTGTTTACTTTAGGTATCACGGTTACTGCAAAAATAATAACAGCTTTCTGTTTGTTCTAGAGGACCACCAGTGTTTATATTATTTGTTCTTAATCTGGTTTTGCAATATGAAATTCAGTTATTCCATAAATTTTATGATATTCATTTCAGTTATATAACAGTTTCCCATTTAAAGAATACATAACATGCTAGATATCCACAAGACTTCAGCATGTTGCAAAGCAAAGCATTTTTTTGTTGTAGAGTGTTCTGCCACTTTGCACAATTTCTGCTTCGGTGGATAACCTCAGGTTGACCTTGTTATTTTCTATTATTTTAAGCTTTGAGCACAGGGTGAATATGTAAATATTGCAAAAAATCCACCGGTAAATCTTAACTGAAATGCTTATCCCTGGATTCTTTTCTCTTCTATTACGACTTTCATTTTAGTTTCTTTAAAGCCTTTGTATTTTGTTAAAAAAAATACCTGAGCTATCTATACAATGAAATTTTGGATTCCTTTGTATGTAAATGTTAAAAAAAAAACTGAAAGCAAAAACCAATTAGTCAAGATTGTGTTTCATAGTTGACTTCCACAAATAAAATTGTTAATCTTTACAGAATTGTCAGATAAAGAGATCACCAAAATTTAATCAACAGACAAATACCATTTTTCAACCTTGATTAATTTTTACTGTGTAATATGTCAGATTAAAAAGTAAATACCACTGTCACTTAGTTTTCTTGACCATGTTTGTTTAATTGCCCAACTGAACATAAATAATTGGCTTCAGCACAAGTTACCTTGGAATGGCTTACGCTTGAAATTAAAGGTCAAATAATAAAATATTCAACATACAGAGGAAACCAGTTGATATTGAAGATTAAATGTTAAGAAATCCAGGATGGATTTTAACAAAATCTACATAGGCTGGTGTTTAATATCTTTATTTAAGTGGCTCTTTCTTAGTGTCTGGGGGCAGATTTCCACCATCTGTTCCCCTATATTCTTTATAATTATGTTGCTCACCTGACATGCATAGAAAAACGACCATTTTATAGGAAGCAACTTACCTAAGTTGAAAAAAAATTGTTTACTTTGGCTTTAAGGGAAAATAATTCAGTTTTATTTGGCATACTTATTATATAATAAATAAACTAAACATTCTTCTAGATAATTTGCTTAAATATGATATGGGTAACAGAAATCCAGCTTAAACTTTGCCTCACAGCTGTATAAACCTAACAGTGTTTCATGCAAAAAATTTGTGACAGTTTGTGGGTAATCTAGAAAAGAATTGAAAGTCACACAAGTTTCTCTTAAGGGACACATATTTGAACTAGAGTATAAAGAGAAGTTATTGGCCAGGATATTCTTCCCTTTTTCAATCTGTATCTCTCTCATCTCAGATAGGAATCTACATGTTGGAAACTTTGTCTCTGTTTGATGATGACCCAAATTCATTTTCAAGTCATCATACTTAATGAGCCATAAATAGTTCATAACTGCATGCCATTGTCAGAGAGTTTTTGTTTTGTTTCTCAGGTATCCCAGCCTATCATTTTGGTATTGCAATATTGTTAATATAAAGAAGGAATTAGTGATTAAATCAGCACTTTTTTGAGCAATACTAGTTGTTTTGGTGTTTCTACAATTTTAAAAGAGATGTATATTTTTTACTCCTTATTTTAATGTTCCAAAATACACCTAGTTACCATTTCATACTCCTTCTGCCACCCTAAAGTTTTTTTTAAGGGTTTACACCTACATGTAAACTTTGGAAATATATTTCTACTTTTACTGTTAGAAAAAATATTTTGCAGGTTTCAAATACTATTTTGTCTGAAGATGTCATCAATTATAGTATGATCTACAGCCAATTATTAGCTCCCTATATTTAAGATATTACAGATAACATGCATTCATTTATTCACCTAAAAATGACTGGTAAACTTGTTACCATCATTTCTTCATTTTAGACAACCCAGATGTCTGTGCAACCATTTTGCAGCACTGAGGGAAGCATTAGTGGATTCTCAAGGATTGAAACAAGAAGTCAACGACAATCAAAGGCATTAAAGGAACACACAGCAAGCAACGCTCTCCCCGAGTTTGGGAAATCTAGTAGTTATACTTTCAGCAATTACTTTATACCGGTTGTCAAAAGTGTGATGCCTCTTCCTGAGCTTGACTGGGCAGATCCCAAAGAAGTGTGGGCAAAAATGCTTGAGAAAGAGAGGAAGTATTCAAGAGACCCTCTATATTTTAGAAAACATTCATTTATTCAGCCAAGGATGCGGGCAATTCTACTGGATTGGCTAACAGAGGTAAATACTTTTAACACTTTCTTTTTAATTTTCATTTTGATAACTATAATGATTGTACATAAGTGTTAAGTGAGAGCCTTGAAGGCATCCAAGCATACATCAGAGGACCCCCCCCCCCTGCAAAACTTAGTTTTTGAATGAAAGTTTAAGGCAAAGCTGACATGTATAAAGGAGTAGAGGAGGAGGGGGGGGGGAGAGTCTGCTTTAAGTAAAAAAAAAAATATAAATCTGTTAAAGTCACACAACTAAGAAGTTTGAATTAATCCATGACTGGAGGTGTAAGAATTTGGCCATGTTGTGTGTTGGAGGGAAAGGCTCAAACAGCCAGTTATTGTAAACAAAACAAATGAGCACACTCCAAACAACCCCTGATTACTCCTCTTTACTCAGCACACAAACATGCTCCTTAAAGAGAGTGCAAAGTATTTCACAAATGTGCTGAACAACATTCTAACATTCTTTATCTTTCTTTGTGTCTAGGTTTGTGAAGTTTATAGACTGCACAGGGAAACATATTATTTGGCAGTAGACTTTGTTGATAGATACCTGTCAGTTAAACATGACATTGCCAAGCAAAGACTACAACTTGTTGGAACAACGGCATTGTTTATTGCTGCTAAGTTGGAGGTAAGAATTGGTTTCAAACAATTGTTATTATTATTATTTTTCTTTTCAAGAAAGAGGTGCGAGTTAAGTGTGTAATGTGTTTCTTTACACTGTTTTCAATATTTACAGGAAATTTACCCTCCCAAAATAAGTGAATTTGCATATGTCACTGATGGTGCCTGTACAGAAAATGAGATCCTACATGAAGAACTGCTCATGTTAAAGGTAACTAAATGATTTTAATCCCACAAAATTCATGTTAGGGATGCTGCCGTGGTTTCAGTATTATTTATACCATTTCACAAGAGATATAACGGCTAATCAGTTAAGTTAAGTACACAAGTAAGTAACCTTTATCAATGTGGTATGGTAAAGTGAAAGTCAATCAGAGTGGAAGAAAGCTTTTTACACTCAATGGTATCAACCCAAACCTTCCCAGCATGCATTTAGGGAGAAGTCTCATTTCTGCTTTCAAACCATTTTGTTTTTGAACTTTGAATGTTTGAACTGCATTCTGATATTAAGTATTAGTTGCTTTATTTTCTATTGCATTTCATGTGTAAAACAGTCATGCAACACTTGGATCAATTTCAGTTTCTGAGCAGCCGCACATCTATCTTCCCCTAACCCAATGCTAACCCTAACCTGTTACAATTTGACTGTTTTTGGATCAGGGAAGGGGGGTAGGTGTGCAGTTGGTCAGATACTGACATTGATTCCAAGACTCTCTTGTGGTATACCATGGAATGTTCCACTTGCGTGTACTTAGTAAACACACTTTTCACTCATCTATTTATTGCTTTCTTGTCTACAGGGGTTGTGTTGGAATTTAACACCAATCACTGTCAATTCATGGTTAAATATCTATTTACAGTTGTCTTGTGTAACAAGTAAAAACGGTAAAACATCAAACTTCAGCATCCCTAACTACTCACAACCAAGATTTGTTGAAGTTGCACAAGTAGGTCTTCCCTTGCATATTTATTGTCTATGCAATGTGTGATTGGTTGCCTCTTAGTCTTTAACTTTTTCTTTGTTTTAAGTATCTATGCACGTATGCATAGATGCATTTATGTCTTATTAGTGCAGCTGCACACCCACCCAACCCCTAACCCAAAATTAACCTGATATTTTGATACTGACATCAATTCATATTATGCAAGTTGTGTGATATTTTTGTGAGCCCTGTTGAGGAGGGAAAAATACCTGTATTGAGTAAAATGTATGCTCATAACATAATGTTACAACCACTTAACAGGGGATTTATTCTTCTGCTGCTAAGAATATTCCATTTACTAATATTTCAGCTTTAGGTTTCAAAATACATCCAGTGGTACTATCTAATAATATTGTTGATTGCTGCCTAATTTTATTTCTTTTTCTAGCTTTTAGATCTGTGCATCCTGGATGTAGGTTCTCTGCAGTTCTCCTACAGTATTCTAGCTGCGTCAGCTCTTTACCACATGCTTCCAGTTAATGTTGAACAAGCTACAGGTAAGGAACAAAGATCAGCCTTGCAATAACATCCTGTGTTCAGGTAATGGATGATGTAACTGTTGCAAGACAATGATTCCTGCACATAGAGAGGTATTGGCAAAATTGCATTGCAACATATTTGTGATATACAGTAACTACAACTTTGCTCAGTTCTTCAAGAGGCAGTCTTATATGGACAGGGTGTTGATCAGCCATTGGAGATCAGGGAATTCTCCAGCACCTTAGCTTTTTTAACCCTCTAACTCCCATAAGTGACCAAGAAAGAATTTCTCCTTACAATATCAAAACAATATCAAGCAGACAAGTTATGAGAATAAAGAAAAATATCAGTTAGGGGATTATAAGATGATCCAATACTAAATCCTCCAAACTAACATCACAAGAACTGTATAGGAGATAGTAAGGAGAATTACTAATGAGATCTCGGGAGTTAAAGGGTTAAAATTTTTCACAGAATTCTATGGTGACTTTGATCCATTTTCCTGCTGCTACATTTTTAAATGAAAACCCTGATGAACTTTAAGCGACTCAAACTCCTTGCAAGCAACAATATAACTTTGTGACAGTTGCCAGAGCTCATGAGAAAGGTCAATAATTATTGTGCTATATTAGTTATTTAAGTTATCTTACATTGAATTCCAGGACATTCACGGGAGGAACTTCACCCATGTATTCAGTGGATGACATCTTTTGCCCACATCATAATGGAGAAAGGAGCAGCAACCATCAGAAGTTTTGAACAAGTTCAACGTGAAGATGCTCACAACATCCAAACTCATGCAGTAGACATAGCATCACTTGTAAGTGAAAACTTAAAGGATCTTTACATTATGATGGCACTTGTTCATACCTGTACTACTGGCTTAATCCTTTCACCCCCTAAGAGTGACTAGCATCTAATTTCTCCCAACCCATTGCACCTGAATCAAAGTTGAAGGTCATGAGAATACAGGAAATGATCACCAACTAAAGAACCCCTTGATTGTTAACCAAATTCTCCTTGCTGGCTCCTTGGAAAATGTACAGAGAGCAGTGTGGAGAATATGCATACAGATGTTGAAGTGTATAGAGTTCAAGGGAAATATTAGGATCTTAGTGGTCTATAATAGTACTTCAGGTCATCCCATTCTCCATATCGTGACCAGCTGTGGTATTAATAGACCTACCCATCTACAGAAGTCAAACTCGATCATGATCTAAAATCAAGTTTCCATTTCATCAAACCACTGTTGCTCACTTTTGTGCACCTCTCAGTGGTTTCCTCCTTTAAATATTAGAAAAAAAAACTATTTGTAAATTTTTGCTTAGAAGGGGCCTGGCCAAAGGTTTCTAGTGTTAAAAGCAAATATAATCAAAATGTGAATTCAAGAAGTTTTCATCTTTAACCCTTTAACTCCCAGATTAAAATTGTCATTCTTCTTACTGCCAATCATACAATTTTCATGTTAGTTCAGAGTATTGATTAATTAGTTGATTCAATTTAGTATTGAATCAACTAATTATCCCCAAATTGATGTTTTTCTTTATTCTCATCACTTGTCTGGTTGATGTTGTATTGATATTGTAAGGAGAAATTCTGTCTTGGTCACTCATGGGAGTTAAAGGGTTAACAATCAAGGAGGTACCTTAGGAAAATAGTACTGTTATTGTATTTAATTGTAAAATGTCATAATTCCTTTTCAGGATAAAGCTTTAGCTCTTCAAAGCACTCTTGGTAAAGAAACAGCAGAAAACAGGTCAAGATCTCCAAACATTGAATCATTTAAACCACTTACCCCACCAAGCAGCACAAAAAAACCTGCCTTAGACTCTGTCATAATGATAGAATGAAACAAATTAGGTCCACGTTAAACTTTATTCCTGCTCTGTTTCATCTTTAGAATACTTTATTAGGGGGTTTCACAATTTGTGCCCAATATTATGGCACTCTCCTCATGGTGTTAACTCTATCACCCCAAGGAGCCATCAAAATTGAATTCAACACCAATCAGGCAACATTGCTTTATTTAACACAAAAAGACTCGGATCTAAAATTATAAGAAGTGTACTGCAAACAGTATGAACAATTAATATTTTGCTCCTGGGAATGGAAGTGTTAACCATCAGCTAATTTATTTAAATGAGACATTGGTCACGGAAAAATCTTGGGATAGAGAAGGATGTTCAACAAAATGATATTAGCAATGCAATCTCTACAAATAGTACTTTTAACTCAGGATTCTTGGAGTATAGAGTTCTATCCATTTTGCATTTTGATCTCAGTTAGTGGAACCTCCCAGATGTTTAATGATCAAGTCTCCTGCTGTGTGTTTTTACCCTTAGTTAATATTCTAACCCTTTTTAATTTGTGTGTATGTTGATAGAAACCTTCAAAAGTAACAAATGTTAAGTTACACCAATAGTTGGCAAGTGTGTACCTGCAACCCAAGTCTTTTTTTACATTTTAGTATTAAAACTAAACCGTATTTTGTATAGTCTAAGAGTATTTTTTAAATTTTAAAGAAGGATTTTTTTTTTAATGATTCTGAAGGGCTGTCCACAATTTTTTTCCCTTCTTTTAAGTAAAGTAATTTGCATGACAGATCTGTTTTAAAGTGACAAACATAGTAGTAAAAGTAGCTATAAATAGGCAGGGGTCAAAATAAGCTGCTACTTACCTGAAAAAGTTTGACTCCAGGAACATTTTTTGATGTAATAACTTCTAGAGGGGATTAACATAACATCATAGTTATCCAGGAAAGAGGTGAGAAGGATAATCAAACTCACCTTGATAAAACACAGTTAATTTACCAAATGGTTATTAGATCTTGGTAGTTAATGGATGAATTACTAAATGGAAAAAAGTTTTAGGAGGCAAGTTTTTTTTTATGGTGTCATTTGACTAAAAAACAACTAGTTTTGTTTTTTCTTCCTGTTTATAAAATTTTTGTTGAAGAGGATGAAGACTTAATTAAGTGAATATTTTAAGTATATTATTTGGATTTCTGGTTGAGCTGGAGTCAGTGACTGCATTGTAAAACTTGTTTTAACATAAACAACATTTTAGTGTAAGTATGGACAGGATTTTTTTTATTATTTTCAAGGTTTTTCAGAAGTGTTTGTATTATAGCAGGTATTTGCATTTTGCATCAAATTTCTACAACTTTTAAACTTCCTCTGTTGAAAGAGGGGCAGAGTAGGGTGTGAATTGCCTAGACGTACCACATTATCAATCATTTCACAGTAATTTACTGTGACTTGTGTACATAACCACATAGAGCATGTTGAAGCTTACAGAGTGTAATTATTTAGGTAGGCTGTTGAAATTTTTAAAAAAAATTATTCCACTGAGAACATTAAGGAACAAAAAAAATTGTATATTTGTATGCAGACTCATGATAATTTTCAAGTTGGTATGAGAGAACTCATTAAAGTTTGTCAGCTAATTTTGTTCATCTTAGTTCAGATGCCTAATGGCCCATTCAGCCTAACAGCTTACTCCAGTTTCTGTGGTTGGTCCATTGCAGGTCAACCTCCCCCAAAAAAAAAAAAAAAAAAAAAAAAAGGCTTTGTTCAATTGAAACAAACTCTCTTTTTTATTTTTAGACATTTATTTTAGAGTCAATGTTGAACATAGACTTTATGTCTAAATGGATGTTGAAAAGAATCTTTTGCAGCTTTGTTAAGTTGAAAAGTTCAAAAATAATAAAATGGGTTGTAGAACTGTATTAAAAAAATATCTCCATTACATGGTTTTTGAGAACGTATTTTACACTTGTTTTAAAAAATTTTCTGGCTTGATGAGTTCTGCATCCTGGAATCCAGTCTTCTTTAAGTTTTGTCATTTAGTGGAGGTCCATATCCACCTCCACCAGGGGTCTGGATTCTAAGACAATCCTACATTAAAAAAAACGCAATAAATGAATATTTTGCCCCGAGGAATGGTAACTTTGGAGGCATGAGATTTTTTAGTAACCCTTTGGTAACCCCATTTTTGTAGTTTGCCCTAAAACCTCACTGCTTCCATATTAATGGCCTAGTCCTCCCATTTTGCTCAAAAACTGTGATGATGGGGACAATTTTATGGAAAACAGGCCAATCTTCATTTCTGTGCATACTTGACTGTAAGGTGTATCTTATAAAAAGAGGTGTTATTGTTTGCAAAGGTACAAAGTGTGTGAAATGCCTCACCCCTGCACCAACTTCAATAGTTGTTTTGGAGCCAATGTTGATTACTTTTCCACTGTTTTGAATTAAAAGATTGATGCCTGTGCTTCCTGGTCTTCCTCCTGATAAAATTTTATTGACACACTGTTTTTAGGTCACAAAAACAAATTCTCACTTCCTAAAGGTGAGGGGATGGGGTTGTCTACCCAGCTGAAAGGGCAGCATGGTAACAATAGGAGCTAAACAAAGTAAATAATGTAGGATTTACAAACCAAGGAAATGGACATTTGTGATTGCATATCACAAAGGCCCATGCATAAATTCAAGATCCACATTTTTTTGTGCATTTCTACAAAAGGTGTTAGTGTAAATCTATGTAAAACAAAATGTTGATGATGATGCTGCATCTGAAGATTGATGATGACAAGAAAATAGACCAAGTGGAATCACTTCCTCATTAAAATGAAGTAATATGTTGTAATGAAGTGATTTTTAGTGTACATGTAATCAAAACACTTCATCAATAATATTGAAGGGTAGGTGTCATTAAGGCAGTGAGAGAGGAGGGCAGCAGTCTCCTGAGCAACAAGACCATCGCAAAGGTGACTGGGCCACAGCCCATCTTTAGGATCTCCTGAACACAACACTGAAAAGCTGGTGTGTGATATTGATACTTACCCAAAAGTAGGAAGGGAAAGAAGTGTGTTGTCTTATGGGCTGAAAACCTTTCTTGGATCAATATTAGTATCTGAGCAACTGCCCACCTACCACTCCCCGAACCCAACAGTAACCCTAACTTGTTATTAATTGACTGTTGTTGAGTTAGGGGAGGGGTAGGTGGGCAGTTTCCCAGATACTGATATTGATCCCTTTTCTTTACCTTGTAGTCCATAGGGTTGAAATGCTGATCTCCTCTCGCACAAAACTGACAAGACTTGTTTTCTTCTGAACATCAACTCTCGAATGACACCATCCCCTCCCTTGTAAAAACCATCACCTCCAGTACCAGGGTTGAGATGAAAGTGAAGAAGAATAACAGGATACCTATAGGGAATGAAAAGGAATGTAACATCTTAGACACATGTAGTATGGGACCAGTTTCTGGGTAGGATACAAATTGCAAATGAATACAATGTAGCAATTATAATCTGCCTTTCCCCAAAATGTTTGCAGATCAGCCTGCTTGTCAGTCCAATATTTTGTGGCACTATCTATATAGTGTAGCAGTTCTAACTTATAATCTTAGGATTTTAATTTATTTGTCTCCCAGTGAATCAGCTGTTACTGTTTTTTGATCATATGAACTTGCTTCTGTTTGTTGCTCCAGCCTTTTTTTTTCTTTTTCGAGGATAATAATGGCTGCCCAAACTAGAGTCTTGATCTTAAAAGGGTTAGGAGTGATTTCAACATATCACAAATTTAAATGACTGAACACCAGAGTATACTTGTTAGTTTTAATAAGTTTCAGAGTTGATGGCAAAACTAAAAATAAGTTGACTAATGGCAGACCAGGGCAAACTGAAATGTTCATATTTACCCAAGAAGAAACACAATTAGCTACTAAGTAGCTTCTCTTTGGATCACAATAACATTTAAATACTTTCATAATTGTTGCTGTTGTGCCCTTTGAGAATACTCCAGGCAGTACTACTTTCTCTTTACATACCTTCGCTCAATGATCTCTGGGTCTGTTATCCGTGTATTTGTCATGTGGGTGTGGACACCACTTCGTCCAATCCATGTAGGACCCTTAACAGAAACTCCAACTCATTTCTATCATATATTCAAAAGGTATGTCACAATGCAAATGCTAGTGCTGTATGTGTGTGTAATCAGAACTATTTTGTAGTTTACTTCCCTTGTATGCTTTAAAGTACATGACAATGACAATTGCCATGGCGGCAATGGTGCATGAAGATGGCAATGTCAAAGATAAACATGCCCAGAGAGCATTTTTAGTTTAAAACTTACAGCGCCTGCACCACCAGCCACAGTCTCATAATAGCCAAAACCTTCGTCACCAAAAGTTGTGTTATTCATACAGCCCTGAAAGAGGAAATAAGTTTGTGAGATCACTGACAACTTGCGACAGCTTGCCCACGACTTATGCCATTTTGCCGACAACTAAGACAAGTTTACAGACAACCCTAGCTAGTTTGAGGTGAGTTTGCAGACAAATCAACTTAGGCAAGCTTGCAGATAACTTTGACAATTTCAACTAAATCTTAAAACCATTTGCCAACCACTGTGGAAATTAACTAACCTCTCAAACAAGTCTGTTATTGACCCTGGTAAGTTCGCTGATAACTGAGGTAAGATAACCAACATCTCAGGCCAGTTTGCAGGCAACCCAAGGGATTTTACTGACAACACAGGATAGTTCTCCAAGTACTCAAGTAACTTTTTAAGAATGTTAACTTTTCATTACCTGTGATGCTGCACATACACCAAAAGCCTTGAGAACGACATCCACAACCCTCTGTGAGGTCAGGACACTTCCTCCAACCACTGCTGCAGAGGGTGAAGGATCTAACAGACAACCAGGAGGAATATGTACTTTTACTGGCACCAGACAACCCTGCAAGAAACAGCACAGAAGTTTGTTGAGTAACTTAAACATCTGCAATTTGGAGGATTCTTTTTGTTTGATCCCCTCCCTGGCCAAAATTTGTTGATTGACTGCTTTATCTGAGTCTTTCCCCACAAACCAAAAGTTTCTTATTGCACCCCACTTAATATTATCCAGGATATTTAAGCAACTGTGTAAGAGACCAGAAGATTTTTTCCATATCCTGGAGAACCCAAGACAAGCCAGAAGAGTTGACAGGGATGAACTTGTGGAAAAGAGGGATAAGGGTCTCGCTCAGTACCAGCACACTATACCATTACCCAGCCCAACACCCATGCTCAAACTGCTTGATTTTATGCATAATGGATAAATCAGGAGATGATCATGCTTCCACCAACAAAGTTAACATGAACTCATTGCAAATAAAATGTTTTTGCCCAGGTTTGACCGCAAGTTCAAAGTTACCATCAAAATTTCATTATGCACCGGCTCCAATTAAATGCTACCAGTCCTGGTACTCCTTGTATACAATAACACACCAACACATTCAAAGAGACCAGTTTTGCTTGAATTAGGTTTGCTTTTATGAATATTTCATCACACTTCTTGATTGTTTAATAATTATGTAAAAATACTTTCATTAGGCTTTACAATATTGTTTGTTCTTGTACCTGATTAAGAGGAATATCATGCTTAACCATGCTTCGTAAACAATAGATAATAGCAGAAAGAGAAATGGCCCGTGGAGCATTACAGTTTCCATATGACTCCTGGCCTGTTCCAGCAAAATTAAATACTGCTGACCCCTGTAACCAGATAAAAAAATTATTGATGTCTTCTTTTAGGTACAATCACCTTTAAATGAGTTTAAATAATTTTTGCTATAATCCAGCAGGTAAGAGAGGATAGAATCAATGCAGAGAGTCTTTCGTTCTGCACCAATCCCATCCTTAGCAAAAATAAAACAAGAAGCAACAAAAAAGTAAAAATAAAAAAAAAAAAGCCATTCAAAATGAACTGTAGGTACCTTGTTTTCATCAATAGAAATTGTAAGATTAATTGGAGTCCCATCATCCATATGTTCCAATGCATGCAGTACTGACTTTCCTGTTCTTTCCTATTACAGGAAGCAGTTACTGTTAGACTACTTTTATTGACATATACAAATTTGACAAAACATAGCATTTGCTTAGAACACAGTTAAATTTTAAGAATAACATTATTTTTAATTATTAATTAAGAATAACATAGCACTCATTTCATCCTTACTTTTGTTTTCAGACCAATTTCTGTGAGCATTTCTCTAACAGCCAACTCAGCATTTTGCTAAAAAGAAAGATTGATAAAATTTGTTAGTACTCTTACAGAAATTCAACATACTCTTGACAAACTTTGAGTATAATTATGATGAACTTCCACAAAAAAAGTTCAACTGAACTTCATGAACAAATGAATTGATATATTTCATTTATACTTATTTTATTGAAGCATGTTTCCAGTGAAGTTCTTTAAACTGAGATCAAAGCAGTCAAAACTGGAGTATACTTGAGTTTTTTATAGTGATGCCATAATGTATTCACTTTTCAGAGTAGCAATAAAATGTTACCATACCTGAATGTAACCCATGTAGGCTTGCACAACAGGAAGACTATACTCATCTATAAGTGCATTTATGAGGTTGATTCCCTACAGTAAAAAGATGTGAAATTTTCATTCAATGGTCCTACTACCACAGACGTGAAACCCATGAGACACCAAATGAGACTGTTGCACACTCTGTTTATCTCTTTCACTCCCAGATCTTAAAAGTAATTCTCCTCACTGTCTGCCAAACAATTCCTGTAATGCTAGTTTGAAGAATTTGTTATTGGATCTTCTAGCAATCCCCTAATTTACATTTTTCTCTCTTCTCATCACTTGTCTGCTTGATATTGTATTGATGTTGTAGGAAGAAACTCTGTCTTAGTTTTGTCACTCATGGGAAGTAAAGGGGTACAGACAAAGAAGCAATAAGTTGTATCATGATAGGGAAACTTAGGTGCTCAGTGGATCAAAAGAGAGGCAAATTCCCCTTACCTTGTGATTTGCAGCCACCTGTGCCTTTAGGTCTGAAATGTTGTCCTGCAAATTACGACTTCCACTACAACCTGGGTACTTAGCAGGCTCCAACAGCTTTACCTTTAGAGCTAGTCAATCACACAAACTACATGTCATGATCAAATAAATTGTGGACAGTGAATTCCAAGAAAACAATGGGATTGCTGCTTCAAAACACTCATAGATGAGATGATTACCTTCTTCTTGAAAGATTCCTTTCTCCACCAATTTAAATGACATAAATACAGCTCCCTCATCAAAGATTGAATGGGAATGGGGGGGCATTGAACCTACCAGAGAGTAAAATTTCATTTTAGCTTTTAACAATTATAGTTTACCGGACATTTTACTGCAAGCATAACAATCATTAGTGTTAGTAATGTAACTGCTGAATGTAAAAGTAAGGTAAAAGCTGAATGCTTTGATTCACTTGTACCAATTTTCATATCACCAATTAACAGAGTGTGCATCATGAACTTATTCAGATGACAGCTTAATATCCCCAAACTAAAGGTAACATGACTGGTCACCTTAACCTAACTTTTTTCTCTGAATGAAAATCAAGGATGTAAACAAAATAAATAAACTTCTATGTAGTGACAGTATAAAGAGCATCTCTTAACTTTGAACAGGAACTTTAATTGGGATTTTGAGAGATAAATTTATGAAGTGCAGTCTTGAGTATGATAAGTGAATTATTCTCTATAAGGTAAATAACTGCTTCTCTCAATTTAGAATAAGATGAATTACCTGGGGCTATTCCTCCAACATCTGCATGATGACCTCGACTTGCGACAAAAAAGACTGGCTTACTTTGGCCAGGATAAAAAACCTAGAATAAGTTTAAAAAAAACTCAAGTATATCAAATACATCCTCATTATGTCTGCAAGGTATTAAATAGAAATTAGCCCTTTACACCCTAACATTAGCATACATATTCTCCATACCATTCTCTATAATTTGCTATGATGTACACAAGAAGAATTTGTTTAACAATCATGAGCTGTCTTAGATAGTGATCAATTCCTTTGTTCTCATGACCTTGATATTTGATTCAGCTGTGATACTGTGAGGAGAAATAGGATGCTCATCACTCTTTTGAGTCAAGGGGTTCAATAGAAATTAATCATTAATTAAAATAAAGTGATTTTTTTACCTTTCAACTCTACATTTTTTCAGTTGTACCAGTATTTCCTACTCAATGTAGGAGACAATAATTACCATTAAGCAACTTAAACCAAGGTTGGTCAAGGTTGGAAAATAGCTTAAATCCGGATTAAACTTACTGGGGTGATGACTGTGAGGTCTGGAAGATGTGTTCCTCCAGCACTTGGATGGTTACTAAGTATTACATCACCTTCATTCAGACTATCTCCTAAATGATCAATCTGCAACAAGATGTCTTAAGGTGACTTCTGATCTATGATTTGGTAGAAAATCAAGGTAGCTGGCAAATTATTTCTTCAGGGAAAACTAAATTCTCAAACAAGACCGGTAGTCACCAGTCTGATTTGTGCACTAATAGGACAGTGTACTTATCATGCTTGTAATTGGACAGTGTAATATGACATCTGACATGTCATGCCTTTACAGTACGCATTATTTGCATGTGCTATTGTTGTGCATTTTGCCGAGTTGTTTTGTGTTTCTTTTTTTTCTTCTGAAAAATTGTAACCAATGTCTAGTTTCTTACTCAAATTTTGTCATAGTTTTGACTAATTGGTAACAAGACTAAATGTCTTCCAATTCTGTCCGTAATCTTATTCATGATTAACAACTTCTGACTCCCACTTCCTGGTCGTCTGAATTTCTTAATCACTCATATGATTACAGACCAAATTGAACTACACTCAGTCCTTATATTATAATTGATTATGTAATGTACCTGATATTTTACAGTTTCTTGCATTGATCCAAGATGCATTGGCACATGTGGGCCATTAGCAACAAGATCACCAGCTGGACTAAACATAGCACAAGAAAAGTCAAGCCTTTCCTAGAAAAAGAACATATCATATATTAATGGAGTATACATCTAATACAAAAAGTAATTAAGACCATGACAACAATAGCTGTCAGTTGCATTATGGTTGTCACCAAAAGATTAATGGATTGAGTAACATTCTGCTCCTAAAATGTAGCTTGAAATCAGGAAGTGTCAGTCAGCAGTCTTTTAGGCATAGCAGACAGAACAAAGGCAACTACAGCTGCCTAATTAAAAAATAGGAATTGACAGCTAAGTTTTCCCACTTGGTCGAAGCAATGCAATGTAATAAGGATGTCTTTGTCTTCAACCCATGGTATGCCAAAATACTCCCCTGCAGAGTCATACTTCTTACCTTGATATTTGTGGATATTGCAGTCCTCTGAAGAACCCTATAAATGTTCAAATATATCATTCATTAATAACAGCTCGCAATTATCACTTTTGTTATTATCCCTCATAATACAGAATCTGATAAGTTACATGAATTTACCTTCCCATTTGATCCGTTATACTCATAAAGCGATGGGAAAAGATGGAAAGCTGCAAAGTTAAAGGAAAGGTCAATAAGGATACTTAAAACAATGTTTGAATCCAGAGCTACAGTTAATGTTTTTGGTAACAGAGAGGGTACAGTACACTTTGTTGGGTTTACAGTTTACTTACTTGTATTGCATCCAGCTCTGTAGTGACTTGTTTTCTACCTTTGTTTTTTCCTATCTAGAAAACATGAACCAATTAATTTAAATAACATAAAAACTGAATAAGTAAAGAAAATTATTTTCAAGGGCAATTCCATCCATGAGAAAATTGTATTCAAAGTACAAAAAGTTAATAGATAAAGAACTATTACCTCAATCCTGATATCTCCAGACTTTGTGATGTAAGCTGTACACTGTGGCTCCACAAGAATAGTACTGCAAACACAATTGTCACAAAAATGTGCAATGTAAAAATTGAATCCTAGTTTTTTTTCTTTAAGCATTGGCAGATGAATATATTTAGGGAATACCTGCATCATTATTTATTATGAATAAATCTTAAAAAATCATTTTTTTTTGTAAAACAGGGTTACATTTCACTTGTAAAATGACAGTATATTATGAATGAGAGATGACCAGGAACCAGAAAGATTTGGTGTTATTAACACTTCCACCAATCCCTTTGAATTTTTCTACTACAGTCATTTCCATTTACAGCCCTGTCACTACAACATATTTCAATTTTCATGGTTATGGTGACATTGTCAATGACATTGAAGACCTACCTTCACATAAATCTAATTTGTCACGATATATTGTCATTTTTTATAAGTTCTTTGAGCCACTTGGTGCAGAATCCTCTTTTAATTGCTATGGAACACCTTTGGCAGAAAGCCCTCCATAAGAAACTAATTGAAACAGACCTATCATTGCAGAGTTGCCTTTACCTGTGTTGATCTATGATGATGGATGGTCCTTTAATGAAATGCCCTTCAGCAAGGTCGTTGAGGAAATAGACTTTGGTGTCAAGGTAGCCACCCTCAAAGAAACATTTAGTTACCTGGATACAAAATGATTCAAATGACAACAGATCAGATCACAGTCTTACCTAGAACAGATAGCATCAACACTTTACAACACTTTACAACACTTTTTTTAATAATATCTGTTCCTGACAGCATCCAAATGTAACTTTGTACCACTTCCAAGAAAAGCAAATTTTAAACACAAAATGAAGGGATATAGTTTCTTAAGTTACTGTTTGCTCTGATGAAGAGCTTCAACAAAAATTTGGCATTGAAACTCTTCACAGTGGCCACTTTATATTGTGAACTCAGTTGATAAAACCCAATTGCCTTAAATACAAAATACTTTTGGACGTTTCATTCTCACTCTCCCAAGTTAAATGCAATATACAAAAAAATCAACAAGGCAATGATTAAACTGCTGAGTTTTTCAGTTTGGAGTTGCAATTCACGGATCAAAATTAAACAGGAAATTACAGTGCCAAGTTTAAATAATAATCTAATATCTCCTGCAATAACTCCCCTGAATCACACTTGAAGGTCACAAGAATAAAGGAAATGATCACCAACTAAAGAAGCTCTTGAGTGTTAAACAAATTCTCCTTGTCAGCACCTTAAGAAGTATATGATGAACAGTATCGAGAAAATGCACACTGATGTTAGGGTGTAAAGAGTTAAATCAGTGTCTAAAGAGGGCAAAAGAGAAAAAAATATAAAGTATATACTACAGCATGATGCACCACCCTGCTTACCTTTTTGACTGGTGGCAAAGCACTTGAATGAGAAAGATGATGAGTGACTGATGTTTTGGAATGCCCACAGCCTCTTACACGCACATCATTGACTATGATGTCCCGTTTAGGAATGGTAAAGCCAAACTCTTGCATATACCTGTTAATTACTACAACAGTTAATTCACATAACAACCTATCTTTAAGATGTTTGCGAGTGCCTAGTGTTTCATACCCAAAAATGTTTCTTTCAGTTATTGGAGTATCTAGTTCTCCTTCATTTCAATGTGAGCCTGCACATAAGCATTGTGACAGTTTTTGTCAAGAACAAGGTGGATCTCAGAACTCCTCACTGGGCATTCACCAATAAAGAAGGTTCTTGGGTCTTTAGTAATTAAGAGTTGTCTGGAACCCAAAAATTTCAAGACACATCTTGAATTACAATCAAGTAATTCACTTTCAAATACTCTTAGAACTTCATCTAACAACCAGAGAACTTAGAACATAAAAAAATGTAAATGCTTATGTATAAGAAATTATATCAATATTGAATGATCAGCAATTACCTCTCTGTGAAAACTTTACCAAAGTCAGCGATGTTGAAGCAAGAACTTGTCCCTGACTATTTAGTATCGAAAAAAAAAACATTAAAAAATAGCTATTCAGAGATAACTGTTAACAGCAGGAATACCTGAAATTTCCAAAGTAATGTGCTATAGGAATAAATTAAAAAATGAGCAACATGCAAACTTCAGAATTACCTCTTCTGTTTGGCAAGGAGAGATATTGCACATCAATGCACAATCAGTTCCATTGTATCTCATGTGCAGAAATATTTCTGTAGATATCTGTTCACTGAAAAAAATTTGTCAAGTACATTTAAACAAGTGGTAGTTAAAATTAATTTTTTTTTAAGAAAAATGGGCACTATAACATTAAAATCTCTGCTGATCCTTCTAGCCATTCCACCCTTGATCAAGTGGGTCTGGCTTGAAAAGGTCAAAAAGGTATTTTAATAAAAAAAAGACTGGCAGAAATAATGCTTATTGGCAAATGAAAAAAAAATATTTTGCAACTCTACATCATATGTACTACCCTATAATACTTTCCTCAATTCCTAATTGATACATTTTTTAAACTCTAACAAATTCTCAAGAAACTTACTCATCAAACCCTTGCAGTTTGAGCACATCTGCACACTGCTGCATGAGGAAATCAATTCTTCCCTCTAAGTACTGGAATGAGTCTGGATGCATGCAAAGTATTGTTACCTTCTTTTAGTTATATGACCGATAATGATCAAACAGCTTTGCTCAAATGTTTTAAGATAAAATAATGCAAGTTTTGTTCACTGATAGGTGTAAATAAGCAGTCTGTAGAAGTGTTGACAAATTCTTAAAAATTTTTTACAACAAACATAATTAGAACAAAACAGCTCCAACGGGTCTGTAAATACAAATGTCATCATTAGGCAATGCATACAAAAATTTTATGATAATAGGCAAAGTCATACAAGTGTAAAGAGTCTGTAGGTTCACTTGATGTTATAGAGCAAAGACAGAATGCAATGAAGTAAGATCATGGCAATCCCAGATTATTTGTAATTACAAATTAAAAAATTTCTCTAAAATTATGCTCACCTTTGTTATAAACACAGCAACATGGCTCTTGAGCTTCATGAACAACATCTGCTAAAGCCAATCCAAATGCTGAAAGGATTCCTGAATAGCTACCAAGATATACAACATTAATTAATTCTCAGCCTGCACTTAGTCAGAAGATATTTCATAACTTGTAGCAACATCAGTTTGGGAAAGTCTCTTGCTTGTAACCTTGAATATTATTATATAATTATTAATAGTAATTTTAGGTTTTTGCCTGCTAATCTGCCAATGCAAAAGTTTATTTCTAAGACTATGAACTATTGCCCATAAACACATAAAACTAACATTCATGTGTAAATTCTTTCTAGGACTAATTTTTTAAATCAATTTTTTTAAATCACCGATGAATGAGGACTGTTGACATCCCCAATGACTGAGCTATAGAGCATGCATGTTGACCTCCTGCTCCACCAAAACAGGCCAGGACATGATCAGCAGTGTTGTATCCTCTGCCTTGAGTCAAACCCCTGATAGGTCGGCACATGGTCTCATTAGCAACAGCAATGAAACCCATGGCTACTTCCTCAACACTAAGGTGAACATTCTGGCTATCACCACCTTGGGAGGCCAAGAATTCATTTATCTGAAGATTAATGAAAGAATACATTCAACATTTTTAAAATGGTCAACTTTGAGAGGGATTAATGGGCTGTTAACAAAGGTTTACCATGAATAAATGTGCCTACTTCAATTACAACAATGATTAAACAAGCTACAAGAAACCTCCAAGGTGAATCTCTGAAAAGTCTCCAATGCCCCTTGTTTGTCTAATGGAAGGTTCTCATCCTGTCCAAAAATCTTGGGGAAGAACCTGAAAAATATTGTTAACCTTTAACTCCCAAGATTTGATTGTTAATTCTCATCTCTTACTGCTACACATTTCCCGTTGAATCAGTTACAAGAATTTGGTATTAGATCAAGATAACAACTTCTACCTGATAAGTTTGAGTATTCTCATTACCTGTTTGCTAAATTCTGTGTGGATAAAATAGGGAGAAGTTACATGTCAATCACTTCTAGGAGTTAAAGAGTTAACACTGTGTTTAGTCACCATGAATAAATTAAAAATAAGTTGTCAATCACCCTTAGGGGTTTCATGGTTAAAGCCTTGAATGTTCTCTTTCTTAGTCCCACTGCTCCCGCCACAGAGGAAGAGATGTGGTTCAATTCAGTCTTTATCTACAATTTATTTGTTACAAACTGTGATCATGATCAGACCAAACTCACTCAGGAAGTATACGTCCAAGAACTAAGTTTGCATCAGTAAGAGCCAATGGCCCACCTGTCAATTGAAATTTAAATTAAATAAATCACCACGCATGGTTGAAAATTTAATGGAATGATTCGTGAAACTATGAGAACAGATTCCTACATCTGCTAAAACCCTCCCCTAGGAAATGTTGGAATTCACATGGAATTCTCATTTATAATATTATAATAACTTTAAATATTTCTTTACCTTTTCGATAACAAACAGGGCCTGGATGGGCGCCAGCAGACTCAGGCCCAACAACAAATAGCCCCGCCCTGAAAAACAAGCGAGATCCACCTCCTGCTGCAACAGTGTTGATATCTAGCTGCCAATGAAAGAACAGCTTTTTTTCACACAAAAATAAGTTAGAAAAAAGTAACTAAAAAGACAAGTTGAATATAGATTAGTTGGCAAAGACAATTATCATAATGATAATCATTTAATTACCAATGCAATGTACCTGAGGGGCCTGAATAGTAATTCCTGCAGTTGTTGTCTCAAACACTTGCTCATACAGACCAGCATAACGAGAAACATCTGTTGAAGTTCCTACATTACATATTAACAGAGTATGAATCTACAGACTCAAGTATATAATTAGAAAATTTATTGAATGGTTAACACACCCACTTCATTGTATTGGGATTATTAGATGACTTATGTGATTCATCCATGATCTAACTGGTTATATTGGTAACCCAAGATTGGATTTTTCAGCTAATCTGTTGTGTATCTGCACATACCACCCATGTCAAAGCCAACAACAGGTTGTCTTGTCTCTGTACAGTATGTTGTCATAGCATACCCAACCTACAATAAAACAGTAGAAGTTCTTCACCAGGAAGATGTCAGCAAGGGGAAGACAATGATAAGGGCAGGCGTTATAATGATGATGACTGCTGACAACATCATTTAATTGTAAACTTTGCTAAGTGAATTGATTACAAAGGTGAGATTAAGTACTACATAATACTAATGAAAAATTAAAAGTACTGTTACTTACCACTCCTCCTGCTGGACCAGAGAGAATAGCGTGAGAACCAGAAAACCTTTATTCAGATAAAACAACAGTTAGAAACCTAACACTTTAAAGACTTTCATTTCATGGTATATGTACCTAACTGTTACAAAATGCTCCCTTTTTAACACATTATCAACCCTATACACCCTAACATCAGTATGCATATTCTCCATACTAGTCTCAGTGCACTTCTTAAGGTGCTAGCAAGGAGAATTTGTTTAACAATTGAGAACTCTTTAGTTTGTGATTGTTTTGTTTATTCTCGTGACCTTAAAGTATGGTTCAGGAACAATATTGTAAGGAGAAATAAGATTTTAGTTACTCTTAGGGGTCAAAGGATAAAAAAGGATAATATTCTATTTAATGTCTTACTTTGACACAGGAGTTAGTCCACCATTAGACTGCATGAACAAGACTTTTTCCTATAGATGAAAAAGGGATAAACAACAAACTTCATATATTAAAAACTGACAGTCAGAAAAGCAGGTCCATTTCAATCCAGTAACTTATATCTGATGTGGATAAAACACCCGGTGAACATACATTATACCCTACCACCCAAATGGAATTTTGATTTTACCTCAATTCCACTCTTAAAACCAGATAGAAACCCATTTACGTATCTCTTGATGCAAGGTGTTAGGTAAGCATCTGCACAAGCTGAAAAAGAACAGTTCAGGAAATGACAACAAACCAATTAACCGATGAGCAGAAATTGTTTATTTGTAAATCAAGCTGCATCACAGTGGACATGGTTGACCATGCTTTAAACTATTTTGTTGCATGCCCAAGAACTGATAATATTGTCTTAGCTTGGTTACTTCCAGATTTAAAAATGAACAGATGGTATCGGTTTCACGTACCTGTGTATCCTCTTGGAACAACTTTTACCATTGGCATAACAGCAGATGACAATGATACTTGATCAAAACCCATTTCAAGGGCTACTTGGCCAATTTCCCTCTCATGGCTGTCATATCTTGAGGCATAATAATCCAAAAGTACACAAAGATATTACAGAAACTTTTACTCTATGTACATGTATTTATTGTAAGTATAGCTGCTGAATGTTATGATGAGAAATGCAATGGATAAGTTCCCCTGAATGCCAGTACAAACATTTCACATGTATTCCTAAGGTAAGATGTGAATCCATTCATTAATTCATCTTGGCCAAATATAAAGGAAAGGGAATTATAAATATGAGACTTTGAGAACTACAGCTGGCATTTTTTACTGTGAGGGGCATGTGTTTTGTATCTGCAGTCACTGTCAGAAGGGATCCAATTGAAAATATAATTCTATAGTAATGAAAAATGAAAATATGGACACCTGTAAATCAATTTCCATGTAAAGTCACACCAGAATTATGGTTGTTCAGAAATATATTGTTTATCTATAAACCTTAGGTTGCAAAATTTACGTCAACGTAAAATAACCAATCTAATGTGCCATCATTGAACATAGAAAGGAGGAAAACAAGGTAGGCCAAATAAAGACAAAAATTACCATACATGTATGAGTGTAAAAGTGCTACTGCCAGACTCTTGATCCCTTTATCCAGAATCCTCTTTTGTTAAAAAAAAAGAATGCTATTAGTAATACTAGTCATAGAGAAGGAGCAGCTTATTCCAACCCTTCCCTCCAGAATTTTCAGGAAATCTTATTAACATAATGAAATTTAGGGGAAAAAAACAAAGAACAGATCTGAATAAAAAGGAAGGCTACCAATCATTCAGTTCCTATGTGCAAAACTTTAAATTTCTTTGCTCTAAATCTAGTTCCCAAAATTCTTTAGCATTTAGTTTCAAAAACCTATTTTGATCCAAAGATATGCTCCCACAGATTTTGCCCCCCCCCCCATCCCATTTTGCAAAGGGTTAGCTAATGCTGCAGCTAAGAATTACTACACAGGACTTATAGTTAAGCAGTCTCAATAGTAAATATATCACCTGCAGATCCTGTTTGAGCTTCAATCTGTCAAGTGGTTTCCAAACTATGAGCTAAGGATCAATAGCAAACAAAAATTAAAACAAGTTGAATTTTGTTAACCATAATATTTCAAAAATAAACTTTTTGTCATTGACTCAGAGCTAGGTCTCTTAACCCTTTCACTCCCACAAGTGACCAAGACAAAATTTCTCCTTACAATATCAATACAATATCAAGCAGGCAGGTGATGAGAATAGAGAAGAATATCAATTACAGGATTATTAGTTGATCCAATACCAAATTTTCTGAACTAACATCATGAGAATTGTATGGCAGATAGTAAGGAGAATTACTAATTAGATCTTGGGAGTGAAAGGGTTAATTAGTCACAAACAAGCAAAAATTCATCTCAGCCCTAAATCAAAATCACACACATGCACACTTTCTCTCTCTCTCTCTCTCTGCCTTAACTCCAACATGTCAATTATGTGAGCCCACTGGTCCTCAGGTAAAAATAAACATTTCCTCCCCACAGCAAATTTAAGTAACTTAAAACCCTGATTATCATTAATAATTTATTATCCATTTTAGTTTTAGCCCGAACTTCCTCCTCTTCACCTTTTCTCCAGTAACTCCAGTAACCATGAAGCTGTCATCTGGCAGTTCTAATTCACTTTTCTCTTGCACTAGAACAACTCTCTCTCTGGCTTCAATCACATCATCATACAAGACCTCTGGACAATTTGCTTTCTGTTTATAATACAAAACAACAAGTGGCTTAATAGAGCTTTGTATCTTCATAGATCTGCTAGATCATTGGGAAAAGTGGAAAACTACTTTTAATTATTGATAAAACCTTATATTACCAGGAAAGAATAATTAAAAAAAAGAAATAGATGCAATATGTTAATTGTAGTGCTTCATTAATAATTGACCAAAACAATTAGACAAAGGATTATTAACTGCAGTGACAGCAAATCAAAGGAAGTTGATGTCTTCAGAATTAGCCCTTTTCCTAATACAACACTCCAAATTTCAGCTTTCTTTCAAATTCACACTTACTGACTAACTGTAGTTGATAATCAACTTAAGGTTTCCCTTTTCTGTCAATGCTGCTTAGCAGTTTCTTAAGATTCTAATGTTTCCATCATGCACAGCAGCCAAATGAATGCAGCATCATAAATTCCCATGAAGGCTAAAGAGAGGGAACTCCTGGCAGAGAATTGTCGTGTTATGAAGATTTAAGAACAACATCAAAGTCACCAAAGTCTGATGTGGCTGTGTTATTGGACTATACAGAAGTGTAATAAATAAATAAATAAATGAGTCTTACTAAATCAAACAAGTATGGTCTTGTCTGATTGCCAATATGCAACAAATCATGGAATCCTTCAGTAATAACCAGAGCCATTCTTTCTCCCTTTCGTTCTAACAGAGCATTTGTAGCCACTGTGGTCCCCATCCTTATCCACTCAATGTACTTTGGATCAATAGGCTGATCTGCAGGCATCTTTACTCCTGTTACCTGTCAAGAGGTAATGGGTATATGCTCGTACAATTTATAGCAATTCCATAACTTTGAAATTTACTCGTTAACCTTAAACCCTGTCTCAACAAGAAGTTCTTTCTAACTCAGTTTTCAGAACATTCAGTTGTGAAATCAGTAAGTCTGAATTTGACGATTATTTTTTCTCTCTCTACAGGAAGACGCTTTTTCAACTGTTCCCTTAGAAATACAAATTTGTTTCCTCCTCACCCTTCGAAGACAACCCATAGGCGTGGTGGGCACAAAATGGAATGGTCACCTAGACATGGAACGGCCAAATTCCACACTAACAAGGGGCTCAATAAGAGATCACCTGAAGTCCATTAAAAACAATTGACGCTTCCGAGAAATGTTACATACGTAATACCTCTTGTAATATTCGTCTAATTCCTTCTCTTGGTGCATCAGGATATGCAGGATCCACCGACAGCAGTTTCATCACTCGTACTTCTCCGTTAGGACATTCGGCATAAACGTCTGTAAAAGTTCCACCTCGATCGATCGCAAATCTGAAGTTGCCGCCAGCCATATCGCGAATCAAGCAAAATTATGGGGATTGGTAGGGAATTGCAGTGACCTTCCTCTTCTATTTTCTCTTTAAAGTATACTGGAAAAAGTGGAAGTTGACTGACAGTAAGACGATACAAATTTGTAATAGTTATGCGCTGGATTCGAGGCTGCATCATACCCCGTGTGCGGATGGGGAATTTGAACCTCGCCTGGCTGGGGCTGGGGTGGCAAATTGAACCGGAAGTATCAAGTCTTTCTGGCGGAATGCATTGGATTCAGCTTAGGGTCAGGGTCGTTCGGGTTGAGGTTAGAGAAATAGTATGTTTATCGTGAACTACCGCTGTAATACTCCTCATTTGTCTCGTTTTCCCGCGTTTTAGCATTAACGATATCAATAGCAAATATATCACCTGCAGATCTTTATTAAGCTTTAATCTGTCAAGTGGTTTCCAAACTATGAGCTAAGGATCAATAGCAAACAAAAATTAAAACAAGTTGAATTTTGGAGCGTATATGAAATAACAAGTTTATCATGAACTACCGGTGTAAATTAGCTAATTTGCCTCGTGTTTCCGCGTTTTAGCGTTAACTTTCACACTATCATATCTTTTTCCTGTTGCCTATTTTTATGATTATCAATAAAGGAAGCGAAGAAGAAAAAAATTAATTTTGTACCTTGAATTGTTTTTGACTTGAACATTTTACATCTGCCCCCAACCGGAAGCCTCACTGCCCTTCACACTTCCGTTCTTCAGAAGGAAAGCGAGGCTGAGTCAAATTGGTCGAAAATAGAAAAATATGGCTGCAAACGCTCTCTCGAAATTCTCCCGTGTATTTGGTCGCAAGTCGGCAGTAGTCATCGGAATGATTCACGTGCAAGCACTCCCAGGTAATCAACTTGAATCAAACATTCCTCTGTAACTTTTTGATCAACTGAAAATAAGGTTTGTTATCGATTAGAACCTGCGCTTGACTTTCGCCTAGCTACACAGCTGCCTTCCTTAGCTTTGCAGCTTTCTTTCTAAGTAATTAATTCTCCATCACGCCGCGCATAAAATGAGAATTCATGTTTATATCGAGTTGAAAATATGAATTTAAAATTTTTATAAATTAATCGCTAGAAAGATATGCCGGTATTTTTTCAGCATCTAACCTCTATATTGATATAACGGTAAGCCGGAAGCCTTAATAAACAATTGTTAAATAAATACCGAAGTCTTTTAATTTTGTCGATATTTCGCTAAAGGAAAATCAGTTTCAGTTGCATGGCTAAACCAGTTAGTTTTTTAAAATTATTTCGGGGTAAAGATCAATCTACCTCAGTGCCAGACTCTTTTGTGACTTATTGGGGTTCAATAAAGCATATGGATAGCACTAACTAACAAGATATAGCGAGTCTACTCGAAAAGTAGGGGGCTACCCCCAAGGGAGTCAGACAAGGATATACCCCCTGGTTATTCAAACCCCAACCTGTTTCAGATCAAAACATGTCTTTAATCTTTCCTATTTTTCAAAAGTACAATGTAGCTGATTTTGTTAATAACGCCTGACGTATTTGAATCTTCTTCTTCTGCTAAGGAACACCCAGGAATCACCTATCTATGACTGAAATAGTAAATATGGCACGCACTGATGCAACAAACTATAAAAATGCTGGAGTGGTAAGAGTATCTGATCACTTATACATTAAATTTCAAATCAGTTTACACAAAACTTCAGAAGCAAAACTAAAGCTGCAGCATTGATTCTTCCAATTTAAATTTTCTGAGTTTTGTGTTAAACACGAACAGTTTAGTCTTCAGGTGATATCAGGCTTCATACACTTGACATATATGAAATAATTTCTAATAGCTGATCATCATTCTATACTGAAAAATAGCAGTACATAGACATTCACACATTATTGCTGACAAAGACCAGTAGTATAGCGTTGAAGCATTGTGATCCTCATTTAAAAGTTTTACTACATACAATTAATGATGACACTTCATTCCTGAGTCAAACAAATTAACTTTTATTTGTCTGTATTATAGCCAACTGAGGATGAGTACATGCATTGTTAACATCAAAAACTGAATGATAATGTAGGGGTCAAGAATTGATGTTTTGACCCTTGTCTTTAAATTATTTTTCTTCAGGATGCTATTTTGATGGAGAACATGCATGATATTCCATATCTAAATCGACATGTTGGACCAGAAATTGTTGCAGCCATGAGTGTGGTTTGCAGTGAAGTCCGAAGAGTGGTGAATAATTTACCGTGTGGTATTCAGATATTGGCTGGGGCAAACAAGGAGGCACTGGCTGTAGCAAAAGCAGCAGACCTGCAATTTATTCGCACAGAAGGATTTGTTTTTTCACACATTGCAGATGAAGGCACAATGAATTCTGATGCTGGTGAACTACTTAGGTACAGGAAACAAATTGGGGCAGATAAGATTTTAGTTTTCACTGATATCAAGAAAAAGCACAGGTAATTTCATAAATGTATTTTTTATTACTTGTCTAACTAATTTATTGTGATAGCACTGTATTCTTAAGATTCCAAAACAAGCTTTTTTCTTTTTTTCTTTTCATTTATACAGTACTTATAAATTATAGTAATAAAATTACTAACCAAAACATCATTTTAATGTTATAGCTATTTAGTAACCACAAACTATGATTTACTCGTGCTCAGCTAAGTATGTCATACTTGGAGCCTCAATAGAGCAAGTAATTTTTTATTTGTTTCATTGAACCCTTTACAACTTATTGTTATCATTCATATTCTCCAGACTGTTTTCTCTACATTTCTTGTGGTTGCAAAAGGGAGAATTTGATTAACAATCAGGAGTTTCTTCTTCTGACCTCTATTTGTATTTGATTGAAGGAGAAATTAGAAGCTTGTCGCTCTTAGGAGTTAACCCTTTAACTTCCATGAGTGACCAAGGCAGAATTTCTCCTAACAATATCAATACAATATCAACCAGAGAAGTGATGAGAATAAAGAAAAATATCAACCTGGGGATAATTAGTTGATCTGATACTAAATTCTCTGAATTTACATTGTAAGAATTGTATGGTTGACAGTAAGGAGAATAACAAATTTGATCTGGGAGTTAAAGGGTTAAAGGAGTAAATTACTAAAACATGTTTCATGACCAAAATTTCTAATTCAGCTAAGATGACATTTTGTGGAAATTTATTTCTTTCAGTTCCCACTTTATAACATCTGATGTGGATATTCTGGAAGTGGCTCAAGCAGCAGAGTTTTTTCTCTCAGATGGAGTGATACTGACAGGAAAAGCAACAGGTGAAGCCACAAGCTTAAAAGAAATGCAGTATGCCAAAGAATCAGTGAACATTCCTCTTTTAATTGGTTCTGGGGTGGATGATAATAACATAGAACAATATCTTGGTGCAAATGCTATGATCATTGGTTCATACTTCAAGGAGGATGGCCATTGGACAAATCCAGTGAGTTTTAAAAAGGTTCATGCCTTCATGGCTAAAATTGAGAGAATGAGAAAATGATGGTAAATTGAAATAATATTCCTTAAAATATTTTAGCAGCTTATGACAATCTTTCTAAGATCTTTTAAAATCTCCAATTGTCTGCTATATTCTTTAAATGTCTTGTACAAGGAATTTTTACTGGTACTTATTAACAACCAGTGCAGACCTTACAAAGATATTTAGTAAGAGTTTTGACAATTTTTTCCAAGTTTTGTATTGATCTTTAGAAATCTTAGACATATAGAGGATCATTGAAAAAATAAGCTATGTACATGTAGCTTGAAAATAAATATGGTGATATAAATTTAAAAATACATGAGCATGAAACAAAAGTCCTAAATTGTAATTCAAAATTCCTCCATCACAGAAATTTAGTTAACAATTTGTTTTTTGATTTCCTCATTTTCATAAATTTAGCAATAACAAATTATTAATATATATTAATCAAAATTGTAACTTTTGGTGGGTGTTATTTATTTATTTACATGTGATATAAAGAGCTAGTAATTCAAGGATTATAATGGTATAACTATCTCCTCAGTGTGTAAAGAGAAACTAAAATGGTTGTCTGCGATAGTTTGTTGCCATCTCAGATTCTAAGAAACCTGTTTTATCAAACTAAGACAATTTTTTGTCTTCAATTATTGTCATGTTTTCTTGCCTTACACTTTCTGGAACTAGAATGTTTAAGGCTCAGAACTTTGAAAAGGTATCATCAGTAAGGTGCCTCTGGAATTACCAGTCCTCCTTAAGTCGTAATTGTGGTAACAATCCTTACACAGAGGTCAAAATTTGTATTAACACCAAAAAAAAATGCTCAAGCTTGAAAAAAAAAGAAAGAAAGAAAGAAAACAGTAATAGTCTAAACTTAAATGAAGTAATGCCTAGGCACTAGACAAGTGAGCCACAAAAACCAGATAAATACTTTTTCCATTTATAGAAACTGAAAAATGATATAATGTGAGCTAAATGTTCAAAACTGAAAAACCACAGTGGAGTATTTTGATGCCAAGAAACTTGAGATGTTGAATGTAAAAGTGAAAAATTGCCTCACCTTTGGAGCAAAAAAAAAAATGTAAACCATAGATATCCAATGGCTGCCTTTTAGGTAATTTAAATTCTTTTCTAGAGCTTCATTACTAATTTTCATCATTTTGGTCACTAACTATCTATACCTTCTAAACATGATGGGCAAACTGGTCCAATCTAAATTAGTAAACAACTTTACTTTCTTACCCCAGGGGAGAGACAATAAATCATCAGAATAGACAATACTTAATGCTTGTGAGTTGCAAAAGTTTATTCCTTCTGTAAATAGAAATGTTCAAGTATTTAGTTATCAGTAAGGAATGGTTTGATTTCTTTTGTATTTAATCAGTTGTTGTCAGGGCTACATTGTTTACCTTTGTGGTTGCAGTTCCATGTGGAATTTGCAGGTTGTCATACTTTATTCCTTATTTATACTTCTCTGTAGATTTTAGTAGATTAATATCTGTACAATTTAATTCTATCTAGCTGTCAGGGTTGTCAAAATAAACCAGAAAACATGCATTTTTCCATCTACCCTAAAAAATGTACCAGCTGTTGCAAATATTTGTAGCTCAAATTCCAGCAGAGATGCAGTGCATCAGGTGGTGTACTTTGTATTACAAACCAATTACCCAAAATATTTTTGACAACTTTGAACTGTAAAGATTGATACAACTACACACTATTAAGTTTAGACGAACTTAACCTTGCAAATGTTCATCATCAAGTTTGTTTTTAGTTTAAACCTTTAAATCCCATGAGTGACTAAAACAAAATCTCTCCTCACAATATCAGTACAGTATCAACTAGATAAGTGATGAGAATAAAGTAAAATATCAATTTGGGGATAAGTAGTTGAACCAGTTCTTAATTCTCTGAACTAACAGTATAAGAATTGTATGGTTTACAGTGAGGAGAATGACAAATTTGATCTGGGAATTTAAGGGTTAAGTGAAGTGATTGTGTGGGAGCTAAGTTTGCAATCTACCAGTTTCAGTGTAGCAGAAAATCCCACAACTCTGTACAGTGAATTCGAGTGATAACACCTGTTCGTGGAAATTTTTTATTTTTTTTTTATTATGGAAATTTACTCAATCTGCATCTGCAAGACAATTTTTAATCATCCCTGGTAAAGTTGTGTTGGTGATAAAATTATTTTTGTTCTTCTTGAGGCATTGGAAAATTAAGATGTTGTAGATGTAGGAAAAGGCCTTCAGTTAACTAGAGGAAGGAAAATGCAAAGCACACTCATTCCGATGTTTGTATGATTTTTCAACTGCACTATGACGCTTAATTTCATTATTCTAGCATTAATGTAACATTGGCACCGCATTGGTTTGTTTGTTTTGCATAATTTGTCTTCCATCTAGAAAATCCCCTATCGAATCATTAATTACGGGCTAAGTTCAGCATTCCACTTGACACTACGCTTAACCTAGCTACCAGAATTGCATGCGAGATAAGAGTTCATTAGCTAACCTGCTACACTCGCTCAGTAATCACATTACGTAATCAATCACATAAGTCAGCAACGTGAACTTTAGTTCAAATTTGGTTTATTTCAATCTCAAGGTTATACTCAAGACAGTAATATCAGACCATATAATGTATGAAATTTAGTGAAATTGTATTTCTTGTTTCAAATTTTCAAAATTATATCGATTTTTTTTTCGTTTTCGTCATAAGAAAAATAAAATAATGCCAACCATACTCTCGTCAATCCGTACTACCTAGGAATGATACATAATTACATAGCTGGAAGTGCGATCTCCGCGAGCTATTTAACAAATTTGAGCCCAGTTTATGTTTCCAGGATCAAATTATATTAATATCTTCCTCATAGCGAGGAATACAATACACAAGGGAAATAATGAACCTACTCTGGGAAGCAAACTATACCCTCCGAAAGAATATAAATAGGAATGTTTTAAATATTTACAATCGACGGACTTTAGACCCTCACGCTAATCCACAAGCGTCGCTCTTGAATATTAAAATTCTAGCGAAGGTCAACAGCCCCTTTTGCCGTGTAGTCCAACGTGTTTTCCTAGCATCCTATTTCGTTTTTTATTTCGTTTGCTTCTAGAATTATTCTGAAAATGAACCATATTTTGCTTTTTTAAGTTCTTTCTGTTGGCGCGAATGCTGCCTTGGAGCGGAGGTTCGGTTTGTCGCCTCTTTTCAATTAACTCGAGCTGCGCTTGGAATTGGACAGTACGACGCGGTTCCCTCCTTTCCACGACCTCTTCTCCGTTTCTAGCTGTGCTAGAATTCCGGGATGTTGAGGAAAGTGAAGGAGAATGCCGTCTTATACCTGGACCATACACAGACATACTGGGATGTTCGATAAGAAGATCCTCCATCGGGCTTGCTTCCAAAACTTCGGGGGAAAGCCCGCTCGCCTCAAAGCAAGGCGGTGGAGTAACGTACCAACTTTCCTCCAGTTGGATTTGGGCTTTTAACTTAGGATCATCGTTTTCTTTCTCGTCTGTGGAGAATAAAAGTGAGAGATGATTCTGGGGTAATGCCAATTTAGCGATAACGGAGAAGGAAATATGATGTCACCATAGTGGTGCAACCCAATTTAGCATTGTCGTGACGAACACATCTTGAGTTCAAAACAATAACCGGCAAAGTGAAATGCGTGAAAATGTATTCTTTGAAATACAAGATCTGCTGAAGAAATGGATGCATCTTTCGCCCATTTTCGCTTTGAATAACATTTCAAAGACATAATTTAGGCATAGAAGTTTCCACTCACCACATTTTTTGCCTTTTTGAACGTCCACTAAAATCCAGTCGTCATCGACGCTTTGGGTGTCGTCGACCGATCCCGGGACAAGTTGCTCGTCTGTTTCGCCCCAAATGTAACTTGAAATCGCGGTCCACATCCTGAGTTAATTTCTTTGATCAGCAATAAGGCCAATTTGCAATGATAAGTCACCTTTTCCTAAGCGAAAAAGGCGGAAAATGCAAGTTTACTTCGCCAAACCAACTCCTATTATTTAGGACAAGGAAAACACAGCTGACACTCCGATTGCTCTCAAAAGAAACGCTTTAACTTAGAAACCTACGAGATTTTCTTTTCCTAGTTACGACAGGAGTTCACTTACCGTTTTAATGCAGTTGAAGTGAAAAAACGACTAGTCCGCCAAAATTCGTTATGGTTCTTGAGAGATCTGTGTGATGCAAATTTTGTAAACGAAGAAGGAGCCGGTTTTCTGGTCAAATATTTGAGCTTCCGCAGGAAAAATTAGCGCTCTTTCGCGGACGAAATAATTCAAAACAGATTTGTTGCGAAGAAATTAGTCGAAGCTTCGAATGTTACAACAAAAATGACGCCGTTGGTAGGAAAGCAAACCTTGCAGATGTCAAGAAAAAATCTTCGTTTGGGAAAACTCAATGTTTTTGTTGACATTCTGTCAACGTTGGTGACGTTACTTCCAATTCCCAAATATGGAAAGCAAAAACAGCAGGGAATACACGTGACCTGAACGTGCTGTCAGTAAGCCACCCCTACTAGACTTTGGAACATGCCATGTCCACGTCAGGGGTTAGTGCTGCGGAAAACAATATGCTTTCATTGTGTAACAGATACAACAGTGGGAAAACTTGCTGAGATATGCATTTAATAATTCCATGGCGTAGAACGGAGGTCTGCCAATTTTGCTTAAAATTAGCTACAAACGAGCTACGGGCTGTAATGTATGCGATATCTGGAGTCGCTATATATTTATATTAAACACTGATTGTACTAATCAGAAAGAAGTATTTTCTAAGAGGGGTCATAAGTCATTACAGGGAATTTCAACTTCCTCAGTTATCCACTCACGCAAATAATCTACTCGTGGAGCGTTTCCGTTACAATGCCCCAACAGACGATATATTCTTCTTAATGTGACCTTTGAACAAGCTCTCGATTATGATGACGACCTCTTACATTGCTGTAAGGCAGAAAGAAAAAATAATAATAGTAATGAAGAGAAAGTTGTGCTTCAGAATCTTCGGCAGTTAAATAAATTTCGCCTTGTCAGAAATGTCAGCTGCTTCCTCACACCACACCCCAGAGAGGCACCCTGGCTAGGCCAGAGCGGTGAGAGCGTCCGTCTGGTGTCTACAATGGTCGGTCCATTAAAAAAGTAAAAAAGGGGGGAGGGGTGGGGAAGTTTGTTCCCTTGGAATATTTAATTATTGATTTGTTGTAGTTTTTCTTCTTTCGTCATGTTTTAGAAATCTTAACTGTCTTTCCAAGTTCTACGGGTGAATGACGATGTGTTCGGAGTTACTGAGCATTCTGGAGATGTTTTAACCTCAGGTGGCCGGCCTCTTAGTGCACGTGAGCTCTTTGCAAATAAAGTTAATTAGAGGGAAGCACCTTACTTCATGAAATTTACTTCCAGGAGCTGGGACACTCTCAGCAGACACAGCGTTCCGTTTTAGCCGCGCGAGACGCCAATCTGTAACTAGGGGGATTTAAAGGGCTGATACGCCTGTGAACAAAGCACATGGATACAGAAAACATCGTTTGCAATAAAAGTGACTTATTTGATCTACCATAAATCTGCTACAGTATACTCATTAGGTCAATTAATGTAAGGAAGGAAAGAAAGCGGACGCCTACTAGACAGGTAGCACCTGTCTTGGTTTGCAGGGGACGGTAAGTCCGGCTGAGGGTCGTGCCTAAATCCTACCGGCTAGAGGTACGTTCGAGGAGCAGTGTGACGAGTTGCCGAATCGGATGTTTATCGGAAATTGTCGACAATTGCAATATGGCGGACTATTCCAGTAAATACCAATAATAAAGCGACGTGATTGAACCAGACGTGAATATTATAACATGCTTTACATGTGAAGAATACATTGTTGAATTTAAATCAAGGAGATTTCGCTAAATCTTGTATGGCTGTTTCCTGCACCCTCGTCGATCTTTAGTTTCTTGTTTAGAAGAGTTTAAGCTTACGCTATAGCCGCTAAGACCTAAGGCTAATTGGGAGAGCAGAAAAAGTAAAATGTGAAGCAAACCGTGGTAACAATTGGGCAAAGTCGACTAAATATGCAAGCTGTACCTCTAGCCGGTAGCATTTTCTAAGCCTCCTGAGATCCTACCGGCTAGAGGTACAACAACAAAAGACAAGACAATAGAAGTTTCATCTTGGGGATCTTTCTAACCAATAGCATCATGACAAGGGCATTGAAGTGGCGATACTCTTCATAAGTTTTTTTTACTTTTGCAAGCGTAGGTCTTAGCGGTTGCAGTGTTAAGCTAAAACTCTTCTGAACAAGAAACTTAAGTTCGACGTGGGTGAAGGAAACAGCCATACAAAATTTAGCGAAATCTCCTTGATTTAAACTCAACGATGTATTCTTCACATGTAAAGTATGTTATAATGTCCATGTCTGGTTCAATCACGTCGCTTGACTTTTGGTAAATCGCAAACGGTGGTTACTGGAATAATCCGCTATATTCCAATAGCCGACAATTTCCGATAACTATCCGACTCGGAAACCCGTCACTAGTGCTCCTCGAGCGCGAGCGTACCTCTAGCCGGTGGCCGGTAGGGTTTAGGCACAACCCCGGCTGAGCCCACGCCTATCCGAAATTAAGTCTTCCCAACAGCCTTTGGATGCCGCTTTTATCCCACGGAATACTTCGACGCGCGGCGTGTCTGTGTCGGTCTGTCTGTCTACAGCCAACATGCAGTCATCTCTGGAGTCCTCTGGTTTCTTCGAGACTTTCAATAGTGATGCGGACGATTTTGATTTAGAGGACGATGATTTCCCAACAGGAACAATGTCTTTCAACGGGCGACTCGTCATATCAGGCGGTCCTAATGTTTTCCCAGTGCTCGAAACGGGAGGTAAACTATTAATTTGTGCCCAATGTTTATATTGTATACGTACAACGATCATGTTTTTTCGCTGATAATTACAACTTTTTTCGTCGGACACACTTTAAATTTAAATCAAATCTTGTTGTTAAAATATAATTTTCAACAGTTGCATCGGTTAATGCCTTCACTAGCATCAGTTAAAGCGGAAAGAAGAAACTTTCAACTGCGTAAAGTCTTTCCTGTTGTCGCATACCTTTACCCCTTGGTAACATATCGGGTGGTCTATATTGAACTAATCCCCAAATCGTTAAAGATCCTTAAATAAAACACACATACCATCTTTCTCGCTCTGATTCAAAGAATATGTTGGTGCGTTCTTAGCACGAGATCAACTCGTTTATATTAAGCACGCCAGAAAGTTTGATAGAGAACCTCCGTGAGGGAGTGAACACGTCTCAGATGACCTTTTTGCCTCGTTATCTCACCACCCTCTCATTAATACTCAAATTATTTTTTTCTGGTAAATGTTTTGCTCCCCCGCACATAGCTAACAGAACTCATGTGTTTTCTCGCTATCAATTGAGCAATTTTCTTCTTGCATGTCAAGGAATTTTATTGTAACATGTGCTGTTTGACAAGTACTTATAAACTTGATCCACCAATGTCACATTTATGATGAACAAACTAATCCCTGCAAGGACAGCTGCTTCCATAAATACTTCTGTATCAGTGTTTATTAAATTATGGCTTTTTTTTCTAAGTTGTGGAACTTTGCATTTATGTTTGGTTTCTTGGTGACCAATATATTTTTTAATTCTTTCCCAATATTTTTTTGACTTGTCACTCTAATTTCTTTGTTCCACATTAAGTGCATTATTGCGCACTGCCTCTTGCACCATTGGATTTGATCTTTTGCAGTTCACTTTTGAGCTTGGGAACAAGCTCTCCAGGGGAAAGAGGGTGCAGGTGGAGAAAGAGTGAGAAAGATGAATGGGTAGGGATGGGGGAAGGGGAAGGGGAGGGGGAGGGGATGGTAGGGAGCCTCTGCTACAACTCCCAATCTTCCATTTTGCACCCCTTTCCCCTCCCCCCCCCTTTGCTAAATATCAGTTCCCATTTACCCCTTGAACCAAAGTTTGTCAGTTTGTCAACTGGTCATCATTTTTTCAGATGTGTTTGATTGTTTATTAGGGAGAGGCATTGTGTTTGTTCCAGAAGATAAGAGTACTGATTGTGATGGGGATGATCATATTGATGATAGTATTTGTAGAGGTTACGGAATGTCAGTTAATACAGATCCACAAAATATCAAGTTTGACATCATTTCAACCAGGATAAATGAAAATCAACGGAAGCAGCATGTGGTCAGTAAATTGAATAGAGTTATTAATTTTAAATTTCTGTAGGTTTATTACAGCTTTGCTCTGTATAAATGCCACTTCTTGAATGCTTTTCGATGCTGTTGTAGGTCCTGTACAGTATATTCAATCCACTAACTATTTTTGCATCTTACATACAAGTAAAATTGCTGTTGTTTTTGTGTTTGTGTATTCAGTTACATATGGATTTTTTCTATAAGCGATAAATGCATAAGTTCAAGAAATTAGTCTTCTAATTTTTTACTGTATTTATTTATTTTTTTTTTAGTTTTACACTCTCATGGTCCTCAAAACTGAAGGTGTTGACACAGACAAAGCTTTAATAGACCGACGTTACTCAGACTTTGCAGCTCTTTATAAAGCTCTCAAGAAAGACCATTCCAAATTACTTGAAGGTGTAAACTTTCCTGGAAAAGTTTTTGGTCAGAAAAGTAATTTGAATCCTGAAGTTATAGAGGCCAGACGCTGTGCTTTTGAGTCTTTCCTTCAAAAGGTGCACACTCATAAGGAGGTCCTTCATCATCCAGCTTATAGGAAATTTTTCTATTTGCCAGAACTCTGCGAGGCGACAGAACACTTGAAAGGTGGTGAATTGAAGCGTAGTCTAAAGCTTTTGCTGAACAGTCTGCATCTTCAAGTCAAGTTGTGTGATCAAGTGAGAGAGATCATTGCTACTTTGGCAGCAATTGTTGTCGTACATGAGGCTCAAAGTAAATTTGAAGAAGCTGATCGTTATGCAACAGCTGCTCTTGAATTAATTGATGAAGATCATTACTGTTCTTATCTCATTCCACTTTTGGATACAACAGCCAGACTTAGATGGAAACTAAAAAAAGACAAGAGCACATTAGAGAGAAATTTGGCACGTGTTCAAAAAACAAGTGGGATTGATGTCGATTGTGCTTTCACTTTGCGAGAGCTTGCTGTTACAAGGTTTAGCATGTGAAATGTTTCTATTTGAAGGAGAGTTTCAAATTGTAGTACATGGACAGGAAGAGGGCATTCCCCTTGAATTAGTCCCCAGGGTGCTTGTTTCCAATCATTGTCAGGATAAGTTTGTTCTTTTTTTCAGATTTGAACATTCTGTCGTTTATTAATTAGCAAAGTTGTGAAGGCATGCAGTCAAGTTCATCAGTAAGGGAATGTGGAATTCACAAGTTAGACTACACATAACTGAATTGAAAAACCTCTGAAGTTGTTGACGTATGAGAAATTGAGAAACATTTCCTGCATTCCTGTCGTTTAATGTCCTTCCTGTTTCTATGAATTTGTAACAGAACAACTTATTCATTTTTCTTAAAATCGTGTTTTTATAAATAGATGAAATTTAGATGACATCCTCAATCATAGCATGTGTTGAAGGTTAGTCATTAGGAGCAATCTAAGAATCTTTCAAAAATCTAATTTCTCGGCAAAATTATAGGAGATAATTCAGTGGCATCCCAACTTAAAACATTTAATTAAGTCATGAAATGCCTTTAAGTTAGTTATTACAGAGTGCAAATGATCAGGCAATGTTTTAAAGCCAGGCACAGTACTAAGCTTAAACCTAAAATAATAAATAAATAAAACAGTACTAAGCTAAAACCTAAACTAAATTTTCTAGAGAAGATGAAGCAAATGCAGCCAATTAATTTTGATTAATGTATAGGCATGGTAGAACTGTAAGAAAAAATATGATGTGTCCCATTAGCAGGCTCTTTTGGGAGGTAAATAAAATTCAAAGTTGAAATAACTATGCTTTCCAACCCATAACAGATGTGCTACTCAAGAATTGTAAGTAAAGTAATGTTCTCAGTTTGTATGTCATTTCTGAATTTTTTTATATATTACTAAGCTTGCACAACTGTCAACACCAAATTTTATCTAAAAACTCTGACTCTTGGCATGTTTCAGAATGTGACATGACATCTGTTCTTTGGGTAGATAAGTTGTTGTTTCACTAGCAAACCTTTGTAATTAGTGTATAAAATTACATGTATTTTGTTAACTGTACATAACTAGTTTCAAGAGTACTCCTTATAGTTATTAGTTTTATTTCCTATTATTTATCCCATGTAGATTAATATATAAATGGTGATAAAGGAATAAAACCTAATTTTTCTAAATAAATGAGTAGATCAGTCAGAAAAACCCAACTTATGTGCCATTTTTTTAAGCTCTTCTCACTTTCCATCAAGGAGGCACAGCTGCCCAATATAGATGGTGTATTTGAATTCTGAATCAAAAGTCCCAGTTGCAAACCTGGCCAATGCTACTTTCTTTTGTTACTGGGCAAAAAAAATTTCCATTACAGTTCTTTTTCTTACTCCACTCTATTGCCTTTCAACCTGCTGGTTGAAATTTTATTTTATGGTTGCAGCAAGTGGTTGCAAAGTTTGCACCAAACATGTGCCTGCACAGGGGCATTGGTAGTGTAGTTGCCAACGTGTATCACTAACAATGCTAGGACTGAAAAACGTGATTTTGGTCTCGCTGACTAATTCTGACAAATATTAATTTATGGTAAATGCACCAATAATACTATATCTCGGATTATCTCGTTTAAGAAAATACTGGATCTATAAGTATTTAGTTGTCAAGCCGAGTGCTGTCTTCCGTGCCCCTGTGGTTATCTTCCGAAAGTCCTCTGTCTATTGTTTCCTTCCAGTGATCGTCCAGTCCTGTCACGCAACGCGCTTTATCTCCGATGGGAGAAATAACGTATTTCGTGACAAGACTAAACAGCAGCTTAAGGAACAAAAGGGATAATTTCCCCTTCGCGCTGGATCGTCATTGATCCTGTCATAGAAAGTGAAAATCAAATAATTTACATTATTGGTTCCAAGGTTATTTTCAAGTCCTCTCATCCTAAGATTTTAGGACGTCGTGATCTCGTGTCCTGTCCAATCAAAGCGAGTTTGGGAACCTGTCCCATAAGTCTATTCGTATCAACTAGTTCTTTGAATTGACTTATGCTTTAGCCACACACTATTTTCACCGACTCGATGTAATTTCCTAGAGAAGTGCGATGTAATGGGTTCGTCTTGGTATTTTGACGAGACAGAAATTAGCTCAGATGACCCAGGGCATTCGTCACCAGACAGCCTTTCTTTCAATGGAAGGCTCTTTAATTTTCCAGTTGGTTCTATGTCCAACCTTGCAGGTGAGGGATTTGAGTAGAAATTACAAATCAGGTGCTTTGAAATTGCTACCAATTTATTCTTGATCTCAGGAGTTGTTATCACCAAAGTTTTACACCAATTTCGAATCCGATAAAACCAAAAGAAGAGTGATTTTAAAATGCTGGGGTATGGTCTCAGCAAGTTGGTGTTTTTGCTGAACCAGACGAAGACGGCTGTCACTAATTGCCCAGACAATGGTTATGTTGATGTGTTATTTATTGGAGTGAGTTTCCTTTAAAATCGTTTAGTCTCTTTTTTGATGCTTGACTTGGAAGACATGAATGAAACTGAAAGATGCCGCTTTTTATATCGCCGCTGTGTCTCCAGTTATGCTAGAACATTTCTTATTCGATGAATTCGAGAAAAAGATAACTTAAAATTAAAATTTTTCTTAAAGAACATATTGATTTTATTGTGAGATGACAGTCAGATGCTGCTGCCTGTTTTGATATTTCATTTTCCGACGCTGCAATTTAGTCAAAGTTCGGGTAAAATTTTCGCACACATACTATTGTAAAACAAATCTGTTTTCCCAATGGCGATGTATTGTTTTTGTCATTGTTTTCTCTATCCAAGAACTGAATGCATAATGTAGTATGGGGCTGTGCGGAAACTAAAGTTCGTTTTATCGTCGACTGATTTCATTTTTACCTTGCATTATAAAAATGCAGCATTTAGGAACTACTTAGAAAACTTCATTTAAGAATATTTCCTTTTTTTATGTTCGCTTGTTTCTTTTTTTCTGTAGCAAAGGGTATTGTTTATGTTGAGTCAGACCCGGAGGAAGATGATGATCTTGATGTTCCAGATAGCACTTGTGGAGACCATGGAATATTGGTTGAGAGCGATCCACAAAATACAACATTTCAGATAGTTAACACCAGGATACATGATGAAAACAAGCATGTGGTAAGGATTATTTTGATTTACTGTTGTTGTTTGTTTGTTTTATTTTGTTTTGTGGAAAAGTAAATGAGGAAAAGTATTTTATTAAAACATAGCAGGCACTTTGTGAAAAATGATTGGCTTTGAACAGTAAAAATAGTATGTAACCGCTTTGAAGTCATACCCTTTACTCTTTAACACTCTACATCCCAAAGTCAGTTTGCAAGGTCTCCTTACTGTTCTCTATATATCTCTTGTGGTACTTACAAGGAAAGTTTGCATAATAATCAAGAGCTTCTTGACTTTGCAATCATTTCCTTTATTCTTGTGACCTTAATGTGTGATTCAGGGCTGAAACTGTTGGAAGAAATTCGATACTTATCATGCTTAGGGGTTAAAGGGGTTAACTTTTAAGATCCCATTGTGTATTCTCACAACTGGCAATTGCTGATTTTTGGTTCTTTATTCCCTAGAATGTGGTGTTACATCAGGGCAAGCACTGATCTGATGTAGTGATTTTCTTTATATTCTCATAATACCTACTAGCTGAACAGGGCCTCAAGTTTTGGGGAGAATTTGAGTACTTGGAAGGATACAGAGAACTGTTTTTTATAGGGAAATTTATGAAAATATCCAAATTACTGAAACAAAAATTAAAATTTACAATTGTCCAAGCCTCTTAACATATATTGAATTCCCCCTGCAGATTTATTGTGTGATGGTTTTGAGACAGGATTTGGGCATAGACAGAGACAAAGTCATGGTTGAAAGACGATACTCTGACTTTGCTACTCTTTACAAAACACTCAGGAAAGACCTCTCCTCTCTGTTCAAAGACATTGGTGTCAATTTTCCTGGAAAAGTGATGGGACAGAAGAATAATCTCAACCCTGAATTAATTGAATCCAGGCGCATGGCTCTTCAAGATTTCCTACAGATTATTTTCAAACACAAGGAAGTACGGCAACAACAAGCTTTCAAAGAATTCTTTTACCTGCCAGGATTGAGAGAGGCAACAGACAGTCTTAAGGCAGGTGAATTTGAAAATTGCCTTGAGTTGCTGTTAAACAGTGTTCATCTTCAAGTTAAGCTGTGTGATAAAGTGAGAGAGACTGTTGCTACTTTTGGGGCAATTGTTGCTGTACTTGAGGCTCTAGGTAAACTGAAAGATGCTGAACGCTATGCAAAAGCAGCACTAGAATTGAACCATGATGATTATCTAAGCCCTTACATGATCCCCTTGCTGGACACAGTGGCAAAATTAGGAAGGAAGTTGGACATGAACACAAAAACCATAGAGAGACAATTAAGTGAAGTTCAAAGAATGAATGGAGTGGAGGTTGAAGATACTTTTACACTGCGAGAACTTGCTGTTAAAAGATTCGAAAAAGTCAAGTGATCAACATAATGTGCAAAGTGTTGCTTAGATTGTGTAGTCTGATTGTCTGGGTGAAAGAAGTTCTGAGAAGGACTGTTGTCATTAGAAGTGACTGATGTTTCAACTTCTGTATCAGAAGTCATTATCAGAGTCAAGAAGGGAGATGTTTTCAATTGAATGTTGTTGACATCTGTTAAGGGGGTTTTGTTTTAAGTTAACACACCAGCCACTCAACAGATGTTGACAACTACCTGCACAATGCAAATGATTTATTCAGGACTATTGGGCTGGTTATTCATATGAGGTCCAACCCATACCATGGTTTTTATGTAAGCAGTGGGCCTAAGGGATTCTCTATTCCACTTGTAGCCTTCAGTCTTGACACTGTTCACAAAAATACATGTTCAGATAAAAGGTTTGGTCAAATAACTCAGTTTTGTTAAACAACGGTTCTTAACTTTGTTTAAGTAACCAGCTTTTATTCAACAAATGTCAGTCACTAAATCTGACAATAGTCCTTCTTAAGACTATCATTACCCAGAAGATCAGACCACACATTCAAATGTTACTCCTGGGTTCAAAGCATTAATTATAAAATGTAGCGTAATTTCTCTTTTCAGTAACATGAAAAGTCTGCAGTTCTAAAGCACTTCACACAAATTGTCTTGTGTGCTGCAGTCAACATAGTAGCATGGCAAGACCTCTGGCAATTGATATGTACTGTTAATGACTTATTGAAAAAAAAATAGTAATAAGTAATAAGTGAATCATTTGTAGTGTAAGTAATTATCACAGATACAAATTACAGGATTTATGTTCTTCTGAAATTCTTTTTCAGATCTAGATCTTACAAAAAAAGGGAAGGCAACTTGAGTGTGAACAGTTTTTGTTAAAGGTGACCTGTATTGTTGGCCAAGAATACGGGATCTTTCATCTTTTTAGTGATTGCAGATCATGGTGCAATTTCTTTAAAATGTCAGAGCTTACTTTACTTTCACATGGCATTTCAGTTTTGGCTGTATATTTCCCAGGATTGGCAATGGCTCAATAATATTTAAAATTATTAAGATGTAATATAATGTTTAACAATATTTATTGTCTGTGACAAAAATGTGCACATAGCAATTAATATATAAAATATTTCATATTGGACCTGTTGATGATAATGATCCACAGGCTTAGTGCATTTCTAAGCTTTGAAAAAAAAAACCCTGACTTTTGCTCTCAGGCTTTCATTTCACTCTGTCTTGAGTGACAACATAAGTCTGCAAAGATTACATTTTCACTGACAACACATATCTTGCATCAGTCATACTGATGAGGCATTCTTTTCATTCACCTCAGGGAAATTAATGATTCACTGATGACAGTGGAATACATGATTAGTCACCTCACTAGAGAATTAGTAGATGGATTATTTAATGTTGAAAATGCAGGTGGCAGGGTAAATAAATAATTTGAAATGTGGATTACAGCCTTTGAGTTATTTTCCTCTGCCTTTTTGCTAGTCTTCTCTGCGACTGCTTCTTAGTTTTGCCACACAATATGCACAAACAGAAAGACAAATAATTTACATTCATTTACTATTGAGAGAACTTGTTTCGTTTATTCCATGCCTTTGAACCTATGCAGAAGGATTTTTATCCCAGAAGTTACAATCTTTAAGAACTTGTTTGCATCTGAACCTTGAAAAAGAGGACGTTTACCTGCACCTTAGGTACCCTTGGAGCAAATATATCCATCAGTCCTCCTGTTAAATGAAAATACTCTCCTACAGAGAAGTGAGTTCCTCATTAGAGAACACAGTGAAACCTGTGATTGTCATGTCTTGAGAATGCGAGTCAAGGAAGAAATTCAACGTTGTGGAAATTTTTCCAACAACGAAATCAACTGCACATACACATCTAGAGTCAATTTTCCAGTTTGCTTTTATTTACACTACACACAATTTACTGATGTCATGAGAAATTATGGACAGTATTAATTCATGCTAGAGGTACTGTTTGGCAAAAGTTCTGAGCAACTTGGCTTTTCTACTTTGTTCTGTATGTTGGAGAAGTTCAGATGTGTTGAACATGTTCAAGTCAGGTTGACTGATGGCTTGAATCTAGAAAAAAGTCAAGCAATGAATCTCAGTGTAAAGGTTTGCATCATTTTTAAGTTAAGGGTTATCAGAACTGCCAGGTTGAATTAACATAAAACATAGCCAAGATGCATGCAGGGAGGTGAGAACAAAGAAGATGGTTCCATGTGAGATTTGCAATGAAATTTCCACCCTGCAGTATTACACTTCCTGAAACCTCAAAACTTTAAAAGAAAATATTACACTATAGAAACTCACCGTAAGCAATTTCTTGTCCTGTTGTCCACGCTTAGCATGGGTGTCTCATCCAAGTTAAAGAACTTTCAAAAATTATATACTCAAACTAACAATATGAAGCAGAAACTTCTGAAGCCTACATGTTCCTTGCATACCTCAAAGCCTTACACATTTTGTCACACTACAATTTTTCATTGTATGACTATACATCACCTAAATGTAATTTTCTCAAAGGAGCAAATATAGCACATCACTTGGTGGTTAGGTCAGTTGGCTCTTGTCTCTGTTTCATGAAATATCCTCCAATTTCTCTGGTATTTCTCCCTCAGAAGACAGCATTCCCAATTTTTATGTGACCTAGAGTCAGTGGACAAGGAACCTCTCTTCAGATGTGCCACTACCGATTTCTATTCCTTAAGTTCTTACTTTATTTATCTAACTGTTTATTCATTCTAGTTTTTTTAATTTAATGCCTGCTAAGCACTTTTTTCAATTTGCTTTGAAGGATACAAGTTAAATATTCTAACATGGTTATGTCCCAGAAGAAAGTGTAGTAGAAGTCCATGGCATCAGAACTGGCAAGATAAAAGTATTGTTCAAATTAGACATTAAGGCAGACATAAGCAGGAAAGGTCAGATGGGAAAAATTCACCTTTCATAATGAGTTGGCATCAATTCTGTCATATGTACAAAGTGTCAATGACCATGTGCACCTAAATGCAGATGAATCAGATAGCTGGGCCACATGGTGAAAATGGATCTGGCTTGTATACCTAAGGTTGCCCTGAGTTGGACATCCCCTAGTAAAAGGAAAGTTGGTTTGCCAAAAAAACACTTTTTGTCCGAGCTGGGCTCAGTGAGGAAAAAATCACAGGGGTGAGGCACAATGAGCAGCACAAAACAGAATGAAATGAAAAGAGGTTGCATTAAGTCTTACAGGAAATGAAGAGGACTCTGTTGATGGCCCATTGGCTCAAAGACAATTGTGTGTTAAGAACAAAGTCAGCCCTCCATAAAATTGCAACACAGTATCAGAAGCTGACATCAAAGTCATATATTACCTTGATGAACAGGCCTGCTGAAGAGCCTTGAAAGCTGTTGTATAATCTTTAACCTCCATACACTGACAAAGTAATGCTGCCTGTTTTCATAACAAATTAATTTATGTTCAGTACCAGTTACTGTTAGTAACAGTTATGTAAATGACTAAGTCATCGGGTCATTGTTTGAAATAGTGGAACTGACTTATTCATCATGTTAAAGTTCAACATCCTCCAACAAAAGTACATGGTAAAGATTTAAGACTATGTGAGTCAAAAAAAAATTGTTCTTTTGCTCAATTTTCCATGACTCTTTGTTTCAAATAAGAACAAAATAATAAAACAAAAATCATCATTCACAGCAATGTACATGTTCTCTCAAGAGCACTATTGGTTAATAGTGGATGGCCATTCACAATGTTTAACCTCTTTAATAACTAAGAACCTCCTCATCCTTTACCTGAACATGAGCTTTCATTGCTGAACAACATGTCACCATTTTTCTGTAAACCTAGCAAAACAAACAAAGTTAACAGAGGAGTTGAAAAAGTGAGTCCAAACCCTGATGAGGTACAAAAGATACACCGGGGTTAGTATTGGATCTATAGAGCCAACTGTAGGTGATTTTCACAAAAATTGTCTCTCATGTTTTAAGTTTACACTCTATCAGAGCTAAAAATATATTGTCTATCAGAAAGGGGTGATGCAAAGGTAGGCACCATAATCATCATCATCATCACAATCACCACCCTTATCATCATCATCATCTTCATCATCATCATTATCACCAACACACTAGCTAGCAGTTACAGCTGTATTTGAAATGAAAACAGAGGAAGCAACAAAATGTTGGTTTATCATGTGTTCTGCTATTTTTCATACATGCCAGTCTCTACCTGATCATCCCAGACAGATGATGGAACTGGTGAATTAAAAAAAAGAGATGACACAGCACCAGCTTCAAGATAACACCGCAAGGCTGATGAATAGTTTCCAGAATCTGGAGAAAGGGAAAAAATTGTAAATTAAAGAAATGTTTTCATAGTAAATAGTTTTAATCCAAAAGTTAGATTTGTTCATTTTGAGTTAACATCCAGGTGATGGTATTCCAATGAAGGAATGTTGTCAGTGACAGTCCTCTTTAACCTTCAACGAGATGGTCACACTTCATGATCAATATTTACAGCTCAGGTCCATGCTAACCACATGTAAACTAGAATTAACTATAAGAGATTGGCAATTGCTATCTCAAGATTAAGATTAGTATGAATCAAAGTACCATTAAAACAGGTAATTTAGTGTTAACAACTGGGTTGAAAACGTAAATTAGCCACTGTAAAGGGTAAAAAAGCTGATGTTTCGAGCGTTAGCCCTTCGTCTATCGCTCTGACAAAGGGCTAATGCTCGAAACATCAGCTTTTTTACCCCTTATGGTGGCTAATTTACGTTTTCAACCCAGTTGTTAACACTAAATTACCTGCTATACTCTCCCACCGACGCAGCACCACAGTTTCTTTAGAAACTTACCCCTTTATTCATTTACCATTAAAACACTTCTCTCTTAAAAACTTAATGCACCAACTGAAGCCATACAAACTTCCCATACATGTTAGACTTGTGAAGCAAGATCCAACTTCTAGGTACATTTTACAGCCAAAACTTACCCAAGTAGATATCTCCAAGGGTTTGGAGCCATGAAACATTATGATGTTGTACAGAGAGGGCATGGTGGACCACACCTGACAAGGCCAAGCCAATGTGATCAAAATTTACATTACCAGGGCTGTAAAACAAAAAATACATGAAGCCTTTAAATCATGTGATACAAGTGGTGTATATTTCAATATAGGGAAAACATTGCACCAAACTTTTCCCTCTGTCAACTGGAACAAAAAGGGTGCTCAATTAAAAAAAAAAGTTTATTTCGGACCCTGGACGGTAAAATTACTTTTAAATTAGTTAGATCAACTTACTTTGTGATTGCTGTTGGCCATAGATGACTATGTGAGCTTGATATGTCTCTTTGGGAATTTACTTCATCGCCCTTTCAATGGAAATGGTGTGCAGAGGTTAGCTGACTGTCTAGTTTTTAAGGGACAAATCATCTTAAGCCTTTCACTCCTAAAGGTATTAAACATGTAGCTTTTTCCATAAATATCAAGCAAACAAGTGATGCATGAGGAAACACTATCATCCACATGTAGAGGGTGACCGGTGTTACTTAGAGATAACATCAAATTCTCCAAACCCATTTAAAGGGAAATAAATGGAGCTAAAAGGGAGAATTGCTGATCACATCTTGGGTTTTTAAAAAGCCTAAGGGGGAAAAACAGGGAAAGACCCCCCCCCCCCAAAAAAAAGCCTCTTAAGAAAGCAGTATTCAAATGGGGAATGGTTAGGCCCTTGAAACTCTCAGTTTTTAAGTAAAGGCCATGATTTCAATGCATCGTACTATGGAAATCTTTTCAGAGAAAACTTAATAAGTTAATTTAACTTGGAGATCTACAAACCTTGTTAGAGGCATTACGTAGTCTTACTAAGCAAGATATCAACACAGTTAGCACGGTCTCCTCCTGAGAAGGAAACAAGACATAAAATACGGCTTAAAATTCAACAAAATTTTATGGTTACTCTGAGAAAAAAAATATTAAAAAATGCAAGTTAACAGTATCATAGTTAATAAATACAAACTAAGTTACCTTGATTTTTCTTACAAAATGTATGAAACTGGTTCTGTAATACAATATAATGCTTGATTAGTAACCAGTACACCAGTGAAAGTTTACCTCAATATTGAGGTGACATCTGTTAGATTAGTGACCTTACTTAAGTCATGAATGTCAGTAGTAGGTGATATCTCTAAGTTAGATTACTTTGTCATTATATAATTAAGACTTACAGGTAATAAAGAGAAAACAAATAAAAAAGAGGAGGTGAAGTAATTCAATAGATAGAGTTTTAGAAATGTAGCCTATGTCTAAGCTAAATATAAGAGTTACAACTATACCCCCTTAGCATTTGATGATACCCATTTTTAATTCAAGGTAAGAGAGCATTGTTAGAGTGTATTGCCTTGCCCACAAACACAACCCAATGATTCAGCAGAGGCTTGAACCACAAGGAACCTTAAGATCTGGAGTCAAGTTTGCTAACCACTAGCAGTGTTCTACCAAGATATATCGAGAAGGTAGCAATTAAAACACCAAGTCTGCAAAGGTTAGAATTTATTTCAGATCAAGAAAGGTATTTCATGGCTTTGTCTAGTTAAAGTAGCTGCCACTTCAGAAAGAGGTAGCTGTTGAAAACACCAGCAACTAGTGTTTCTGGAGAAAACTGCTCAGGGCCATGGTATGCCCCACCCGTCCATGCACCTGTCCCAAAAAGATGTATGAGAACATAGTTCTTACAGTTTTAGTCCTTCAGACTGAGAGGCTACAGCAGCTCCCTGGCTTCCATCAGCAGACCACTTCTGTTGTCCAATGCTATTACTAAATATCTTGAGAACTAAAAAATAAAAAGCAAAACAATTAACCTACAATGAAATCAACTGAGTGGAACATTAAAATTATTGTATTTGTTACCCAATCCCACACCAAATTCATTTGGTGATGTTATCTGAAAGATGTCTTTTATTTAATTTAATTGACATATCTATAATAAAAAATTATAAAAACACCTTAACCCTTTCACTTCCAAGATCTAATTAGTAATTCTCCTTACTATCTGCCATACAATTCTTACGATGTTAGTTCAGAGAATTTGGTATTGGATCAACAAATAATCCCATGATTAATATTCTTCTCTATTCTCATCACCTGCCTGCTTGATATTGTATTGATATTGTAAGGAGAAATTCTGTCTTGGTCACTTGTGGGAGTGAAAGGGTTAAGCCCACTAAAATGTTTGCCGCTGTCTCACTGTAAAGCATTGTAGACTTACCACCATCCCACAGACTCCTGGCTGGCTTCCTCCATCCCTGGGGTTTGGACAAATAATAACAGGCAGAGGCCAACAAACTACTCAGCTACAAATGAATAGTAAAAATTGTGAGGTCGTCTTTTGAAATTTAAATAAAACAGATGTTTATATAGAACCTGAAATCTACTAATCTACAAGTGAAGATAATTAAGACTTCAAGTCTAATCCAATTTCCAAACGCAGGAAGAACAAATACAAAATTTATATTCAAAAGATGGTAAATTGGTACTTACAGATCTGTGGTCTACTGACTGTGCATTTTCATCAACTTTTATTTCTGATAAAAATTCCCATTCCTTGCCATTTAAGAGGTAGGCATTTACTTGCTCTTCAATGTGAACTTCTGCTGCTCCTGTTGACAAAAACATATATTAATGACACAATAATAAGCATTAAACCATGTTTGGACAAATTGCATGGAGCTTAAATTAAATCTGAAGTGTATCAATCACTAATCTTTAAATAGTACTCTTTCTGACAATAACTTAACCCCTAGACCCCTTGGAGTGATTAGCATCTAATTTCTCCTTACAATATCATTCACAATTCACACATTACAGTAAAAAGAATACAGGAAATGATCACCAACTAAAGAAAGTCCTGATTGTAAAACAAATTCTCCTTCTCAGCACCTTATGAAATGTATAGAGAACAGTATGGAGAATATGCATACTGATGTTAGGGTGTAAAGGGTTAAATGAAGCCTTCATATCAAATTATTTTTTCAAAGATAATATTGTGAGAATTGCTAATACCTGGTGCAGTTTGCCATATGTAAGACTTGACCCTGTTGGAAATCTCATCTGTTCTATAAGTAAAAGCAAAGAATGATTTTATTTTGTTTGAATTTTTTTTGAAACCCAAACCTTTTGAGCAGAGCTCAAAGAAAAAAACAAATTTAAATAAAATGTAGAGCATAGATACCTTTTGTTGCCTGACTCATGACAAATATCCAGAACAAGAAGTTCTTGGTGAATTGCAGCTTTTACTTTCTCAAGTGGACTGTTGACAGTTCCTCTGCCAGCCACAGTGTTCACCATCCCAAGGGCATAAGAAAGAAGCTGAGAAGCATTGTTGTACTCCTAAAGAAAATAAACAACAATTCTTTAAAATTACATCATATGATATTATGCACAGATCCTTCATAACCAGTTTCCTGGTGTACTAGGTACAATGTCTTTTCAAGTCTGAGTCTCAAATTTATCATGCTGAGAATTTAAAATCCCAATTACCTTAACAGTGGAACAATGCAAGGCTTTGGAAAATAGGATATGCAGTATATCTTGTTGTTGAAGACTTTTGATCTCTTCAAGGTGACTCTTGTATAGTAGACAGACAAATTCCTGAAATATAAGAATTGAAATACAAAATTTAGTAACTGGAATATCATGTTGAGTAGAATATCACTTTGCTATTAAATATAAGTTGAGAATTGGTGAACTCTTAGTTTGGGCTGTTGAACAGTCAATTAAGATAGACTTGCCTAAGCACTGGGTACAGACAAAACCCACATGCAAACCCAGTCTTGGCTGAAATGATAATACACTGAAGGATGTTCCGTACATGATGGATTTATCTATTTGAGTTGGAATAACAGAAGCTTGGTGGTTTGCAGACTAGACTGGACTGCACATCATAGGGTCTGATTTGGAACCCTACCTAGGTTTTAACCCTTTAACCCCCAAGATCTAATTAGTAATTCTCCTATCTAGCTGCCACACATTTCCTTTTAAACGATTGATGAGAATTTAATGTTTGATCAACATGACAACTTCTAGCTGATAACTTTGATTAATTTCTCATTACCTGTTTGCTGGATAATGTATGGATATTTTAGGGAGAAGTTACATGCCAATCACCTCTGGCAGTTAAAGGGTTAATGTTGGGTTCTTGTTCTAAAGCACTGAACTCTTATAATAATAATAGATACTTCTTTTATATAGCAGCATTTCTATCACTATCCAAAAGCATTTCACAATGACTGTACATTAGAAAAAAAAACACACACTACTGTACCTCTGAATGCTTCCTTCCTTTTTCAAGTTGATGAAGCTCTTCCACAAGATTGCTGATCTCTCCTGGATCAACTGTGCATCGCAGCTTATTGCAAAGGAAGCCTTTCTTTAACTCTGTGCTTTCTTGTCCTGATGCAGCTGTAAATGTGAGTTACAATGATTTAGAAATACTATGCCAAATATTTTTCCATCTGGCCCAACCTAACTCGGTCAATAAGCATTTTCACCCATGACTGCTGCCATGCCCCTTCCTTCCTTTCTTCTTTCTGCACACATCTTCCCGGGCCATGCAGCTTTTCCCTGCCCTCCTGCTAATGCCACTGTTAATGGCATGATGGCACATGAACAGCATAAGAAATGGCTCTCATGAACAAGTTAAATGTACTGTTTTTCAACAAAAGTGTGCATTGGCTGAGTGGGTTGTATAATAGCAAAACATTTTTCAATGCTTTTATGTAGATTTTGTTGCTTGAAGTTTATGTACACCTAAATTTCTCAACTTTTTCATAAAATCCATTTCAAATCCAGTTCTACATGTCAGTCTTTACTTCAAACACCAAATTACCATGTATACTAAATGAGGTGAAAATTCATTGTTTGATGGCATACACTACCTTCTGTGTTATACTGATCAGTGATTAAGCCCTGCTCAATAACATCTGGTTGAGTATCAACCACTTCACTCTGGACATAATCCATTGGTTCTTCCTAACAAAGCATAAAATGTGGATTGAAAACATTTAATTTGTATTTCAATTCCATCCTAAGATCAAATTTACATAGTTTTGTTCTGAACTTGTAATCATTGATTATTATTAATCATTCCAGAAGACACAGGAGACAGAAAAGCCCAGGCATGTTACATTACAAGGAGTGACTAACATGTTAGCTGAATTTGGATCATATCTCTAGAAATGAGCTGGAAAAACTAACTGGTGTCGATCAAGCCAATACTTACTAAATAAGACAAACTTTCCTAATTGAATCCAGGAGCCAAATTGCACCCAACTTACAACAAATTACCAGGCTGTTTATTTCATATGAAAGTGTCATGTGTGTAATTACCTCTTCATCCAAAAATATTTTAGCACCAGAATTCCTCGCAATTTTCCATCCATCCACCTGCTCACAGGTACAACAAATCATTCTGAAAAGGACATTACACAGTAAAGACAATCAATGTGAAATGTGACCATCAAACTGCTATAAACTTTATCTAAAAATCAGCACTTTAATATAATCTTGAACCTTTATTAGCTAACTGCTCTTAAGTGTTTTTTCTTGAAGATATCTTAAGTTTTCTTTCACAGTAAATGGTTTGAACTTAAGAATAGAGGTTGATAATGTACTCTGACGGTCTAAGTAGGGGTTGCCATGAAAGAAAACAAAGACTGACATTTCAACAACCTACATGGAAGTTGCTTGACTTCAAAGATGACAACCACTCCCATTGTAGAAGTGACAGTCACTGACCATGGCATCAATCCTTTACAGGACTATTCTCACATACAACTGAGTTGAAAACGTAAATTAGCCACCGTAAAGGATAAAAAAGCTGATGTTTTGAGTGTTAGCCCTTCATCAGAGTGATTGATCAATCACTCAATCAGTCAATTGCTCTCTAACGAAGGGCTAACACTCAAAACATCAGCTTTTTTACTCTTTATGGTGGCTAATTTACATTTTCAACTCAGTTGTTAACATACCGACGCAGCACCACAGTTTCTTTAGAAACTTAACCTTTTATCTATTCTCACATACACTTGATTAGACTCTGTGAACCTTCTTCTTTTTGTTTACTTGTTTACTAACTGAGCCAAAATCTATATCCAGAGCTTAGCCAGGGGAAACATGATAACATGTAATCTATGACTTTCTTTTCTTGTCAATAAACAGTTACAAGAGGTTTTCTCCAAACAAAAAACAAAAAAAAATGCACATAGGAATTTTTTTCTCTCTGGGACAGCCCTGGGGATTCAGAGCAACCTCAGCTACAAACACTAATAACTTACTGAATAAATGACTTGAGGATTTTAAACCTGTGGCTATCCTTAACACTTTGAGGAGGGAAGTCATCTTCAATTGGTACTGACTGCAAACAAAGCTAAAAAAAGACAGCTGATGAAAATAAATCCTTAGCTGAATGCACTTGTGTCAAATTTAGCTCCTTTGCAAGCATAGAGCAACTTTTTGAAGCATACTGTGAACATTAAATCCCAAAAGCACTAGTATCCAAAGAACTGGGCCTCTATTCCTTGTGGGGAACTCAGACTTTCTCCAGCCCATTACTTGTGACATAATTTAACAATACATCTTGCATTAATAGACAACAACACACTCCCATCCCAACCAAAATTATATCATATTTCTTCACCTATTACCAGTAAACTTACATCATCACACAAAAGCACACCCACACAGGCCTTTATAGGTTGTGTCATAAAAAAAAACATCACTCACAGAAAATATGACATCCAGTTGATTCTGATAACAGTTGCCTAATGAAAGCCAAAATCCAGGATTTGTTGGTCTTCCCTCTATAACGTCTCTGATGATGTTACAAACCATGACTTGCCAGTCAAGAGAAATGTTTCCAGTAATTTCTTCATCTTCACTCATTCTTCGACTATTTGTCCTTAGCTCTGTGACTAGATTCTCTCTATATTCCAATGGCAGTTCCAGTGCAATGTTGTCTTCCAAAAGGATTGCAATGACATTCTGTATAATAGAAGACAGAGTACAAAGTTGGACTAACTACATGGTATCCAGATTCATATTACTTTGTCACAAAACTGTCTATAGCTAGCTTTGCACAACAAAAGTTGAAATAGAAATTTCGACAGGAACCTTAAAACAAAAATATACAAAAATGTCTTATTCTAATAACAAACCCAAAAGCATCAATTGCTTTTTATTTTTAAAGAACAGGCTAAGAAATCTGATGTGGAAATGGAGTAAAGTACCAATTGCAAAACAAAAAATCATGATTAGTGAAAATCCTAGTCAACTACTGTCAGTTCTTGTGTAATTCAATTTGCTCCTGCCATATAAGTAAAGTAATTATAATGATTTATCGCAACTTGGAGTTCAGGATCAGTTAATTCAAAGTAACTTACACTGATGAATAAATTGAAAACAGAATGAATAGCAAAGTAGTATTACTAACATTGTATCCAGAATGTCGGCAATGCTCAAGTCTCACAGCTAAGGAAGGCTTACTCTCTGTAGGAGTGGGAGTACTCAGGGCCACAGAGGGAATGCCTGTTAAACCACAACAAGCCATGTAGTAGCCGTACAACTTCTTTTCACACACAGTGTAAAATGATGACTGCTCACACTTTGGATAACAAAAGAAAAAGGATTTGAAGTAAACTATTTCAATGTATACCTATTATTTTGAAATTCTTCAATCAATTTTCATTGATTTTCATGGGAAGATTTTTTCAAAAATTCATTGGAAAAAAGATTATTATTCATGAACATTAAGCTCTCCAAGCAATTCATAAAGAATTGTTAATTTATAAACAAAAGCTATGTCATGGTTTAATGAACCATCATCTAGTAAAATTCAGCCCAGTAAAAAATTTCCAAGGTTATCATTTGCATTCCAAATTAATCCTCTCCTCTCCTCCTCTCCTCCTCTTGTTTCTAATGAACCAACATAATAACCAGCTCCCAGTTGACTTGTTAGCTCAGTTGGTAGAGCATAGCAGCAGTATCACAGATGTCAAGGGTTCAAATCCCACGCAGGCCTGAATTTTTTCAGGCCTTATTTTCACTACAGCTAAAGTAGTGTTCATTACCGAGAAGATTGTTTTCATATTCTTAATATCTTATGTTCCAATTCAAGTTGAAAGCAGTTTTGCTTGTTAACAAATTTTGACCCAATATACTGTAATGGTGTAATGGCATAGTTATAATCTGTACCTGTGCATTCCTGCAACTTTCAAATAGTTTCATTGCCCGTTGGAACTTTTCCTGGTAGAAGTATAGGGTTCCTAAATCAAAGGAAACCTAAAATAAAATAGAGCCAAAGTTATGTACAAAACAGAAGCTTTACATAGTTAGCTGTAATTTCTCAAAAGGCAAAAAAAATTTAACATGTTTAAATGCTCAAAATCTACATATTGTGAGACAATTTATTGTTTATTTCTGACAAGGCACCATTTCTCTCATGAGTTTTGTTTCCTTCATTTAGACTGGTTGAGTTGTTAAGTGTAGCTTTGAACATTTATTTAGTGGTTTCACTCGTTTAGGTAATTCTGTCCCACTGTTTTGGGTTTTAGTATATGATGTCTGACAGTATTCCCATTCTCATTTTCATTTTCAACCAAAACTGAAAAACATTTGTGGAGAAACTAAATTAAAAGAATTTCAATTTAAATTAATCCACAGAAAGATAGTAACTAAGAAATAACTTTTCAGATTTGGTTTTAAGGCAGACAATGAATGTGTATACCGCAGAAATAGAGATTCAATTCAGCACTCTTTTATCGAATATATGTTTACCAGATTGTTTACCCAAAAGGTCTTGAACTGGTTCAACCAAGTGAATGCGTGCCAAATCTCTCCTACCACAGAGGAGACCTTGTTTGGTATTGCTGCAAGCTCCCACAACACAACAATAATACGGAAATTCAACTACACCGCCTTATTTATGTGCCATTATATTTATTCAGCCAAGTTAAATAGCCTGGCCATCTCCTTTCAGGATTTTATCAGTAAGCTACTCATTAAATACAATCTTGAAAATTTGTCTTAATTATATGTTTTATTGAGAAGTACTCCTGCCTCCTCAAAGTCAATATACCGCACAATGTATTGTAAGTAACTGTATATTCAGCAAGTAATGTAAGTAGAGTATTATATTATTAGTGGTGTAAGTAGCCCATATTGCAAGTAATTATATTTTTGCAAGTAACCATATTCAGTACTGTATTGCTAGCATGAGTAACCTACATCGTAAGTATCATAAGTATTGTTCTGTAAGTAGAGTAGCATAATGAGTCTTGCATTGTAAGTAATGTTTTGTAGAATTGTGTTTTGTAATAAAAGCAAAGGATTTAAAACAAAACAAAACAAAACAAAAACAACAAAAAGAAGATTTCAACCAAAATGTGAAGAGCTGAATTCACTATTTTTTAGAAACACTAATCTGCAAATAATAATCTGATTGTGTGAAAATTTCCATACCTGAGCAATGATGTCTTCTCTCTTAATCTTTACATCTTCAATTGTATTTGAATCAAGACTTTCAACAGCATCAGAGCCATTCTTTTCATCAGAACCATTCTTGACAACGGCTTTGCTTTCAGTCTCACTATTGTTGGGGTCATCAACTTCCAAATTCTGTTCTTGATCATCACTAGCTGGTACTCCCTCATCAGATGCCCTCTCTTGCTCAGATAGCTCAGTTGTTTTAGGTGCAGCAGCCAGTGAAGGAGCTGAAGGAAGGACCATGTCCTCAGTTAGCCCCAGAGCTTGCTCAAGTATCTGGACAGCAAATGGTAGCTGCTCTTCAAGCTACAGATAATTAAAAACTTTTCATTACTATTTTCACAAGAAAACAAAAAAAAGGAAAAAAGGAAAAAAGGACAGACTAACTCTCCCCTAAAGTAAAGAGATGCTCAAAACTTGTATGTTCCCTGTCCCCACTGACCCACTAACCCTGAGGTAAAAAAAATCAACCTAGGTTAAATAAAAAATAACCTGGAATCAAATTTAACCTGTAACATATATTAGGGAATTACCTTTTTTAAGGTAATTTTTCTTACCTTTTTAAGAATGCTTTCATTTGCCAAGTTGTCAGCTGTAAGACTGAAAAGTTTGAAAATATAAACAAGGCAAGTCAAAAAATCAACCAGGAGATATTGTTATGATGTGATACCAAATTCTCAAGACTAGCTTACAGACAAATGAATAGGTATCTATAGGGGGAATTAGCTCTCAGGTCTATAGATTCAAAGCATATGGACAACAGCAACAACAACAACAACAACTTTATTTTTTCACCCCAAAATATACAGGAAAGAAAAATTTATAATAATAGTACAGACAATGATAGGGGCACTGGCTGCCCGAAATAACCTAAGAGTTAAAAATGCCAGGCAGCCAGTTGAAAATAAAGATATTTAAATGTTTAGGTCAGGGACACAAAAACAAAGAGATACAGAAACGCACACAAAGGTAAACTACCAGTATACTAAAGAGACTAAAATTCATACATTGAAAAACAGCATTATTTCCATTTTAAAGTTACACAGACAATACAGATGTCTAGTAATCTTTGATAAATTGCTGCTTTACTTTCTTTTTAAACAAAGACAATAAAGATAATTTCATATCTTTATATCTTGACATTTTTATATGGAATGCTGATCCTGATGAATGACCACATGAACAAAAATCTTATGAACCAAAGCTGCCTTGATGCAGTAGGGTCCTGGACCCAGTTGTTCAAAGGCCAATTAGCACTAACCCAAGGTTAAATTTTAATCCAGCTTTCTATATTCCTTTGTTCAAAAGCCTTTTCAGGATGATTATCTCTATTCTTTTTTGGAGCATCTAATAATTAAATTGTTGACAAAGGAATTATACTGAATTTTCTTTTAAGCTTTCAGATCTGAAATCAGATTTCTCACTAACCCTGGGTCATCTTAACCAAGCTTTGAACAACCAAGCACGACTGTTTTGCGCTTAACTAATATTTCCAATGGATAGTCTAATGTAATCATGGTCTTTGCTACTCCATAAATTTAACAACTAACCCATTATTGGTAGGTTTTTCAACATTAGGAAGAAAATGCTGAGACAGAGTCCTAACCAACCTGTAAGGAAAACAGTTATGACTATAAACAATATAAACATGGATGATCAAGGTAAGGTGGACATTTAAAATACCATAAAAAATCTATGTGCTACTACAAACTCATCAGATTCATTGTATCCACAAGATAATTCAGTATCTTGCTATTTAGCTTTTAACACCACTCAATGCCTACTTTTATTTTTCTTCTAGTAACCAAGTGAAAAAAGAAATAAAATGACAAAAGCATTAATTCCTGGTAAAAAATTTTAGAAACTCCTACCATCTATAGTAAATTATGAGAGTCATTGCATGTTTTTTGTCCAGTTTACTGATATCTGTATCACTCTTAAGCACCTAAGAACAAATTTGATAAAAGTTAACACAAATTAAAAATTTCATTGCCTTGTACTTTGTAACAGCTGCTAACAGTACTTAGCTCTAATCCAAAACTAGCAACAATTTCATAATTCCAATTAGCAGTAGCTATAACTAAGCAGCTGTCAGTGAGAGCCAGTCACCAGGGCAGGGAGATGTCTATAGCCACCAACTAGACATAGGCAACTTTCAACTACTTTTTAATTACCAAATTACTAATATGCCATCAAATAAATCTGTGCAGCACCTGTTTTCTTGTTTTCAGTGTAAGTGAATGCATAATTTACCAGTTACTAGTTTAGATGTGAATTACTTCCAAGTTGAAGATTTAGGTTTGTATGAACTAGACTGGGACATCTTGACTGAAAAGCTTCCAGTCTCGTGTGTAATTTGACTATAGAACATGACATCCACTCTAAATCTTATCAATTGACAGCCTAGCATAGATCACCAAAAATCATAATGTTATTATTTTTTCTTATCTAGTAATTTTACTGTTGTCTTTAAATTTATTGGCTCACCTCATCTAATCCTGGGGTTCTCTTTATGAGTTCACCCAACAAAATGCTTTGCCATTGAAGAGAAAGACTAAAGGATAAATTATGAGTCATTTAGGTTAAGATAACAAGTGAAAATAACCTAAATAACTCATTAATTTTTAACACTACAAAGACAAGCTTGATCAATATTTATGTCTTACTTTTCTTCCAAAATTTCCAGATTCCACTGCAGATGTGTTCCAATCCTTAAAGCTAAGTGACAGAGGCGTTGTACTCTTCCGTTTTCAGTTGGAGGAGTTTCAGAAGCAGCACCCTTATAAACATAAACACAATGCTTTTTTTTTTTAATGTTAAGGTACCTTTTCATTTAGGCATCTTGGCAATGAGGACAAGTAAATGTTATCAATGTGCACTTCTTTCCAAACAATTAAAATTCTCAACATTGTGACAAACCGAGCGAGAGAAAGATATATGTTAAGTAGTGAGTCAATGTATACAAGGCAACAAAATAAAGTTATCCAAATTTCCTTACATCCTGTAATCATCACCAAACAAGGGGTACCGCATTATCATTAGCTTTACTTTTTCACAATCACTTCAGAGAAAGCAAAGGAATCCCAAAAATTTTGTTTTCTCTAAAGTGTTTCATGACAAAGTTTTAATTGACTTTAATCAAAAAAATGGAGTATATTTTATTGGGAGTACAAATGCATGCTGGCAAACTGTCAATGAAGCCTGACAAAATTCTGGGGAGTTTCCTGCAATGAGCTAGCATCCCACTTCTGGTGGGGAGGTCAGTATGTTGTGTTCATAAGCAAGTCACTTAACTAACCCTCCACCTCTACCAACCTGGGAGTATAAATGCATGCTAGCAAACTGTCAAGGAAGCCTGACAAAATTCTGAGGAGTATCTTGCAATGAACTAGAACCCCACCTGAGGGGTGAGGGGTGGGGATGGCACAGATGGATAGGCCACTTCGCATGAGTACAAACATTAATTTTCATCTTTCTCATCCCTGGAGAGATTACATACCACATTATTGTTGACCAACCCAGAGTGTTCCAGAAATTGAACAATGAGTTGTGTGGCTGAAGGTTCTGGAATTATGAAATCAATGTATTACTTTTTAGCTAAGCAAGATTCCATCTAATTAAAACAAAAACAACAACAACACAACTAAATGCTAAAAATATAAATATATCACAGGTATTGAGATGAGATGAAACTTCCATCCCCACCCCCATCCCCACCCCCCTCCTCTCACACTCTCCCCACCCCACATCCTCCTGGAGTATACCCTACAAATGCACACTTTCAGTGCTAACTTGACTTCTAGTGCATTTCTCCCAACTTTGGAAGAAATTGATGCAAATTCCCTTTTTGGAAAGTTCCTCATATACCATATAATGTAACCAGCTTTCTTTCCAATATTCTTTCGCAAAACTGGAATTCTGACCGATAAATATCAAGAACAAAATGGTAAATGCTACAAACCTGCTGATGCTTCCCCTAAGTGTTTCAACAAATCTCCTGTTGTATCAAACAAGAACTCGAACCAAGAAATAGCTGTTTTCGAAGCAAGCTTTGAGCTGCTGAACGTCGCCATACTGTTTTCGCCCGCGCAATGTTTCATCTTGAACAGCAGCTTTTCTAATGGGTACTTCCCCTGTTGTATCTGAGCTCACTGAAAAATACTGCGAGTCTTTTCAAATGACGTCACTCTTCCCACACTTCTTTGAGGAAAACACTTTCATCCGGCTCAGCCATATTGCTTTTTGCTGACAGACAGTAACCCCTAACTCCAATCCCGGCCATCCTAGGCCATCTTTGTATAGTTTCAGTTATATCTCCTCTGTACAGCAATGTCTTCGGGAACTCCATACCTTGGCACTAAAATAAGCTTAGTTTCCAAGTCAGAAATTAGATATGAGGGAATTTTGTATTCCATTGACACCAAGGAATCTGTTGTGACGTTAGCACAGGGTTAGTTTTCTGGCATTGGTCAATGTTTTTCTGTTTTTGTTGGGATATTACATTTTTTTCACCGTGTTCTCTCCTTTTGCTTTGTTTGCAGTGCGTTCGTTTGGAACGGAAGACCGAGAGGCGCCTAAAAGGGTTCCTCCAAGGGACGAGGTTTACGAGTACATTGTTTTTCGAGGACAGGACATCAAAGATCTAACTGTAATAAGTGCTGAGTCGCATTTACCTCAGGACCCAGCCATTGTCCAGGTATGCCATGCAGGAAGCCTATGTAATGTGTAGTTACAGCTCGAATTCGCAGCGAATTCTTTGTTTTAAGTCAAGTGACGGAAATAAGTTGTTTGACAACAACAATTCATTTCACTTTCAGTTCCGGCTTGAAAGAGACAGTAAAATAAATGCTTAAGTCAACATGATTTTAAATCGTACTTAGGTCACAAAGTTTGTCATGGCTTTAATGGGTTGAGCTTGTTATGCCCAGATAAGTCCACTCACGAACGCCATATTTACATCGTACGTGTGAAAAAATATGATTACGTGACAAGACTTGTATTCTTAAAAAAAAAAAATTAAGAACTTGTGCTAGTCGAAATGATTCCATCGATTGAATTAAACGTAATATAGGCACTGGGCAAGCTACAGAACTGTTAAGTTACACCTAGTCATATCGAAAGCGAGAAACAATTTTAGAATATCTAGCAAACGAGACAAGACGTAATGTTTACTAAACCAAAAATATGGATGTGGAAGCAAACAGAATGAGCGAGTGGAGTTCAATTCAGTAGTATCTTAGGGTTTGAAAACAAATTGAATAACTCAAATTTATTGAGAAGCAAAACATTTGGTAAATGTCTTGGTAAGTAAAAACATGGAGGTTTCAAAGCCGAAATGCAAACTAGGTAGTTTATAACCAGCTCATATACAAAAGAAATTTACTATTTAATATGAAATTCATCAGATATGACAACCAGGGTTATATCCTGGAATTTGTGATAAGCTTGTAGAATTGTTTTGTTTTTTGGTTTTTGATCATAATTAGTGTCACAATCCTTCTCTTGGAGTGTGCTACCATGAACAGCAGAAGAATTTTAAAAATCAGGCATTAAATAAAAGATCATTTTGGAAAAAAAATTTAAACTTTAAAAACTGATATTTGCTTATGGGCAAAATATACACATACCTGGTTATTAAATCAGTTAAGATAAGTAGACCACTATAACACCATTAGCCCCTTGTCAGGGCAATGTGTAATGAACAATCGCTCTCTCCATTTTCCTTTTCCTACCATTTAGGATGTTAATTTAAATTTTTACTTTTTATTTCCATTTTGATTGTTTTGCTAGTCTGGTAGTTCAAGAGTTCCAACTCCTGGCTATTCTCATTTCCCTGCTCCTGTATCATTCCCACCTCATCCAACCACATATCCTCCATTTGGTTCGCCATATGGCGGTTACACGCCACAACACAGACCAATGCCAGGCCCCATTCCACCACATCCAGCAATGATGCCACCTGGTCATATGATGCCTCCAAGGATACCCACACCACCAACAGTTCAACATGTACCTTTGTCTCGCAGTCGTACACCATCTCCAGAAACTGTAACACCTGTGGTATCCACTTCTAAAACAGAGGATAAAAGGGAGGATACAGCTCATGATAAAAGCACAGCTCAGCAAGGAACTCAAACAGTTCAGGCTAAGAAGAAACCATCTTCTAGACCATCGTCAAGAAGAGGCTCAGTAGACAAAACGGCTGCATCTCAAGAGAAGAAGAAGAAACAAGAGGTAGTAGATAAGGAAACTTTTAATAAAGACCCCACGGAGGAAACCCAGTCCACTGAACCTCAGAAACAGAAACAAGGTCTGGGAAACATGATATTTTAATGATTTTACAATGAAACTTGTTTGCACTTAACTTAGTGATGATGATACTTTCATATAGCTGGAATAATTTCATGCTTGTCTTAAAGACTCTATTTTTCACCTCACTTAGTTAACTGTGGTTTAAGTGAATAATCTCGCATTGAATGTCATTAGTAAATTTCTTTTCATTAATTTTGGTCTTTGCAAAACGTATTAAATGAGTGGAGATTCTTGTGATTTAACAAGCATATCAATGAGGTTCACAGCCATCGCATGATCATGAATTTCAAGGCAGTAAAATTTGAGAGTCAGCTGAAACTTTTGAAGTTTTATAAGCGACAGGGCTCTAGATGTAAAATTAGAGTCATCAAACCTAAAAAAAAGTAAAGGAAAAAATTGCATAATACAGAGTTATGTTTACCACCAGGCTTGTCTCGAAGTAAGCTATATGGCCAGTTATCATTTCTGAAGGTTACTCCGACAACCACAGAGAAAAGGACAAAGTTGTCATAGAGGAAAATAGTTTGTGTCAAAAGTGTCTCACTTTGATTCCAGAACTTAAAACTGCTTCTAAAACCAAAATTAATTTAAACCCTGTAACAACTGTTTAAAAATTACAACTAGAAGTTCTTAATGAGATCCTTATAAACTTTGTTGAAGAAAAAAAATTGTTTTTTACTAAAGATATTTAACTTTTCTATATGTTTAACTTCTAACTTCTCAGGGCGTAAAATTAACTTTTTTTTCTGATAGCCACTTGGCTCCTAAATTCTTCAAAGTGGTAGCCAATTCAAAAAAAGTTGGTCGCCATTTTCAAAGACAAACAAAATCTTTCTTTATGCTGTCAGCGTTCTAGATAGACCCTCCAAAATTAAGTTAGGGAAAAGATCAGTAACATGCTACAAAGTGGACATTAGGATGGATGATATACAATGTTCAGGCTCATCTAAATCCAAGATGGCGTCTAGTTATTGATCGAGATGCATGTGCTATGTTTTGGAAACAAACTTAAAGTGAAAGTTTGCCGCGGATTTATCTTTGCAAATCTTTTTAATTCACTATATCTCTTGGTAAGGTTATGATGAAATGTTCTAGTCGCCAATTTGGCGACTAACTTTCAGGATTTGGTCGCCAAAGTTAAAAATTTAGGCACATTGGCGCCTGTATTAGGCGCAATTTCACGCCCTGCTTCTTCTTGGTGAGTTGGCATTGGCAAGTTGAACCGTTGGTGACTTGACTGTAATTCTATTTGCAGTATTCCCAATCTCACTTTATACCAAATTGTTTTTTCTAGTGGGTAATCGTCGTCCACAGGGAAGAAGAGGATCTGGTCCAAGAGTCAACAAACCACGAACAGTTGGTGGTCCTGTTAAATTTGAGGGCGAGTTTGATTTTGAGAGTTCAAATGCTAAGTTCAATAAAGAAGAAATTGAGGAGGAACTACAGCAGAAGCTCTACGAAAACCTCAGGTTGAAAGATGAGGTAATGAGTTACACTTATCTGCACTTGCCTGTAGGCATAAATTAATTTTGATTATAAGAATGATGTTTGTTGGCTAAAAACTCTTTGCATATGAATAGTGGATCTTAAAGATGCTGAACCCTAAAGAGCTACTACTTTTCCTGTCTAAAAGGTTTATTGTGGATACGTTTTGACAGTCCTTTGCTATTTGGCATTGGAAACGATTTGTTTATTGCTTTTATGCGAGGGAGTGACTACCTATGTTCTAGACTAAATAACTTATTATGATAGGTATCAGTTTTGTTGTTGAAATTGTACTAGTCCACTACAAAATTTATATTTGAGTAACAGCATTTGCCAAACTTCTACCTTAAAAAAAAAATAGAAAAGACTTTGCTTTTGCACACTGATTAGAGTAAATCTTCAACTGGAAGGGAAGTGTGATCAGGTTGGAATGCTCTCCTTACCACTGTACCTTGTTAAAACCCCAAGAGTTCTTAATGTGTCTACAAAGTAATTTTTCTGACTAAGCTAAACACTGACTGTGTGACTAATGATGAGTTCTTATTTCTAGGATGAAAGTGAAGCAATCAGTGCACCTGAAAATTATGCTAGTGATGCTCAACCTTCAAGCCCTCTCAATTATTATGATAGTTCCAAATCCTTCTTTGACAGTATTTCCTGTGAGGCAAAGGACAGAAACAGAAATAGACGGTATTGTCTTTCATTTTTTTAAACTTTACCACACCTCTCTTGCAGTGGTCCTTGTTCAACTTGTGCATGCTGCATGGGTTTACAATTGACAGGTAACAATTGTGAAATGGAGTGTTAATCAGCTATTTTTAAAATTGATTTCTTTTCTCAGGGCTCACCCTTCATGGCAGCAAGAACGTAAAGTAAACATGGAGACCTTTGGAGTAACTGGTGGCATGCGACGTGGAGGTCGAGGGAGAGGAAGAGGGAGAGGTCGAGGAGGTTACAGAGGTGGCAGAGGTGGAAATAGGTATCAAGGACATGATGGCAGTAGTCAAGGAGGACGTGGAGGCTGGCGTGGTGGGCGTGGTGGTTCCAGAGGTGACCGCTCAAGGTCCTATGTAGATCAACCCATTAATGGTAATGACAAATTACCAAGAAATCTACCCAATGGACCAGCTATGGTAGGAAATTGTCTTGGTTTTTGTTCAGAGAGAGAAATATGATTTTATTTTTGTAATGAGGTTGTTTGATTAACAAAGTTGTTAAAGTTACTATACATAGCAGCAGGATGTTGACCGATTATAAATTTTGGGGTGGAAAACCTTGGCTGTGAAAAAAAACAAATGCAGAACCAAAACTTTTACAATCTTCTGTTGGAAGATGTCTTGTCTTAGAAAGGGCAGTGGAAATCTACAGTGGTAAAGCAGTGATATAGTTGTGGAAATTTATTTAATTCTTCTTGTCATGTCTTTGTTTCCAGGGAGGAGATGGTGAAGCAGCTGCCAAAGCATGAAGCCACTGATAATTAATTTGAAAAAATTTTCTGGTTTTCTGTCTCTTATTTACTTGGGTTTCTTTTTTTCTTTTTTTTTTTTTTTTTTTTTTTTGAGTCATGGAATCACTAATTGTGGTCTGACCACAGACTTTATTGTTTCTAGTGTTGTGGTTAATCTTAGCTCTTTGCAGTCAGGGATCAGTTTTGTAGAAATGTCAGTTGCTGAATGATATTCTTTGACAAGAAAATACCATGAATGCATAGCTGTATATGGCTCTTTCGTAATTTTGTACATGCTGTATTTCTAAGACTTAATATTATTGTATCATTATTGGCTTCGTGTATACAATAAATGTCAGAAGATATGTCATGCATTAAAGTTATGTTTACATTTCACAGCTGTGTCACAAAGTGACCCTCTTTAACAAACAGAAATTGTTATTTTCACCTTGCTATTAATGCTTATACTAATAAAAATGTTTGGGAATAATATGTTTTGGGTACCCATGGACTAAATATTTATCACAGATGTAATGGTTTACAAGTGGTATAATTTTTCTACACACATACATTTAAGCAATTCATGGTGTTGCGGTATTTCCTTTTGAATTTCTTCATTTGCACAAATGTTGTGAACTTTAAAGTAGTTAACTATTATCAACACATACAATGTAGGGGTGTTTAACAATGATTTAATTTAATTTAAAAGGTTTTTTTCTCTGGGGAAGAATCTTCAATAAAGTGAGTCTTCAAGCATTTCTAAAAATATTTGAACATTAAAGGAACATACCAAAATAAAAAAAATGAACAATTTCCAATTGCTTGTTCAATTGTGGCTGTGACAATCTATTTTCTAGCATTTTCTTGTGAAAATGGTTACTTGAGGACTGCAATGGTTTGTGAGGTAGAGAATCTTTATTTCACAACTGTTGCAATCTTCCATCCTACAAACATGGCTCCTTAAGACAAAAAGAATGACTTTCACAAACAATAGAATAAACTCCTTAGGCAGGTTTTCTTGCTCTGATAAAGTTGGACCAAAGATGGTTTCAAGTACCAGGCTTCTGCAGGGTTATTGGTTGTAAATGCCCCTGCACTTAAGCCAAGTGCAGTATATAATTTATCTAAGTAGATTTCACAAAAGTTATTCGTGACATTTCACCCCATTCATGTTCAAACCAAACTAAACCAAACTAAGTTTTCATTTCACTGTTTCAGTAGTTTTGAGTGCCTGGGTCTCTAAACTTTACTTGGTGTACATAGATTAGATTCAGAAATTGACATGCCCAATTAAATAACTACTTTCAGCCTGACAAAAACTTGGCATGGAAGTCAAATGTCAACTTGTATTCTTTTATTTCCACTCTTACTACAACTATGATTTTCAATCGAGAGAGACAACAGAAGTTTAGTGATCATGATTTGATGTTAAATCTGTTTGTAACAAGCAAATGGCTCAGTTTCCACTGGCAATGTCGAGTTCTTTTGGGTCATTGTTGACGTGTGGCTCTTGGGATACAATATGAGACTCGGTTACCATTAGAAACAAGGATGGTTGCCCATGACAACACCATTATGTTTTCATTCAGTCCAGATCCTGTCACCAAACCTTTTCCACACAATACTCAACTGATGATCTTGGTTATTATACACTAGACTTACTGGGAAAACTCTGATTGGTTGAGAGCATACAGTCAATATACAACAGCACATGAAGTTAACATAATAACCCAATATCTGTAGATATCATGTCAAGTTCAAAGTCTGACTAATTTCCAAGCTCCTCATCTGTAGCATTCTCAAACTTTTGCCAACTTGGAGAGAGGTGTCTTCTTTTGCAAATTGTTTAAAAATGTATAATAAAACAATTACTGAATTCTGTTTTTGCATGATATCATGAATTATCAAACCTTGTGTCTGTGTTATCTGCCCAAGCCTTTGGTTTGAGCACAATAACTCCAACCTTGGCATTAATCATTCATGATATCAAGCTCAACTTCAAATAATTACTTATTAGTCCTCCTGTTAACCTGAAGTTGGACTCTAGAAAAATTACGCTTTTACCATCTTCATCTTCTGCTTAAACAGAAAATTGCAAAAATTGTTCCCAAAATAGATTTCAGCATCTCTGGTGACAAACCTTTGTTCCTACAAGATTAAATATCTCAAATTCTTAAAAGAAAATTTTCTGCTAATTTTTGTTTACCTTGCCTTTGTGCAAACAAAACACAACTTACTGTACTGAAGTAACCCATGAAATCTAAATATTATTTACAGGAAGTTTTAAATATTCAATGTGACCTATTAACCCAGGCTTGTAAACACAAAAGCATTTGTTTCAACAAGGGTACTTTCTGAACCATATTACAAGGGCAAGTGGTGAAAGAGCAGAGGAGAGGTTATAGAAAGCATTTGACAAGAAAGATTTATAATTTCCAAGTGATTTCTGATAAATAAAACAACCTTATCCTCTTAATAGAGTCAGTTTGGTGCTAGCATAGGATATATTTTCCTGAGAGAGTCTTCTAAAGAACCTCATGGTAGACATTCAGATGATGTGTTGTGGCTGATACACTTGCAGAGCTAGAACATATGTCATGAGGGCAGTGGTACTTCTGATCCAGATCTTATCAAACTGGGTGTAACACCTCCACAACCATGTTTGCAACATAAATTTGTAACTATTTCAGTCACATGATCTTGTAACAAATTGTGTCACATTACAGACTTGTGACAAGTCACATTATACAAGTGGTGGCTGTTGCATGGGTGACTGTCCCACAGGTGTCTGACCCATTGGTGGTTGCTGACCCATAACTGACTGTCCTGGCTGTTGCTGGGTTGGGTATGGCATGTGTGACAAGCCTTGTTGCTGAGGAGGCTGTCTGTAAGGATTGAATCTTTGTGTTTGCTGCTGTGAGGGATACCCTGGCATCATACCAGTTGATGGCAAACCTCCTGAGCTAGGTGGCCCATATCCAGGATGACTGTGTGAAAGCGACTGTTGTTGCTGAGGCATCTACATGCACGACACAACAATAGTGATATCATCATTATTCTCTTATGTCTAAAATTTTAAGGCAATTTGATATAATTTGCAATGATAATGATCATCATTTTATTTAACAGTGTTATTTGTCTGCAAAAAAACATTTCAAAGGAGATAAATAAATTGGTTAAACCATTAATTTTCAAGTAAGGAGAAACACAAATAAGGGAAGTAAAGCATGAAGGAAGAAAAAAGAATTGCAATACGAGACTTGGAAAAGTTGGGTTACCTGTTGCGGTGCACCTTGTCTGAACTGCATCTGCCTCTGCTGCATCATGTATTGTTGAGACTGTGGTTGATTCTGTGACATCATGTGTTGACCCATAGCTGGAGGAGCATGAGACTGAATGGGTGTAACCTGTGGAGGTAAATTTCCCATTGGTCCCGACATGGTGGGTGGAGCTACCGGTCGACTCTGTTGGCTTTGAGAGGGATTTGGGTAACCCATGTGACTCTGCGCTGTCATGGGTGGATGCTGAAGTTGAGGAGGAGATGAGGTTGACTGTCCCATCCCACCAACTGAACTGGCACCATATCCTGCAGTGGTAGGACCACTCATTCCTCCCAGTTGTGGGGGCATGTTGGATTTCATTGGGTCATTCATTCCTGAGGGCATTCCAGCATTCAATCCTCCTGAAGTTGGCATCATGTCTGAGGATGTACCAGAGTTTGGTGTCATATCAGGAAGGCCGTGCATACCACCCCCAGATGGTGGTGTTGCAGATGCTGGGGGTCTATTGGAACTACTCTGTGAGCCAGGAGCCTGTTGACAGAATGTCCATGAGCAAGGGAATGTAATGTTACAACCAACATGCAGGGGAGACTAACAGCTACAATCAGAATTTCTAACTGTGTTCCACTGCTCTCAAAATAAAAGAGATAAAGATTCTGAAAACTGATCCTGGTACTTTAGTGATGCAACTTTAAACAGGTTTTGTACTCTATTGACCTAACACCTTTGTTTTCATAACCAATGATGGAGGGTTGACACCCATATAAAATGAAAGTGACAATCAATCAGAGTATTTATCCTTTTTTTTTTTTTTTTTTTTTTTTTTGCAGAGACAACATTTTTTAGTAAATTTCCATGAATTTGTTCCAAATTTCAAAAAGGACTCTCCTAACTTGGAAAGTAACATTATCAAATTTGAAGGGCTGACATTTATTTCCACTTAATATTTTTCATTTGACTGAAGGTAGAAACATTTTTTGGGCCATAAAGTTTGCAAGACTTTTTTGGTGGGAAAATTTTTGTGTTCAGCAAAATCCACAACAATTCAAAATTCTTAAAATTCTAATGCTGCCCAGTTAAGCCATTTCACTAATGGTTCACATACTGGGATTGTGTTCTGCATGCTTTGAGTGGAGTCAGCTAATGTTGCCAAGTACACCAGATTACGATGCAAAAGTTGCTGGTATCTGGAAACAAACAAAACAAAGAAACAAAAAAAAATGATCAGATAATTTCATGCATCTAGAAGGAAAGTAAAACGAGTAACCCCTGAATGAAATGTGGCAGAGACCATGGCAAGTTGTCAGGAAAGCTTGATAAAATGATGGAGGTAGAGGGGGTAGCCTTGGCATGGCTAACGTCCCATTCAGGGGGGTGTGGTAATAATTCTAGTCATTCTGTGCTTCAAATACTGGGATTAACTCATGCCGGATGAGTCACTCAGCTTGAGCACAGACTTAACATTTTTTTTTAATGAACAAAATCTCTGTAAAGTGATACTACTTACTGTGTGCACTCATATGCTTTCCCTTTACTCTGATAATCAACAATAGCCTACAGAAGGGATAGACAATTTGTAATGGTGAATACTAACCAAAATGTTCTTGTATAGCAGTGTCATATTTATTGCAACAAACTGATGTATACACCAAGAGCATATTTGATTGAACACCCCATCCCTTCCCAAGAATTAAAATAAATTACTTTCCTCAAATAAGTACTGTCTCCTCACTTAAAACACTAGACATTTTTTAACAGCACCATTTTAATTTTGCTGCTATTATAATTTGTTTAAAATTGGATCTGCCAACTAACAGCAAATTGTTCAGAAGGCAGATCAGATTGCTTTCTTCCCATTCTTTTGGTTAATAACCTCACATACTTACAAAGCACCTGTACATGTATATGCAACAAGTCTTCTATGAATGTTTCTCTCATTTTTAAACCTTGACTAAATGCTGTAAAACTTCCATGGAGGACAAGATTTTTATCAAGTTTTATAGGCCAGCTACATTAACTTGGATTTTTAAGGCAAACTACATAACTCTAACTCTCCAAATAAACCCCTCTTCTCTTAATGATTAAGCCCTTCTCTTAAACTCAGATTCCATACATAAGCACCCCAGGCAATTAGTCATGAGCACCTTCCCATAACTGTAACGAAAGCCATGCAAAAGTAAACTGGTTTGCTGGGATATGAACTGAACTAAAACAGACACATGCATGTACACCTATTTACCTGAATAAGTTGTGAATTCTCATCTAGAAGCTGAAAGACAAAAATTATGGTGCATGAGATCAGACACTTATATTCAGACTAATATTCACTCACAAAAGAGGCAATGGAGAGACTTGATTTGAACATTTCTGAAACAGGTTGTTCACAGCTGAGTGTTCATAACATAAGAGTGAAAAAAGACATATCTCAGAATATTAATAACCCTCGCATGACCGTAGACCACACGATGGGATGTATTACTTACCGTACCTTCTAGATACAACACAAGGTTTCGTAAACGTCCTTCAACTTTCACCGATCTACAGTATCGTCACAAGTTTTGTTTACACAAAGAGATCGTGTCACATATCTCCCATAATTGCAGAGAATGAAGACGTTTATCATTTCTTTGAGACGAAGTAACCATTACAAGCTCCCTAAGCTATTCAGAAAATTGCTGAAAGCATCTTATTTTAATAGGGAAGATGTATAGTAATTAAAGTCGAATTTAAGTTTTAAGTAAAAAGTAATCTTGTTTAAAGAAAAACCCGATTTTTTAAAACATTGATATTGCAATGCAAGTGAAAGAGTAAATTAATTTTACAAAGACTAAATCCTTCGAGAAAAACATCTTCGATCAAAGGGAATGTACAGACAGGTGTAAACAACAATTGATGCTATCAATGAAAAATTATGACAGGCTTAAGCCTTGTAGTTTACGTTAATCCTGACTGTAATACTACAACAAGCTTAGCGGCTCTTCTACCTACCGATTGAACTGTTTGTTGAGTAGGTTCTGAACGCTGTCGTCCAGACACAAATGTCATCGACATGCTGAAGTTCTGCCTTCTTCTGACAAATAGCAGCTAAGAAAGGAAGTTGCAATGGCCTTCTCGAAATTTGAAAGACACGTTGTGTAGGCCCAGTTGTCCATATCCATTATCGATATATATGTCATATAAAACTAAATGAAATATCCTGAAGCAGGAAAGCACTGATTTGCAGTCATTGCCAGACCCCAAGCAAACCTCTCCCCGACTCGTCTCAAACCTTACCGCGGTCGGAAAAACGCCTGAAGACGCTTGGTGCCTGAACATAGATGATCGCGCCCCATAATGGAGGGGTGAACGTTACATGGATTTACTTAACGGAGTTCTGCGAATATTTGTTCAGTTGACGAAATGGAGTGGGTCATTAGGGAAGGTACGTTTTTTGGCTGGGGAATTTTGGTATTTTTTTCCAAAAAAGCGTTGGCCCTCCCTTGCGTTTTAATAGAAAAAACCCCTGACCCCCCCCCCCCCGCCTTTAAGTGACAGACAAAAGCGCGACCCTCCCCTCACTGCTACATGGTATGTTCCATGTGGTAGAAACCTCAGAACATTTCACTTGTGAACGCTAAATATTTGAATATAAATATATCTCGATATTGAATGTGTGCGAGCTGGAAACATGAAAATGCGAACAATCAGTGCGGGATATTTACGTTTTACAGCTGAAGTTTGAATATGGAAGTATAAACTTTGAGACTACGTAAGTCCTTCTCCATCTAAACCAACTGCACGACCCTATCCCGATTACAGCAAACTTCCCAACTTTCACTACCTACCAAGTGCGAAAACACCTACGAGTGGCCGCAAACCTGATGATTATCAGCCTCGAACTCAAATAAAATAGATGTTTCAAGAGGGTAAGCTCAAAGCAGGGAATAAAAGGGCAATCAAAGAGTTTTCTGAAAAATATATTGTTTCAGAAAAGCTTGTTGCAGATTATATTGAGCATCTAACTGACATTGAAATAAGAAAAGATAAGCGGTGAACAGATAATGACAGAAATCAGTTGTCATCCCTAACAATCGGTTTCTGACTATCACAGAAACCAGTTGTCATCCCTTTGAGTAGGTGAACTTGAACTTTATATTAATCACCACAATATTGCATTGAAAGGAAAGAAAGATGAGAAAGTGAGGGTGGTGAAGGCACATATTGGCAGTAAGATTTTGACTTCTACGGTGCAGGACAGTCAGAACAACATTCAGCCAGTCTCTGGCTCAAATTCAGAGTCTAACAGTGACTGTGACAAGGTAAAGCGGATTGTTGGATCTAGTAGTAAATCTTCAGAACTAAATGATTCAGGAGATCAGGCAATGGATAGTCAACAGGAGCAAGAAGCTGAAGGAACGATACCTGAGTCTAGTACGTCTCGATACGGACGGAGAAGGACACGAGTTCTCCGAGAAAACTATGTGCCATGGCATAATACACATGTAGAAATGTAACCAAGAACCGATAGTAAAACACAAAATTAAATCAAAGTAGATGAAAAGAAAAACTAAATCTGTAAGAAAAATGGAAAGCAACACCACAAAAATCCTCGTTAAAAAATTATGGGAAAGGTGTGTGACCCTTCCCTTTGAATAGCCTACAAAGAGCTATGACCCTCCCCTTTTGGTGCTCACTTTCACTGATGACCCACCCCTCTGAGGCCCCGACCCCTCCCACCCCTCCCAAGAAAAAACGTACCTTCCCTTATTGATGTAAATCAAGAGGTTCAAGAAAGCTGCCAGGAATTCCTTCCCACCTCCCTCATCGGTTGTAAAAAATCGAAAATGGGCTGTTCTAAAACCTAAACCACTGCCATGAAGTATATCTCAACTTGAAAGGGCTAGAGGAATTCGAAAATCCAGCCAGCTTAAATTTTCAGACTCAATTATAACTTTTCCTTTTGCTTCTGAAATCGATTGGTAAAGGAAAAGTTGAAAAGGAAACGGAGAATTTTCTGCAGCCCCAGGACAGGACCCATTCATTGGATATTGGATGGTTATCTGCATATTCTCATTGTTTGGTCATCTATCACTCAAATGCCATGATTTAGAAAGGAGAAGTCAGATTTTAATCATTGTTAGAAAATGAATGCTTTAGTAGGATCGCAAGGACTAGTGACTGATTAAAGTCCATCTTCCTGTGTCAGTGGTGATCTCTGTATACAGGGTTATCTCCCGATAAATTGGGATGAAACAAAGTCCATAGTTTGTTGACAGAACAAGTTTGAAGTACTAAATTTTTGCTCAACTTCTCTGGCCTCATTTCTTTCCTTCTACGAGCGAATGCCATGGATCAAGAAAGAAAGCAACTCAAGGGAGAGGATAGCTTTTCAAAGTTCGTCCGATTCATATTTTGCGCGGCAGTGGTCGTCTTCGTTTTTTCGTGCTTGGCTTTCTTAGTTTTGGAGCACGTTCAAATGAAACAGAGATTAGCTTCGATCGAAGAGAAGATGGTCACGGATGAGACAATGAAGAAGTTCTGTGCCACAAGTCGAATGCAGAGTGACACAGATGAAAGGGCTCATGTTAAAACTTTGCTTATAAGAAAAAGGAGATCGTTGGCCTTGAGTCTAGAGAGTCTCGAGAAAAGATTGAAAATTCTAGAATTCAGGTGAGATCACTTTGTATGTCAAAGTTGTCGTTGTCATGAGATGACGGAAACCACAAAATGTTGTAAAGGTAACTAGTGATGGCGACACTGATTGATTGGAATAAGTAAGTTTTAAACTGGCCTTGTTGTGTTCAGGAGACGTTTATCTTCTGATAAAACGAAAGAATGTAACAGATCACCTGCGTTGTTTCAAGATTCTATCCAAAGATAACAAATTCGGGCATTTTCTGATTAAGCCAATAACCAGATTACGGTCCGTAAACGGTACATCACATTTGGAATTTAAAGATGGTTTGCAATTTTTGCAGGGCAATCAAGGAAAACAAGTCTTCTCCCAGGGACTTGTTTCGGACACCGGAAGTACTGCGAGGTAATCTGCGATGCGACGGTAAAGAAACAACACCCAAAGTTAAACAACTTTCCTTACCATGTAACGTGTAGAAACATATTACTTATAATAAAAGGTCAATCCCTGGTGGTAAGAAAGTTAAGACTTTAAAAATAAGCCTGTGTCTAAACACGGAGTTATTGATATCACTGGTTAACAAGTACAAGCTATTATTTCTTTTATGAAAATAAATGTCTAATTACAATGATGTTCATTTATCACAGGACGAGATGGTCGGGACGGCAGGGATGGTTCCGCGGGCCCTCCTGGACCACCAGGGACACCAGGGCAACCAGGGACACCAGGAGTACCAGGTTGGAGAAATACAAAACCACAATTTTTTTTCTTACAGGACTTAAAATTATTATAATCATTTTCCGACATAAGTTGTGGTCAAGTCTTTACCCACATGTTATGTCACATGTTATGTTGTTTTCAGGCTGCGACATTTTATTTTTTTTTTATTTTTTTTATTAGATTTGCAATTAAATTTTCCAATAACATAACGGGCAGGCAACCACAACAGCGATAGCAATTTCCCAGGAGTTTCTTCTTACTAATCTTAATTTGAAATTGCATCCTTGTTTTCAGGCTGGACATAAACTTTTTATATTTTTTCCCTCAGGTTTTTAGTTTGTAATGCATCCTCACGGCTAAACTATTTTATCCCTCAGGTTTTAGTGGTAATAAAGGCGGAACACAAGGCCCACCGGGACCAAAAGGTACTGTAAATATTTTTTAAATCTTAATAAATCAGATCACGATAATTTCAGTGTAAAGAGCTATATTTCCATTTTATTCTGATACTGAGAAGATTTTCTAATAATGTGCAGGAGATCCTGGACCTCAAGGACAAAAGGGAAAAGAAGGCCAGGGGCTGTCTGGAGTCAGTAACGTGCGCTGGGGTCGGACAAGGTGTGATGGAGATGCTCAAGTTGTTTACACAGGTGTGTACCACGCCTTCCTTTCATAATTCTTGGGAATACAATTCACGCGCAAAGGGACCTCTAAAAGACGCTTTTAAAACAAACTTACAAAGGGAATAAAAGAGGAAATGTTCAAGTCTAAGGGAAGAGGAAATGAATGGAATACACTGGTCTTGACGTGTCACATTTAGTGTTAGAGAGTCGATGATTTATTAATTAAGGATTTTAGACAAATGTGTTGTTAAAATAATTTGAGTTAGTGTTGTGCTATGCAATATATCACATATTAATTAGCATAATTTAGTTGTCTTGCATAGATCCTCTATTCAAATAACAGACACAGAAATAGATAGTTGTAGATAACTTCCAAGGTAAAAAAATTAGCGTTCACCTTTCAAGATGAAAAACGGAAAAGTTCTCCGTTATTCGGGACTTTTGTCGTGGTTAAAAATAACTTTTTGAAGTCTCGGCCAGTTTCATTGGTCCTCTCTCGTGTCGAGTTATTAAAACTAAGCAAGAAGAGTACAACGTGTTCAGTCAACAACCATGTTTAATCCTCACCCTATTACTACTGCCCCAATATGCGCGTGACACAAACCGAAAGTACAAAGTTCAATAACGCAACACTCTAGGGGCAATATGGTAGTACTTCGTCTGTTATTATAGTATACCAGAGGCAACGGGGAGAATCTATCCACCTCGAAAAGGACAAAAGACTAAAATGATGCTAAAAACAAGCTATTTTTCGATTTCCTAGGGGACACGCAGGGGTCTGAGTTAATTTTTCAGTAATCGTGTTACGGAAGTAATAAATTTTATCACACTTTTGAGCTGTAGTAATTCACTCAACGCGACGACTGTTTACCAACAAAACTACATATAATAGCATGATGTGAATGTCAAGTGATGAATCAGAATAAATAGTGGTTCCATCCCATCAGAAAGAGATGCAGTTGCCTTATTATTTAGACATTTCAAATTCTGAACTTCAAACAAAATTTTTATGTCATGTAAAGCGTAGGGATTCTTGGCACTTATGAAAATGAAATCCTCCTTGGGGAAATTGATTCTGTCTCCGTGTGTTTTTTAAATCCGTGACTCTACTCAAGTCAGGTAAATTCAATGGAATTCTTAAGGTAAGCAAAACTGGTTGTTACTACTCGATCCAGGAGCCAGACATTAAGTAAAATTATTTGCGCACCAGCTGAGGAATAGGGAAAAAGAAGGAAGAAATAGGAAAAGGAAGAAGGAAAGAAAGCCCAGTAAAAGAAATACTACCGTATGTTTGCATTGAATTTCCAGTACGTGATTTGTTAAGCTTTAAGGCAATAAGTGCAAGGCAATGCTGTTTCCCATTAAGTTTTAAAAACAGAGCTGGTCGTGTCTAACAACTATAAATTTCTGAAATCCGTGTATGTGTATATGCGATGATGAAATTCCTACCATACTGAGAGAGGAGCCAGAAATTTTTTAACTTAATGAGATATCCAAAGCGTAACCCAGACGAAACATGGCTATTATGACTCAGTGGAAGAGGAAATCGGATTTCTTAAGTTTTAAAGCTTTCCGGAACTTTCTTGATCATCTCAAAATACCTACAAAAGAATGGTTATTGAGAATCTGATCGTAAATCGGAAAAAAAGGCTCGCTTTGGTTATCAGACTACTGTTTCAATTCTCTTCACCTGTCTGTTGATAAATTAAATAATTTATGTTCTGATTTTAAAAAACAAAATCAGATATTAATTACTGTAATCAGACATCTGGGAAACATATAATATGTTTTCCAAATGTCTGATTACAGTTTATCTTGGCGAGTAATTGGACGTAACACCATCTCTCTAGCAGCAGTGCACTTAAATCAACCCATATATGTAGTGTGCGAAGACCGCTTAAGATAAATTGCATCTGCAAAGGAAGCGTGAGCTGTTTCGATCAAACTGCGGGGCTTTCACTAAGAAAATGAAGTAATCTAGAAAAATAAAAGAAGCGAAATGCAATAGGCCACTCTGACAGAGACTATGCGCCCTATGCTTGTCGTGCTTGGCTTTCATGGTTTTGGAGCACGTTCAAATAGAGGGGAATGTAGCTGCAATCGGAGAGAAGATGATCACTGAAGAGATGATAAAGACGTTCTATGGGAAAGCTCAAATACGGTGTGATGTAAAATGATAAATGTTCATGCTTTACTTATAACAAAAAGGAAAGCATTGGGTTAGAGTCTTAAAGTCTTGAGAAATGATTAAAATCTCTCCGGAAAGATCTCCATTTTTTTCAAGGTCATGATGAAAATTTGACCATTCCCCCCAGAGGTGGATATTCCAAGTGATAGCGTGACGATCTATTTCAGTCGGAAATGTGAAGTCTAACAAATCATTTCTCTGCTGTTTTGAACACAAAACACAAATTTTACCTTAGGGATTTTTTAATGGACTATTTCATTCAAAAGCAAAGGTCGAACTGATTTTGTAGCATATTAATAATGGTAATACGATTGAGTGAAGTCCAATTCGGTCTGTAATCATACGAGTGATTGACAAAATCAGACGACCGCGAAGAGGTAGTCCGAAGTTTTTAATCACGAAGTCACGAAGACACGAAGACACGAAGACACGAAGACACGAAGTCCTGTTACCCTAGTAATCATAACCATTACAACTTTCGAAAAAAGAATGACATCTACAACCAATATCTCCATAATGTCTTAAGTTAAAAATTCCTCCATTTACGAAATCCCCCAGTTTTTCTTGGGACAAGCGGTTGTTGCTTTGGTTATTGTGGTCAATTCTGTGATTGCTGGATTTAGCTAAGTAGACTAAGTACGATTGGGTGCTTCAACTGTTCGATTACAGGTGCCCGATTACAGCCAACTATTCAATTACACTGTTCGACTACAACTCCACAAAATAGCTTGTGAAAAGTAAAGCAGTTAGTGCACCAATCACATTTGAAGAAATTGTAATGGTTGTGATTAACTACGGCATTGAGTATGACGTCGAATTGCGTGGTTTTCGCGGTTGATTCCGGTCTGCAGCATTCAAGCCCCAGAAGGAGCTGGACACTTTATTTATGTAATGAAGCAAAAGATACAAAACTTTGTGGCGAATAACCACACTAGAATTGAATGTTGTTTATGATATTCTTCAGATAAAAAATGAATACCTTTGAAGTTCTAGGTACTACAAAATTATGGGGCCAGTTCAGACGGTGAGTTCTGAATCTTGCACTAAACTTTCGACTTTCGTGTTTTCTACTGTCATATATGCATTACTGATTGACACTTTCCTGAGGCCTTCAATTCCTACTTCGTGGACGGTAAACAACTTGAGTCATAAGCTAATCATACTAAGAGAACCAGAATTCTTTGCCAGTGCTCACTTCGTACACACAGCGCATGTCAGCTCTCTTCCAGAGACGTATGGAAGGCATGGTAACGAGCCACAACCTCCTTGAACAAGATACAGCAGTGCACCATCTTTATCAGATTGGGAGCCTGGGACATACTCAGCCTCCCAATCAACGCAGATAAAGTCTCGCGTGCTCTGGTGGCCGTAATGAGCTGTCATCAAATACCCATGATACTCTTTAGCCCAACCGGATGGACAGTCATTCCTTGCGGGCATCATCAATTGCGAACCACGTGATCTGACGAAGCACACGGCACACGGTGCGTCGTGGTTATGCAGGTTATTTGTAAACGGATAAAGGGAACTCACTTCATACTCAGTTCCATAGATGGCGCCCGTTGTCTCCCAGCTGTTGGTATATTTGTCGTACTTTGGGTCATTAGGAAGGCACAAGTAATTTCCACCGCCTCCCCGGTGATGATAAGCACCGCTTCCAATGATCCCTAAACTCAAATGAAAGTTTTAGTGTTGGTAGCCTAACCTTCTAATCCTGATTTGTTCCAGACATTCACAGCAACTTTTCTCTCGATACTTGCAGCCTTCCGTTAAGCAGCAATAATCATGATGCCTTTCCAGGCATCATCATCTTTCACCTGAATTATTACCTTCAATAACTTGAAACATAAGGAATGTATTGAAAAGGCTAAAACTGATGAATTGAAATCTTAGGTGTGAAAGCCCGGTACCTGCTTGCTCCTGTCCTCTGACTCAGTAGTTTTTTTTCATATTCTGAACATTTTTCGGTTTTTCTTGATATCATTCAGCAGATATCCTTGCTTGTGTGGAATATTTTGGCGAGCGTATTGAGCCAAATAAGAATGATTGCATCTAGCTTGGTCCACTAATGGAGCTCGAAGACTCGTTTTGTTAGCACTTTAGATCAATCGAGTGGAACCCTACTAAATATGGCCTTTGTTTGGGTAGGGGAATATTATAAAAAACTGAAATGATTTATCTTGCAGGTGTAGCTTTTTTTCGCAAATTGATAGAAACAACAGGAATAATAAATGGAAAACGGCATGTATCATAATCTTGTACTTTTGAAAGCTTCAATTTCTCTCTGTAGAGGGCACTCACCTGCACTCACCTGACAAGCACTCACCTGACAAGCTGCATAAATTAGTCATGGCGTGCAGACATATTTTTGCAGTCGTGCTTCTATTGACTATTTTCAGCGTTTTACTTGGCCAATTTACTTCAATTACACCTGAATTCGATCGCTCTACAGTTACACTCTTCATTGGGAAGGAAATATCTGCTCCACCTACGTTCAACTGTAAGTCAAAGCCTTCGAAATGCACACCTTGCGAATTGAATTTGAAGCTTCACGCGTTGTTGCGGTTCATCAAGCTTGGCCAATTTTGTCTGTGCATTCTTCTATCTGGCGATATTGCCGTCAATCCAGGGCCTAATAATCTTCAACCACCTGCAGGCTTCAGAGGTTTATCAGTCTGCCACTGGAACATCCAACGACTGACTGACACCAAATTGGAAGAACTATCGCTAATGCTCACCTCGAATAACAACAGTGCTGCTAAACTCGACGTCTTAATTCTCACTGAGACGTTCGGATCAAGTAAAATTCAAACAGCTATTACATGATACCCGGCTACACATTACACAGAAAAGATCGAATCGGGAAGAAAGGTGGCGGCATATTTGCGTATGTAAATGAGAAAGTTATGGCTTTACGTCGAAGAGATTTGGAACTGGATGATCTTGAAACTCTCTGGCTTCAAATTTGTCCTCATAAATCAAAGAGACCGATTTTGATATCTGGTGTTTACCGTCCACCTTCAGCCAACAAAGATTATAATGAGAGCTTGGGTAAAAATATTGAAAATGCCCATCTCCAAAACAATGAATTGATTATTCTGGGAGACTTTAATTTGGATTATATTGATTTCAACTGTTATTCAAAACATTGTCTCGCAAAGGCACTGAACAGTCTTGGACTAACGCAGATGGTAAATGGGGTAACAAGACCTGCCTCTGATGCGTGCTTAGACCATATTTATTCTAGTCATCCTGCTAGAATTAGAGAAGTATCCATAGGTAAATCTGGACTTTCCGATCACCTTCCGGTCACCATCTTGAGGTGCTACAAAACCATGGATGCACAACGTAAACAACATTCCAAAATCAAATACAGAAATATCGACAAAATCAACAAAGAGTGCTTTCTGCGAGACCTCAGAGAAGCCCCTTGGGATATCTCCTTTGTTTTTCGAGATGCCGATGACATTGTTGAATCTTGGTACAAAATCTTTAATGACATTCTTGATAATCACGCACCTTTAAAGTCCAAGAGTGTGAAGAAAATCAATCAGCCAAAATGGTTCACTAATGATCTATACAACGAAATAAATAAACGCGATAATCTTCTAAAGAGGGCCAGGAGAACACAAAATAAGCAAGATTGGTCTGCTTTTAAACTGGTTAAAAACAAAGTGACGAGGAAACTAAGAAATGCGAAGGAACAGTACTTTAAAACTCAGTTCAGTAAAAATCAAAAATGTCCAAAGAAACTTTGGTCTTTAATTAAAGACCTATCTAAAGATACAAAGAATAACGACGACTCCGTCCCTATTGCTGACGAAAACAACAACTTGATAAAGGATGACCATTCAATCGCTGAACGCTTTAACCGCTTCTTCGTTGATGTATATAAACGTCTCATAAAAGTCGACACCTGTACTTCATTATGATGCTCTTCCTGGTCCACCAGACAAATCTAACAGTCTAATTGAAAATCTTATTCCGCAAATAACTCCTAGTGAGGTTAACGATTATCTTCTAAGTATACCTACACACAAAGCCACGGGAATCGATGGGCTTGGTGCCAGAGTTCTAAGGATTGCAGCTCCTGAAATATCATGCTCCATAGCTAAAATTATAAATCACTGTATTGAAACTTGTACATTTCCCTCACAATGGAAAATAGCAAAGGTTAAACCTCTTTTCAAGAATCAAGGAAACAAGCAAGATATTCAAAACTATCGTCCTATTAGCATTTTGCCTATTCTTTCTAAAGTCTTTGAAAGACACATCTTCAATGCTGTGAACACCTACTTAACAGAAAATTCACTTTTATACCGCTTCCAATCAGGGTTCCGTAAAACCACTCCACGGATACTGCTTTGTTGTTTCTTCTGGACCAAGTCCTTCTTGACCTTGATAAGAACAACGTCAGCGGCTTAGTTTTTGTGGACTATAGCAAGGCATTCGACTTGATCAATCATGACATTCTCCTGATAAAGTTAAGATCATATAGATTTCCAGATAATGTTGTAAAGCTATTGCAGAGCTATCTACTCAATCGCAAACAGTGTGTTACTGTAAATAACTCGACTTCGTCACAACTTACGCTAACTGGAGTTCCTCAAGGTAGCATATTAGGACCTCTACTGTTTTTAATTTTCGTCAATGATCTTCCCGAAGCTGTTGGATCGGACTCAACTATTCATGCTTACGCGGATGACACCACATTTAAAGCCAGCGCTAATATCGATAATGCACCTTTGGAATTGGAACGACGTCTTCAAGAATACATGGATAAATTAAGTAAATGGTCTAGCGAAAATGGGATGGTCCTAAACGCCGTTAAAACCAATGCATTACTTATCACCGGAAAGAGGCTACATTCATCATTAGCGGAAGGCAATCACCTGTCAATAACCCTTGATGGGGCCGAAATAGAACAAGTAACTTCTTATAAATTGCTTGGTGTAACACTCGATCAAGATCTTACATTTAGCGACCACATTTCTAGTCTAAAGGCCAAGCTTTCTCAGCGTATTGGTTTATTGAAGAAGATAAAGAGGTACCTTCCAATAAAAGAAAGACTCTTATACTATAACGCCTTGATTAAACCCGTCCTTATGTATGGGAGCATGGTTTGGAATATCTGCGACGCTAAAGAACTCCACTGTCTCCTAAGGTTACAGAAAAGGGCTGCCCGAGTAATCCTTGGAGTTGACTCTTATTCTAGAAGTGTTATAAACTTTAGTAAACTAGGCTGGTTGCCTTTTTTGATGAAATCAAACTAAATAAGTGTACAATGATTTTTAAGAGCCTTAAAGGCGATGTTCCGATTTACATCAGAGACTTGCTCAAGACGAACAGTTCTGTACACAATAGGTCTACTAGACATGGCAATTTAAATTTAGTGTGTCCCAAATACCTAAGAAATAACGATGGTGGCAAGGCATTCAGTGTTGACGCAGTTAAGTTATGGAACAGCCTTCCCCATAATATCAAAAATAAGCCTAGTATAAAACTATTCAAAACAGCTGTGAAAAAAGTATTTTATAAGCTCATATAGAAACCTGGACAACTTTGAAACAATATTAAGCAATAGCACATTATCTAATTTTAATTTTTTATAAATTAATTTTATCTTTCTGAATATTTTTAATATATCCTGCTATTTCTATCATAGAATTTTGTAATTATTTGTATATTTATCTATTTATTAGTATTATTTTGTAATGCTGTATAATCTAGTTAGAGGGCCACAGGTTTGTCAGCTTTTCAGCTGTTACGTGTCCCCCTCTATAAATAAAGTCCTTATTATTATTATTATTATTACCTGTGTACACAATTTGACCATCTCCCTCACACCTTGTCCGGCCCCAGCGCACGTAACTGACTCCAGACAGCCCCTGCCCCTCTTGTCCCTTTTGTCCTTTAGGTCCCGGATATCCTTGTTTGCCGACGTTTCCGCCTGAACCAGCCTCCCCTGCAAACATTTGAAGACGACTCTTGCAAAAAAACATGAATGATTTTATCGAGCTAAAAGATTCACTGCAAGCTTCCATATTCAAAGATCTTATTGACCATAGCTCTTGATCAATATGCACGCGAGATTTCTACGATTATTGTACGAAAGGTTTTGGACTGAGCCCGAGCGGATGAAGATGGAGTATTGAGCTGGCTCAGTTACAATCACGTTGTTCATTGAAAAGCATTCACCATCTAAGACATACATGGGTGCTTGCAGTGACGAGTTTTAGGGGTGCTAAAACGAAAAAAAAAAAAGGGGGGGGGGTCACCTTCAAGAGCCAAGCTTCCAATCTTGATAGTAAATGCAATGAAAATAACCATGGATATCAACAAGCCGCTTACAATAATAGCAAGCGGGAGCTTAGCGCATTAGCGTATCAGTGTCTTCAATACCTTTCAGACCAGGAGGTCCCTGTGCTCCAAAATCACCTTTTCGCCCATCACGCCCTGCGATAGTTAAAACCGTTCAGAAAAAAAAAAGAGTAGATGGAGGAAAAAAAGTAAAAAACAAAAATAAAAAAGACAGCTCTGAAATGCTGTAAATCAATTCGATTAGAAGTAAGAGTCTGGTAAACTAACAGTTAAAATGTTAAGCTCAGGATCGAGCTTTAAGGCGTCACATATTGGCACTTGGCTTGAAACGCTGGCTAACGAAATAAGATCAGTTGTGATTAGTCGTTTAAATCAGTCAGTCAGTATTTGTTTAAAAGAAACTGATGTGTCCCACAAAGGCACAAAGTTCGTCATTTCTCACTGCAAGGAAAAAAAGGGTAGTTTTTTGCTAACCTGGTGTCCCTGGTTGTCCTGGCGTACCTGGTGATCCGGGAGGTCCCGCGGGTCCATCCCTACCATCCCGTCCATCTCGTCCTATGCAAAGTAAAATTACAATTAACCTATTATTCTTTTGAGTAAAAGAGCACGGAAGTCAACCGTATTGATTGTTCCTGTGTAGATAACTCATACATTTAAACAGCCTAAATTATTGTTTCTTGTTAAAATTTAATGAAGTCTGTAAAGTTTACCTCTCAGTACGGCTCCTGGTGTTTCAAATACTTCGATAGAAGAGGACTGGTTATTTCTAATTGCCCTAAAGAAAAAGATGTAACAATCTCACGCAATATTTTATTCAAAATGGACGATGTTGGACGTAATAAGTTTCTTTTTTCTATTACATAAAATCATCGTTTATTTCATCATCTCTGAAATCAAAATTTTGAAAAACGCTATGTGTTTACCATGAAACGTCGTATACTTGAAAATTGCCTGATTGTAAATATATTGCTAAAGGCTCCGACAAAAAGATTTTGAGATTTCATCATGGTATGTAAGTTTGTTTTTGCTTTCATTTTAAGCTTTTACCAGTAATAAAAGGGATTGAAATTCTTCCCCGAGCAATAATAATAGCTTCCTTGTCATTTTTAGATGATGGATCTCCCTCTGGGACATTCAAAAACCTGACCTTCTGTTTCTGATATGATAATCAGCCACCTAGCTGTATTCTTACAGATAAAGAAGTTGATCCAAAACGTGCGGTTTATTTACAAGAGATCAATGTGTCAGCGATGCGGCAAATTGTCGCAACAGTCCGTGATTCTTTTCACGTTTGTGCAGATTGATTATCATGTGGGGTGTTGCGACGATGATAATGGAGACCTCACCTGTATTCCAGAACTTTCACTCATTTCTCAAGACCTGTAAGACTCAGGGTTAACGCTCTCCTTCTTCTTGAAAGCGAAGCTTGAACTTCAGCCCTTCCATCGATTTCTGTCTGTTTTCGATCTGTTACACAAACTTTCCGCAACAACTCGTCCGCGTTTATCTTCTCCTCAATTGCAGCCAATCTCTGTTTTATTTGAACGTAATCTACAGCTACTAAAACTACACTCGACAAGAGAAAAATCACTACTGCCACGTAGAATACGAAACGGACAATCTCAGAAAAACGACACCTTACATATGGATCCTCTTTATCGCGATCCATTGTTTCCAACTTAACTGACCAGAGTAGCTCAAGCTTACTTTCCTAAACAACAGCTGAATCTGTCAGCGCAAGCTATAGATGGATTAAGTGATCCAACCGTTAGGAAATAGATAATGTTACATTAATCTATATAGATAATGAAATAAGCAGGCATCAGGCATCTGTTAGGACACCGAAACACAAACGACAGCTTGAATTGGGATCAACACTACAGCAAAACTTTTGAACTTCTGACGAAGTTCCCCAAATCGATCCTCACCAAGAATTCAAGCAAATTCAGCGAGAATCGCCCTCCACCATTTGAACAGATCTGATTTCTGAGCCATTTTAAGGTGAGATATATTGCTCTCGTTAAAATGTTTGTGTAATAAATACCGAAATGGTGGACTCTTGATATTCGTGGATTCTTGATATTCGTTGCATCTTATTTCTTTAACCATTGCCAACGTGTTTGGCCTCATTCCTTCAAAATTTAGGCCACTTGAAGACCAATCGCTCCATTTTTCATCACTGAGATGAAAAAGGGATTTGTGTATTTTCATTTATATTGTCAAAGATGGTGGGCTTTCGAAGATTTTTGCCGGTTGTTTCCCACTCATTTACTTTCTTAGCTTCTTGAAGTTTTCGTAATTAGAGCGAGGGGTGGAACTTATGTCTACATCTCCTTGTAGCTTTTCCACCGCGTTAAACAAAGGAAATAGCATAGTCTTGTAATAGTTTCACATTAAAACAGGTCTTCAAATATCATCGCGAAAATTTCGTGCTTATTGTCGTTAATGAGATAGTTTTCCTTTTGATAGAGCTTGCTCTTAGAAATAAAAGAAATGAGGAAACAAAACGCAAAATATGCCTTTTTGGAGATTTGCCGCAGCTTCTTCTATGCATTGGTCTTCGTTGGGCTGTTGTCATGGTTGGCATTCCTCTCCTTGGATCACATTCAAATCAGGCAAAGATTGTCTGTGATTGATCATAGAATGAACAGATTTGAACGGAAGTTTGAGGAGATCATTCCAAAGAGACAGTCCAACAAAAGGAGTAATGGCGCCAAAACTTTGCTTGACAGGGATAAGAGAGACGTCTTAAGCCTTGAAAGTCTCGAGAAACGATTTAAGGCTCCAGAATTTAGGTGAGACTTTTACTTATATGAACCACTTGTAAGACCTGTTATTGATTAGCTTTGAAAAAATACTGACTGGAAACTATGACCAAGCAGGAAATACGTGATTATAATTGCGGAAATTTGAGATGAGTAAAAAGCCTTACAAAGCAGCAGGATGAAGGGGCGTGGGGGGCTATGCATCTGAAAGTGGATTAAAACTTTTGATACCCCTACGGTTTTCTATCGCTTTTGGTAATTACCATTGAAACAAATGCAAGAAAAAGATAATTTGGACTCCAAACTATGCTAAAACGTGTGATAAGAATAAGTCCCTAGATGTATCACAAGGTTACGATCTTTTAACACGTCCTGAAAATTTTTTTTAGGGCTGCCATGAAAAACCAGTCCATTAGTAGAGGCGACGGAAGATCTCGAAAATCGCAGGGTGGAGGTTGGTATGCAGTCTCTATCGCAACCGTGTTTTAGATCCACCACCCAAGGTTGTCGCTGTGATTATCCCAAATTAAGGCTACGAAAAATATCACAATTTAAATGCAAAAAGTTGAAAAACACACGGGGTCCTAAATTCCTGGGAGGTTAAAGTTGACGAAAATAAATTTGGTGATCTCTTTTTATAGGATGGGATGAACGGGATGGCAGAAGTATTCCCGACGTTTTCCTAAGATTTCCTGGAACACCAGGGATGCCAGGACTACCAGGTCAGAAACCTTGTTTGGAGGGTACTAAAAACTCTGATACCGTTTTCTCCCTGAGATCTTGGTAAAATGTTCCAAAAGGTGGAAACGTCGAAGAAAAATCAGCAGAACTTCTGCAAACTGCCCAATGAAAAAGTAATTATAACCATAAACGATCATATAGTTTTCGAGATATATTGTACAAGAGCCAATGAACTTAAATGCTAATCCTACCCACAACCGTTAACATCCGATATTTTTACCCGGCCTTTTCTGACATTATGAATATACAAATGAAATAAAAATGAATCTGGAATAGCCCTGAAATCATAAAGTACAGCACTAAATTAACCAAATCACCGAACGAACTAATCTTAAACCTTTTAAATTAATTGAAGTTATAAATTGACAGGCATTCGGAATTATCCACTCGTTTTTCACTGCAGGTCGTGATGGGCGAGATGGCAGACAAGGCCTCCCTGGAGCACAAGGGCCTCCTGGTCCAAAAGGTTTCATTGACTCCCGTTTGTTATTCCGAAAGGGGCTCGTAGCACCCATTTCAATTCAACGGTATGTTATTTTTTAGTCCGGTATAACAAAGTTAATTTACTGGCAAATGTATATTCTGTAGGAGATAATGGTCCTTATGGAAAACTTGGGAGGCAAGGAGATCTGGGACCTAAAGGACAAAAGGGACAAGAAGGGCAGGGGAGGTCTGGAGTCAGTTACGTGCGCTGGGGCCGGACAAGCTGTGAGGGAGATGCTCAGATTGTGTATTCGGGTAAGTCGCAGTTAATAAAAATTATTCAGTATTTTTTCTATTAGAGCTAAACAAGATAATATAAACAGGTATTGGTAAAATATACACTCCGTTTTTTGAGTCGACTATTAGATGTGTTGTTTTAAATTTGTTACCTTCTAATTTCCTTGTTCTGATGTTGTCCGCAATCATTATGCGGTTCCGCTCCAATTGAAGCTCTCGCGTTTCATTTCATCTCTTTCCCAGGCTTCGTAGGGAGTGGTCACCATAGTCACACAGGAGGAGGAGTAAATCATATATGCCTGCCAAACCAACCAAAATATGGAAAGTTCACCGATCATTTTGAAAGGACGGGGGCCATCTATGGCACTGAGTATAAAATGAGCTCATTTAATCCTTTCAAAAGAAATGTGCATAATCACGACGTCCCCTGTGCTGTGTGCTACATCGGTTCAAGAGGTACACAAGTCATGATGCCCGCAAGGGATGACTGCCCTAATGGCTGGCACGAAGAGTATCATGGTTACCTTATGACAGCACATTGGGACCACCAAAATCCCAGTAATTTCGTATGTGTTGATTCGGATCCAGAGTCGGTACCAGGAAGTTTTGGCAGTCATGATGGTGCATTGTTGTATCTGGTGCAAGGTAATTGTGGGTTTTTCTCATCGTGTCCGCCTTATTACCAAGGGCGAGAGCTCACATGCGCAGTCTGCTCAAAATAACTATTGGTAGAAGAGTTATTAATTTGATAGCTGGGTCGACAAAAACAACGTTTCCAGGGAAAACTTAACTTTTAGGAGGTTAGAAAAATAAATCGATAAGAACCAGATAAAGTAACACTTCCATTAAACTTAAAAATGTTCATTTCGTCACCATATCTGCGTTTCGTTACAACGCCTAGGTAGACCGATCACATGTTATGTTCGGTCACAAAATTTCTGATGATTGCTTTTCAATAAACACAAACACTACCAAGCTATACTCCTGAGCCTGCTTAATTTTCAGTAAAAGAGACTGCTTTAATTGATACTACTTTGTTAACATACCCGCCAAAACAATCTCCGTCTGTTAACATCTCAGTTTCATTTTCGTGTGTATTCTCATTTGATAAACAATCATTCTTATGACTTATCTTGTAAAACGGAAATTGTTTGTCCAGATTTTCTTTCACATTTCGCCGATCTCAAAATGCATTCACAGAGGGTCTTTCGTGCCTAGTAGGAACTTGTTTGATAGTCTTAATAAATCTGTTAACTGTCTGTATCATGGCAGCGAGAAACAGCACTAATGACAATCGGTTAGACGACTTCATCACTTGATATAGCAAGCAACCATACATAATTTACTGAACATAGCTAAGCTTAGTAGAGAAAACGAACATTTTTCGATTAAAATCATTCTCGATTGTGGGGCTTGAAGCCCTACACCAACTTGGCTAGTTACTGTAACATGACATCAAACAAAGGCTCAATACAACTAAATTCAGAGTATAGGATCACACATGTTGATGATGTTACTGGATCTTGCAGACGAGACAGTGGATTTTCTGCTGCCATATAGAAGTGACAAAAGCTGTGAAAACACCTTAAATGAAGGCTCAACTGGTTTTATTGTCAAATTATCTTCACCTGTCGAGGAAAAATTCCGGTAAAGTTCCACTGATATCGTTGAGAAGGGGGTGTGGATACTCGGATTTCTATTTCAGCAATTTCAGTTAACAACCATAAATAGTTATAATGTTAGTTTTCGTTGATTACAGTTCACGATATGGTGGTTATCATTCTTGTTCAATTCAATGTCTCGGTGGAGAGAAGCGAACAGTGTCCAGATATTTCTTTTCTTCACAGTTTTGAGGAATCAAAAACAAAAATGGAAACAATATCAGTTGAGTCTTTACAATAAGATTGGTTATTAGCGGTTAACTCTTTAATTCCTATGAATAACCGAGGCAGTATTTATCGTGAAATAGTGAAGTTTGATCGTTCGGGTGAATGTAGTCCTGAGAAGGACTGTTGTCGGTGATGGTGACTGACATTTCGACAACCTGAGCGGAAGTCATCATCAGAGTCAAGTGAATAATTGTTGTCGGTCGAATGTTCTAAGTCTGGTTTGTATAAACTGATTGGTCAGTTTTGCCGTGATGTTTGCCGGTAGTGGTTGACACCCGTTGAGGGGAGTCTGTTCTAAGTTAGTAAACCAGCTCTCCAGATTCAGTCGTTGAAAGTAGTTGGTGCTGTAGGTTAGGCATTGCGCAGAGTCCCAGTCAATGGTGTGGTTTGTAAGTCGACTTACCTGACCAATCAGTTTATACAAACCGGACTTAGAAAATTCAACTAGCAACAACTATTCACTTGACTCTGATGACGACTCCTGCTCAGGTTGTCGAAACGTCACTCACTACTAAAGATGACAGTCTTCCTCAGGACTACTCTGACCCGAAAGATCAAACTACACTATTACGTGTTACCCCCATATTCAAACCATTCACTGTACAGAATTTCTCCTCACAATTTATCCTTACAACATTAAGAAGACAAGTGATGAGAATAAAGAAAAGATAATTTAGGAGATTATTGGTTCATCCAATACCAAATTCTCGGAACTAACGTCATAAGAATTGAATAGCAGACAGTAACGAGAATTACCGATAAGATCTTGAGAGCGAAAGAGTTAAACTGATTTTTTTCAATCAGAGCATAAAAAAATGAAAACCTCGTTTGAACCTCGGGAAGTTCTATTTACCTTTGGTGAACTGGATCTTGGATTTAGGACACTGGTGGCTGATTTTGAATTTTGGACACAAGTGGTCCATTTTGGATTTGGAACATTTGTGGCCGATGTCAAATTTTGGACACAAGTGGTCGATTTTGGATTTGGAACACTAGTGGCCGATGTCGAATTTTGGACGATTTTGTGGCCGATTTTGAATTTTGAACACAAGTGGCCGATTTTGGATTTGAGACTTTAGTGGCCGATTTTGGATGTGGGGCACTAGTAAATTTTTTATCTGTGACAGAGAACAAGAATGAGACGAACACGAGGCCGAAGAGCGACTGATCCTTGACATAGACCCTTCCCGCAGGACACTGTCTTAAACAGAAAACTGGTATATTACTTTATTAAAAAATTTTAAAATTCGTTCAGGTTTTCTGAAAGCTTTTTTCTTTAACATGGCTCAGTTGTCTAGTGAATTTTGATATTGAAGCTTAGAACAATTTTTTTTGGGTCTTGTACTGTTCAGTCCCATAGCAGAGTGATGAAGATGATTGTTGGCTTATGACCTGAAAATGAAATTTTACCTTCTGTTGATTTTCCTAACCCTTCAAGAGACCAATGTTTTGATATCATATGTTTTAAAAGGAAATATGACATCGTGCATTATCGACTTCAAGGAGAGGAAAGAATTGTTTTCTCATGAACATTCTCAATAACATTTGATTGACAGTTGATTTGAATGATATGTGTGGATAGATGCAAAAATGATTTAACCATTGGCAGTCAGGTAAGCTGAGTACAGAAAAGTAAAGAAGAGAATGTTATAAGCAAGCCCCACTTTTAGTTCCTTTTTCTTCTCTCATGCTCTTACCTGGAAAGAAACCAAATGTATAACCGACCTTTGAACGTGAGGATGCTATGATCCCCTCTGACAAGTTTGTAACAGCATCAGCCAAGAAATGGGACAGCTGATTGGTCAATGTTACTCATGACAACAGGCCGTTAAATTAAGTAGTATAGCCTTCCCCTAGCTGAGAAAGAATGCATCGGATGAAACTCAGAAAAGTTGTACAGAAGCTTGAGCTTTTGAAAACTTTTTTAACCAGAGCTGAACAAAATGGTATTGAAGAAAGCTTTCAAAATATTTACTCAGGATTGATTTTAAACAACTAATTGGATTGTTTTGATAGCTACAGATATCTCTGAATACTCATTGGTCATCCATGACTGAAAAGACACATGATGACTTGTAAATAGTAGCAGATTATCTTTGTCTGCTGGATACATTTACAGAATTTTTTGTTCCCCTGGTAGTTCAAGTTGCCCTTGTATGCCTTGTTTTTTAAAGTGGACACATCAACTTTCTAACATGTACATGGTAGATGAGAAACTCTTTAGAGTGGTTTATCATGGCATATCCCTCCCTTTACTTGTATATTATTGGTAGACATACAAGACGCTATGGAAATACAAGGTCCTCCAGGGACACCCCATGGTACATGATGAGAAAGTGTTGTGTAAATGTATCAAACAATGTTGTGGAAAATACAATGGCCAACACAATCAATAAGACAAATGTGCAGACTTTAGATTTCAATAACTTTCAACTGCCTGGAGTTTGTTTTTGACCTTCAAAACAAACAAATTAATCAAACAAAGTTACAATAACAAAACTACATTTGGATTTTAATCAGCGAATTAAGAGCCATCATAGACTTGTTCTCTTGTTGGTTCATGCATTACTCCCTTAACTCCCAAGACCTCAAATGTAAATTCTTCCCTTTAGCTACTATGCATTTCCTCATGAACAAGTTATGAGAATTTGGTGTCAGATCAAGATAACACTTAGATCAAAATCAGTATCTGAGCAATTGTCCACCCACCCCTCCCCTAACTTGTTGTTGGTTTAGGAGAGGTGTTGGTTCACAGTTGGTCAGATGCTGAAATTGATCCAAAGACTTCAACCAATTGAGTTTGAGAATTCTCATTACCTGTTTGGTGGATAATGTATGGTTATTATAGGAGAAGTCACATGTTAATCACTTCTAGGAGTTCAAGAGTTAATGCAATTACGTTGTGAGATGAAAAGAAAATAAATGTTTTAGGATTCAATGTTGTTGATGTTTAAACAGCTCAGTTGAGAAGACAGAAACAAAGTAAAAACCACTGATAGAAATGTTACAGACTCTACATTTGTGAGGAGCAAAGTCCATGTATCAGTTCTCAAATTGGGAGTCAAACTAAAATTGCAAATCAGTTCTGAGAAAGCAGAAAATTGGTCAGTTTGTGAGACTGTCAGCTTAGCATCTGGCCTACTGAAATGATCAACTATGTGCTGTTCAGTTTGTAACACTTTATAACCAATAGACTTATTCTTTCTCTTTCCTGGTAAACACAACCCTACAAAAAAGGCAAGTCACCCTTTTCCTTTTATCTAGACTGAGAACATAATGCATATGCAAACTATTCCAAGTACTTTTTTTTCACATTTTTCAGAGGTGAAAACTGCAGTTTTGCACCATATCCCAACACCTGTTGGATTGACAAGTGTAAAGGAATATATAAGAATCCATTCTAGTGTCCTCACTTGCAGGCCTTTCTTCTCAAAAGAAATGCTCTTTGATGTCAAGGAATTCATCACCAGTTTAGTAAAGCACGATTGTGGTATTTCTTTGAGCTTTTTTAAGTTAAAAAAAAAACCAAAAACTTTAAAAAAGTACTTCACACCAATACTTAGTCTGTACTCACTGCCGCTTTTATTTGTGAGGGCTCTGGGCAATAAAAGAAAAGTAAGCTGTTTCTATTGCTCTTGAAAGCCCAACAATAACCATTGAAACATTTGGCAACTTAGTTGCTTGGATTTGCTATTGCTTCACCCTATATGGTAATGAATGGTGCCATTCAGTTGTCGCAAATGCCAATATATCAGAAATGGAAGAATCAAGTTAGTTTCAAAACAGCAATATGAGAGTATAAAATAAAAGATGAATGTCCATTCTATTTATTTAGCTGATCCTGATGCCTTTTCTCTCTTCTTCTTTTCAGCTTCTGCTTCTTTTTCTTTCTCAATGATTTCAACAAATTTATCAACCTCTTCTGGTTGTAGTATCTGAATGACAAGAGACACAAAGATTGAAATAAGCACCAATGAAACTTTTCCATCTGTTGAGGATTCTTGCAACTTAAGTGTGTCTGGTTGTAAGATCAAAACATGAACTGGAGCATATAAAGTGCAAAGTTACTGATATTCCTCAAATGAAAAATCATAATGTATGGAAATAAAAAACCTTTTCTTATGTGGTTTGAACTGATCCAAATCCTGCTAAAGCAATGTGTAAAATCTGTCTTTTCTCTTCTTCCAAGAAACTGACTACTTAGGACAAGAAATCTCTCTAACAATGCACCAGCACAGTTTTACTACACAGTATATGTAATGTAAGACTCCATTTACTTGTGGTTAATGACGAGCAAATGTTTACCTTGAGTGTTTCACCATTTCTCATAATAGCAAGTTCAATATTCTTTCCTCCCGATTGCACCACCTGCAAGGGTAATACTGTTGTCATATGTATGGTCCTATGACAAAACATGCTAAACAAATTGACAATAAGTTGTAATCCTCTTTCAGACATGCAAAAACATGTTAACTGATCATAGATTTTCTTCACATGCACTGAATTTTTGAGTATAGGCACCACCTGTTTGAAACAACTTAGTAACAGTTGCACCCACCAAAAACCACAACAGGCACTTCAGATACACCTGTTACTCTGTTAATAGAAAATCATAAACCACAAAAATTTACACACCTCAAGTAAAGCTTTGATAGCTAGTTTAATTGTTTCATCATCTGAGTCAGCTACCTCCTCTGTGTAGTGTTTCTCTAGAAATTCACGAACCGTTTTTGCACTGCGTCCAATTGCATTGGCCTGATAAATAAAAGATACACAAATGATAGAGGTACAGAGGTAAAAATGCATTATAAAGGAAAAGGGTGTGTGAAGTTCACATCATAAATTCAATATCTGCAGTGGATATTGCAGCTATCATGTTGAGTTCAAGACTTTTTGTGTTATGAGACTTTTGCAAACTCAAAGAGAGTTGACTGTTAAAAAAATTTACAATATTGTAACCAATGTGGATACTTTTCCAGAATAACTGCCAATCAATGCATTTGGTGTCTAAATCTAAGTACTTCCATTGCAGTTTCAGAGTTAAAGTTCTCCAACAAGTCAGACAAAAGGTGACACCTGAACCTTTCCAATTTAACAAGCCATTTATAAATGATTCAGACCCCAAACTCTCCATGTACTTAACCCTTTAATTCCCAGGATCTGATTGTTAATACTCCACTCTAGCTGCTACACATTTCCTTGTAAATTAGTTGCAAGAATTTGGCATTAGATCAAGATAACAACTTCTACCTGTTACATTTAAGCACTCTCACTACCTGTTTGCTGGATTATGAATAGATATTTTAGGGAGAAGTTACTGGTAAATCACTTCTGGGAGTTAAAGGGCTAAGGTACTAGTTCTGGTCTTGAAAAATTCAGTAATTAACAGGGAGTAACTTTTTATCTGTCAGTCAATTATAGCTATCAACTCAGTTGATAATGCTAAATTATGTAACTATATAAGGTTGATATGATTACAGTTTAACTACCTTCCATGCATGATATGTTCCTGATGGGTCAGTCTGATAAAGATGAGGTGTACCATCATAATCAAATCCAACAATGAGTGTAGAAATACCAAAAGGGCGGCGACCATTGCTTTGAGTGTAACGCTAATCAACAATGATAAAAATAGAAAATAACATTTAGTTGGGGTTAGAAAGAGTAAATATGCACAAGACAAAAATTGTGAAAAACTATGCAAAGAAAACAAAAAAAAAAAAATGAAAAGAAGTGTCGTTCCCACACCGGGAATCGAACCCGGGCCACGGCGGTGAGAGCGCCGGATCCTAACCACTAGACCATATGGGATTTGACGAAAGTAAGGGAAAAAATTTAGCTAAATCAACACTTCCCATGACTGTGTCCACCACTCGGTCAATCACCTCGGGAAAAACCTACTCACTCTTCTCTTGATACGACATGAATCAAACTCTTCGCACCAAAAGGGAAAAATATGTTTCTTCGTACCTGCTTTAGCGTCGCAATATATCTTGTTATGTACTCTAATGTCACAGGATCTTCTACGGTTAGCTTATGGCTTTGACACTCGACCCGAGCTCGATTCACCAGAATTCTAGCGTCCGCCGTCAAACCTGATAAAAAATGACGAAAAATCTTGAAGGAAGGACAAATTGTTGATTCTTTTCAGAAATACTCCATTACCTGCAAAAGCCATGACAACGTGGTCATCCAGCGAACAGATTTTTCTGACTGTTCTTGGTTCTTGAAGTTTGGCAACCGCTTTTCTCTCTACTCCGAGAACAACAATGTTTTTACCACGGACTCCAACCTATAAAATAGTTCTTTATCAATCTTCCAATTCGCAGAAAATTAACAAAAGGAGAGAAGTTGTTCGACACAATGAAAACACCGACGAAGAAGTTTTTTACATACAGCAGTGGAACCCTTCTTTACGGCTTCTTGAGCGTATTCCACTTGGAAAAGATGTCCATCAGGTGAAAATATAGTTATAGCCCTATCATAAGACCCCCCTGACATGTCTGTTTAGTTTTTACGACTTTTTAGTTGGCTAAATTCAGCGAGAAAGTGAAATCCCTCGGAGCGCAAGGACAGAATGACTTTGCATGAGGCTTAGTAACCAGGCTTAAAGAGATTTCCCTTGAAGCACAGGGACCGGAAAGGCGCCAACTACAAACATGGCGTAAATTGATCAGTCCGAAAAACAAACGCATCTTAGTGCGATTCAGCTTTCTTCAGGCTTTAGGTTCTTTATAACTTCTAAAAGAGGAATTAATAGTTTCCAAAATTTGAACAGTTTTACGCCATATGTAGCATATGTAGACAAGAATCGTTTGAAATGTCAGGCTTGCAAAGGTGAAACAGCAGAAATCATATTATAGAAACACTTCAGAGCTATGGAAGATATCGATGAAGCTACTCCTCGCGGAATTATTCGCGGTGTTTTGACAACAGAGAATGTAAGTCAAAGTGCTCGAGCTTTGAGGTCAAAGGAAACGCTCAGTACATCAAATGTAAGAGAAACACCAACGAATCCTCCGTCCCATTCCGAAGTTGCAAGTCGGTTGCTCACTCGATCTACTAGGAACAGGAAGAGAAAAGCTGCACCGGGTACTACTCCTTCAGACTCAACAACTCCTAGAACTTTGGTATGCCGCGACTTAACTTGATTCGTTTATTAGAGCGATTAAACATGTCTAAAATTTAGCCCTTTTGTTAAATTACCAGAGCTATAATCATATGTCTATAATTTCATGTATGATGATCCATGTGTAGGCTAGCTTTGTTTTTATTTTTGTTTTTTTTTTTTATCAGTATCGTAATTTATCGATTTGACTGCCAACATTTTGAGAAGTGATTAGTTTGTTGAAAATATTTCCGTATAACCCCATACCATTCTAAAACAAAGTATTCTTAAAACTAAACTATTTTTCGCCCTTTTTCTCATAAAATAACTTTAGACATAATGAAGTATGGAGTCGTTCGGAAATTGTGTCAGTTTGTGGTTTGTTCTTGCAATATCAATTGTAAGCGACAGTTATGTGTACTTGGATTATAATATTTGCAATTTTTTAATGCTTTTTACCCTTACATCAGTATGTGTACTCTCCATTCTGTTCTCTACACATTTCCTAAGGTACTGACGAGGAGAATTTTTCAAATTTTCCAGAGTTTCTTTTTTTCGGAATATTTGTTTCCTCTCATAGCAATCCCCATTAAACTGGTGTTCTTAATTGCTGACAGTTAATTAATGTTTTATTTCTCAGGGCTGAAGCTTTGATATTGTTTTTTTTTAGATTGCTGGTTTTCTAGAAACGGCTCCAGTTGCCAAAAGTGTAGTGAAAGGGCAGAGACAAAAGGTCATTGAGGGAGAAAGAAGAAGATCATCTCGCTTATCAGTTCAAGCTGGGGGTAATACCCCAAGAACAATCATTCAAAATTTCTTGCGAGAAGGTACATGTATAGGTGTAGTTACTTTATACCAGGTGGTAACTTTTGCTTGATGTGTACTTTGTATTTACAGTTATTTTTGACAGACAGTTTTGAAAATCACCTTTCCTTCTATGTGACTGTAACAATGTTTGGGTTGGACATCTTTGTTATTTTTGAGTTGCCCTCTTTTTCTGAAAGGTTCTGTTGAAAGATTTAACTGTTAGCTCCTAGAAGTGATGAAATGTATCATTTTCTTTCAATTTCAAACATAAAAAAAGTTATGGGAGCTGTCAAATTATCAGTTGACGAGTGTTCATTGAGAAACTCCAAATTCTTTTGACTCATTTCAGTAGAAATGTATAGCAGGTAGAAAGGAGAATTTTGAAACAGATCTCATGAATTTGTTCCCTTTAGCATTAACAGAGACACCAGTTGAACCAGTAATTCCAGAATCTTCAGATGAAGTAGATCAAGAAATACCACACCAGTTGAGTGAACAAGAAAAACAGTCATCTCTTTCAACAAGTGGTGTTGCTGATGGTCAGATGTTTGCTACAACAAGTTCTCATCCTGCAGATCATTCTACACATGTAGAAGCAACAACTCCAATGGTGTTGGACTCCTATATAGAAATGGATAGTGCTGCTGGGATGTAAGATTTTTAAAGTCATTTTAAATTCACACGAGTCACTGTTGATGCTCCTTTTAACCCCAAGGGGACTTATCAATCTTCATGGCTTCTTGACAAAGAAAGACTTTATGGGAGACGGGAACAAACATTATTTAAAAACTTATTGAGAGCTATAATTTGAGCTTCTTTTATCGTGAAGTGTAGGCCAGCTTCAGCTGAAACCTCATGTCAAATGAAATTATTTGGCCAAAAGATTGCAAGGGTTAAAGTGGAAACTAACAAAGTTTTTAAACATGAGACATTATAAAGAAATATGTTTTTTTGTCTTGTCTCGAGTGTGGGATAAAGCAAAAATTTTGAGTGCTCAGGAAGGGACTTGTTAGAACAATTAACCCTTTCACTCCCATAAGTGACCGAGAGAGAATTTCCCTTTACAACATCAATACAAAATCAAGCAGACAAGAAATGAGAATAAAGAAAAATATCAATTAGGGGTTTATTAGTTGATCCAATACCAAATCCACCAAACTGACTTTATAAGAATTGTATGGCAGACAGTAGAGAGAATTACTAAAGAGATATTGGGAGAAAAAGGGTAAAGGGTGCCAATATCAATATACATGTGGATAGCAAGATAATTAGCTAAATTGATGAAGTAAATTGACCATGGTGAAGAGTTCTAAGCTCACATTTCAAGCATTTGCCCTTTGTCAGAGCAAGGCATCAGCTCATTGTCATTTGCTGTGATGAAGGGCTCATGCTTGAAACGTCAGCTTAGAAACTCTTTATAGTGGGCACTTTGCATTTGTAACACAGTTGATAAAACCAAAGTTATCTAGCTTCCCCCACTGATGCAGCAACACAATTTCTTTAAAAATGTAGCCTCTTTTATCAATGTAGATAGGCCAGAAATAAACAGTTCCATTTACCTATTTACCTGGTATCCCTTTCTTGGATGGTATCAAACAAGGACCATGTTTAAAACTGTAAAAATCATAATTTATACTTCTCATCCTCATGAGAAACCAGCAGACCAACAGCATTGATTTTTAAAATTATTTATCAGTAGCAGAATAACTGAGGGAACACAACCAGAGGTTGATTCTCTGCCATTACTGGGAAGTCTGCAGGAAGACCTGGAAAGGACAGACAATAGCATGCAGACATCTCGTCCATGGAGAGAGCTGGTCACACCTCAGCTGCCTCTTAATGTGTCTTTGCCAGGGAGTGAGAGGCTGGAACAGTCGAGAAATATTAATGAAGAGAGGTGACAAAAATCTTAAGTGTGTATAGTGGTTCAAGAAAAATTGACTGAGACTACAAAATGTTGCATGTGCCTGCATGCATTAACCCATAGACTGCACTTTCAATCAGTCTTTCAGTGTAATAACCCTTGTGAGATGTTGGAAGAACACAAGAAAAGTTCATAAATCACAAGGTGGAGTGTTGATTGTTCTCTGAACATCCCAAGTGGGTTATTATGCTCATGAACTGATAGAAAGTGTGCTATTGCTTTGGTTATTAAATAAACTACAGATGTGGGTTTATTAGTTCAATAAACAATAGGTTTTTGACCAATCAGGGTGCTTGTAGTTTTTCAGTCATTTTATAAAAAACTTGTTTGACTCTGAAAACAGTGTTATGACAGCATTAGACTTTGCTCTTCATGTCATGCAGGTATATACTATTACAGCTTAGTGGTATAGTGTTAAGGACATCTGAAAATTTATACAGTTACGTTTGAACATATGCATATTACCACATTTAAACCAAGTGAATTGGTATGGTGGATGCAGCAGATAAATTTGTTTCATGTTGTTCATAATCTCATAACTGTCCACTATTCTTTCTTATCATACAAATAACTTAATTCTGATTTCCTTCTGAGGGTCACTTATTTCTGCTTTGATTGAATGATGAAGTTTTTAGAAAGGTGTTAACAATTTCTCTATTTAACTCTCCCAAGTTCTGAATGTTAACTCTCCTCTCTAGGGGCTATACATTTCCTTGTAAATTAGTTACAAGAATTAAGGGTTAGATCAAGATGACAACCTCTACCTAATAAGCTTGAGTATTCTCTTCCCCTGTGTGCTAGATAATGTATGGTTATAATAACATTGATCATTTCAGGGGTTAAAGGGTTAATGTTTTTAATTAGTTCCAAAGGGAAAAGACCACTGTTTCAAGGTAAACCTCCTAAAGGAAGGGAAGGAACTAAAGTTGCAAAGTAAGTTCTTTTTTCTTTGGTTTCTCTGTGTATTGTAAAGACCTTTATGTCTCCTCACTCTTGGTGATACACATACCTGGATGACAATACTTTCAACCATGACTACATCGACTGTTTTTTTTTCCAACACTTAGTTTATGTGAGTGAGCTTGAATGACATTTAATACAGAAGTAGGTCAGCTCAGCCCTTTCACTCCCAAGATCTCAATACCAATTCTCCTCACTGTTTGCCCCACAATTCTTATGATTTTAGTTTGGAGAACTTGGTATTGGATCAACTAATAATATCCTAATTAATGGTTTTTTTTATTCTCATCTCTTGTGTGCTTGATTTGGTGTTGATTTTGTAGGGAGAAAATCTTATTTGGTTGCAATTTTGTAGAAGTGATAAGCCTTGTCCTTGCTTCACTCTACAGTTACTGAAACTTTTATTTCACATGGAGTGCTTTTTTCTGCAGTGTAATTTTTTTTTTGTTTAAAACTTCATGAAAAGATGTTTTTAATATTCATGTGATTTTTTTTCTTTTAATATTTTAAGGAAGCCCTTAGGCCCAAGAATGCCACCTGCCCTTATAAAGGGTATTTTTCAGCATTTTAGCCAAGCTAAAGTCTCAAAAGAGGCTCTTCAAGCTGTTGAAAATGGGTAATTATGAAAGTTAAGTTTATCAACTTTATAAGAATGTGCAAGTGGAGTGGTAAATTGTCACTTGTAAACAAGAACACAATTGAGGGGAGCATAGTTTTAAAACTTCAATTGACTTCTGATGATATACAACTAGATTCTCCTTACAAGTTGTCTTGTTTTCCCTTATGAGACAAAGGGAGAAGTAGACATTGGATTTTAGGTCACTCAAACCTTAATTCTGAACACCCATCAAATTAAGACCCTCTTTAATCAAGTGCACTTACTATGCTTGCCAGAGTGGCTGAACTTTAATGGCTACATGTATATTGTTTAGTTATTAGAATTTACCAGACTGTACCTTAAAAAGAAGGCTTGGGATGAAATTAGTTCTTCTGACATAAATATGTGCAAGGGTTAAAAAGCTAATTTTTTTTATTGTTTTCCAGGTCAAACCTGTTTTTCAAGCAAATATCGAGTGACCTGATGGCTTACTGTAAGCATGCTCACAGATCAACCATTGAGCTGGCTGATGTGGAACTTCTCATGAAAAGGTTTGTATTGGCACTTCATCTATCATATATGTAAATAAAGAAACTTCATGTGATACACATGTATTTTAAGGAGAAGTACATTCATTTGAAAACATTTTGGGAAATTTACCTTTTTTATTAAAGCATAGAAAGGGATTGCATTTGGAAATTTAATATGTACTTAGATAAACGCTCAAACTAAAAGGGACTTTGGGATGATTTTGAGGGTGCAACCCTTACTCACTGAGTGGGAAGTTTAAGCTGATTTGTTTTCTGTTCTTGAGGTTCTGCATTCAGAGCAGAGACAGAAAAGATAAGAGTGCTTAACCTCTTAACTTCCATGAGTGATCACATTAGAACTTCTCCCTACATTATCATCACAACATCAAGCAGACAAGTGATTAGAATAAAGAAACATATCAATTAGTGGATTTTTGGTTGATCCAATAACAATCAGATGAATTGCATGGCAAAAAGTAAGGAGAAGTACTAATGAAATCTTGATGTTTTGTTTGTTTGTTGTTGTTGCTTTTTTTCAGACAGGGATTTATAACTGACAAGCAGTCACTGTTCTCATTGGTTGAAAAGTATTTACCATTGGAATACAGACAGGAAATTATACCAACAGTCCAAGCAGGGAACAAGATAGTTCCGTAATGAGATACAAAGGGTACTTTGGTCTAACAGGGCTTGAATTATGAATGCAAAGTGGAAATTTAGGGCTGCTAATGGACAACGAAAATGAAGGGCTGTTCGTTGATGTAAACTTCCTCACAAGTTGGGAGTCATAAATGGCCAGGCATAGAAAAAGACCAAACATTCAGTTATAAACTTGTAGCTTGATATGTTCTTGCCTGAAATGTATGGATGTACTATATAAGTTGACAGGAGAACACCCATGAATTTTGAAGCACCTTAAAGAAATTAGGAAAACTTTTTATGCTTCTTGTAAAATAGCATGTCTTTCAGTTTTCCAGTCCACAGAGAGATCTAGGTAATGTTTTCTTTAATTTAAATGGACATTGTGGCTTTTTCAGGATGAAAGTTGTGTGCCAGTGAAAGATATCCAGTTAGGATGTCCATCTTGTGCAATCTGGGTCAGAGATTGTTTCATGTGAGACTACACACAAGGAAGATATTCTGAAATGTATTCTGGATTTAAAAAATGACAACATGAGTCAGTGTTTCCATGTTATTATGACACAGCATTTGACTGATGAGAGGATCACTGGAAAACAAATATTTGAAACAAAAAAAAAATGCTAACTCTACAGAAAATATAAACATCTATTCATCTAGCTCTAAATAACTGTCTTTTTTCTTACTTGTATTTTAACAAGCTAAGTCAGGGTGGATCTGCTCAAACTGCATTTGTCATTAGTGATTGAAAATATTTTATTAAAGGTTGCCTACTAAAAGTAAACTGTCTTGTGTCAGTGAAGAAGCTCCACCTACCCACTCAAGGAAGAGGGGGCATTAAACTCATTCGTAAAGGGCAAAGACAACATGAAAGGCTCAGAGAATATGAATGAGGATCCTTATTTCAGTTCCTAACAGAATGACTGCCTCATCTAGGTTATTTTCCTTTCCCTCTCCCCTTTGTTTGCCAATGAACCTTTGCTAATGGGCTTATGGTGAGCTTTGCTGAAAACATATTATGAAAAGATAATATGACTGGGGTGAGACATGTCTTTACAGTTCTTTGCCCTCCTACGATCCATGGATCGACAGTCTTGAAATTTAGCTTAATGGTCACCCACAGTCAGGGAAACAACTACTTATGCTGTGTTGCCTCAGTAGAAATATGTGTCTGAGTTATCTAAAGCCCTATTTGAAGTGTTTATTGTAATTCTATATCTTCCTTCACGTGCTCCTTAGAGTGGTTGTGTGGTGACCTTTGCTATAATAAAAAGTTTGAAATTGAGTTGTTTTTTTAGGAGGTAAAGGAATTCAAGTGTTAAGGAAAGATAGCACATGACTGAATTAATTTAATTTGGAACAAAACTTGAAAAATTTGAAAAAACCCTGTTAAAAGTCATGAAGGGTCATCTAGTATCATGAAGATGAAGAGGGTGAAGCCACTTTATTCAAAGGATGTGACTAGACTTTTGTAACCAGGATTACCTGAGAGAGGATTTACGATAGACTTTCTACCTGATAACCTGCTTTAAAGTTAAGACTTGTGTTTCAGAAATCTTGTAGTTTTTATCCCCATCATTAAAACTGCTTTAGTTTAAATATGATTTGTAGTGTCTTCAATGAGCCGGGATGAATCAGTTGAACCACCCGTGCCTCGCAGGGAACTGGGATCGAAGATTGCGGTGCGACAATTTCGTGATCAGCATATATTCATGAATCTGTCGAGCGTCAAGATGGTGGAGTACGTATATCACATTGAGAGTTTTGGCTGATCATTTTTAGTTTATTTTCTTTTAAATAAATCCGTTTTCGTTACAGGAGATTAAAAGAGAGTCAGCTATCTTCTTCTGTACACCAGAAGCTGGTAGAATCCGGGGAAAGAGAGAGGTAAACTGAAGTTAACTTTGTCTAATCTAAGCCTTGTCTTTTCGGACGCGCTTGAATACGATTCGTGCAGATTGGTTTATTCTTAGTTACTTTGTGGGTAGAATTGTGCCTGGCGTATTTAAAAGGCGTCCAAAGCCAGGATAGATTGATTAAAGGAGAGGTATCGCGGCCAGAACTGCACTGAATGTTATTTCAAATGTGTTTTGTAAACCTAACACTGTGTAGGGACACTTGTGACAGACGTTGTAAACCTTTCTTCCTTCTTTTGATATACGCTGTTGCTAATCTAAGAAGAATGCGTAACACTTGTCTAATGAAACTATAACATAGCCTCTTTCGCCATTGAACTCTCTGTAACCCAGTCTATAAAGCGTCTCTACGCAAAATCTGTAAGTGTAAGAGTGAAAGCTGTTTAGTGGATTCAGATTTTTCCCACCAGTAATGAATAATTACCATCTTTCTTTAAGGAAGATTTTCCTTTAAAAGACAAACTGCTAAATAGCAAATTACATCTAGATACAGGTTGTTGATCAAAAATAATTTGACTACCGTTTGGTCCAGCCTCTTTCGAGGTTAACTGTAAATCTTGTATTGTGCTGTTTTTGACTATCATTTGACATAATTTGTGTACAGATTGAAAGAACTTCTGAGAACCAAACTCATAGAATGTGGATGGCAGGACAGGTTAAGGAGTCATTGTAAAGGTCAGGAAAGAAGTTTATCTTTTTCCTTTGAATTGTTGTTTTTCCTTTGTACTTCAATGAAATAACACAAGATAACTATACTTAAAGGAATTACACAAGATAATGCTCTGATGAAGGGCTAACGCTGGAAATGTGAGCTTGGAAACTCTTTACGGTGGCCAATTTATGTTATCAACGCAGATGATAAAAGTACATTACACTGTTATACTCTCCCACTGACACAGCACCACAGTTTCTTTAGAAACTTACCTCCTTTAATGAAATTACAGTTTCTTTCTTTTGGTGAGAGTGAACTAATAGATCAAAATCTGCTCAAACGGTAAGCCAGAAATGTTGGAACTTAGTTTTTCAAGGTGCAGGTAAAAAGTTTATTATCCAACTGCACTGAGTAAGGTACAAAACATGTGCCAATCGAGTACAAATATCACACAATATTTGGACAGTTAGTTATTTTGTACTGTAAAAAACCTGTTTGACTGGTCGGCTAAGCATGCAATGCTTCCCTATCTGCTTCACTTTTCTTGCCTTACAAGAACTGTGCTTAAAATAAAGTAGTTGGATTATAAATAACTTATTACATGTTTACTTGTTGTTTGTATTTTGATTACCATGCAGGCTAGTCAAAATATTCAGTGATACTGCACATCAAAATGTCTAATGAGATATATATCTTAAATCAATTTTTTGCAGCCACAATTTGAGCAACTATACATATGTATGTTTTTTATGATTTTTGCAGATGTCATCAAACAAAAAGGACTTGAAAATGTGACAGTTGATGATCTAGTGGCTGAAATAACACCAAAAGGAAGAGGTAAGGCATTTTTGTGAAAATTATTGCTTTTGAAATTATTCAGGGTTTTTTTGGACAAATTAAGTGGTTTGGTAGATAGATATCAAATGAATCTCTACTTTTTCAACAAAATTACTGGTCAGACTGCAAAACCAAGGTGCAAAGAGTTGTTGAGAGTACTCCTCTGTGACTCTTCATGTACAAAATGGAAAGTTGTGCATAATTTGTTGATGCTAGAAAAACATAAGTTTAGTCCAGGTTGGCTTGATTCCTTGTGGTTTCACATGCCTGCATTATGCATTACATGCAGGTGCACACTTTGCATGTGTAATGCTTAGGATTTACATGCACTGGATGTGCATGTTATTTTGCAGTACACCTGAGCAACCCTGTAGCTTGCCAATTAACAGACATATTAATTAATACTGCAGTATTTTTGATGGATAGTATCTTTTTCCAAACAAGAGGATCAACAGAGTTAGTGACTTATTTTAAGGAGAGCACTAACTGTCCTTTGAATAATAACACCAGTAAATTGTATTCATGCAAGACTGATTCATACAGGTGTAACCAGTGGATGTTATCCAGGTTTTTGGAGTGAACAGCAATACTGCTTCTTCTTCTTCTTGAGATGTATATCTTTTGCATGTTACCTCCACTGTTTGCTCAAGTCTCCCTGTTAGTCTGCTAGTACCCATTTACTATTTTCCTGGAGGGAGAGATCAGCATGGCATTAAAGCCCTCCCAAAATTCAAGTTTTATTTTCAAAATTCAAGTTTTGCTGTTAAACGTTATGTTTATGATTTAGGAATTAAGTTTTAGGAACAGAACTCCTTCTCTACTTTCAAATTCATACCTTATCACAATCAACTTAAATTTGAATTTTTGGCAGGGATTTAATGCCATAGATCAGAGGCACTATGAAGGTTAAGTGTCTTGTCCAAGAATAAAACACAATGACTGCAGTTCATGCTCCTTCCGAAAAATCTTTATCCAGAGATTAGCACATTCACTATTGAGCCTCCTTTTTCCCCCACCTTAACCCGACACTCCCATTTCTAAATATCAATTCTTCACTTTAAGTGCCATAAATTTCTCATAATTTAAGCTCTGAGAATGTGACTTCCCTCTTGATATTTTTCTTTCTTCTCATCACCTTTTCTGCTTGGAAATGTATTGATATCGTAAGGAGAAATTAACTGTTGGTCACTTGTGGGAGTGAAGGGGTCACGTGACAGCAAACATAGGATTCATTTAGGACTCATTTAGTGTTAACAACTGAGTTGAAAACGTAAATTAACCACCGTAAAGGGTAAAAAAGCTGACGTTTCGAGCGTTAGCCCTTCATCAGAGCGATGGCGAAGGGCTAACGCTCTGACGAAGGGCTAACGCTCGAAACGTCAGCTTTTTTACCCTTTACGGTGGCTAATTTACGTTTTCAACTCAGTTGTTAACACTAAATTACCTGCTGTACTCTCTCACCGACGCAGCACCACAGTTTCTTTAGAAACTTACCCCCTTTATTCATTAAACACAGGATGTGTTCATCCTCACTACAACCACAGCCCTAGAAATGAAATGATTTTTTTTCTCTTTTTCACTCATAGCTATGATCCCTGACGAAGTAAAGAGGGACCTGTTGATAAGAATACGAACTTTCCTTGCTGCCAACTCGTAGCTTTTAAAAATGCTATGTATGAAGAACTTTTTTAGTATTGCACTCTTTTTCATTTCTTTTTCGTTTAGTAATGATTAATAAAGCATGTAAATTTGATTATAGAGTTCTTGATTTCATTTTTGTTTTTGCATATTTCATAGATATGTACTCGGAGAATTTGTCACTCTTTTCATTTTATAATGAAATGAAACTTCTTGCTCTGAATAACAGCAGTACTTTCTCTACTTTACAAGTGCAAGTTTGCCTTTCGTCGTTTCTTTCCAGAAAGAGAAGTAGACCATATAAAAGAAAAAACTCAGTCTAATTTTTGCCGATTTTTAATGCAACGTTTGTTTATATGCCAGAACGTTTTATGCTCATACAGTGGGCAACTGCTTTTGCAACTAACACAAAGTGTACTTAGTTTCCATTGGTTTCGTGTTGTCTTCCAAGTTAAACAGCAAAGGAATTTCGGATGTGAATATTTCGATTTACAAATTCAGCTTAGTGTTTCGCTTCTGTTCCTTCGAATGAAGAAGGTTTCACCTCAACCGTCACGTCTCGTCCTTGGACTGTCGCCAAACCAAGTTTCAGTTGTTGGTTCTCGTCGGCTTTTGAGGGAAACAGGCTCAATTTGGTTATTTGCCTCTGAATTGTCGTTAAAAACGGGTTCAACTGGAGAACTGGGTGTTTTCTTCCGTCAGAGGACAAGTGATGAGAGTTAAGAAGGATATCTATCAGGGGATTATTAGTTAATCCAATACCGAAATCTCCAAACTAACATCAAAAGCATACGAAATGTATGACAAACACTAAGGAGAATTACTCATGAAATATCGGAAGTGAAAGTTTACCGCAAGAGAAGACGTTTTGTCTCTCTAGCAACACTTAATTAGCGTTTTTTGTTTTTTCTTCGTTGGGGCTCAGATCAGACAATGTGTCAGAGTTGTCGGCTTAATTTTACTCACCCCTTGTCTCGTAACCTGCCTGGAAACTCTGCCTTTCCGTTGTACTTGAACACAACGTGCATGACGTTGCTCTTTAGGATGATGGCTTCCGGTTTTAGTGACCCACAGTAAACATAGAAGAATACTTAATCAGCCAGTCAAGAGTGTCTTGCTTCAAAAAGTTAAAGCTGTCAATTATCACTGTGGTCACCTTGAAAACTTATGCAAGACGTCTGAAGTCAAATAAATTATATCATTTTCAATCGCTTCGATGGGAACTAGTACGCTCTCTTATTTTTCAGGCTTAAAAAGAAAGGAATTGCAGCAGTTGACTCTACGATGAAAAAAAATATACTCGACGTCGTTTGAGCTTGGAACACGGCCGTTTCAGCCGTTATAAAATATTTTTACAGCGATGATTATATTTGCTTTGTTTTTTCTTTATCGTAAAATGGACTTTTTAAGATAATCGCATTACTTAGTGATACTTCAAAATGGTTCTGTGACTGTTCCCGAAAGTATTTTCATCAATTCATGCGTCTCGAAGTTAAGGGTATATACCTAATTGGGGTTTTTATGATTTGACAACCAATAATTAAAATATCAATCGATAAAATCAATAATTGGATTTGTTTTATAACACACATCTTGTCTATTTTCGATGAGATAACTTTTAAAAGAAATGGCTTTTTATCAGGATTATAGTTAAGACAAGGACATATGTGTTGTTTGCAACAATCTCAGATGATCGGAACTGGAACCAATGTGTTACGCCCGATGTTATCACGCTCGTTAGAGCAGGAAGCAGGTCATAACAGGAACATTTTAACGAACATCGTTTCTACCAAGCTCCCAATTTCAATTGGAAAGAGGTTAAGTTTAGACAAACACCCAATCTTTCTCATTTGGATAATTGGTGAAACGTCAAGAAAAACCATGGGTGGTATCACCTGGTATTGCACAGTTTCCAACCAATCACAAAGTCCATTGGAGATGTAGTTTTCATAATAAGTGTCAAAACGTTGCACTTTTAAAGAAATGGAAGGTTTGTTTATGAACCTCGTTGACGGGTGATGTACAAAACCAAATAAATTTAAATGCTATGTTTAATTCACTTACAAGAAAAAACAAGAGTCAAATAGATTGACCATTGCTTGGTTAATGAGCGTCACGGAGTCTTAATCAATGCAGTTAATCTTTGGAAATATCTTGAGAAGAGAAGCAAACCTGAAGCAACTCAAGGCGAAAACCCCTCGAGAGGGGCGATCGCACTCAATGACATAAAAGACCAGATTATTTACTACTTTGGTAACGATACTGATGAATAACTTAACCCTTTTACTCTCAAGATCCAAGTATACTGATGTATTACACAGCTAGCCACACATTTCATATAACTCTTGTTCTGAGAAATAATTTGTTTCAATTAGACAATAGATCATATTCTTTTTATTCTCATTCTGCTCATCACCCTCCTGTTTGACAGCGTAGTGATGATATGATGAGAAATTACTTATTGGTGAACACGATTTTCGAGGACGAACTGCAAGTGTCTGAATCAGTATTTTTTGTCCCTGAAGTGCAAATCATTGTGGGGAGTACAGCGAGTGCAAACAACCAGCACGATCAGAGATCAAGGGAGAACCCTTAACTCGTGACTTATTTACGACCTCACCTGCTTGGCTTGCTTAAAACACTAATGAAGCGTAAAATTAAACGGGTCTATAATTATTCTAAGTCCTTCTCACTGAAACCTTTTCACTTATAGAAGTGTCCAAGGGCAAGATAAGAAGAGAGAAAATCTAAACGATAAATTCCAAAATTCTGCCGGAAGAACGGAGCTGTCTTCGAAAAAGGCGATAGCCACTAGTTCTTATGTCACTAAATGCTCGCTCTCTCTGAGACTCAAATGTCTGCGCCACATCTACTGACACGTTTTGACAGACACTCAGTGGGCTTCTCAACTGAAAGTGTTGAATGGCCCGGAACAGTTTTTCTGGGGAGGCGCCATTTCAGTTGTTTTCTTTGTCTCCTTTTGTAGTAGAAAACATGCCAATGAGCGCATCAAGGCAGAATTGCTCAACTAAGCGGGAAAGTTAAAAACTTTCGTTGGCGATCTAGATTCATAGAACCCGCTCATATCCAAAATTTTGCACCTCATACACATCTCTATACTTGCAAATATGCATCAAAAAATGACTTTTTAAACATTCATTTCTTCCGTTCAGCGTTGAAACACTTTTATCTGTAGTCGCTTTCCTTTTTTCGTTGCAGTATTTTAATGGACCTTTTAACTCCTAAGAGCATTAATGATTTAAGGTAAGCGATCTCTGAAGTCCGATTAATAATGAATGCACCCACCGCTATATACCTGGAGTGCTTTAGGTTTTGGTCAAATAGAGGTAAGTGAAAGAGAAGGAAGATAGCGTCTCTAAGTACGTTAGGGCGGGCTGTCCATTACAGTAGTGTAGTAGTTTAGGATAGCCTGTCCACTTGAAAACTGCGCCGGCTTCGATCTCACTTTTGTGACATTTCTCTTTTGGTTGGTGTAACATAACGGCGGAATCATAAATTCAAAATTCAAAGCTTTTGCCGCTTCCGTGAGGTGTCAGAGTCCATGTCAAAGAAATCTTTCTTCAGAATACGAGGAGAGCAACAGTGGCACACGGTAGTGTGTTAAAAACACGGCTTTTTCTACCGTAGTCTACGATATGTCTGGTGAAGCGGAGGGATTATGGACGGGCGAAATCGAAACAAGTTTTCAAGAGGCGCTCGCAATCTACCCGCCGTGTGGAAGACAAAAGATCATGTTGTCAACCAAAGACAAGATGTACGGGAGAAACGAGCTCATTGCGAGATACATCCTCATGAAAACTGGCAAAGTTCGAACTCGCAAACAAGTCGCCAGTCACATTCAAGTTCTGGCCAGGAAAAAAATCCGCCAGTTTCAGTCAAGGATCAAAGAGAAGACATACGTAAACGATGGGTTACAAGAAATGATGACGATGTCCTCCGCGGAGATTCTGTCGCCTGTCGTGCACCACGGAAGCGAAGGCTACGAAGCCCCGTCATGTTCTGATATTCCGCCTGGTCCTCCGCCAGCGTTGTTACCGTGCTATTCGACTCCGGCTCCGAGTCAACATGGACAATTAATGATTGAAATCCCCCGAGCCCGAACTCCGCCGAAATTGCAGTTCCCGCCGGTAGCGAGAGAGCACATAGCAGGAATACCCGAATTTACGCCTCCTCGCACGCCTCCACATAAACTTGAAACCAACTTCCAAGATAATACTTTTCAAAGTAGTTTGACTTGGGAAGTACCTGATATTACTCAGGAATTAAATTACAGGGAGACACAAGAAGAACTCTCTCCAAAGTCTGGCATCAGCGGGAGCCATAGTAGTAACAGCACGTGGCGAGCGATTCCGGAAGTTATCTACAGCACAAGATGCAAAGAAGAGCCCGTTATTTCAACTTGTGTCTTAGGCGTGTCAGCATCGTCCACTTTGCCGGAGACACCGACATTCGATGATTATTTGGTGTACGACGCTGACCAGACTTGTCCCTCTATTGACTTCTCGGACATGTAAACAGTGGTAATTATGAAAAGAGCATTCTTATTTCCATACTTGCATGTTTTATTTGTAATTTTTTTAAGAAGTGTTCACATTGTGTTTCATTGTTTGCATAACGAGTTCTTCAACGGAGCTTCCTTCACCCGTTTCATGACTTTAAAATCACTTTCCGTTTCGCCAACCTCTTCCTTTGTCTAACAACCTGTCGCGAAGAAGCTTCTCGTGTCGGGTACTTTTACGTGAAATTTTATTTTTCTAACCATCAGATCAAATTAATGTGAATTTTGTCTTCATCAGCAGGAAAAATATGTTGCGAGGAAAAACATTTTAGGTTCGAACGGAATTAGTCTTAATCCAGTGTAATTTCCACTTGTCAGATCAATTGTTTAGTTTCATCTAAATTTGTTCCATTTGAACTTTCCATTCATTACTTAAATTAATTTCACCTATCAAAATCGTCACGAGCTTTTATCGAAGAAGAAAAAGCAGCATTTAAGACATCTTTTCCTCTCTTTCAGTGAGAAATAAGCTTGGCTTCTGATTCTTTTCCGTTTATTTCCGTTTCTGTTGTCTTTTTTTCGCCGTTTCAATGCCACCTGTTATTCGCTTTAACGGTTGACACAGCAGATACCCGTGTTCAAGGCAGGGCCTTTTTTCATGTATCTTGCTTACCTATTCTTCCAAAACAAAACTACTGTTTACTCTTTTCATAAGATCCTTTGTTGGTCACAGTTCACTGTGTATACTTGTTGCTGCTCACACTTCAATCTGAGCGGCTACAATCCACCAGTTCTATTCAAGTACCCTAATTCTCTCTTGACAGGAGCACGCGCCACCTAGTGCCTTTTAGCCAATTTTTTATTCGTATACTTTGAGTTTTGGATCTACCGAGTTCAACGATGAAGTTTTCCTCTTCTCATCTATTAAGGTTGCGCTAGAATAAAGGCCTATATCCACATGAAAATTTCTGTTTAATATTCATTCTACTTACCACACTTTAGCGCTGAGGAATACTTTTTGGGTTAGTATATCCTGTCTAGTGTCTAGAGCTACAAAGGTGTACTGATGCATTGTAAACGCTAAGACGGCTCTTAGCTGGCGGTTCGTCGGCTAATTAGTCAATTTTGGTCGTTGTTGGGGTATTAGACATTCATATTCATCAAACTTTGTTTCAATCGCTAGTTTTTATGAAGCCTACTTGCACACGCAAAACTCCTAAGCTGTAATTTAAACTGGATTTCCAGTCTTTTTCGTGTATTATAAATAATGAGCTCGTATTTTGTTATATTATTCAATGCAAGCGTTACTATATACGTAAATTAATCGTACTAACCAATCGAATTTAAGCCTTGCTGGAATGACGACAGAATTCAAATTAAGACCGAGAAGGCCTGGCACATAGGACTGAAGGAATTCCGCGGCCCCCTGTATGATATGCCATTCTTTTAAACCCTTCCTTCCCACCCTCGAAGTAAGGGAGCTTCTCGGGAAGGCTGTTGGCGGGTTAACACAAGGTGATATTAAAGAGTTAGACTATTAGTTAGTTTAGTTATATTATTATTATTATTCATATACTCGTTTTATATGCTTTAAATTATATATCGTTCCTTCTAATCCCCTTTAAAGAGTTCACGAAAAAGGGAAGTTTTAACTTAAACATTAAAACAGCAACAAACCTCAATAATCATATTACCGTAATTTAATCATATTGTGTAGCAAATTTAAAATGCTTCGATTGCATGGTATAGTTTGAACTTTAAACCAAGACAGAACCATGGACTGCTGTTTAGACATGGTTTGGTTTGGTGTTATATATAAAAGACTGCCATTTCAATGTATTTTTATATCTATTTTGTTAAGGATATTAGTGTAAAAGAAATATATCAAAGGACCCTGATACCTTTTAGAACCTTTTACTGCTCACGACAAAAAACACACAGTGGCCGTTCTAAACAGTTAAAATGAAAAGCCGCCATGATTAACCGCGGGAGGCATTCGCTTCATTTTTGGTTCTCAAAGGTGTCAGATGTAACCGGCGATTACAAAAACGCAATCAGGATTTTCTGCGTTTTTTAGCGATAACAAAGTATTACTTACTTATAGCTGCCTAAAAAGTGTAAAAACTGTACATTATATACTTTGCTACACAAAGAGCTATTTTTGCACAGAAACTTTTCAGTAACCCAGAAGGGAACCCTCTTCAAAAAGTAATTTAAGCTAGTATTGCTTTTAGAAAGTTAAATCTTAGTTTGCAGCGTTGTTACCCAGTTTTTGTTAAGATAATCTTAGACGAGTTACCAATTAAGTGCTCTAAACACATTGTTTAGCCTAAATTAAAGTACTTTTTAAAGGCAAAAAAAAATTTTTTTTCTGCCACTTGCATTTCTTGCTTTCCCGTCTTATTTACATATTGTTTATCTTTGTTTGCTAGTTGTTACCGTCTATACCTCGACGGAAAATAAGGAAACGCAACTTTATTTCTGGGTTTCGGCCCGCTGGTCACGCTTATACAGGAGAACAGAGCTTTCCATCTAGAAGAGACTTAATAAAGTAAAATAAAGTTGACGTCACATTCATCTGTGGTTTCTGACGGGGTATTTCATTACAGCTTAGTGTCATTCGCATCAGAGGATTACAACATTTTACACGAAAGCTGATTGGTCAAAATGTGTATTCGATGACTGATTGCTCGAAATGGTGTAGTCTTTTTCCGAGAAATTGGCGCCATTTTATTGAAGGCGAGTGTCGGTTATGAAATTGGCCCCTTCTCACACAGTTATTTTGTAGTAACTTCAGTACACCCGGGTCATGCTGAAACTGTTATTTTGGATATACGCAAAATGTTGACTTATATAGCTATTGAGTTCACTCACGAAAATAGCCTAAATGGGAAAAAAGCTTGAAGTACTTATTGTAAATCAGCTTGACAAGCGAAAAAGAAGGTTATCAAATCTGGAAGGTGCGACAAAAATCCCTTTTAAGTGGTTAGATTGTCTTTTGGTTACCTCCCTTTCTCTTTTAATCCTTTCACTCTCAAGATCTCATTAGTGATTCTCCTTACTGAATGGTGTACAGTTCTTATGATTTAGGTTCTGAGAATTTGTTACTAGATCAACTGATAATCTCCTAATTGATATTTCTCTTTATTCTCATCACTTGTCTCCTTGAAATTGTATGGACATTGTAAAGAGAAATTCTGTCTTGGTCACTCATAGGAATTAAAGGGTTAAATGACAATTTTCTCTCCTTCTAAAGCCGCTTTAACTCTGTGAAATGTAACCTCCAAGGAAGCATGCTCTTTCCGCGCTAAACATCATGGGAACACCAATTCAACCAGAAGGGAGAGAATTAAGCTTCCGAAGACTTCTGCTTCTACTTGCAGCTTTGACTACAGTCTTCCCTTCTTTCCGAATTTGCCTAGATTTGCAACATTTTTTACTTCTTCATATCTTTCTGTCACCTGGCTAAAGTTTTCTAATAAAAACTCGTCAAAGTTGTATGTATTAGCCAGTAGTTGTTAAAATTAAAGCAGTGTTTGAAGACAAGACACTGTCAGGGCGTTTTGGCAGGCTAGTTCGATAAGAAAGTAAACTTTTTATGTTCCATCAGTCATCCTTAAACAGTCATCTCTGAGGGGCTTTCTTTTAGGGTGTTAGGGAAAGTTGGTGTTAGGCACTGAATGGTATCCTTGACATGTCTATTGACAAGTTTGGACGAGCTTTTTAACTCCTCCTCCTCTTCCTCTTTCTCTGAGGACATAAAGGCTTACGGTTAATTAGGTGAATTTCACGCAAAGACGTTGTGGGTTAGTTTGACTGAAAAGGAAATAATGCATGGGACCCATCATTTTCTCTCGCTTGATTGTATGACAAACTTCATCATTTTATCTCTCACTGGATATGGACACGGACTTGACCAAAACTCCTAAATTACATTTTTATTTACACTCTAATTATACACATTAAGTATAAAGTACAGTTATCTCTTGATGTAGAAGGAATATTTTGAAAACGTAGTAAGGTGCGTTTTCCCCTTGACGGGTATTCCAAAAATGTTTGTCGACGGTTGTATACTTTTTAATTGACTTAGTAAGCATGATACTGGTTAAATTTTGCCGAGATAACATGTACGTTACCAGAAACTCAACAAGATAAGAACAAGTCAGAGAAGCTCTGCCTTAAACAAGAATTCTCACCGGATGTCCTTCTAGTTAAAAACCACATTAGGTATCTGCCCTAGTTTTTATGCACCTTCGAACACGGAAATACAGTATAAGTATATTTTTGTAAATACGGGGATGCTATTATTTACATAATCCACAAGCATCCCAAGTTCAGGATGCGAGCTTTCAGTGAATAAGCTGTTCGATGACGATAACATTGCGCGGCATGCATTTTATACAGAGTGAATGGGAAAGTCAACGGGCGATCTATCCTAAATATTCTCAAACAGCGAAAATACCTCCGTTTACCTTGAAATTTCCTCGTATTTTTTGTCTCATGAGTATTTTGGGAGCAGGCAGAAATCAGTGAAAATGATTTTGAGCTTAAGCGTTCTTCAGAGGGCGGCAAAGGGTTTAAACGTGACGCTTGATAAGACTTAAAATTATAATTTGACGCGTGAATTTTACAGGATGGCAAAGTGATTTGAGATTTGAAGTTTTCCCTTTGAAATTCGTGAGACGTGAAATACCGTTTAAAGCACACGTGACCGATTAAATTTTTCTAAAATTCGTATCTGAAACAAGATCAGCCCCTCCCCCCTTTATAACCTTCTCTGTACTGTTTAAGAAACGATATCGAATGAGAGGAAGATTTTACTCGTGAAGCTGTTGGGAGCTTTTGATAATAGTTGGTAAGAATATGATATGCGAGGTGATCAAGCGACAGACGAGGACTCATTTTGTATTGGACGAGACACAGCCAGTGTTCTAGATCGGTCAATGCTAGTTTCTGCCGTGTGTGACGCTTCCTGATCATTATACGACGCTACCGCTCCACTCCTACAGCAAAAACAAAAGCTTAAGAAGTGACGTATTGCCATCCTGAACCCAGCCAACCTAAGTGCGTACACAAAGGGATTGATCAAAGAATTGAACGTGATCAGCACAAAATGCATATCTCTGAGCCAGTGAATGACGTAACAGCTGCATGTGCTACACAGATTCATCACGAAAATCATGATGCATGCTGGACCATAGCAGGCCAGGAACGCCAGCAACATCACCAAGTGGGTCTTGGTCAGCTTTCTCTCCCATAGCATGTTTCTTTCTTGGGCCTTTTTCCTTTCTGTATCGCCCTGGTGCAAATTATTCAAATCTTTGACCTTTTGCTTCACAACCACAAATATACGAACGTAGGTGAACACCAAAATGAAAATCGCGCAGAGAAGCGTCAGGATGGCAAAGATGAAGGCATACATGACAAACCCTGTGACAAACAGCAAACCGCTGCTAGCAAACGACAAGAGCCAGATGAGAACAGACGCTTGGGCGACTCTCGAGTTGGTCATGTTGGCGCGATACCACATGGGCGAAGTAATGGCCAGATACCTGTCAATGGTCAGGATGCACAAACTCAGAAGGGAAGCGGTACAGCACATAAAGTAAACAAACTGTGACAGCCATGAGAAGCTGATTGACAGGCGAGCGGCCTCCCTCACATGGGTGTACATTGAGAACGGCTCGACCATGGCGCCAACTATCAAGTCAGTTATGGCTAGGTTCAATACTAAGAGAAGGTAAGGTGTACGGCGGAGGCTCTTGTTAGGGTCAAGAAGAACTGATAGGATAATTAGCATATTACTAGGCACCGTGATGAGGGAATACACGGCAGCTACAGACAGAGTGGTCAGAGAGACTTCTTTTGGTGCCCAGACTCCTTTGCAGTGGCTTGCTCCCAAACCCATCTTATATTCTTCCAGGTAAACGTTCAGCTAGTTATGAATCTGATGACCAAAATAAAAATTTAATTAAATTCTTTATTTGAAATTCGTATTACGTTTTCGTTTAAGAGAAAAAAAACAGTAAGAATGTCACGATGAATACATATATGCATGTAAGAAGTGTAAAATTTTTTGGAAGTGTAAACGGACAATAAGAACATACAAAGAGAGAAAATAATTAGAAGCTAATTGAAAACCACATTAAAAATAAAAATAAAAATTAAAAACCTAATTAATAACCTTTGCACGAATTGAGTTCAACTTCACATTGAGAGCAGGTCTCAGTTCTTGAATAAAAAACATTTCACAAAGTAGGCAATCAAATTTGTTCATACACTTCTTTAAAACACTAAAAAGTCTTCGTAAGATCCCCTGGGGCCAAAGAACTGCTTGCCGCGAAAATGCTTGCCAATCGATGAAGTCGAATTTCTGTGTTCTTGAACGCGTTGGTGCAGATGGCAGCGTGTAAAACCAACATAACCTTCATCGCAAAAGTCACATTTAAATTTCAAATTCTATTGAAATTGTCTTCTTTTTTAAAGTTTGGGTCTATAAAAGAACCTTCCTTTCTTTGGTGTGTTGTTATGAGTTTTTTTTTTTTTATAGAACGAACGCTGTCGGCCTACCTGTTTTCCCGCCAAAAACGTGTTTTCTTTTCGTTCACCTGAAGGCTAGCTGTTCAAAATTTGCTGCTTTCATCAGTAAATAGCTTATTTCGGAGTGATAAGTCACGATTTAAAATGATTTTGATCTAGTGTTGAGCTCTGTAGTTCAACCTACGACAACAAGTGACAAGCCGCTCATCTCGTCGGATTGTTAAACTTATTTGAGATAAACAATATTGTGTCAGAAGGCATAGTGTATCAAAAAGTATGAAAGAATACTACTCAGCTCAAGACTGTTCCATCTAAAGAAACGATTGAATCATTTTACTGTAATGGCTCAGGAAAAATGAAGTCTTCTTTTGAAAAGAAAAGTAGAATCCCATCAGAAAGAGCGAAAAAAACGTACTGAAGGATTTGTCATACGTCATACGAGAGCTCTTGAAATTACCTGAATTGCACTTCAGAATCGACTCGCTCACTCTGTTTAGGATGTTTACCCATCAACCTAAAGAGCTCGACCGGATAACTCCGTTCATGAAGAGAACTTCTTTTTACACCCGCAACTTTGCGACCAGATCACGCAATTCGTAAATTGTACCTACTTGATATAGATATTCCTCACAATCAGAGAAAACTCCTCAAAAGGGCTCTTTTATTCTCTTCCGACAAACAGGAAGATATCGTAAAAGGATTTAGACCAATAACAGAAGCCCTGTTAATGAGATTTTCGAGAATTAGATCTTAATAAAAACTGCAAATAAGGCCGGCAAATCTTGGTGTGTGGCATGCAATGATATCTAACTTAGTTTGAAGCATCTTCTGTTGACTTAAAGAACAATTGCAAATATTAACGGCAACTTTCCTGAAAGGATCGGCACGTAAGAGCTATTTATTAGCCCCAATATTGAACTCCTGCAAATTGTTTCACCAAAAATAGAGGAGGAACACTTTTGACACTCCTATATGACCTCTGTACAACCAAAACGAAAATTAACTTTGTATGTACAACACTGACTTGGTTAACTTGAAGGTAGTTTGATGACCGCAGAAATGAGTTTTCTACATAGAGAACAATTCTTTTTTGTCTCGCAAAGCCTGGGATTATAGTTACTTGTAATAAAAAAGACTTTACACATGTTACAAATAAATATTTCTCACGAATCAAAGGCACCGCTCTTACAACTAAAATAACTGAGATATTAGGATGGGTACTAATTTTAAATTAAATTTTTTTTTGAAATTTCCATTCGTTTCGTAAATTTTCCTAACGTTTACATTTTCTTTGTTGTTTCCAGGAAAACAATCTGGGTCCCATATGACTGGCCTCTAAGCGGCGGTTCGATGAGCTGGCTAATGTTGAAATGCGCATACCCGCGGTAAGGTTTGACATAATAGTTCAGTCTTAGACTTTCAAAGGAAACAGATTTAAATCTCACCTTTGTATTGAGCATTGATAGAAAAATAAATTCTTTGCAGCGCCTGTAATATTGTCCAAGTGAATCTAAAAATAAAGTTTTTATTTTCGCTAGCCATTAATTAACGCACACATTTTCAGGAAATAATTGTATAATTGCATAGTTGCCAATTGTCGGCAGTGCATGGTGAGGTCTCAATAACAAAAAATTTGATTAGATTCCCCAAGCTTTTTAGGGACCATTTTCCATTAGTGTTAAGGGCTTGTCAAGGGGTGATTTCAAATTGTGAAATATTAAATATCATGTTGACTTGTGATTAGATTCTGTTTTTTTCGATCTTTTAACGATGGCTGACAGTATATGCATTGGAGCAATGGGCAGGATTGTAGAATTAACTTGCTATCGATATATTTTTACCTGTAATATCAACAAGTGATATGATATTAAAAATTATCTCCTTGATCATTTTAAAGGTATAGTAAAAAGGAAATTGCTGTTTAAATCATATGCGTTGGATGGAGACGTCTTCTGTCATTTACTTTAATGGATTAATTGCATCAGCGGTTTGCCGCACAATGGTTTTCATCAGTGGCTAAAATTTACTCTTTTAAAAAAAGCAAGTGAATATCTCTTTTTCTCGGTCAAAGTGTTTTATAACTTTTTTGGCTTGTTTAGAGTCTCTTCTTTGGGCTGGAAAACTGTTGCATGATTCTTTAGAGTGAACAAAACCCGAGAAAGTTTCCTGAAATGATGACATTGGAAAAGGTTGTGGTAAGTGGGTTTAATGTAGTGTTTTGTTCAAGTGCATTGCACATTGTGCATTTGCGTGTCAAATGGAAAATGCCAATCACATCTGAACTAAGTTTGATTCCTTTGACTACTGCTCTGGTGCAGGGATACAACAATAGCCAATGTCTTTATGACTTTGTGCCTGTCTGAAAAGCTCAATGTCATTCCTCGTGTTATCACAAATCGCTGGCTGTCTTTCATATCGTTAATCTAAGTAGTTAAAAGCAGAAATGTGGGATACGAAACGAAGGATGCACAGTCTTCACAAAAGATTCAGGAAAAGCGATACTTGGAACGACTTTTGCACATTGATGCAAAAGCTTCCCGTAAGGTTTTCAAACAAATTTCATCAGAACGACCTCAGTGTCACTATAACATCTTTCAGAGTTATGATTTTTTAAAAAATTAACGATTGCTATGAAGAAGAGAAAAACATACCTTTGAGATGAAGAGTTGACTGAAGAGGGAAAACCTTACTTATAAAAAAGAACTAGATACACTTGCGTACTAAGAGAACATTCTTTGTCCTTAGCGAGGCTGTTATCGTATGTTCGAACACCTAACTGCGTTACAGATAAATGTCTACTAACCATAAAATCCAGTCAAACCGGATTTGAACCGGAGGAGTTATGCAAATTGCACCGTAGTCAAAACTATAAAGCGATTAGGAATTAGTCACGTTTTCACCATAAAAACCGCTCTACAAGAAAAAAGAAACCAATAGAAGGAGAAAAAAAAAGCGTGATCCACTTAAAGGAATAAAATATTTATTTCGGAATGGTACACAAGATTGAAAAAATGAAAACAAAGACATTTAAATTTCTTTTTCATGTGGGATGAAAAGAAAATGTTTTTTTTACTATACTGATGTATAGAGACGCACGCTTCATCAATTAGAACTTCAATTTCCCTATGATTATTGAAATAATCATTATGAAAAAAATATAAACAGCGGAAGGATATTTCCTCTAGTGCACACACTTTTTTAGAATGGTTAGATGTAGCTTTCTCTTTTCCGTAACTTTGACCTGAATTTATCTTTTCTTAACAGATCATGAGTGATATTCATTTAAAATCGTCTACTGAGTCTTGAATAAACTAATACATGTTTAGATAAATTAATAAGTAATCAAGGTTAGTCACATAAGTGATAATAACTAAAAATAAACAATGTCATGTTTTTATTTTAATCTGCGCCCATTTCTTACAATATTACTTTAACTTTTAGTCTTTGTAAAAAAAATTTCCGAAAATCTTCGCTTAGCGCACCAATACTAGAGTGGATGGATCAATATTCTATTTATGGTAATGCTCATCGTGTCATCTTACAAGTGTAAAAGAAAGACCTCAATTTGTCGAATTTTAAAACGAAGAATTAAGCAGATGTTTGCATGAGTTAAAACTCGTGTAGTTGTTGCTAAGAGGCTACCTTATAGCACCCAGTATTGAGTGGATATAGTTAGTTTTCTCTTGCCCTGGGTCCTATCTCGTGATACAAGAGATATCCGTCTTGCATAATTTGAGTGAAATACTATTTGGATAACCATTTCAAAAAATCTTGGGCGCTAAATTATTCAGCCAAGTTCAACGATACTGCAATATTGGGTGGCTCTCAAGTCGGAGAAAGGTTGATAATTGTGGGTGTTATTTCCCTTAGGAAGATATTTTATAAGTCATTAACTTTTGATTTGTGAAGTAGCGGTTAGTGATCAAGGAATATGAGCTTAAATTCCTGGATTAGTCGATAAATCGAGAAGGAACAGAAAAATCACATAAATCAAATTGAATCATAACAATTCTTGTTTTGTTATCTTGTTGCAATTGGTTTTTGAATGAGTGGGTGTTGTTTTTAATGAAAATAAAGTAAAATTTTAATCAGAATTCCCACTCTATATCAGCCTAGGTACGACCAATTAAAAGAAAAAAAGGTATATTGCTTACTTCACTAAAATCGCCAAGGTACCATAAAAACAAACCTTTTCCGTTTCAATTTCAATCCAGTCTCAACCTTTACACGCAGATGGCTTTTAGGGCGTTGAAAAAAAGCTTTCTGCTCCACAAAGCCAACTGTGAGGTAAAGTTGAAATGTCACACTTTAAATGAATTGTTCCTAATCTCCATTGTAAAGTTTTTGCAAAGTGCCTTCCATGACCAG